ATTCCGGCAACAGGAGGAGGAGGGGGAGGACCAAGGTGAGTGTCTTTGGTTAATATTTGGAAAAAATGGTTGTGAGTACCGTGTGGTTCAGAGCTCTTCTATTTGATTCAATAAAACTGCCTTTCATAAACCAACCTGCGTCAATGGCGGCTGCCTCACTATGCATTTCGCCCCCATCATTACCGAACTCAACATCAGCAGCACTTATGACAAGATCATTGTCATTTTGCTCTCCATCGGCAACTTCATCCTCAACTGCGAACACATTATCCTCGGCAGAAAAAGGGACATGAAGACTTGAAACGACGTCTACATTACATAATAACGATAAATGACTTATTCGCACATCTATTACACTAACAATATAAGTCTCATACCAGGGGAGGAAGAATCGACCACCACATCATCATCCATGTCCATATCAGTATCGTCGCCTGGCCGCAACGGTGATGGAGTTGAGCTTTGGCGCAAATTGGCTTCAATATTGGCTACAATGGCACCCACTAGTAGATATACAAGATACATTGATAAACTCAATCTTCGGGATGCGTGTAAAACAAGTACCATTGTGTGAGTAACTCTGTGAAGCACCATTTAAAACGCGCCGCTGATGATATTCGTGCGTTCTGCTTGGCACCATTTGGAAGCCAGTGTTGCTATTTGCCCTCGAGCTCACTGGACAGAAGCACGCAACTAACAATTCGTTGCGATTGAGGTCCATTGTGCCAAAAAAAAAAAAAAGTGGAGATTAAGAGCAAGTCGAAGTGTCCAGTAGTAGTACAGAGCCCCTCTTATATTTTAATACATCTGTATGCTTCTACATATCTTCTACCATAACACATTATGCACTTCCTACTTTGTGTTTTTTCTATCACATGTTACACTCTCTGTAATGATACACATTTACACTAAAGAGTCGGGGATATGGTTTTTGCATAACAAGGTATAAATAATATTGGGGACCATGTCTATATTAACGTTGTAACATGCATAACTAAAACAAAGACGAATGTGTGAACCAAAAAAGCGGATGTCCTTTTACGTTTGATCTTTTATTAGATTTCAGTTTTTGGCGATTTATAATGGGATGCACCACACTTGCGTCAATGAACACCCTTTTTGATTTGTATTTAGCATAAGAAACAGTTAAATACAAAGAAACCACTGAAATGTACTTCTTGCAAGTTTTCTATCAAGTCACCAGCATTTTACTGCGAGACACTGATCTTATGCCCATTATGTGAGTTCTCAAAAGTTTAAAAAGTATATCAGTATTACAAATTCTTTGGATTGCTGATTTTAACGCATTTAGTGGTGAAAAAACAAGCAATGTAGCGAAGGCTGCTCGTCAATTACATGGCAAAATTTTGGGTGATCGTCATAAAGTCTTTGCGTTTTTGATATGGAGCTCTGCGCGAACGAGTGGAAAGCATCGACTTCTGATAAAACCCTGGTCAGATAGCAGTCCAAGAACATTCTGCTTGATGATATTATGAAGGTTCTCTCCGATGGTGGATATGATGCTGACGAATGCAGTTTACTTGGCATGGATTGGGCTAGTAAGTTGAAGATGACCTTGAATGTATGAATTAAAATCACTTGTGAATTTTAAAATGTTTTCAAAATAGAGTTCAATGGATACATGTTCATTGTCAAGAAGATTTAATGGTATAACAGTTGCTTCTTTGGTGCGACAGTTGCTAATTCTTGTTCATTGCAAAGAGTTACGATGTTTTAGACAAACACTGGCATGTCTTTTATACTGGAAGGTTAGTACATTGATACACGTAGGACTGAAAATACTCTTCAATAGTTAATTAACATTAATTTCTGTTTTTTACCACTATTAGAACCACTACTTGAACTTAGCTGATAAGTTGGAAAATGCAATGTTGATCCAAGAACGAAAGTTGGCTTTCAGCAATGTTGTGGAAAGTTTGTCAGTTCCGGTCCCTGATCGTAGTCCATCGCCAACTGTCTTCATTTCTCCAAAAAGAGACTAATCTTCAAGAGAAAGCATTTTTTTCTGGCCTTGTCTGTTGTCGTTTCATTGAATAAAACCGTTTCTATCCTGATGTGTTTATTTTCTTATTCATTCTTTTACTTGACCACTCATGTCCCATTGAGCCGCCTTGGGCTGCCTTGGGCTGCCTTGGGCCGCCTTGAGCCGCCTTCCCCTTGTGGCTACCTTAATTGAGCCTGAGCCCAACACTTGCCCAAATGCATTGCAATCACCAATGTTGTAAAATTTACTGCAGAATAAAAACGTGCGTTGTTATCTGATTGTTTCTTATCTAACTCTTATTGCTGCATTATTAGCTTTATGAATGAAGTCGTTTATGAACATTAAATACATGGAGTCCTTGTTTCGACACTTATCTCCCAGCACTTGTAAGAATGCGAAACGAAGCCTTTGAAATGACTTTTCTTCACACACTTGCAGGCTTCTGTGATTTGATAAAGTGTCTTCATGCAAAAATCTATGGCGCTTAACTTTACTCTTTGCCCACTGCCCAGAATCGCTCTATTGGGTTAAGCTCAGGCGAATACGTACGAAGATAGACACATTTGTATCCTCGGTATTACATGTACTTCTTTAGATTCGCATGCGTGTAAATGGGAGCATTTTCTATAACTGTATAAGGGCCTTACATATGCGGATGCTTGTTCATCTTATCTAGAGTCATTTTAAGAAGCTTCTATAGTGTCCTGTTACTGTCCCTGAACTAACGTATCCTTCGCAGGTCTCGGTCTTCTTTACGCCGACTGTACAGCAATCAAACCTGCAGCAGAGATAGCCCCCGATATAATAGAGTTTGTGTTTGCTCGCGTAGTAGGTCTGGTAACAATGACACGCGTGCCTTTTTAAAACCAAGCTCTCGAGCATTTCATATTATTGTCAGAAGGAGTCTCGTCAAGAAACACGCAATTCGTCAGAACTCATGTCTGTAATTTTCCCATTTGCAAACCCAATTGTACCGCTCCTCAATCTTTGCTAGATTGTTTTTTTTTACATAATGGAAGTCAGCTTCTTCAACGAGAGGTTACAATCGCTTCTCATGAAACTATAAACAGTGCTACGTGAAACTTTGAGATCATTGATTTGCTTCAACAAATGCTCGGTCGCCTTAACAACAGCAGCAGAGGGATTGATATCAATAAATTTGAAAACGGCCGTTTTATGCTCTTCCCTCACTATGCATTTACGACCAACCTGCTTAGAAACTTCAACAATACTATCGGGGCATATGTTGCATTGCTTAACCCATCTCTGAGCAGTTTCAATGTGGATGCCCGACTGCTTCGCTGCAGCTGATGCGCTCATACACTTTCAATCTTCAGGTCGAAGAATCTAACCTTATCCTGGACGGTATAGCGCACATAATCACGTTTTATGTCTGCTTCTTTCATACACATGTCTTCATCTTTTGGCTTTTCTATCAACATTAAGCAAGCTGCTGAAGATTCACTTGAAGCCGCTTTTTCAAGTATTCACTATGAGTTGCAGTCGCCTCAGCAACTAATTCATCTTGATCAGCGATATATTCCATGGGTTCAGGGCCCCCATTCTCATCAGCGACATTTTCATGCCCTTCTTCAAAAATTAATATCCTGCTCTTGTCAAAAAAAAATTGAAGAAAACAAAAAATCCAGTAACACGAACATCATTTTCACATGCCAGCGACTTGATCTCTAAAATTACGACTTTCATTTCTGAAAACGCGAAATCTGTTTTAGACAACCAACGACATCGATTTAGATTGGTTAACGACACCAACTCTGACTACGTGCGGCAATACTTGTTTGAATGACTGTGAAGATCCATGTTATTGGGAGCGTTACGCAACATGTTCACCTAACAAAAATGGCGCCACTCTATTTAAGGCAAATTGTTCGGACTCTGTTTTGCCGAAATAATATTAGGCCATTCTTTGACGTAGTATCAGTCAGTAACGGGGTAATTCTTTCCTCAGTTATCGATTCGACCACATTTTTATATATCTTCTATTTCTTCTTTCATCATCATTGTTGCCTATATAATACGTATGAGGATTTCCATTTCACATATTAACAATCATCGCATTTTGCTTTGAAGCCGTCCTTTTTTAAACACGGAATAAAGATACTATATTGGTAGGTATTGCCACATGCTAATGTTGTAGCTTCACCGATGAAACATCCATACTTGTAGTGAAGTTATTATGCTCTTGTTGTACTACGTTTATGTGAACTTGAATCGCCTATACAAGGAAAATTAGCCATGATGTAGCTTTCGAGAAACGTTTGGAAGTACAGGTCATTTTTCAATTCCTCGGACCAACGAGGCTAAATGGCTTATCCGAACATCAGCGACAAACAACAACCGAGTCATATTTTTTTGCGTGATGTTGTGTTAAGTTTTGCTTTTATTCGTTTGCCGAGGAAGTCATTAAGGTTTTAAAAATATGAGGAGGCTACCTGTAGTTATAAAGAGAGTAGAAAAACTATAAAAACGCGTTGTTATTTAATACTTATTTACTTGATCCTTTGTAATTCTCATATCGATCTATCACGTCATACACTTGTTCTTCTGGATTGGTTACTCCTTTTCCCTTATTTGAACTATCATATCATGTCAGGAGCTAAGAGCAGTAATGATTTGACAGTTACAACGTCCATCACTAATACCACACCAGCAGAACAGCAAAAAGTACAACAAAGAGGAAAATCAGTGGCAACTGATAATATCGAACATCAAGAGACAGACAACGATGAGGCCTTTCCCAATTTTCAACCTGACGATCCACCTGTACCTGAGACGCGCGTACAAGTTATCCAATTCACTACCCTCATAATTGGCATCGCTCTGTCAGTATTTGTGGTCGCATCTAACTCGACGATGGTAGCTCCGGCACTATCGATCATAGCCACAGAGCTCAATGCTTTTGAAGAGCAGACTTGGATAGCGACCGCATACCTTGTTGCTGTGAACGCATCTCAGCCCATAGCAGGAAAGGTACCTTACATTGTTGTGTCATTATTTTGGAACTGTTATATACTTCCTTTAAAGGCTCAGGTTTTGCAACTACATACAGTAGTGCTAATACAAATTGCATGCTCGTATAACCATCCTATATGTATTTCTCATAGTTCTGTGACATTTTCGGACGCAAGCCTATCCTACTTCTCGGCCAAGTCTTTCTACTGATCGGATCTATTATTTGTGCCACGGCACCAAGTATTCAAGGGTTGATTCCCGGCCGCACGATCCAAGGATTTGGCGCAGGATGTATCATGTCAATGGCTTTCGTAATTGTTACTGATATCACACCGTTGTTCTGGCGACCAAAAATACAGTCTGTACTGGTTGCTATCTATGGATTGGCCAATGTGGTAGGTCCGCTCATTGGTGGTGCCTTCGTCGACAATTTGTCATGGCGCTGGGACTTTTGGTTTACCGTTATTTTGGATGGTGTCGCGGCCTTGATTGTGCTCTTCCTGTTCCATGAAACAATTACCATTCGTCAAGAATCAATTATGAGCAAAATCAAACGCATCGATGTTCTCGGCTCTGTTTTTTCAATTGGTTTCATTACATGTTTACTGCTTGCGCTCAACTGGGGACCACAGGTACATATACAGTGAAAAAACGTGAAGAAAGTTATGGGTACAAAAAACGCCTAAACATTCAATCATGGCCTTTTATTATAGTACGGCTGGAATAATGCCCATGTTATCGGCTCGTTTGTTGCAGCTGGTGCTGCATTGATCCTTTTGGTTATTTCTGAAGGATGGATTGCCAAAGAACCTGTAAGTGTTTGCTGTTATTTCCTATCGCGGTGCCTGGCAGTGCTTTCCCCTAAATCTGCACAAATTATTAACGGCTGATATTTATGTTCGTTATATACACATCTAGCTCATACCGTTCCGAGTCATTTTGGACCCTGCAATCCTGCTATTTTACCTATACTTGGCATGCCTTGGTCTTGGATTTGTCGGAACTCTCTTTTTCGGTCCCATTTTATTCCAATCAGTGTTTGCCGCATCTAGTAGCGAATCCAGTATCCGTCTTATTCCTTTTATGGTATGCCTCATTGTAGGCTCGTTTGCTAGCAGCTTCTTGATGCGTCGCGTTCCATATCCAAAGATATATATTATCATGGGTGCATGCAGTAATGTATTAGGTTATGGTCTATTTCAACTTGTTGACGAGCATTCAAATTGGGTAAGAGCAACACTACATTTCGTTAAAGAAAAGAAAGGAAATGAAATTAACTGCCTGTTTGATGTTTTCAAGGGCAAACAAGCTGGCTTTTTGACTTTCTGTGGTAAGTCTAATATCGAATGACATGAATTAACTGGAATTTTCTGACGAATGGAGCTAAATAACAACAAAACCACATAATAATGTACATGCTCAGGTCTTGCTGCAGGCTTAACACAGCAAAATTGTATTCTTGGTGTCCAGGCAACAGCGAAAAAGGAGGACATGGCCGTAGCTACGAGTTTGGTAAGATTTCAATCAGCATTTTTTTGTCTGACGAAATCCATTGCGGGTGGTAGCTGTATTCTGGATATATTTCCTGTTGCTACAGAAGCAGGTTCCATGACGACGAGTATCATTTCTAGATCAACCAGCCATGATGCGTATATACTCACCTCATATGAACGCCTATCCTCTTTTCATATAAACAACCTTTTCTGTAGAGTAACTTTTTGATGCTACTTGCTTCAGCTGTTGGTGTAGCCGTCTATCAAGTACTCTTCTCTACATTTGTAACAAATCAACTCCAGAGTGTGGACCCTTCTGTCCTTGCAGTCGCTCAACGTTATGGTACGTGTACAAATGCTGTTTACTTTTTTTTTTAAAATATACAATATTTTTGGGAATTGCTAATCACATGTTCCTACCAGGTGCACTCCAAAATTATTTATACATAAAAGACATGCCTCAAGATACTCAAGCCCCCATCATACATGCGTATATGCAATCGCTTAACCGGGTGTTTATTGTTCCCCTTGTGGCTGCTGGTATCAGCGTCATCTGTGCAGTATTTATGTGTAATGTTCGTTACGGTGCACCAACAACGGCCAACAAGTCCTCGTCTAAAACTGTCCCGCAGAGCCATAATGAAGACATTGAAAAGGCATAAATATAATCATGATTAATAGTATTTTTCAAGCTTATCATACCATAGATTGCTTTCCTATTAGATTGTACAATTTCGGAAATAAACATTCATATATATACACAGCTTCAAAAGATGGTTTGCAGCAGTTACAGAAATATTGATAAGTTCGCCAGACGAATTAAAAGCAAAAGTCATTGTGATATATAGCTATAGCAGTAACAGGGGAATCAAATGGAAATGATATGTGAAGAATGTTATTCACTCTTGGTAACAATCGTGTACAGATCAAATGACGTAGAGCTCTGTTTAGATGTACATTGAACGTTGACTTGAAAACTAAAGGTAGCTACGCTTGTAAAGAAAATAGAACGGGAACGGAGGACCAAAAACATTAAGTAATCCGCGAAAAAGCTCATGCGAAGAACCCAGGCCGGAACAATGGAAAACTTTTTTTATTGCCATTGACTTAACACGTTCCTGCCATGGACATGGTTTTCTTTAATTAAGCCGTTCTCGTTCATGTAGCTTATCATATGTTTCACGCTAATGAAATTCGCCACAACTTTTATGTGCATGTAGCATAACCTTCATGTGTATCTGCGTCGTGCAATATATATCTCTGATATGTACATTTCTCAGTAATTGATACCGAAAATAAAGTTCTCCGCAAAACGATGCTACAAAGAACATTTCTCGGTTACCCCGTGGATAAAGGGAGCGGTGATAAAGTGGTTGATGGGATACGACCAAATAATGTGGTGTTTAACGCCCGACCCCAAAAAGTGATCTACGATTGGATTGGATGTGGACATAGAACGCTTCTTTGTGTTATGTCCCACGTCGGAACCCACTCTGGGACGACGGAACAAGAGTAAAAAAAACTTTAGCGTCAAAAAAAGATAGATCGCATTCTTCCTCTTTTTCCTTCTATATGCCGAAAACAGCATTTTATAATGGTAAAATAGCTTGAAACAAATCCATCCCGTCGGTCATAGTTGGGCCGTGGCGATATATTCATCCTTGCATTACCTGCTTATATAAACAACAGTCGAAATGCTTTTTTTTTCCTGTTGGTCGTTTGTTCCGAGATCCACATCATTATATCGTGGCAGTTGCCCTTTCCCTTATTTCAGATTATATTTAATTATTTATTATGGATTCTCGACAAGCTGGAGTACGACCTTTTGTCGTCTTCTGTGCCATGATTGCCAGTCTTGGTACATTCAATAGTGGTGTCAACACAAGTGCATTAAATATTCCAAGTTACTACGTTCGTAATTGTCCTGATAGCGACGGTGTAACTTATTACCCTGGTAGCTCACTACCTCAATGTATAAAAATGGATGATTGGATCTGGTACATATATGATGGTTATCAATAATGAAGCATATAATACGTGTAATACTGATCCGAGGAAATCCAACAGGGGTGTATCGACCGGTATGCTCGCCTGCGGTGGTTTGTTCGGTGCACTTTCCTCGGGAGCACTGGCGGAGCGCTTTGGACGGCGGGACTCCATGCTTATGATGAACATTTGCTTTGTAATTGGCGCGGTGCTCATGTCGACGTCAACAACTAGTGCACAATTTGCTGTCGGAAGAGTCATTGTCGGTGCAGCCTCGGGTTTTATGGTATTGTATAAGCACCGGAAGATTTTCCTCTTTTATACAAGTTATTACTACTCCTTTGCTATGTATACTAATGTATGGTTCTTTTTGTTTTCTTGTTGCATATGTAGACCACGATTGTATCTGTATATATCACAGAGATTTCTCCACCATCGCATCGTGGTGTTCTAGTAGCTTTCTTACAGTTATTCACGACAATTGGAATTTTTGCCATTGAAGCTATTGGTCTTGGTTTACGATCACCTGTTGGATGGCGCGTAGTGACCGTTATTACTGTAGCACCAGCACTTATCCAAGCTATTGGTTTGCTCTTTTGTGCACGGTCCCCTCGATGGCTGGTCAGTCAAAATCGAGTCGATGAAGCGCGTGTTGCCATGCTTCGACTTCGCAAAGGCGCCATCGAAGACGAGTTTGCAGAAATGAGTAGCGGTGTTGTTGGCTCGCCGTCATCTTCGCCGTCGGCACCTCCTCCTGAAACTACCGAAAAGGATTCGTTGGCTGATACGACTGTATTTCATGAAGAATTACCAAAAGCCAAGCAAGACACACACCATTTATCATTTTTCCAAGTAATACGGATCCGCAAACTGGCTATTTTGATTTTCCAGCAAATGGTACTTCATGCTGGCTCACAGCTTACGGGTATCAATGCAATCATGTATTACTCTACGAGTATTTTCGAAGTGTCGTTTGGCGATAATGCGGCTTATGTGACGGTTGGGGTTGCTGCACTTAATATTTTTGCTACGATTGTGGGTCAGCTTTTGATCGATCGATTGGGTCGCAAGTTCCTTATGCTTATCTCGTCCGTATGCATGTGCTTATTCGCAGCACTGATGACTGTTGGTATGGCGCTTGACATTTCGGTACTGCAAGTGGTTTGCATCATGCTCTTTGTTGCGTCGTTTGGCATCGGATTAGGTATGTAAAGAGAATAACCTATGCTTTTATCACTATGGTGTTAATACTCTTTTTTTTCGGTCGCAGGCATCGTTCCATTCTTGTTTACTGCTGAATGTCTACCCACCTATGCGGTTGGTGCAGGATGCTCAGCCGCATTAATGTCGAACTGGTTTTTCAACTTTATCGTTGGTTTGGTGTTCCCGACTTTACAAAGCGCGTGCGGGGACTATGTATTTCTGATTTTCGTTGGGTTGACGTTCTTCTTGTCGTTGTTCATATTTTTCTTCACGAAAGAAACGAAGCGCAAGACTATCGAAGAAATCGGCCGTGAGTTGGGATGGTACGATTTAGACATCCATGGCATATTGTCCCCATCGTCGCCTACTGAGGATGGTAACGGTGCTGCTATCGTCGAGAATATGCCTGCTGCTCCCACAACAACCGAGCTTAAAAACTAGATTCCCCTTCCAGTCCATTTCCAACCCACAATTATTAAAAATGTCAACACTTGGTCGTGTTGTTGTAAATACAAAGCATAATTAGTAAGGAGTCCAGCTCCCTCACCCATTTATTATTTTCATCATAGTTACTTTAATAACTCAAGTTCTGTGAGAAAGACGGAGGGATGTAGTAAATATAAGGGTATATGAAATACTTTTTTACTTATTCGTCTTTGGATGCGTCCAGTACCAATCTCAATTGTTCGTCAACCTGGTCTTGGTAATACTTTTGCTGTAATAATGTTCCGCGAATTTGTTCATGAACGGACTGGAACATACCAGCTCTACGATGATACATTAAATAAGGACGGGCTATTTATTACTATTTCACAACGTTACTTACTTTTCTAATTCGTTCATCATTAAACTTTGGAACGTGGATCTTTCTTTATCTAAAAGCGAAGGATCTTTGCTAATCTTTTCTTGCATGAAGCTGGTCACATTTTCCAGGAACTTTTGTCCTTCATTCTGTTTTCATATTATTTGACGTTAGTTCACCGAAATAAATGGTGGCGATGGTGGTGGTGATAATGGGAGATCAAATGGAACTGCATGTATCACCTGTTGTTGAAATTCTGAGAGTAAATGTTTTCGTAGTTGATCAAATGTTCCTTTTCTTTTAAGTTGAAGAACAATCTCGTCTGGTGTCATTATTTCTTCAAAGATCAAAAGAAAGAGCTAGTGGGGAGCGAAAGAGGTAATATAGGGGACGACGGATGACTGTGACACAATTCCAAAAGTTTCAAAGGCAGTCATTGAGGTTAGGCTTGAACAGTTAGTTTATGCAGCATACACATCACTTTAAGAGGAGCAGAAGAGATGCCAAACGATAGAGCTCGGAATAAAGCTTGACCAGACCCTGTAGGATAGTATGGAAAAACTATTGCTTTAAGAAGATGGACTGCACTGCTGAACCTTTCCGAGTAGCATTGGCTAAAAGAAAAACCGTCATCGAAAGGAAAAGGACGCTGACAGTGGCTCTTGATGATGAAAAAGTCAACATCGTATGGGCTTACGTACATATGCTCCATGTCACGACTATTATATTATTATTACTGAAGCATATGAATATGATAAAGCCTGCGCATGAGCTTGTCCAGCATGAGATGTCACGACACGACACTACACACCATTCTTACTCTTCCTTTTCTGTCTAAAAATCTTCCAAATATGAGTGAAACATGTGATGTCGCGTGCAACCTATCAGCGTTGTTGGCACAAGCAACCCTGCAGATAGTTTTCATCCCTCGCTCAGCTCTTCGTCTCGTGTAGCATTTGACATAACATCACGCTTACATCATCTCTTATTATCCTTCAACAGCGAAACTACGAAGAACAATGGTGGCTTCACTACTCTTATTTTTAAATACGTCGAGAACCATGAAAACTGTGATTATGTAATTAGCAGATCCTAGTCAGCGGCGCCACGTTTCGACCTTTAAAGACAATATGTCAATGAATGAACAACAGTGTCAGAGGAGATGTGTGTATGTACTACGCTGCAACCAAGAATAAAAACAGAAGCGTGAACTGCTCTTCTCTCCTCCTTCTGATGTTGTTGCTTATGGTCATTTGCATTTAAGACAGATGATACATCGCTTATCGTACTAAGGAACAACGGAGGTGATAATTTTATTTCCTATGCTTATCAAAGCAGTCTGGCAGCTTAAGCAGAAGCAACATCATAGTGCATATGACAGTCAATTACAAAACCAGTCTCAAACCCATCCCCTCATTTTGTTTACACCGTATGCGTGTGAAAACGATATATGTACCTCATTGTTGGTTTTCCTGCGCGCATCTGACAAACTTAAATATTGTGTGTGTGTGTGTGTGTATGGGCTTAGAAAGAAAAAAGCCCTTGTAGGTAGCAATTGCTAGGTGCGTACTATATATGTACGGGAACTACTGTACCCAAAGCAACCCCAACGTAAAGGAAGAAACAAGCTATAGCTAACTGCGCTAGGCTCACACGCGTTTCACATGTCTTTTAAAAAAGTGAAGGGGGTGGTCACATACCAATCCTTCGCGTGTCTTACTATCATGGGTGTTACGAATAGAAGATGATGTGCACACATTTCTGCCTAAATAGGCCAACTCACTGTATGTATAGGCAGGGCTTAGTGTATGCGCGCCACACTCTGAAGCAGGCTTTGCGTGATGGGATGTAGATATTTGTTGTTGGGTTTTATCCAGTAGGTTCTGCTACAAGAGGGGGAGGGGATCTCATGCAATAAACAGTAAAGCTATCCGCAGTTTTTATATTAATTATGATCATCAGGTGACAGATTACTCTGATTACTGCTGTTGTCAACCTCATTGATTCATCCACCATGATATACGATCTTCGATGCATGAGGCGCATTGATTTTCACAAAGGCACACACATGCAGCACTACGTAGTCTCTGAATAATATGTGACGAGAAAGCCTACTAGTCATGAGGTGTAATGTGGCAGACGGGCTTTTTCTTGGTGGCACTAGATATTTACTACCATTACCATTAATACATTATCGTGGATTGGTGTTGCCAATAGATACTACTGCTATTACAACTTGCGAGATCTCAGGTACAAATGAAAAAAAAAATTGGTTACATACAGCACTACGGACAATTGGTGAACGGATGTTTCAGGATACCAAGCCCAAACTATCATGACGGGCGTCTTTGTCCTTCATTCGTGCGTAAACATGTCGCATATTCATACCATCGTTTTAGAGGGCGAAACACGTAAAAAAGAAAAAACACGGGAGCATCGTTTTGAGATCAAACGAAAACTGTGATCTACCCCCCAACTCCGTCTCCCCCCATAAACGACACAAGCTTGCCAAGTTGAAAAGCATAGAATCGGAACTAAAAACTGGCATTTACTTCTTTCTCTCTCCTCCACTTATACCTTCTCTCCCTCGCCTTTTCCAAGCACTTACTTTATATCTCAACAACACCTATCTGACCATGAAGTTTGGTAAGACATTGCTTCGCAACCAAATCCCAGAATGGTCCAAGAACTATCTGTCCTACAAATCTCTCAAGAAGACAATCAACGAGGCTGCCCGCAATTCACCGCCATCGGAAGAGGCTACGACTGGTAATGCGATTAGAGGACAATAACGGGAAAAGCTCTGAAACGTCTCACCCGTGTGTGTATGTGTGTGTTTGGTTCCCGCGTCTGTCTGTCTGTCTGTCTGTCTACCTACCTACCTACCTACGCATATACGGTTCAAGCCATTTTCTTCCAGCTGGACAGAGAACTGGAAAAGGTCGACACGTTCTATACGTACAAGCAATCGCAGATCGACCGACGATTGTGGATCTTGTCAGAAAAGTACCACCAGTACAACAATGAAAAAAGCGTCAAAACCAATGGGGACGTGACCAGTACAGCTGCTAATGGTGGCGGCGATAACAACAACAGCAGCAGCACAACAAGCTCGTTGCCAGATATCCAAGAAGAGCTTGTCAGTGCGTTGCAAGAGACACGTGCGCAAATGAGCAAAATTATGTGGTTTGCCGAGCTCAATGCAAAGGGGTTCCGAAAGATTTTGAAAAAGTTTGTCATCCTCCAAAATAGCAGGGGAGAAAGAGAGAGTGGGTGGAAGAGTTGCTGACGATTCCGTTTGGGTCCACGTGTTGACATTCTTTGTGCGATAGGTTGGATAAGAAACTCGGCCTGGACACTCAGAATGTATATTGGCAGACCAAGGTAATATTTTCAGTTTTTTCCCGTTAGTGTCGTCAGGAGACTATAGGAGAGAGAAAAGACGCATATGGTAGGCTTATACAATGCATCCCATCGCTTAGGTTGCCGTGTTGCCATTTGCATCGCACGAACACATCCGCACAGAAATCGACAAGGTCAACAACTGGATCTCTACACTGGCTGTGACTGATGACCGGTCGTTGATGCGCGAGTCGACCATACGCCATCCAGCCTCCGTATCCGTCAAGTTGCCAATGCCGGACACTATCCGTCGCTACAACAATCTCTTGACAGACCAGGAAAACGAGCAGTGTGCCGACGCCATCGATGCAGACGACTCCGAAAGGCTGGCATTGCTACTCAGCAGGTCGAATTCTTTGTCGACTGTCAAGTCAAAGTCAGACGCCGATCAGGTAAGAGACCCCCCCAAACAGGGAAAGCGCTGGAAACGTGGTCATGCTTGCTGATGTGTGATGTGTGTGTGTGTGTGTGTGTAAATGATTGTGGGAAAACCAAAGCTTAATCGGAGAATAACACAGTTTGCCATGTGTTTGTGTCTAGGCACGCTATACGCTTCTAGAACTTGCCGTTCAACGGGATTCCGTACGCTGTATCGAATATTTGGTCGAGAACGGTGCTAGTCCTCTAGACCATCACGACATCAACGAGCGCAACTTGTTGCACAAACTGTGTATCTTGTGTGGTGAAGCTCGGCCGGAACAGGGATCATCGAAAGTCCTCGAATCTCTCTTACAACTATTACCCAAACTGCCCGTACAGACGGATTTCGCTGGCCGTCGACCTTTGCATTATGCTGCCGAGTTTGGCCAATCAGAAACTGTGCGTCTACTTATGGATCATGCAGTGAAGCACGGTTACTATAGTGATGCGGGATTTGCGGATCCTGTTTGGCAGGATCGTGAAGGTCATACGCCTCTGTTCTTGGCCATTCTCCATGGCAATTACCAAACATTAAGCGCGTTGATCGAATTTGGCAACATCAAGGATGTCGATAGAGTTATCGCAGGTACATTCGAGAATGCTTCTTCTTGTTTATCCATGAGATGGGATCGGATGAAAATATAATCTCATACGTGAGTTTTATAGCGGCTTCCCAGCGACAAGCCAATGTCAGCAATGGTGTGACAAGTGACAACGAACAGATTCCCGAATTTGCTCGCTTGTCACACCATCCCTCAGTAGTTGCCATGGCATGTGCACAATCCAATTTGGACCTCTTAAATTTGCTCATCGACAATGGTGTCCAGGTGGATCTTGCCGATGAGGATGGTGAGACCGCTTTGCATATTGCGATCCGTACCCATTTCACCGATGGTGTTCGAGCCCTTATCTCGCGCGGTCATGCCAACGTCAATCTTCCTGAGAAAATCAACGCATGGACACCCTTAATCATTGCTGGTTAGTAACTACGGATATGCTAGTAGCAAACCATTTCATTGAGGGAAAAGAATGGCTATACTAACATACGTGGAAATTACACGCATTGCATAGCCATGGAAGGTTGTCAAGATATTGTTGAGTTGCTCTTGGAGGCCAAGGCAGACAAGTCGTACATCGACAACGGTGGATGGGCAGCTTATGAGCATGCGGTGTTCCGTGGACATCCCGAAATTGGACGCTTGACGAAGCCGGATATCGACGTAGAGAAATATAAGTTCCCTGCTCCAGCTGCTAGTGGACAGAGCAATGGCAGCCAAAGCCCCACTACGAAAGCACGATCGCGAGCTGGCCGTCTGTATGGTCACAAATATCTGACAGATCAGTGCATGATTATCATCAAGTTGGGCTCGAACGACGTCCGGAACCCGCTGTCACAGCGATTCTTGAAGCTTGATGATAGCACGCTTGACGAACAGCGTCTATCCATCTCCGTTTCAGCCATCAATGCTACCGGTGAATTACCGATCCTCGACTTGCCGCCAAACAACCAACAGCAATTGTTGCAGCCAGAGCCCATGGTGCTTTTTGCTACAAAGCCCGAAGACGTTGTTTTACGCTTTGACTTGCTGGAAACCTTTGGATCACCACGGGCCGACAAAATTATCGCACGAGGTACAGCGACGCTGGCTACTGATCTGATTTACACAAAGTCGAGAGGATTCAAGGGCCGGGCACCGGGCAATTCATCACTGAGAGGACAACAGTCGGTGCCTTTGGTGCAGGCATCTACACTTGATTATATCGGCTCGCTTGGATTCGAGTACTTTGTGGTGACACCGTTTTTCCATCCAAAAATGACCGTTGGTGATCGCTACACATATTATAAATCTCTAGACACTAAGGTAAAAGTCGACTACTTTTCATATAAGAGCTTGATGAATACGCCGAGATGATCTATTGAAACAACAGTGCTGTGCAATCCATAGATTATTGGTCATCGCGGATCTGGTATGAACCAACGCGCACCACATCTTCAGGTCGGCGAAAACACTGTGCTCTCCTTCATTACTGCAGCCTCTTTGGGAGCTGAATATGTCGAATTTGGTAAGGCCACTTATAATGTGTCTCCTTTTCAAGTTTCTTCCTGGAAAATAAGGGGCTAACATTCTAAATCCTATTATATTGTAGATGTCCAGCTTACGAAGGATCTGGTCCCGGTAATCTACCACGATTGGACAGTGACCGAAACTGGCTTTGATATCCCACTCAATGCTATCACATCAGAGCAATTTCTCAATTTGCGACCTTCAGGCCATATCAAGGAATATCACACTGGTGTCAGTGACGGTACACACGGAGAGATTCAACCAACTTTCAACGGCGCTGCTGCTGCTGCTGCTGCTACTACTCCCTCATACGATATTCCTGCCGTTGAAACAACCGGAAATGCGCTTAAAGTACCATCACCACCCAACAAGCGTGTGAACCGTTCTAACTCGTTGAGCGCCATTGGTGGATCCACAATGCATGGTCGCACAGTTGCCAGCAATCGACTTGAATTTACACGCACCAACAAACTCGGCAAACTCAAGGGCAACGGTCCTGAAACCATTCAAGCTCCCTTTACGACCTTGGCCGAAGCATTGAAACTGATTCCCAAAACCGCTGGTTGCAACATTGAAGTCAAATACCCCATGATTGATGAGGCAGAAAGTGACGAGCTGCACCAGTTTCAAGAAATCAATATCTTTGTCGACACAATTCTCGAGTGCGTGTATGATCATGCTGAACAAGATCGACGAATAATCTTTTCCTCGTTCCATCCTGAGATCTGCGTTGCGCTGAATCTCAAGCAGCCCAATTATCCCGTGTTTTTCCTTACGGATGCTGGCACGTTGCCCATGGCGGATGTTCGCTGCAACTCGTTGCAAGGCGCTGTACGATTTGCAAAACAGGCAGATTTGCTGGGTATCGTCGCTGCTAGTGAACCGATCCTCGAGGCGCCACGAATGACAACCATCATCAAAGAGTCTGGCTTGCTGCTTTTCACCTATGGCGTGCTTAACAATGAAGTAGAGCATGCTGTTGCGCAGAAAAATTACGGTGTCGACGCTGTAATTGTGGTATGTCTCTTTGATCGTTAGCTGTAATCCAGTAGCAGACAACTTTAGCTTTAGGCTTGGATCAATACATGTTTTAATTAACTTTTTCCTGCGTAATAGGATTCTGTGGTGGCAGTACGTAAAGGATTGCGAGGCGACTCACAAGCATCTGCATCTTAATACAAAGCTAGAATGAAAATACGCTAGACACAAGGGGCACAAATAAAAGCATATACAGATTATAGTTATTGTTCTCTATGCAAGCCTTATCTGCAGTAATAAATCATGGCATGACGATCACATCCCGACTGCTGAAAGTCTTTTGTGGGATTATCCGATACCGGCAGCGAAGAGTGAAAGAAAAACTCGTCAATCCCTGGTTATGAAAATACACTAGGTTTATAGTATACCTGTCTTTTATGATTCGTGTGACCATATAACAAGTTGTGTGCAGGTGTGCCATCCGCGGGTTGCTATACAGTAAACTGTAGAATGAGGGACAAAGAGCAAAAAGCAAATTATTCCCGCTGTGTGTACAAGTGTAATCAATCAAAATAATTATCTGGGACAAACCACTCAGGTCTATAAGTCACGCCGTTTCACTTCGCTTCTCCTCCGTCGCTACCACCATGGATTCCTGGGACGACACTAGCGACGAAGAATATGCTCCAATTACCGCCTCTGCTTGGGGTGATCAATCAGCAACAGCTTCAACAACACCAGACAATGACGAAGAAGCAAGCGGCCCTGCTTCTTGGGGCGATTTGGTCGACCCCAATTTTAAATTGGGCGCCAATGGTCTCGGTGGGGGAAATTTGCACCGAAAGGGCAAGAACTACAAACCCGTCGATGAACAATACATTTTGAATCAACGGCTTAAAATCCCTAATCCATCACAAAAGAAGGTAATGAATAACATTTGTGTGGGTTTTTTTTCCTAAAAAAGTGGTGCTGACACGAAAGGCGATTGACGCGATCTCCACAGAAAGGGGGTTCAAAGTCAAGAAAAGGACCACCACCGCCTGTCACGTCAAAATCACGCTCTTTACCAAATACTACCCGTAAACCCACTTCTCGACCACCACCTCCTTTAGCGTCAACACGGCCACCACCTGCTTCTACGACGCGACGTCCTCCTCCGTCAAGCAACAACGCATGGTCAAGCGGGGCGTTGGTTGACGTGCCCTTTTGGGAGAAGAAGGATGCTGCAAAAAATACTCCATCTACAGCTACTAATAATGTAAGTTTTGATTTCTTCAATTCATTGGACTCTATTGACCATCCCATACCAAAAAAAACACGCACCATTGCTATAGTCCTCATCATCTGGAGGAGCTTCTACTGGTTGGTCCAGTTGGGGTACTCAACAACAGCAACAGCCGCAACAACAACAACGTAGTAGGCCAAACGCGCCTTCGAGCTGGGACAACACGCCTTCAAGAACCACCGTTCCCGACAGCTGGGATGCACCGCAGCAACAGCCACAACCACAGCCCGAACGGCAGCGGCAGCGGCAAGAGAATGGACGGAGCAACAGTACTTTGTGGGACGCAAAGCCTGATGTGCCCTCTAGCTGGGGTCATGAACCTGTCAAGGAACCACCAAGGCTACCTCTATCAACCCAACGCAATGTGCATACAGATCCTCGTCCAGTTCGTCCTGCAGACATGAGACCACCTCCAGGTCTCTTCAAGAGCGCGATTTCTGGAATGAGTAACAAGAAATCAGGTCCACCAGGCTTGTCTCCCATTCCACTGCACCAGCGTTCGTCTACACGTCCATCTATACAACCTTCACAGCAGCAGCAACAGCTGCAAACAGCATTATCGCATTTACCGACCCCACCGCAACAACAGCAACAATTGCAGGCACCTCCTCAGCAACAACAACCTCCACAGCAGTTGCAGCAGCAGCATCCAGTTGCACCAGAAAAGAAAAATCCCATAGTTATCACCATTAACATCGAGCTCGAAACCGGCAATAAAATACCTGTGGCGCTTCGTATGTACGACGATCCCCTAGTAGTAGCGCAACAGTTCAGCTATGCGAATGCCATCCATGACCCCAACGTTACAAATGCTTTGCATGAACTTTTTAGTAAACAGCAAAAACAGGCCATCCAAAAACGAAATGTAAATAAGCACATAAAATAATAATAGCGAATTTGATACCATCTTTTTTACTACGCACACACTTACACACCAATAAACCAGAGCATTTGAAATCACACAGCATCCCTCCTTCCTTTTTTCTTTTCCCGCACTTAAACACGCATATATACCGTAACAAATGACGCGTGAATACTTGTCGGCTTGTTATGGCGATGAAGGATCTCGGTAATGTCCTTTCAAAATGCACCTGAACACAATTGGTTTGCTTACGAATGAATACGGTGTGCGCGATCGGATCCTTAATATATAGCATCACACAAATTTTTGATCTTGCATTTGAATCGGATCGGGATCCCTGGGCACCACGATCTATATTAGTCACCGGCGATTCAGGTGTAGGTATGTTGTTTGTTTACACTTGAATCATGTTAGAAGATCGAGGATGTTACTGAGGGTTTGATAGCAAAGGTTTAACAGACAACTGCGCTACTGTTATTGTATTACCCAGGAAAGACGACAGTACTGAATATGTTGGCTGCAGAGCATCGACTAAAGGTACACATTTCAATGTTATTACTATTATCGACATTATACAACGTTTGAAAAATGAATAGGTTGTAATGAAGAAAGGAACATCCCTGCTCCTGTATAGACATGGCGGATATCGTTGGGTGAACTGGCAGCACAATATGATGGCAAGCTCGGTATAGGATTAGAACGCGTAGCATGGCAAGCCAGGGAAGAGTCCAAGGGCATCATTTGGATTGAGGATATAGACTTGTTTTGTCCACAGCGTGGTGAAGCACAGGATACGGGTTTTCTCCAATCATTACATCGTATCGTTCATGAGTTAGAAGGTGTACCTCATGTTGTTCTGGTAAAATTGATATTAGCTGACAGAGGAAAAAAAAAGAGATTTACCTATTTTTGAATTATATGATAACGAACATTTGTGATAGGTAGCAACAAGTCGCGATCCATCTACGATTGCCTTAGACGCTCGAAGTTTATTCGATGACATGGTGACATTACAGATACCCACACCAAGTGAACGTCTAGCACTTTTACGTTGCTTGGTAAAACCATTAGATTTGGCATCGAACGTTAATTTAGAGTTATTGAATGCACAAGCACATGCATTCGTTGCGGCTGATATGGCAAGATGGTGTCATCTTGCTCTCGAAACTGCTCGTTATGGTACATCGACACACAGCTCTTTACTCAATTATCCAGTGAAAAAGAAAACATAACGAGATCATTTTCTTATTCTGTTTATTACCGAATATAGGACAAATTACCTTGGCTGATTTTGAACAAGCCATAAAACGAATACGTGTCAGTGGAATTCAAATGGCAGAAAAACCAGAACCAGTGCAATGGGACGATATTGGTGGATTAGAAGAAACCAAGGTAAGATGTTAATACTACTTGCTTATGACCATAGACAGATTAATAAAAAAGGACGTTTATTTAGAAAGCACTTGAGGAATCAATACTTTGGGTGTACAAACACAGTGATGCTTACAAGCGATTGGGAGTGCGTCCACCACGAGGTGTTCTACTCTATGGTCCTCCAGGCACAGGCAAAACCATGCTAGCTAAAGCCATTGCTACTGAATCATCAGCCAATTTTTTACCTGTGAGCATACCGGATTTGATTAAGGGCGAGGTAGGCGAGTCGGAAAAGGCCATTGCAAATGTATTTAAAGTGGCAGCACGATGTAGTCCCTGTGTAATCTTTTTGGATGAACTTGAAGCTATTTTCGGTACGCGTGAAACAAGCGGTGATGTTGGTAAAAAGGTTGGTTAAATGCTTTAATGTGAAAGGAAAGAAGAGGCCTTTTTTTAATATAACATACCTGTGTTTCTTACTTGACAAACTTCCCTGCTTAATTTTTTCTAGTTGATCTCTCAATTCTTGATTGAAATCGATCACGTCGGAAAAGCGGATCAAGGAGTTCTGCTACTTGGTGCCACGAACCATCCAGATGCTATTGATCCTGCCATCTTACGACCTGGTACATAATTTAATCGGTTAAAGAGAAAACGAATTAGTATTAGTTAATCATATAATATATATAATAGGTCGACTGGATCGTATGATTTATGTGGGATTTCCGAATATGCAAGAGCGCATTGGTATCCTGAAAGTGCTCGAACGAAATACAGTGGTCAGTGGCAGCGTGGATTTGACATGGATTGCCGAAAACACGGAAGGTTACTCGGGAGCTGACCTCAAAGCTGTCATGCGAAAAGCTGGTCTTTTGGCTCTCAAGAAAAGCTTATCGCTATCGTCACAATCGGATGAATCGGTTACTATTGGACAACAGGATATACAAAATGCCATTCACGCTGTGACACCCTCATCTTACTCATCATCAGCATCCACAAGCCCATAATTGATTTATAACTCATCATCATATATATATGAAGCTCTTAATATCATCACATTAATAAAGCCCATCTGTTCACAGTCTATTGCTATATACTGATTAACGAACAATAAGAGCCCTCTTCCGCTTTTCTATAAATGAGGCAGAATACGTATCACTTTCGAATAACGAGGACATAAATTGTTGTTTAATTTGGTTTCTATTATAAGCTTTTATAAGCTTCATGAAGGCACAATCCTGTATTTTCGACAATGGAAAAGATGAGATCACCATGGCTTTGGTTAGGTGCGGGAATGGTACTCACTATAATTTCCTGGTCAAAACAGAACAAAGAAGATGCTGTATACGTTTGTCTTCTCTACATAACCAAAAAAGAAGTTCAAAGGCAGGTGCTAAGAGCTTATCTTCCATGTCACCAGGCCTCGCAACGAATTGTTCATGTAATGTTAGTAGCGGGCAGGCATGCGTTATTTTCGCATATTGATACTCAATATTGTGTTATTGGAGGTACGAGCATCCAATGGTAGAACCTCTCAAAAGGCAGACTTAGTAAAATACATCACCTTTGCGCACTTAACTCACACGTATTACTGATGAAGGTGCCAAAGGTGGCAAGACGGTCCTCCGGCCGCGCTTCTAACATGCGGACGTATGGCTGCCGGTTGTGATTTTGTCCAACTTTTCTTGAATCATCATGTGGATGCGTGTTGCAGGTGAGTTTGAGAACCTAGGATACTTTCTATAGTCAATATCGATCGGTAAAAGCCATACTAGTAAATCAATTCACTCACAGGCTCGTCAATACATGATATAAAGGCAAGTTATCAAAATCGGTTGCAGTAGGTGGAACATAGAGCTCAACTTCTTCCTTTCTAGCCTCAAAAGCGTGACAAGCCCAAATAAAGCCATCATAATGTAGATATGCATATCGTTATGAAAGAGAATTTCATATACCTGAAACTATTTGGTTACTGCTTCCTCCATCGTACTGGTTTGGGTACTCTAAGGAGCAAAGGGCTTGGTGTGCATACCCAGACTGGATTGTGTTTGAGCAACCTACGCTGTCAAGAAAAGCCGAGGAATATAAAGGCGCGTACTGGATATATGATACTATAGTGGAAAAGAGTCGCAGGACCAACAAGCATTAGTTGTCAGAGAGTTGAAGTCCGAACGTGATAGGCATCCCAGAACTTCCCCCCCCCCCACACCACTTGCGAGAAAACAGCGACAGCGCTTCAAGCGCCCTCAAGAACAAAAGACATTGTTAGTCAAATGGTTCTACCAGACAAAAGGCAATCAATCGTGCTCTAATTTTATCTACAGACAAAACTTGAAACGGGGGAGACTAAGAGAGTGAAGGTGGTATATAGAAATTTGTGTGCGCAGTTGTCGTTTATTGCTTCACGACAGCAAGCCTCAGACCCCGTACACCTTTATTTTATTGCTCGCTTAAGCGTTTTCTTACATGTGCATAAGTTCTTTGTCGTTATTACTGCCTCTGTTTACAATATAATGTTATCATATATAAAGTAACACATGATAACATTAAAACTGCTACCACGTTTGTAACTTGAATTTTTTTTTCGCTTGCTCGTGCAGAGCTTCTTTCATAAACTTTGCTTCTAGTGCATAGATCTTGATCCTTTATACACGTATGCTGTAAGCAGCACTGATTGAGACTCGTTAATCCTGGCGTATCGTAGTGGGAAATTTCTCAGTTAGTACAGACAACATGCACAGCCCACAAAAAAGCGTTTCATGTGACCATAAAATGATGCTGTTTGTTGTGTCAATTTGCCATCGAGCCATATTTCTGTTATCGCCACTAGTATTGCTATCACTACTATTGCTATCACTAGATGTAGATTGATCACTGAGGGACAAAGGCAGATTATGGAAAGGCATCGTCCTATTTTATTGTCATCAGATTGTACAGTGTCTTGCTAGTAAAGAACTGTTGCCCAACACAACTCGATGATTTTCTCATCGTGTTAGAAATTAGCGCAGGATGAGCAGACGCATTGTAACACAAGCAATTTACAACGTTGGTAACAACTTTGCTCTCCTTGTTCCCCACTCGGCCCTAGAACAGTTCACACGCATATGCGCACATCTGAGATAATTAGAGTGGCCGTGGTAAGGACCAACGATGCAAGTGTACCTGTCCTTGCTGTGATGAAGCCACGGTTACATCGAGTAGTAAGCGGTGGCAGAAGGGGTATGCTCTGGCAGCAATGGCAACAGAAAGAAGAGAAAGGAGTGGGGTGATAGGAGAGCCATTCGGCGGGAGAAGATCCGAACGGCATAAGACGAGTGGACGAGCTGTCCGAGCTTATAACGACGCGTGTTTGTTTTTTCACTCGTGGCACCTTCTTTTTTTGTACTATGATACTACAGTACAGTCGTGTACAGTAAATATCTTTCTTGCTGCTATCATACGTACAGTACGCTGCTGTGTGTGGACAATGAGTGACTCTTGTCTAGACGGACCCATTGAGCCGTGGTTCTACCAAAACATGAACCCCAAAAAGGGACGCACACAACAAAGAAAACGAGGGCCGAAAGGGACAAGGAAAGCAAAGGGAAAGCCATAACAAGAAGCGGGTTGGGATCCATAACAAGCGGCGGCAGCAACGTATATAAAAGAGAGGTTTCATGCAAACAGCTCGAGTCAGCTGAACCGCCAATTCCCACAAATAAGTTTTTCGAATTCTTCCCCACCTTTTTTGCGTTTTCTTCCATCCTCTCTCTCTCTTTACTCCTTGCTTCTCTTCACTACTACTACAAATCACTATGGCTGCGTTACTCCCTTCCTACATCCTGTCTGATACCGCATCCGAGTCGTCACTTGCCAGCTCCCCCACCACCCCTGCCTCCGAGTCTTGGCTTGATGACAGTCCCTCCGTTGACCTTGATTTCGTTGACCTGGAGGACACTTCCAAGAGCACGGATACCAAAGACAGCAGCAGACTCATTGACAAGACGCCGCTACTGTCGTCGTCATCGTCCGCGTCGTTGCTGCCACCCAAAGCTACGCCTCTTCCCTTACCCTGGTCCTCATGGCCAGCCACCACGTCCCCTACCTCGTTCTGGTCGTCGACCATCTGGAACAGCAACAATGGCAGCAGCAATAGCAACAGCATCGCAAATACAAGGGCACCATCACCACCACAGCAACAGCGACGGCGAACAGTAGTTATGCCGCCACAGCCATCACCACCCCAGGACAGTGGTTATTACACTGCTATGCGACGACAGTCGGACTTTTTTGACGGTTCCCGCCGACGGCTTTCTTCATCATCATCCGACAAAAAAGTCTGGATGGGTGCGACTAGTGCTGACGATTATTTTCTTTCAGAGCAATCACAGCAGCAGCGACCGTAAGTTTTTTAATTCCTTTTAATATAACGTCAGAATCACCCGATTCATTTAAAGAAATTATCGTGTTACTAGTAGTCTTCATGGTGCTCCAGCTGTTGCTCGCCCTCCCACGATTCCTACAACGTCCAGCATTACTCGGCAAAACGAACTGAGCCCTGAACTGTTACAACACATTGACGATTACTTTAGTCCTGTCCCTCGCCCCCTTCCAGTCACTGCTGCTGGAAACACTTTGCCACCATCCCCTCCGTCTTCCTTGCTCTCCACCAGTCCATGCCAGCCACCTGCGATTGGCGATGACACATACAGCATGGGCAAGGGGATACCCCTGCACCATCTTGCAACAACTGCAAAGCTATTCACCGTCGAACTGACCCCAGGTGCCAAGCCTGAAGTGTTTTACCTCGAGGACTACGCTGATGATCATGGAGAACAGCAGCAGGGCACTGGATCGACGGTACACGTTGGCGACCTGGCAATTGTGGAAGCGGATCGCGGTCATGATTTAGGCAGGGTCGTGGCGTCTAACCTTGCAGCGAACCTCTTCCCGCCGGATCTGGTGGTGCGTCGTCTGTATCGACTTGCAACGGAAGCGGAGATTGCCACGTTGCCTGCGAAGGTGCATGATGAGGCCAAGGCCTTGTTGGTGTGTCAATCCAAGATCAAGGAAAAGGACTTGCCCATGCAGGTGGTCAGTGCAGAATACCAGTGGTGTGTTTCTCTTTCTCTCGTTCGAATCGCTCACTCTAATCAAAGCTACAAGTCACTAACTAATGCGTGTGTTGTTCATTACTTGATGATAGGGACCGACGCAAGCTGACATTCCATTTTGTAGCAGAAGAACGAGTAGACTTTAGAGAACTTGTAAGGGAGCTGTTCAAATTGTACAAGACGCGCATTTGGATGTGTGCTGCAAAGCATCCACGCTGAATTCGAAACCCTTCTTCATAAGTATCTACCTTCCTACCTACCTACTTACCTACTTACTACTACGCAGTTATTATTACTACTACATCAATATCCCTTTGTTGTCCTTCTTTTTCCAATGCATCATCACTACTGCTGTATCACTCTTTGTACTGTACATATCAAATACACACACACACACACACACACACAACATGCTGTTGCTTTCTCATCACACAAAGGGCGTATTACGCAAAGCCACATTCTCGAATTTGAGGGGTGTAATTCATCCCGTTTCGGTCTTTTTTTTTGTAATCTTGTTTTTCGTTCATGCGACGTCTTTTTAATACTCTCTTTTATAAGCAACAGCAACGCACACGCCTTCAACTTTTCTCTTTCAATTATACCCCAACCATGGCAGCACCTTATCATACCAAAATCGTCCCAGTCAACCCGTTGCATTTTCAGTTTGAGCAAACAACACACGGCGACGACTTTGCCGAACAAAACGCCAAACCCGTCATTGCCGATCCAAAGGATCAAACGGCGATCGAAGAAGCAGCTCAACTGCTAACAGCCGGAGATGCTGTGGGCATACCTACCGAGACCGTGTATGGTTTGGCAGCCAATGCATTATCCGCTGATGCCGTTGCCAAAATCTTTGCTGCCAAAAACCGACCTCAAGACAATCCACTCATTGTCCATGTTTCTTCGCTTGCCATGCTGAAACGCATTCTACCCAACAATACGATCCCACCTGTCTATCAGCAAGTGATTAAGCACCATTGGCCCGGTCCGTTGACGATTATTGTTCCAACGAGCGATCTGATCCCAACTCAAATTACATGTGGCCAGCCCACCGTGGCTGTTCGGTTCCCTTCACACCCAGTCGCGCGTGCTCTTATTAACCAATGCGATTTCCCGCTTGCTGCGCCTTCTGCCAATTCGTCGGGTAAGCCTTCGACGACACTCGCAAGCCATGTATTTGACGATCTGAAGGGCCGCATCCCGTTGATTCTGGATGGTGGTCCTTGTAACGTGGGCGTGGAGAGCACGGTGTTGGATGGATTGCGGAATCCACCGGCGATTCTGAGACCAGGCGGCGTCACCTATGAGTCATTGAGTTCTTTACCCGGGATGGAAGGCCTGCAGGTGTATCGGAAGGATTTCATCGATCGTGCACTGGAACAAGCGCCTACAACACCCGGTATGAAGTATCGTCATTATTCGCCCGAGGCCAAGGTCATCTTGCTCGAGAATGCAGCGGACCCACATACATTTGAGCGACAGTGGAAGCAGGAATTAGAAAAGCAAGAGAAGCCTGTGCGTCGATTGGGATTGTTGGTCACTTCAAAAGATACACCATCAGTGGTCAATCATCAAGGCGTGGAATGTATCCCAGTGTTTATGGGTCGTGGCGAACATCCAGAAGAAGTGGCACGAGGCGTTTTCAAAGGCCTGCGTGACCTCGACACGCAGAATGTGGATCTGATCTTTGTACAGGGCATACCAGAGACAGCGGAAGGTATGGCTGTCATGAATCGACTACGTAAAGCCGCCTCAAAAGTCATAGAACTGTAAATAGAATTTGTTCTTTTCTTCCTTCCTTATTTTTGCTCTTGTACCATATATTTTCTATTGACTACTATCTTCCCCACCCCCCACTCCTTCGCCCAAGAATACATTAACCCTTTCTTTGTATACACAGCCTTATTATTCAATCTATTCTTAATACATACATTGCACATGCTATATAAAAGAAAAACAACCTTTGCTTCTAAGATCTGTGTATATGTACATATAGGAGCTCTTTAGTAAAATGTAAAGTTAGATCGATGAAATCAGAGGACGGTACTAGTACGAGCCACAAACTGCGTCAATTAAACCAAGCTGTCGAGGCAGGGCTCTGACGCAGTCCTGCAAAGCTCCAGGAGCATTTCATAATGTTATAACAACACACATGGTACCGAAGTGTTATTTCACCTCCTTGTTGATGATATAGCTTGAATCGGTTCAGTGTCAACGAGTTCCATCGACCATACAGCATGTGCCACGAATACATGTCCGTTTTTGAGCAATTCGTGTACCAGCTTGCTTACGAACTGTAAGAAGGCGCTTCGATGCATTGTTTACTCGATCAACTTTTCAAAAAGGCTCATATCTCTGAAGCAGAAGCTACTTCCGTTAGCTCTGTAACGCCCTCCTTCAGGCGTCTGAACTCTTCAGCATAGCCGAGAGATCGCCAAAGCCTCAAACAAGTTTATCCAGGAGAAGACGCCAAGTGAACTTCTTGTCCTAAATGAGAATCATATTGCTAATACTTGATACATTAGGAACGAAGTATGACATATTTAAAAAAAAGAGGCTTGTATTTGTTTCTCGTTCCTTCTCTTTCCCTCTCCTTCATTAAAATGAACAACAGTGAATCCCTACAGTATGCGCACTTCCAGCTAACATTACTCACAGTTAGCAAACTCATATTTTTTTTTCTTATTCGCCTCTTACCCAGCTCGCCCACTGTGGGAATATGGAGAATTGGAATTTGAGAATGAGAAAAACCATTTGTGGAGTTGAGTAAAGGATAATTGTAGAGGATCGCTACACGCGCTGCAAATTTCATTCCATATACCGGAGTTTGTTCTCCATCGACATTGACTGCTTTGCAGACGATCACAGTGGCAACTATATTGTTCGTTGCAACTGTCTCCAATGTGCAATCTGGAACAAAATTGATGATCTCGCAGCAAATCTGAGCATATATCATCTTCTTGAACGAGCCCTTGAGCTCCCTCCTCGCTTCGCATGAAGAAGTCTTACATCAATATCAAACATGTACATACAAGTTTAACGGGTGAAAAGTTAAAAGAAACAATTTTTATTTGGTACAATTAACTACTAATTACTAATAGGGTGTCGATGTCTTAGCTTCTCTGCTCTTAAGCAGATACTGACAGGAGCAACCACTGGAAGGTGCATCGACATCTGCTCCCGTAACCCTCTCACCACAAAGCTAGGGTCTTGTCTTGGTCGCTTTGTGGATCACGGAAGGTCGATTGGTATTGAGATGCCCAGTCCGGTCTCACCAATCGCGATCACTTACCTACCTATTTATACAGTAAGTCGCTCCGTGTCAAAACAAGCATCAGCACCCACCCCTACACTTATCTACCCTCACTCACACTCACTCACATTCACACACACAGAAAAAAAGGAAGGGACTTACCATACGTGATCAAAAAGAGAAGAGAAAAAGCGATGAGTCTAGCCTTGAGAGTCGATGTTGAGAGTCGATTGCCGAGAGTCGATTGCCGAGAGTCGATTGCCGAGAGTCGATTGCCGAGAGTCGATTGCCGAGAGTCGATTGCCGAGAATCGATTGCCGAGAGTCGAACGCGATCCCCAGTGTCACCCTTGGCTCTTCCCTTGGTCCTGGTGTTGCCTCCGTTGCGCCTGTCCAACCCTTATTTCCGGTAATCCTGGCTGCCTCCAACTGGTCCCTGCTTGGTTTGTCCAGTCTCGCGTTCAACGGTGTTGGTCACAACCGGTCTCCTAGTGGACCAGAGGACGGAGGAATCCTTTTCGGTTTCTCGCCATAGAAATATGGTAGTGTCCTTTTGGTTGGATGCCTTGTTCTCCCGGTCTGGTCTACTATGGTGGGAAAAACCTAACTTATACAGTAAGTCGCTCCGTGTCAAAACAAGCATCAGCACCCACCCCTACACTTACCTACCCTCACTCACACTCACTCACATTCACACACACAGAAATAAAGGAAGGGACTTACCATACGTGATCGAAAAGAGAAGAGAAAAAGCGATGAGTCTAGCCTTGAGAGTCGATGTTGAGAGTCGATTGCCGAGAGTCGATTGCCGAGAGTCGATTGCCGAGAGTCGATGTTGAGAGTCGATTGCCGAGAGTCGATTGCCGAGAGTCGATTGCCGAGAGTCGATTGCCGAGAGTCGAACGCGATCCCCACCATAGTAGACCAGACCGGGAGACAAGGCATCCAACCAAAAAGGACACTACCATATTTCTATGGCGAGAAACCGAAAAAGGATTCCTCCGTCCTCTGGTCTCACTAGGAGACCGGTTGTGACCAACACCGTTGAACGCGAGACTGGACAAACCAAAGCAGGGACCAGTTGAGGCAGCCAGGATTACCGGAAGTAAGGGTTGGACAGGCGCAACGGAGGCAACACCAGGACCAAGGGAAGAGCCAAGGGAAGAGCCAAGAGAAAGACCAGGAGGAACCAAGGGAGTGAAGGAAAAAAGAAAAATGAAGGAAAGAAAGAGTGAAGAGAAAAAACGAAATGGCCTGAAAAATGTGGGCGTATTTATATCTTTTGGTATCATCAACCCCTGCAATTCATGGAAAGCAGTGCGCAGCGCACACACGCCCACATGATCATGATAGACTGGCAACTTGCGGTCCAGGCTGTTCAAGGACTCCCTAATACCATTTCCTGAACTTGCTGTTTCATGCTGCTGCTAGCCTTGTCGCGTAAACGAGTCTCGCGTTCAGCGTGGCGTGCACTATAATATATCAGAAATGCCATTTTTTGAAAGAGGTGTGTTTCAAAATATTGTAACGGCTTGACGTTTGGATGATATCAACACACCCTCTCCTTTTCTTCAACGATGCTGATGCTCGGCAGAAAAGAAAAGGGGATGTTTTGCTCGCACAAGGCACCATAAGGTCCAGCCTACGATTTTCACATGAGAGACTCCCAGCACTCCGTCTCCCAAGTAGACATCGATTCTCACGCAATTATCGGTTGCCGATCCTCCAAGCCCGCAATGATGGATGTGGACAGCTTAAACTAAACTGTCAAGGGCAGACTATAGAGCAGCATGGCTGTTTTCAGCATAGTATGCGCGTCATCCTAAAACTACTATTATCGATACAGGCTGCTTCTTCAGGTTGATAGTGCTGTTGGGTTTGCTCATTTTCTCATCCACCTCCCTTAGCAGTAGCGACACAAAGCCAATCAGACGTGGTGATTACTTCCTCGGCGTGTGTACGGGTGATGTATGATACATGTGAAAAAAAAACAAAACAAAACAAAAAACAGGTTTCGGCTGGAACCCTCCGAAAAAAAATTTTCCTTTCGATTATTTTTGCGAACAAACTACGCGAAGATAGAAACAAGAAAAAATAGGTGAAAAACGCGTACCAAAGTGTGGTAAAGCGCGTTGTAATAGTGTTACATACTGTCGCTACGATACAGAAGATCTGTCATTGTTCCCCGCGTTGTTGGCACGGACCTGTGGATGGGAGTGGGGGTACTTTTTTTTTTTTTCAAAAGAAGCGGGGTCTTGAACGTGTGCATGAAAAGGCACCCATTTTCCGCAGCGTGCTGCTTCCTCGCTTTTTCTCGATCACATGTGGTAAGTCCCTTCCTTTTTTTTCAGTGTGTGTGAGTGTGAGTGAGGGTAGGTAAGCGCAAGGGTGGGTGCTGATGCTTGTTTTGTAGGCACGGGGCGACTTCTAAGTAGGTAAGTGGATTGGTGAGACCGCTGGCATCTCAATACCGATCGGACCCTCCGAGATCCATAAAGCGACCAAGACAGAACCCAGCTTTGTGGTAGAGGGTTCGGGAGCAGATGCCGATGCACCTTCCCGGAAAGCTAAGACATCGACACTCTCGTTTTTGGACGAGCCTCTTTAGGAATTTGACCAATTTAAATAAAGGCCTTGTTGTTGTTGTCCCCCGTCTATCAAACATGTGCTGTTTGTTATTGTATTAGCAATACTTATCAAGTAAAAGGAAAAACACAAGGACGAAGCTGATCTTTAAAGCAAACTTCCTTGTAAACGGATTTTCTATACTGTCCCTCGTCTTTAAAAGTATCAATAACCGAAAACCAGCTAGCATTGACAAAAAAAAAACTTTGCTGGCATAGCAAGCATGAGTTGGTGGGATCGAATGACAGCCCAGCGAGTACTCGTACAACGAGGATCATAAGAACAAGGGAAGTTGTTAGCTGTGCAATGTCAATATAAGTTGTCGAGGGAATTATTCATTAGCTTGATAGTCCACTCTAGCTTTTCCTAGCGATATTATCCAAAAACGAGCATGAAGATCGTAGTCAAATCCAACGTTAAGTACCGTGATTATTATCCTTGAGTGCATATAGCTGACTTTGCCGGACCAACCGATGGCATAAAGCGTATGTATAGCTCAGGTGATGCAGGTATCAGCAACATTACTACATCGTGGTATCCTAAATTTACAACACTAACAGAAAACTCCTTCACGTAAAGCGAGCTTGACGAGTGACCGTCTAAACCAACTCTACCTAACGCACGACGCGTGTAATATAATAGACTCTCTTCTATATCTCCTATAAACTACAAAGGTATTGTTCCCGCAAACGGATAGTACCTCTAACACAACGTCATTCACGAATCGGATATGCCATAAGGAGAAGAAATCGTCAAGATTTCTATCGGAATGATCTATGTGATACATGAATATACTACTACTGCCTGTCATTAGTATAACACGAATTATTCACACGCCGGCCGGGAATGATGCCAGTTGTAAAATATCGCAAATTAACTGACAGAAATCAGTCGCGATTCACGCGAGATAAAAAGTTCATTCGTTGCCACAGAAACCAAATCTCCACTGCAGCCAGCACCACTGCCAAAATCACTGGTGCCAAGTCAAAGAGACAACAAGACCGCTTAGTTCAACAGAACAGATCAGTAACACTTGGATTCTGTTATTATGTAACAAACGTTTGTCACAATCGATCGAGAAACAACACCCGCAAAAGAAACATAGTATTGTAGCATACATAAAATAAATGTTCATGTCTCCTCAATAACATGCATGTCAGAGAGAGGCAGACACACGATGATTACCGCGTATGTTTGTTGTTGATGATCGATGTTGGTTATCTCTGTGGTTATTTGTATCGTTAGGATATGCTAGAGTATTATCGAAAATGTCCGTCTCCACGATATGTCAGGTACTACCTATTTTCTGCAGAAATCATCTTCTTCTGCCTGTTTCTGTCTCTCTTCACATGCCACATTTTCTAACATTATGCGATCAATGACGATTTCGCAACCTTACCCACAAAGTCCGACTTGCCAAAAAGAAAGCAGCCGGTAGCAAAACAGAGATACAGCAGAATCATGTAGAACGAGAAAGAAGAGAAGAAACGGTAACTTCCTTTTGTGGTAGTGCCCTTGATCACCATTGTCGTCATGAGGGCTGAAATATGTGTGTGCCCTGTGCCCCAAATGGGTAGGACAGAAAACCCTGCTGTGTTGCTCGTGTGTGTGTGTGTAGCAATCCACAATATGATATGCGTACTATTAGCAGAGAAGATTATAGTTTGTGAAAAGCTGTCTAATCTTAAAATGCAGGAATCATAGGAGACGCTGAAAAATCCCGTAGACTTCTGTCGGTAAACCATTTATCCGAGCGAAAAAAAACATGATATTTTACTTAGATTTCGAAAAACAGCAATAGAGAGGTATATTGTCAGTTATTTATAAGTAAGAGATGTATAGAATACATGATGAGAATCATTCTATTGCTAAATATCAATCTACATATGATAATTATGGGATCCTAGTCTATAATACATTGCTCAGGAGTTTGAATGCTTATTATTGCTCTTAATATAGACTACTACGCATACATATTATGACAGAGACACATGGCGGTCTTCTTATTCGATATCTTTAACGCCACAAGAATAGCACTTTATATAATGCTCGATATGTATGCTGTCAACATAAGTTATCGACAAGCTTCTGCCACAGTAGGTGGTCTTTCCTTCTGTAATCCCTCGTGTCTTCTGTTTCTTATCTTTGCCATGACAATTTACCGCCATTCTGTTGCTGATCATATTTCAACTTCGAGCCGCTGCGAATAATCCGTAGAAACCATTATTATCCCATATTAAGCAACCCGATTTGCAGGCTGTAATGTAGAAAAAGGGTGGTAGACCTGCTCGTCGCCTTTCTCATAACAGCGACAAACGGATTCGTGCACTGAGAGCTTCTTCTGGAATAATATTGTGTCACAAGCTTTTGGAAGCAGTGAAAACAATGCGGAAATCTTAATTAGACAGTGATTCGACCAGAAGAATTTGCAGTCGCTTTGCGCAACAACCCAGAGTGGTCTCGCTGATTCGTCGCGATGTTCTGTTTATGCTCATTCCTGATTTAAAAAGTCGAACAGCAATCACTTCGCCTTAAGGGCGTGGCCGATAAAAAGATCACACGCTTAAATGTGGCACCTCTCCCTATAAACAACCGCTCCTAGTTAATATATACATATTTATAATAACACGTTTCGCAATATCTATCATCACAGTGCCATAAAATACATTACCTTAGATATCTTGCATCTCCTACAGTTTCCTCGTTTGCAAATTCAAGGTGCGATGTATTCCTTTGAGGAAAGCTGTGCTTTCTGCAGATGGCTATATATGTGGCCTTAGGAATACAGCTTATTTTTTAGCTTAAAAAACAGCTCGTACGGGGCGGTGCAGTAGTCGTTTACAACAAAACGAGAGCCAGTTTTCCTTGGGAAACGGCTATTGTTTGTCACTTTTCATACGTTTATAAGGTATCATCTGTCATCATTTTTATAACAGGTTACCAAAGGTTTACTGTAACTCTTAAACCTTTTATTCCGGGCCAAATGTACACAAAGGCATAAAATATCGTTAGCGCAGCAACATCGTCAATTACCATTGCTTAGCAAAACCACTTGTTAGATATCGTATATGATTACCCTGGTGTCTAAATCATACCGCACACAGTACGAGGGATAGTGGGCACTCAATGTTCGCAAAGGAGTGATCATCTGAAACACCTTGGCAGGCAGTGGCAAGCAGTGCTAGGTTAATACATCAGGTAAACCCAATCAGTCGAAATGTGTGGATCTACTGTAGTGATTATCCAACCCCATCCAAATGTTGTTTATTTCCTCTCTCATTCTTTGAACATTGACGATTATCGCATTTTAATTACTATATACAGTTTGCTTTACAATTCAATGACAAGTTTGCCCTGCTGATGTCCATTGCTAGAGAGTGATAAGCAAAGAAAATATTAGGTCCTAGCTTCGTGGTAATACACATATGCTCACAGTAGTAAGAAGAAAAAGAGAGAAACTTACGCCATGTAATCAAGCGCACCATCGACAGATTCTTCGGTCAAACCCTTCCACACCTTGGAGACCAGGGGTTTAATCTTGTGCTTGTCGACAAATGCCACCATCTCGTGAAACTCTCGTCGTGAACCCATGGTAGAGCCGCGGAGGTCCACGTTCTGGAAGACGTGTATCATTGTAAAGCATATGCCTCCTTTGTCTGTCGTAGTCATGGAGTTGCCACTCTTATCAGAAGTTTGGCCATAGTTGACCATCTTGGCACCGCTGGCCAAAACCTTGGGTAACTCGGCGTAAATAGGGCCACCAGCACCATCCACGACGGTTCGAATCTTACCACCGTTCAACTGTTTCTGCAAGTCATCGATACATTTGGCTGTATACATTCGTTAGCGAAACCATTGTTGACTATGCAAATAAGGCATTTCCACTCTTTGCAGCGATAGATAATGATGATTACTTACGATCCTTATAATTGACACCACCCTTGGCGCCCAATTTTTTGGCAAATTCAATCTTTTCAGCGCTGGACGAAGTGACATAGACGTTCATACCTTCAGCGACAGCGAATTGCAGGGCATATACGGCAACACCGCCACCAATGCCGGTAATCAAAACATTGTCGCCTGTCTTGGCACAACCCTTGTCAAAAAGAGCACGGTACGCGGTTAAACCGGCCAAAGGTAAAGCAGCGGCTTCGGCTGTCGACAAATGTTCGGGGCAGGGTGCCAAATCGGCTTCCTCGACTGTGATCTCGTTTGCAAATGTGCCAATAGCTGGAAGCAAGCCGAGGATATAGTAGTCATTCTCTGGTCCTCGAGGATCAGAGTCCCATCCGATACCGGGACAGACGAGAACGCGTTGACCGACGTTTTTGCCCTTCTTGACAGTACCTACGCCATCGGAACCAAGAACGGAGCCAGCAATTATGGGGAGTGGATAGAAACCTTTCATGATCCAGACATCACTATTAGTTTAACATGTTTAGTCAGTAAAATTTGACTTTTTTTCCCGGCGCATGAATTAATAAAATGATGTAGCTTTTGTTACCGATGATTGAAAGCAACACCTTGCATTTCCACAAGAGCTTCATTTGACTTGGGCGTTTCCACTTGCTTATCGATCACATCAAAGCCAAACTTGCTGTCTTTGGCATTGGGACGAGGTTTATCAGTAAGAACGACAGCAACCATCTTTGATGTTGTTGTATTCAAGTGAGTATATGTGAAGGAAAGAGTAAAGGAAGTGTATGATCCATTTCTCCCCAAACAATCCATGAGATAAAAACGATTCAAAAAACCCATGTATAAAATGTTGACCATGTTATCGGATGTTCAGACCGTATTATAGTGATATAATATTTTAGTAATAATATTATAAACTGTTATGCTATACTTTAAATCGACAACTTTTTCGATTGCAGAGATATTACGGAATAAGAATAGGTATAAAAAAAAGACTAAATAGGGGAAAAAACGAGAAGTCTGAGCGTGTTCTTTGCATTCGTTGAGGGTGGTGGGTGCCAGGGGGGGTTAGGTGGGTATGTATATAGTAGTGTATATATAATATTTATATAAATATATATTCAGAAAGGAAGAGAGCTAGAGCGGTGTGCGATAAGTGTGTATACAATATGTGAGTAGTGGTGATATAAGAAGGATGGTTATAGAGAAAGTCGTGTGTGTGTAAGCGCCTGCGGGTATTATACCATTTCATCGTTACTCGAAACCTTACGCGGTTCGCGGTGAAACGGGGGTAACGGCGACCGTCTTCGTATTGAGATCAGTGACTCCGCGCACAAGAAAAGCACCTGCCAGATGCGCACGAAGTAAAGCAAGAACCCAAAGAAGCTTGCCTTGCTACTCGCTAATTCTTCTGCCAACTCAAAGGCTTCCAACACAGCATTGGCCAATCGATCTGATGAGCGCAAAATCGGATATTGAAGTAATCGTTGTGCTAGATCGTTCTTGTTCTCTCGTTGTTGCTGTCGAAGATGCTGATGTGACAATAAACGTTGTTGGTGTTGGTAGTGATGACGATGGAGACTTCTTTCTGCAACAGTACTTCCATAGGATGAAGCTGTTGTGGTGGTCGCTGCCGTTGCAGGCGGTGGAAGATGCGCTGGTGTAGTGGATGGAGGTGGTAGTGGAATGATATCGGCTAATGATTGATATGATAAGACAGTGGTGCATTCTTCCGCAACGTCGTGGATCGACAGGTCCTTTTCGATGCTGCTGGTGTAATCTTCGGGGTTTATTCGTATTGTTTCTTTGCCCTTTTCCCCGTTGTTGCATAAGGGTTTGGGCGATGGCTGCTCCTCTACTGTTTGGTCTTCTTCTTCCTCCTCTTCCCCCTCTACTGGTTCTCCGAATTGTTTTGAGACGTGGCCATCCATCGTTGGAGGCTCATTATCCATCAACGTTTCATGACGGTTGGAATAACTATTAGCGTTATCATTCGTTTCGTTGCAGATGTTGTTGTTATTGTTGTTATTGTTATCAAGGTCGTCATCGTCATCGTCGTGATGTTCCATGATGGTCGATGGCGGCGGAGGATTACCAGCACGGTACCAATTCACCAAATCAATCTAAAACAATAACAACAAATACATGATTTAGAAAGAAACAGCTTCACATTACGCAAACATTACGCTTATTGTTTTTCTATCCCTTATTTCTCCACATTTTTCAATGTAACTTGCCTGATGATGATGAAGCTGAAGATCAGGGGCTGTCGGAGCCGATGCTGCTGACACGACTTGATGATGATGATGATGATGGTGTTGATTCTCGTTGTCGTTGTCGTCGTCGACTTCATCATCATCATTATCTTCATCTTCATCATCCATGATGCTAGGATGCTGTTGTCGCATCCATGCATTTTCATCCATGACTTCAGGCGCAGGCGCAGTCATAACCATCACGCCATCATCGGCCATACTCAACGGCTGTTGCTCCTCCCAATCAAACTCCATTTCCTGCGGCACCAATTGCGGCGTGAACATAAAATCGTCCCCTTGCAAAAACACCATGGATTGAGCGTTGGGAATGCCCAATAGGATCTGTTGCGACTTGGAATACATGCTGTGCAAGTGCCAGCTTTCCAAGAATGACCGTCGATGATACCCTTGTTTAGCGAACTTTTGCATCGTTGCATAGAAAATACGGGTTGCGGTTTCGTAGGTTGCATCCATCGTGACGTTGTTGTGGTATTCGTCCAAGACGTCGTCGTCTTCGCCTATGCATGGTTCCATAAGAGGAGGTGGTAATTGTGGCGGCGGAGCTGGAGGTGGTGGCATTTGCTGTTGTTGGTGTTGGTCATGGTAGGCATGGTGGTCGTCGTGGTGTTCGTCATGTTGATGGAGAAAGAAGAAATTGTCACCTGCAGTGTGGAAATATCCGTTGTCATGGCGATTCAGCTGTTGCGGGTGGTGATGGTGGTGGTGGTGTTGCTGCTCGTCGGCGGAAAGAGACCATTCGGGGATTCCTGTGGATTCAGGGATGGGTGTGGAAGGAACATGCAGCATATACAGCAAGAATCCTTCTAGGAGAAATAGAAAAGAAGTAAAGACCAAAAAAAAAGTTGCGTGAGAAGCGAGAGCGCTTGAAAGAGAGGGACAGGGAAAAGAGCAAAAGGGAAGAGGAAAGTTGCAAACTCGCCGTCTTCTTAGCGTGGCTGGGTGGCAAACAGCTGGAAAGAAAAGGGAATGGGGGGGATGACGCTTCACTCTCACTCTCGCTTACACCATCAACCGCGTATTCTTTTATTCTCTTGGGTTCCCCAAACGTTAAGTACACGGCTGATGTAAGAGAAAAGGAACACTAGTTTCTTTTTGTGGAACTACCATCTCCTTCTCGTTTCAAAAGCGACACAAAATAGCTGACGTACTATACTTTTTCTTTGGGGGGCAGTGGTGCAGTATGGGCTATGCGATAGCACACAGGTGGTTCTGCACCAACATACCATGTTACTTCTCATCCTCACGTATTTAGATTGGTTCTATGCGACATACTTTGGAGATTGCATTACAGGTACAACAACAACAACAACAAACGATCTCCATACGCGGCTATATTAACATTTGGCTATTTTCATATTACATACTTGCACAAAATAGGCACGCTCGCAGATCTGATCTCACATCCTGTTCTGTTACCAGTGTGTTGTTTTCTTTAACGTTACGCTGGCCATGTTTTTCCTTCGCGCATCATGTTGTTTTGAATCTTGACATTCTTGATATGATACATTGGTACTACAACAACAACAACAGTATACCTTGCATACTCCTGCTCGCCTCTTTGTATTCTTGTCACCGTGTTGTTGTCGCATATAGCACGGTGTTCCTGAAACATTAATAGACCATGAATGTATTAATACAGTACAACTGAACACGTCGCACATTTTTATTCCGTCGTCATTATAGCATCGTTTCCTACTTAGCCCCCTTTTCCCCAAAAATAATAAGAACCGTAATCGTTCCTAATAAATCATATATTTTAGACCTCTCTGTGAATGTACACTTGTTAGGGGATTATCATTGGATAAAGTTGTTATTGTGTTGCTGCCATTATAAAGAAGATACACTAAGTGTGCGAATACAAATGTGTAACGTAGCATGTTTGTACATTGATTACAATAACATTACTATTAATGTTGTTAGATACCACATACATACTGTTACGAAAAGGCGATGGGGTTTGCAAATGGTGTATAACATAAAGTTGCTTGGTTTAGCAACGACGGCTTTACAGGTACGGTACACACGCACACAAACTGGATTTTGTTACTGTATCACCGTACGCGTGATACATCATTTTTCCGGAGACCCCTTCGTCTCCAGTATACTTCTTTTTTAGAGCGAAACGCATGGCCCTGGCTTATAATAAACGGATAGTAGCAACCTGTGTACGACATAGTATGACGATAGCTTTTGGCTGTTTATCTGCTTAATAAGTTTAATAGTAGCGCCTTCTGTTATTGCATACATCATCATCATCATGATATTTGAATCGCACCTCTTGTGATGTACTGCTGCTGCCGCTGCTGCTCATACTGCTTGATCAGTTTAATGAACATTCAGAAGTATGTCTCTATTATACACGTATAAAGCTCAAATTTTCGCTTTACTGTTACTATCTCTACGTGCATAGGAATGATGACCATGCAGCACTATCAGCATTTTTTTGAATGTATCTTTGTATGAGTGATTTAACAACAAATCAATTATTAGTATATGCTATGCGGATCAGGCAAAAACGCATATTTAGAGCTCCTGTTGTTATTGTTTACTATATATGGACATTCTTTTATACATACAGTTGATAATATTGGCTGTCGTCATGAGACCTTGTGTTCTTATCTTGAACTATTTTAAACGTTGTTCGTATCATTTTATCGCAACACTTTGTATTTCCGCTTCAAAGGGCATCAAGAGCAAGACCAGAAAAAGGTTTAATGACATCCTGTGCAATATAAACATTGGCGGCTATGGGAAAACGCGTGCTAAATGAAAAAAAAATGACAGTCTCCTAGCATTGTATAACTGAAAAAAAGAGACGGCAGTTTCTATGCAAGCGTAGTGGTGGTAGGAGAGATCCCAAAGTTTCTTTCAGCGAGTCTTCTTTTATGGCACATAGTGGGATACCGTGATGGTGCTATCAAAAGCCGACTTACAACTGCGCAATCAATGACAAAGCGTTACATGAGTCCACATAACAAGGACAGCCAACTCGCTTACCAAAAGAGTGAAAGAAAAAATTACGAGGGGCCCTTTTCCGTTTCTTTATATATTTAACACAGCAATTTGAGTTAAATACCACGATTGTTAGGAGCGCCACCACGCAAGCCCTGAAAACATGACGTCTTTTCAGGTCTGCGTTTTGACTTGGGTGAGTCCCTGAAAATAAGAATGTGAAAGTAAAAGAAAATGTAAGAGATGACATGTAACGACCCTACTCTTTCTATAATAGAGAGTGAAGAAGCCGCGATATGGTTTTGGATACTATAGCATCCTCTTTTCCATTCCATCAGCCTTTCATATGGTAGCTTATACTTGTTGACGTCCCAAGTACTTGTCGAATCTACCATAGTGATGTTTAGAGGTGTTATATTCTGGAGAGCATATGCCACTGATGCAAAGCAATAGTAGTACATAGTGTTGATACGATGAAAACCCCAACATCGATTACTTTTGAAATGTTGGAGCGTATACAACCTATTTCATCACTATTTAAACACAATGTTATCAGAAAGAGCTCATGAATATCATATTAATACAATAATTCTATTCTTAAGTGTAATGGTAATAATAAATCTACAAGATAAAGGCAACAGCTATGCACAAACTGGCGAAGTAGTTTGTTGTTTTATTTCGTTATTTCTATAACAAGTCTGTATGAGCTTCAAGAAGGAAGTCTACAGTCTTGCATTTCCGATGTTGGAAAAGTTGAGGTTACCACGGATTTGGTTAGGTACGGGAATGGTACTCACCATAAATACATGGCTAAGCAGAGCAAAAAAGGTACACCTTTGTCGCCTACAACCAAAAAAAAACTCCAAGAGCAAGTGCTAAGAGCTTATTACCTTTCATGCCAGCAAATCTCACAAGGAATTACATTATTCATTTCAGAATATTGTTACATGATGTTAGTAACGGGGAGGTATGCGTTATCATCACACTGATACTTATTACTTGTGGTGTTGGAGGCATGAGCATTCGTGGTGAAACCTGTCAAAAGGCAAACTTAGTAAGACTCATCACCTTTGCGCACTTAACTTATACGCACCATTGATGAAGATGCCAAAGGTGGCAAGATCGTCCTCTGACCGACCTTACAACATGCAGACGTGTAGCTGTCGCTTGTAAATTTCTGTGATTCTAGCTCTGACTCTTTCGACAAGAGTAATGGGGGGTTCGGGAGGCTTAATACCTCCGTTGTCCAACTCAAGAACCCCACTTTCAGCACATGCAAACAGAATGGCGATTATTGTTGTATCCGACGGAAAGGTGGTGGTTAGGAAGAGCCACAAGAGGGATAAAGATAAAGAGCAAAATTCTACGGGCCCACAGTACGTTTATGGGTTGCAGCGTGTAGTACAGCTTGAATGATGTGACAAACAATAGTTTTGTGCTAATTGTTCATGTATATATTACGCTTTTTTAAATCAAGTAGCATTCTTTCGATGCAATATCTCAGAAAGATGTAAGATAAGATTAACGTGTCGTTGTCCCCAATACTGGGATTGAACAGACGCATGGTGCATTCTATCTGCGGTCATGCGTGTAAAAATTGCTCATATGCTACACGCGTTTGTGAAATATTTTTACTTTTTCATCCTCCTCATCACCAGTACCCAACACACCCAAACTTTTCTCTGTGGTGCCATCATAACCAATACAATTGTTTTTCTTCGCGGCTGGTGGCGGCAGACAGTCAAACAGGGCTCTTTCAGTGGATAGGGTTAGTAGCATATTGGAACAACTGCATGGGTGTGGCATCCACAGCTCGGCGAGAGGAGCATGGTATCAGAATCACAGACGTAGATATCCCTTCTCCTGATTCTGGTGGCAAGAGTATGTACAGATATCCATAGCATTATCACAACAACACAGCAATATCATCAATATAATCACACAGATCCTATATGAATAATTTCTCTTATTGTTCTTATTATGTAGAAAATTAATAATGCTGTTTGCGGCGGCTACCTAAAAGACAGATGTACTATTTACAGTAGCACAACATGGATCATATTCTGCTTGCCCCGTTCGCTTGAATCTTCCCAAATACATCTTTAATGCTGCTGCAACTTAAAATGACGGTAAGCTTTTTCTCTGGCTTAGTTCTTATACATATATGCAGTGTTTTTTTATATATTAGCAGCCGACTTAGTGTGTACTTGCCCTGTATGTGGCACATTCTCAACAGTCAAAGCCATCCAGTACATATCATTATGAGTGTATGAGATCATCTATTGTGTGCTTGACACCAACCAGACGGCATCTTACTGTTATATAGAACCGCTTGCATTATGCAGGCTCTAGTCAAGTATTTTGTAGCGATGGGGGTGGGGGGGGGGTACAAAAGGGAAAAGCGAGTCAAAATTCAAGCGCGCCACCTCTATTGAATCAAACGGGGCCTGCTGGCGGTGTTGGTTTATATAACGCGGCATACTCTTTTTCTCTTTCTCTTTCTGTTCAGGTTTGACTGCCTGTCTTTTCTGAATCCTCCCCTTTCTTTTTTTCCAACTTTTCGACAATAATGAAAAGCCAACATATCGCCGTATTACCTAACGATTGGCTCGAATACTTGGGAAGCCATCGCATTTTCGAGCTAACGGCCGCCGAATCAGCACAAGCCGCACACACCTTTGATCGCGCCAATCAGTTCGATTCGTTTGCGCAGCAGTATGATACGCGTGTCATTGTTCTACGAGGCAACGATCTGATTGTTGCCGTTGGATCTCAACTGCGTTTACTCGATTTGAACGAAGTCAAAGATGCATGGATCAACATTGCGCCTCAGTTTATTGATGCTGGTAAAACTGATACAAAATGGTTGCTTGAAATTCCGTACAAGGTATAAAGCTCGGTAAAAACTTTAAAGAACAAGAATTATAAGGAAATGGTACCCATTCTAAACTGTTGTTGCTTGAATTTGCGTGTGTGAAATCTAATGTTCTAGACTTTGGCGACTCCTACAATTGATTTCAGAATTGAATCACTCATTGTCAACAGCACCGGTACCTTACTTGCTGTGTGCGGACAGCAACGACTTTCGATCGTCTGTTTGCCTCCGTCTGGCTTTTCCCCTACGACTACCTATTCGCCTGAAGGTCATGTTGAATGCAAAACGTTTTCGGTGGGCCAAGAAATTTTCGGCGAAAGCAGACGCGTTGTGAAAGCATTGTGGCATCCACTGAGTGAAACAAAGACTCATATCATGGTGCTCAGCTCTGACAGCGTATTACGGTAAGGAACTTTATTTAAAAGATGGTCTATCAATGGTTCCAGGAACAATAGGTATTAACAAAGAGGCTATGTATCTTTGTGTGTGTCTTTTATGATTTAGTATGTTCGATGTCAGCGGAAACATTGACGAGCCAGAGCAGTTGTACGATCTATCACCATCGTTTCAAAACAGTGCCGCTAGCCGCCGACCTAGCCGTGGTATTACCTTAGACGATGGACTTGGAATGGAAGAAGAAGCTGTTACTTTCACATTGGGTGGCAAAAGTGAAGAAGGCAGCGCGTGGGAGCCATTCACAGTATACTTTGCCCTGCGAAATGGTCATACTTATGCTCTGTGCCCAGTACTTCCCTTCAACAGGTACGCATTATCTCTTTATCAGTTTGGATAAATACAAGGGAACAAGGGTGAATTCAACATCCTTGAGGGGGCTCACTAAAGGTAAATCAATATAATCTTAGCGTTGTCCGCAATCAGCATCTGGAGACCCTTGCTTGTGTGGTGGACGCCAAAACGACTCGTCTGTTGGAACAAAAGATGGATAATGAGAATGACTTGGAATCGAAGGCGCTGTATTATCTACTGAGACTACAATCCCAATGGCTTGGCGACCTTTTGGAGTCGGTTACGCCAGTGGATGGGGACAATGTTGCTGTCAAGAGCAATGATGCATGTATACCCTTCCCTATCCAACGACAAGGACCTTTCCGGGTTGAAGGAAAATCACAATTAAATAGTAATTCAAACGAAGTCAGTGACATACTCTTTATCAAGGCTGAACCTGCCAACATTATCGCCATGGCATACACAAACGGCAAGATTAAGAACCATATCCTTGAATCCGAAATCGATCCACAGTGGCTAATGCCAACCACTATCACTGATAAAAACGATTGGAAATATCAGGTAAGGTTTTTCACCCTTCCTCATCCCTTTCTATCCTTAAGCTGTACCTATAACCATGCTCAAACTTGAAACAGGCAGCTAAATACTCTCTTTGAAATATGTAGCTCGGAGTGTTCCTGTTCTCTGCAGACATATTGCCAAAGGCAACCGTTCATGAGACAATCGACCTAAAAGTAAAGACACCCACATCTGTGGGGCTGGTACTTGATCCGCTCTACAGTGACACCTACTATGCATACCACCGAGGAGGATTACATCGATTGGCCTTGACGAAGCTTGTTGACAATCTCGCGGTTCTTGAACAAGCATTTGCTTCAACAACAAATCGTAACGAGTTCACCAGTGCTCTGCAAGAATGGTCTGGCAAGGATAACAGTGCTGAAGTTAAATGTCTGATTGAATCTTCGGTGGCCAAGTAGGTTTTTACCAGAAAAAAAAAAGATGTGAGAGAAGTTCATTTTACGATCTGTTCTCAAATAGCTCTGACGTCCCGTTGCTTGGCATTGTTATTATCACGGACATTTACCTGACTTACTCAATACTTGCGCTTCCTCGCTCATACCGACTTGCCACTGTGGAGCTGGGTCTTCGACAATCCGGTGTAGATACGGGTTTGAATACGTCTAAGCAATATACTTCCAGCGAATCCGACAACGATACGGTATCCAATGGTGCCTCCTTGCTCGCCAAGTCGCCCTTCACTGTACCCTCGACTGACGCCGCTCCGCCAAAGATTGTCATTCCACCGGAATATGCAGGCAAAAAAGAAATTGTTATTACTGAAGACTCGTTGTTGTTCATGCAGAAAACCACCGAAAAACTGTATGGAAGCATTAAGGAGCTCACAAAGTTCAAGATGAAGACAGAAAAACGGTAAGAGAAACATTATCTCTGTGTGTTTTGTATCAAAGAAGGGATCGCTCCAGGTGTACTCATTTTGATAATTTCTTACGTTAGACTGGCTTTGCAACAAATGGAACTTACTCGACAGATTGAAGATATCCGAAAACTCTGTGATCGTTTGGAACAGCAACATATCCAGGATGAACAGCGTGACAAAATACTAGCAGCAGCACAGAGTCATGGCAAGCTTGCATTGCGCATCGATAGTGTATTACGCAAAGTGTTGGGCAGCTATCTGCCTGACATGTCCAACGAGGAGAAAAAGTGGTTTGAAGGGCTTCAAGAGATCCAGAAAACGCTTGACGGCGATCGAGGATATCTCGAAAGAATCGGATTGGTTAGTATCATCCACAAATGTAAAGTAAATACAAAGGAAGGCTTGTCGCTAAGTTTATATGAATGAATATATGACATAGATGCAATCCCAGGTATCGACTTTACGATCGCGGAAAACACAGTTCAGCGGCGTTGCGCTTGGTGGTACTGGCGGACAAAAGAAACCCCAGCTTTCTTCGGCACAATTGGCTAGCGTACGAAAGGTGTTGGATGAACAGTAAGTTATACATCCTACCGATCCCATTCTCTTTGCATGATTCTATCTAATCGGTGATATACTAACATGGGTCTTTGTGCTAGGGCAATTCTCGTACAAGAAGCCAAAGAGAAGATTAGCTCCCTTGAGACGAGCCTCACCCCGTCTGCTTCATAACCACACACGCACAACAAAATTCACCCATCACATGTAAACACACACACACCCCTCCCAAAGCTCAAACAAAACATTAAAACGCCACTTGAAATTTACACACGCAGATTTGTTCTCAACGTGCCTATATAACGTGGAACGATACGCCAAAAAAAAAATTCTTTTTCTTTAATACCAACCCTTGCTACCTGCCAACTTTGATGGTCCATTGGTTCCACCAAAGTGGCCTTCTTTCGTAACAAGCAAAGAACAGGGAATATAAAGTACCCAAAATCCAGATTAATCACTGAGGATGCCTTTAACCATGCATCTAAGGCTTCATGCCCTGGATATATTTTTTGTCAATGTCATCTTAAAATCAAAAAGAAAAGGATAAAAGGAGAATAGGCGAACTATGCTTTTCAAGCCATGGTTGTCGTGCTGTGCTGTTAGTGTATGCGAGTGTGTATGTAGAAAGCGCCACACACATATTTATTTTGGGAGAGAGAAAGAGGGAATAAGGGCCTTCTTTTTTTACTGTTGTTTACTATACGATGGCGCACAGGCTAGGAACACCTTACCAAGGTAAAAGCCTCTTCTCTCTATCAGCTTTGTATACTTGGTTGAATGCCGTGGATGTGTGTGCTGGAAAGCGACTGTTTTTATACATATACAAATGTGTGTATGAGCGATATTTTCCAGTTGACTCAAACCGAATATATCAGCCCTACTAAACAAGTCAACGGGCAAGAACTTTTGGCGTGGAGCGTCAGGTCATTTTGCCTATCCTGATGTTCTGCGATGGCGAGGATCGGTAAATGCTGGAGTGTTTTTCTTTAAGCTCTAACGGTTCGGTTGCGGAGGACGTAAAAAACTAAGCTACACACACTTAATAAAGGTCCTGTTAAACACGCTGCCAGGCGTTGTTGTCACAACCCTGTTTTCGTGCATTGTGTGCGTACTCCACTTGCAATTCGGCGTTGCAATGGACGTTCCCGTTTCTGTCTGTACGTAAGCCCTTTTTGACGTAGAGAAAAGGAGTAAAAAATTTTTCTGGTGCTAGTAAGGCAATATGTGCTACAGTACCAGGTAGGGAGACTTGACCGTTTCTGTATAATTTTAGTGTCAACTGTCTCTGTCGCGCTAGGCTTGCTGCTGGCATTCCGTGTAAACACTGCATATGACCGCTACTGGGAAGGTCGCAAACTGATCCAAACGGTGATGGCCACGATTCGTAATCTTACAAGACAAGTGTGGATCAATATCCCCGAGCAATCGCATGGTGATCATGTGGAAAAGATGCGCTGCGTGAAACTCTTGCTGGCCTTTATGGTTGCCACAAAGCATCATTTGCGCGGTGAATACGGCACAGACTATGACGATCTCAAGTCGCTACTTCCGCCTGGCTGGGTACCCTGCAGTGTCACGCATGCACCTGTTGCAGCAGCAGCAGCAGCAGCAGCAAGTCAACAAAAGAAGCGAAGACTCTTTAAAGCCGTACCGATCATTGTCTCCCTGTACCATTCGTTGCGACCCTCAAAGTACAAGCAAGACGACGCCGAACTTGACTCAGATGACCGAAATGATGCTGTCAATATTCCTCGGTCAGTCGTTCGGGAAGCGTTCCCCGACTCGGATCTCGCGTACGCAAAGACGACGGCTGACCTTCGACGTATTGCAAAAGAGCGAGATGATGATGACGAAGCAATCGTCCATGGTGTCTACGGAAGCATGTCCCATAATGGTAACCATAGCAGCAGCAGCAACAACAACAACAACAACACACAACATCGCCCCCATCAGGCGGTGTTCACCTCAGAGGAAGACTTGCCAGACCATGGTGATGCAGATATCGCTTTGCCATTGGAAATCCTGTTTCTTGTCGCACTGTACGTAAACCAAGCCAAACGTAGCAATAAGATTGAATCCAACTTTGTTTCGGTCGTCACATCATCGCTCGATACACTAGTCAACGCGTTAACTGCTTTTGAACGTATCTCTACCACACCGGTGCCTCGTGCGTACAACATCCACCTGTAAGTCCTTCTTTTTTTTGCGTACAATCTACAAACGGACGGATGAAACTGTACTCAACATGTATAATCTCCAACAATCTACTACAGTAAGCAAGGTGTTATTCTGTATATTTTCTTCTTGCCATTCGCACTCGTCAACCCTTTGGCCTGGCTTGTTACCCCAATTGTAGCCTTGGTCTCCTTCACTTTGTTTGGTATTGAAGCAATTGGTGCCGAAATCGAAAATCCATGTGAGTTTTATGATCATTGCACCATTCTATAGATACATCTCTTGTTCTTACCGATTGCTAACATACACTGTAGTTGGCTACGACTATAATGACTTGCCATTAAATACCTATTGTGAGGAACTCAAGAGAGAAGTAGCATATATCATTTATCATATCCCCACACATTCAAAGAGTATTCTTTTGGATGGTCATTAGTAGATTCCATATTTCTATTCCTTCGGCACGCAACACCCCAAAGTCAACAGCAGGTGCACACAAATAACTAAAGCTCTTCTTTTTTTTATTGTCATTGCTGAATGCTTTTTTCGTGGATGTTTGTTTGTTTGTTTGCCCAGGAACGGGGTGGGTGATTGATGCGATATGCTGGGTCTTGCGTTTGGATATGTGACAAAGTTAGCAAGACTCAGCCTGCTTTCTCATTTCGTCAAACTTAATCATTGACCAGACTTTGATTTTTCAGGCAATTGGCATACTTTGTCAGCCATCTTGAGCCAAACAGACCTATTGCTTGGCAGTGCTAGACGGAAATTCCCGTCAATGGGATAGACACGCCGTCCCGGGGCACAAGGCTCTTCAAATATCTCACAGTACAACCGGCATGGACGCTTCTAAGATTAGAGCACTGCCTGTTTTGTCTATGCCTAGCATATTCCTTTCTTACCTAGTCTTGCATATTTCTCTTTACCTTTGCTGTTGCAGCGCATAACGTCGAGTTTGTCAAAGCGTATATTCCACACATTTGCCCTTCCTACTTATTAAAACATTAAAGTCGTCGCTGAGTTCTGCAACTACTGTACCTGCGCAGTATTCTGTTAAAAAGAATACGCGGAGCTGTCCTGCAGTTGTGAAACACTTTATGCACTGCTATGGAAACGGCACTCTGAGACAACAACGACAGACATCTCCTTTACTCGACAACTCCTTGTTTCATTTATATTTGTAATGAAGCGGCACGGCAGCTCTGTCAGTAGAGATAGCTGATGACTGATGACATAGCGGAGTCGTGCTTCTGTAACGGTCTTTAGCACGTATTCCACCTTGTTTTTGCTGCACAGAACCAACATTCTGCAATTTATACTTGACAGCTCTCAAATAGTAGCCCGCGCAACGATCAACTAGTATGTATTAAGAAAGCGACGAAACCGGATTTCTCGAAGCATCGCCACTGAGCCTTGCTTCACACAAAAGCCTTCCAATGTGGGGTATGACTCTAACTACCCCTGATCAACGGCGCAGAATGATGGGTAAGAAGTACAAAACCACTCTTTTAGATGTTCTCATTCTCAATTTCTGATAACGTGTTTTATTGATATTTCCAGGCACACGATGCTGCATGGAATCAATCCTCTCCTCTTTTTGAATCTTTATTTTGGGTCTTTAGCTTATGTCCAGCTTTTGAGCAGCGGATGAAAGGTGTGCAGAACTGAGAGTTACTGCCACCGGATCTGTTGTACATGATATGTAGGGGTATGAGCGTGTCCAGCATTCCTAAGAAACCGTAATCGGCTAAAGTATATGCCTTCTGTGATTATTCGTGGTAAGCCAGGACGAATCCCTACTTGCATGGCGACCAATCGCTGCAAGACTCTCTTTATCCCCATTAAACAGCTCCAAGCGTAGCTATGATAGCTCTATAATAAATATGAATGTATAGAAAGTGTTCCTTTTGAAGGTGTACTCGTGAAAACCAAAAGACAAGATCACATTTCTTTTTGTACCATCGAACGTAGAAAGAAGCCTTCTTCACTTACAAGAATCCCTACTAATGTACATGTTCTCGCCCGCCAATATATGAAACAAAATGCCATCATCGGCTGTCTCCCTTGATGTACAGTACACAACACACATGGGTGCATGCATATTACGTAAATTTGAGTCCATTTTGGTACCACCTAATGATGTTAACTGTATATTTCCGAACAAGTGTTCCCCAGGAAGAATGCTGAATGCTGCTTTATTTGTGTCTCTCATCAATATTAAAAGCGAACAGTATCTGATGTGTGAGTGTGGTATAAATGAAAGTGTAAGGCTGTGATTAATAGAATTAGTTGTTTAATCAATGTAATGGTGACGACATGTTAGAAAGCGTATGACCTTCCTTCACCAGCTCGAGTATTGTGTACATGACTTGCTAAGAGCTATAGCCATTTTTGTATGTTTCTTATCTCCTTATATAGTCGATAATAATGTTTAGACCTGTTGGAGTATTGAGGTCGATGTTTTCCTTCAATATTTTTCACTGCACTTTTTTATCACGAAATGTCGATATGAGTAGATTTACAAGTAAATGACGCACGTCAAAAGAAAAAATGAATATGTACATATCACAAATGAAGAGGTACCCAACAACAAACTTTTTTCCTTGGATATTCTGTGCAGCTGACAGTATGTAGACGATTTTTCTTATGAACCAGCAAAAATTTTTAGTCCAAGCGTGTGTTATCACCTTTAATGAAAAAAAAACTTAATGACCTTGCTTAATTGGTCGCTTCCTTCCGGTACAGTTAGGGGAGAATAACTACAAATGAGTGATACCTTAACTGAGAAAATCCCCGTACCATGGTAAAAAAAGGTTAGGGTTGAGAAGAAACTGCGAATGCATATCATCGATGGTGAAAGTGTTGAGAAACTACTTTAAAGAATTTGATAAGAGAAAATAAAAGAAAGAGGGAACGGTTAATGGGAACGAGCATACTCGCGTGTGCATCTAGAGGAGGGTCTCCTCTGGAGCAGGTTCTGAATCAGTTGCAGAAATGTATCGAGATCGATACTTGACGACTTTTGCCAGAATATCCACTTTGGTAGTAGCGGCTTCTCTGCTCGTCGTTCTCTGTGAGAGCCCTAGTCTCATCAGAGCAGAGAACATATATGATAGTATAGAAAAGTGATACAACGACTAACACTGCCAGACTCACATACAAATGTGAAGAAGTGTCGAGAACTGTTGCCAAAGGTAGTTAGCGCGCTGTGTTGATAAGAAGTACCCGCCCTCAAATGCACACCTGAAAACAGTCTTTCAGTGGTGCACTCAGTCTTTTCTTGGCATCCTTATTACTAGCTTCTAGGGAATAACAATGAAATAAGTGTTTGGATGACTATTTTCTGTCATGTGATGTCTAGTGAATTGCATCACAAAAAAAGTTAGTTGATCAACTAACGTCAAAAAGCTCGATCCAGTATGCCTCGAACTGCAACATGACACAAAGCCACTACTCTGTAACGGCTTGATTGGGCCGTTGTTATGTATGTAGGCCAGTGATTATGAGGAAGGGAAAAGACATCTGCTTATCGCATCGTGGGAAGATCTCCTTGGTATGCACCCACCTAAGTTTTTAAATGCCACATAAACTATCAGGCTCGCACATCGGGATGATGCTGCAGGATCTAGATTCTTGAAGATAGCACACAGTGAGTATCGTCGGAAGTAGGAGTACACAGATGCATGCGTCATGTCAATTTTGTCTTTTATTTTGGTTTTACTGCTATGTATACTCCATCATATAACAGCAACGATTAATACTTGCATGACGATGGTATACTGTATCATTGCGTAACAACCGTACGTTGTTGCATCCCCAAAACCAAAAGTTAGCTTCTTATCGTATATACAAAAGATTCCCTACCAGATGTAAGTAGCTGCTGCAGTAGCAGCTATAAGACTTTGAGTGTGTTGTAGCCACAATGTCGAGAAGAAAAATAATAAATGCGACGGTTTTCATTCGTTCTTACTCATGCACGTATCTGTGTATGCATTTGTTTGGAGCCGAAAATCGGTCATCGAGGTTGGGGTTTCTTATCAAAGGTTATATGGCTGCCGTTGATATGTTCAAGTAACTTAAAACCTATGCAATGCACTGTCTCAAATCCAGATGATCATCATCGCTTTCTTCCGTGAGGGCACGTATCCATTTTTTTTGGATTTTTGCCTGAACTAATCATGGCGTCAATAATTCGTATTACGTCATAACAAATTATGCTTCGCTTAATATCTCTTTAGAAGCTGTTTATGGAACATGTCGCTCATTGTAAAGAAAGAATCTCGATGACAAAAAAAAAGCTATGCGGCTCTCTCCAGTCGCACTCGCGCATTTGCACATCCAAGAAAAAGGACGCAAAAGATCGCCTGAGAAGCAAGAATCAACCGTGATGCTTTGCATAATGGAATTTAAGACCGATTAGGAAAAGCTTGGAAAACCAGCTCGCGAATTCTTCTAGTCATCATAAGCTTTTTGACTCTACTTACTGCATGATATGCATTTCTACTATGAAGCACTCCGGTACTTTCCACTCCAAAAACACGATGCCTACACGACTTAGAAAGAGGGCGCGTGTCTGTGTATGTTTTGCTCCATGCATGAACCCTCTCATAATGAATTTTCTTCTTCTTTCTGGTGGATCGGCTCCACCCGGTCATTTATACCTGTGCACATCTCTTTTGACCGGTTCCATTGCAATTTTGTCCCTGGTGAAAAAGACCAAGAGGCCCCACACGCACACAAATGTCTTTGCAGCGGATGATAACAATGACACAAGGGAAGGCCTCCAAGTGATAGCATATATCAGATACGCAACCACAACCCTTTGCAGAAAGAAGTTTTTTTTTTTTTTTTGGCTGTGAATGAAGTTTTCACGTGGTCGTTACCAGACTTTTCTTCTTTTCATTTCTCTCTGGGATCAACAAGTCTAGTCTGAGTTTTCGCTTCTTTTTTAGTATTAACCTAAAAAAGCAAATACGGTAATGTGGATCACCACCAAAAAAAAAAAAAATTGCTCCACACAAAGACTTGGAACAGCAGCAAAACATTGAGCTGTTGTTGTTGCTACTGGTGCTGTTGATAAATGTGACGTTTTTGCTGGCTAAAATTGTGCAACATGAAGAAGGAGAGGTGCAGCAACCAGCAACAAAAAAGTGAGAAGAGTAAAAAGATCTACGCATTCCATGTACAGTACGCAGATTCTCACGGATGTAAGACACGCCCCCTCACTTGCTCTCATTATTAATAATAGACTGCGAGTGTGCCACACGGCTATGCCAAATGTTTTCGTGCGTCAAGTAGAAGAAGAAGAAGAAGGTTATTTATAGCGTTCTGACTATGATGATACAAGTTTGAGATTGTTTTCGTGGAAGAAGCGAAAAGGAAAAGGAGAAAGGCGACGGCAAGAGAAGGTTCAAAATCACGGACCATCTATGCCTTATCGAGACGAAAAAATGACCCGGCACTAACGAGTCATCAGCAGCGGCATCATCCTTGATGTGAGAGGAGCTGGCTGCTGCTGCACAAAAGCAAAAAGCCCATCGCACAATCACGCGGAGGCGAATTAGATACCTGAGACTTTCTTCTAGCACAGCTTCCTCGGATCCTCGGCAAGTCTTTGTACTCTTTCTCTTTCTCCTTGTTTTGGTTTTTTTTGGTCCTTTTTCTCGCTATCGTTTTTATACCACTTCTTCTACTACTGCTTACTGCTACTACTTCTTCTATACTTGCTCCGTTTACCCTTTGCAGTACCCTCTCTTTCTCTCTGTCTTTGGAAGTTATTAGATGGTTGTCATCCCTCCACCACTCGAGATCCACCATGGAAACGATTATTCGTTGCTAGGTAACAGCTCTGAAACAAGACTTGGAAAAGGAAGAGAACTAAAAGGATTTATCTTTTTCTTAAATATGCAACAACAACAACAACAACAACAACACAACAGCCAGCCTCCCATCAATCATCCTCACGCACCTGAGTCTGGAGCATCTTATACCCGCGTTTAACGGTGCACAGGTCGATATATTTCGACTACTGATGATGAAAGATCCCAGCGATTTTGCAAATGTCGGCATATACAATCCAGATGAATGCCGCCGGCTTAGTCAGTGTGTGCGCTCCATACAAGCTCACATGAGCTATAAGGGGCTCACTGTCATTGCAGCGCCTGCAACAGCAACAACAGATGCATTACCATCGCCTAGCAGCCCATCCTCCATCTATAACGATACCAACAGCTCATCTTTGATTACCACCGAGCAAGAACAAAAGAACATTCTCCGTGCCATCGAAGCTTTCGATCGCTATGCAATGCCCAGCTTTTATTCCACCTCTTCGGCATGGAGCCGGACATCCTCATCGCCTCCGACTCCGCCGCCTCTTTCAAAATTGGCAGATAGCAAGGGAAAAGTTTCAGTTCGATCGTCGTTTTTATCCACATTCAGTGACAGCACCATTACGGCTGCACTGGAGGAAGAAGACGAGGAAGAGCAAGACAGCAATACCACTACTGCGAGCAGTTACCACAGCAATCTAAATGATCTAGACCATCCGCCGCCTTACTACAACCACTCTCCATCATCCACATCATCAGCATCCAACAACGCATCAACATTGTCACCCTCATCAACATCAACAACCAATGCAACGCCCAAACAACAAACAGTAACAGCAGTAACATCGCGCGAAGGACGGCCCGGATTGGTTGTACCACGCCAGCCACGAAATTTAATATCCCGGGTCCCTCGACCCCTGTCTATGCCCGCGTACCTGGTTAATCGTTCTTCAGTAGGAGCGGCCGTACCATCATCCGAGGACAATGCTACTACTACTACTACCCCTAATAGGCCAGCAAGTCCAGCATCTACACTTGTTCCACAACCGCCACAACAACGACGATCATTAATTGTGTTATCGTCACCGCCGCCCGATTACCTTGACACAGCACTCATGAAGCGATGGGAAAAGTGCAAGTCGTGCATTATCCCACGCGAAGAAGAAGGTCGAGAAGAGTTACCGCCGTATAAATGCACGGTGTATAAGATGGGTCACGTGTACATTAAACGCGAGCAAGATGCGCCGGGCATCCGAACACGATGGCGATCGTGGAGGTAAATATTCATGGCATTCTCTCTAATAAACGAACCAAAAACTTGGAACTAAGCCTTTGGTGCAAATAGAAAGCTGTATGTAGAAGTGTGGGGGACAATCCTGCGGATCTATCGAGCACCACCCCATGGTGACAACCATAGCCATGGCAACCGGTATCGGCTGTTGGGTAGGCAACCCTTGCTGGCAACCCGGTTACCGCTTTCCCAATGGAACCGCTACTACTACTCGCCGCTGGCGACGATTTCTCTTGCAGGGGCCGAGGCAGGACGTGCGTGGGACTACACCAAACGGCCGTTTGTTCTAAGACTGACAACAGCACATGGTCCTCAAATGCTCCTCCGCTTATCGTCACACGTAGAGATGATATCATGGATCGAACATTTGCAAGCAGGTAAAAAAAAAAAAAAAAAAAAGTAAAATCGGGATTCCAAATTTCTTTTTGGGGAAAGGGAAATGTCTAATGCTTTTTATCAGCGATCAACATCTCACTTGACTTGGAGCAAAGACCTATGCCCAAGTTTATGACATTACCGTCGCGTGCAGCGCTCACAGGATCGACACTGAGCGCACGCGCTTTAGAGGTTGAACGTGCTCGTGAACAACGACGGCGGGGCCAGCGTGAAATGCTCATCTAGTACACACACCCTTTTACTGTATATTTTCTCCTACAAAACACAATTGCACCATTTTCTACTATGCACCAAAAAGAAAAAGAAAAAAAAGAAAAGCGATATGATCCCATGAACAATAAAATTTTGATACTGTCCAATGCCGGTTGGATCGACCGACTGTCTCTCTCTCTCTCTCTCTCTCTATAATCAATTGCTACTTATGTATGGGACGACGCGCGTGTTACAATGATCCAGCAGAAGTAGAAAATAGGAGTGGTGGGTCTGGGGGGGGGAGGGTGAAAAGTAAAGGGAAAGATGGGGGGTGGGGGAGAAAGAGGCAGAGAAAGAGAGGGAGTGCCGCAAACACGAACGCGAAAAAAAAAAGGAAGGAAAAAACCCACAGAGAGAAACGGAATAGGAAAAAGATAGAGCAAAATCAAGGGCCGACCATTCAAGGACAAAAACAGAAAGCGTATATAAAGCATAGGGTTTTTTGCACGTTTGCCTTTTTTTTCCCTTTCTTTTCTTCTTTCTTTTACTCACTTTCTCCCTCTACCACCACGAACACCACCTTCAACCACAACAACGTATATCGCAATGGCCCCTGCTGCTAAGAAAGCTACCACTCCCGCCAAGAAGGCTGACCACCCCACCGTAAGTTTGACACTACTGCTCAGATGTCTTGGATAAAAGCGAATGTATGCTAAATGTATCTTCCACTTCATTTGCATTTTTAGTACGAGGCTATGATCAAAGGTAAAAGGCGAAAGGAAAACGTAGTTTCGTAACATGAACATCGATGACTGATCCTCTCTTTATGTGTGAACAACCACTAGCCGCCATCCTCGCTCTGAAGGAACGCAAGGGTAGCTCCAGACCGGCCATCAAGAAGTACATCCTTGCCAACTACAAGCTCACTCCCGGCTCGCACTTTGATACCCAAATCAACGCTGCCATCAAGCGTGGCGTGACCAAGGGTGCCTTTGTTCTCCCCAAGGGTAAGTTGTGCTCACTCCTTCCCGTGACCGTTTCATGTGGTCGTTTTTTTGTTTCTGGCACACGCTCAGCTGAGGAAGGGGAAGGAAAAGGGAAATGGCGACGGAATGAAAGAGAACGAGGAACTAAAAGGCAGCTATTGTTGTTTGATTTTCAGGTATGTCTGGTACCGTCAAGCTCGCCAAGCCTGAAAAGAAGGCTGCTGCCGACAAGGAAAAGAAGACTGCAAAGAAGCCTGCCGCCAAGAAGGCTGCGCCCAAGAAGGCTGCTCCTACCAAGAAGGCCGCTCCTGCAAAGAAGGCTGCACCTGCAAAGAAGGCCGCCGCTGCCACCACCACCACCACCACCACCAAGAAGGCTGCACCCGCAAAGAAGAGCGCCGCTGCGACCAAGAAGGCTGCACCCGCCAAGAAGACACCCACCAAGAAGTCGTCGACTACCGAGAAGGCTGGTGTGAAGGCTCCTGCTAAGAAGGCTGCACCTAAGAAGGCTGCTGCTGCTGCTGCTGCTACCAAGAAGGCACCAGCCAAGAAGGCCGCACCTAAGAAGGCTGCTGCCACCAAGTCAAAAGCTACCAAGGCATAAATTGCTTCCCTTTGCAAACCACAACCTCGTCTACTCTGCCACTACAACCACCACAGCCAACCACCCATTATCACCAGCACAAACGCACGCACGCACAGCAACACGCACCTTCAACAACAACAACAACAGCAACAGCGAATTCAATATCATTTTCTTTTCTTTTCTTTTTTCTGTATTTACTTTTTCTCTTTTCTCCACCAACGGGCAACGCTTGATGTAGGGACGGGACTCCTCGCAAATCACCAGCACCAGCAACACGCAGCAATAGCAACTCATATCCACCACACATTTTTCTACGTAGTTCCTCTTTCTAATTGTCGACGTGGCCTTCTCCCTTTCTTCTTCTTCTTCTTCACTTCACACTCTTATTCTGTACAGTCATGAGAATCATGCTCTCTCTCTCTCTCTCTTCCTCTTCTCTTTAGCCTTACATAAATTCTTTTCAAACCTTAAAAGCTCGTGTGTCTTTATCGCGTCAATTTTTTTTTCTTTAAAAAAAATCTGTTGCTAAAAAAATAATGCCGACAAAAAAACACGCGCGCACGCGGGAATGAGAGGATCGGGATTTCCGATTTTCTATGGTCGCGCATTTTTTTTTTTCTTTTCTTCAGTGCCTCGCGCGCACGGTCAAAAAGAATGAATAAAAATTTCGCGTTCCGGCAGCAGTTCTAATTTTTTTTTTTTTTTTTTACTTTTACGAAAAAGAAAAAAAAAAGTGGCGCGGTGGTGGTAGTGGTGGCCCACTCCTATCCCCCCGCGATTCTCGTATTTTACATTTGATGCAACCATCAGCCTCACCAAGTACAAAGGACTTTTAAGCGGCACGAACGTTTTTCCAGGAACCCAGTTTTCAACAGTCTTATTATATGTACAATATGAATTTTCCTCTCTCTCTTTCCCTTTCTCTCTTGTACCTTTCCCACGTAGCATGAAGTGATGATGGTGTTTTTGTTGGACTAACATACTACTTTTTAAGCGTGCTCACAGTGCCATCGGCTTCACCAAAGTAGGCCGTCTCTGCCATGTTGCAAAACAAGCCAACTTCATAAACGCCCGTCAACAGCTTGATTTCCTTCAACAAAGCCGTAGGGTCCTCGATTGCGCCAAAGTGGGCATCCACCACAAAGTTGCCATTATCCGTCACAACGGGTCCGGCCTTGTTCACAGCCTTTTGTTTTTCGAGTAAAAGTTATCATCAACATCATCAGCAGCAGCAGTAACGTCTGGCATCAAGACTTACCATGCGAAGAGTGACCTGCTGTGGCTTCAAAGAGAGCTTGTTCTCGAGCGCTCGAATGACACTCTTGTACGTCATGGGCACAACCTCAACGGGAACACCCTTGAGCCACTATCGAGTCAAGTAGATTAGTACTCCATCCACCTTTTTTCTAGCTCGATAGATTGAATGCTTTAGGAGAATCCGACATCGTACCTGAGTACCGAGCTTGGTGGACTTCTTGCGGTAATCTAAAAAAAAAACAAAAAATGTTTCAATATCACATGCATTGACCAAGGGTTGTTTGTTCCGTTTCATTACCAGCAATAATCACAAACTTCTTTGCTGCCTCGGCAACAACTTTTTCTTGGAACTGGCACGCACCACCACCCTTGATGGCGTTGAGCTGACCATCCACTTCATCAGCACCATCGATCGTCACATCGATTTCGGGGTATCTTTTATTTAATAATCAAGCATAAAATGTTAGTAAGAAAAACCACAGATACACACAGGTTTTTTACATATGCACTACGCGGGTCGAAGCCCTTTCCAGAAAACTTTACTGTTCAACAGTGCCCATGGTCAGGCCGCCTTCAATGATCAACAGCTTGGACTGGAAGCTAGTGGGTACATAGACAATGTTCTTGAGTTCGGGACGTTGCAAGATACGTTCGACGGCATAGACAACGGTGGATCCAGAGCCGATGCCAACAACCTTGTGTTCGGGAGTGATATAATCATTGACGGCTTGGTAAGCTGCCAACTTTTTGCCTGCTTCAACTGCGCTTGCCATGGTGCTTCTTGTTGCTGTTGTGAGAGAACGACGAATGAAATGACGGTACATCCAAACCAGCCCGCACCCCCACTTTTTCTCATCCTTTTACTCATTTGGGCCGCTTTGGTGACTGTCGTCGGAGATAGGATATCTGTGCCGGGTTTGCCGAGCCAAGGTTTTCTTTAGCCTTCCGTGCGGTTTTTGCCCTTTCCAAACATTTATAGAGAGAAGGGTGCGCGCATGACGTCAATTAGCTACAACTTTAAAGCTTGATCTGTACTGATGATCGATAACAGGAAAGAACTTTATGATAATGTAACACACACACACACACACACTCACACTCACACTCGCACACTCACTCATAGATAGATTGAGGGATGCCGGGCAGAGGAGATGATTCGAAGGATTATGTACTACTTTATGCTTTGACTGTGTTTACAACAAAAGGAAGAAGAAGAGAAAGTAAAAACTTGAATAAATTACAAAAAAGAACTAAGGCTAGAGAATGAGTCAACGTCTTTGAACAAAAGGTCTTGAAGCTGGTATGCGAGAATGGATGCTGGGAATACGATGATGGGTTGCTACAGGATTGAGGGAAGATGAAGTGGATGGATGGGGCGTCGTGTTTTTCACAGCATTTACCATGGCAGACGAAGGTGACTGGTATGGAAACCAGCTTCCCATAACCGAGTTTGCTTGTGCTGATAATAAGCGACTCGACGTCGTTTCTCGCAGATACATTTCGCGTGGATGATCCCATGCCATGTGGTCCTTGCTATCCCTTCGTCTTTGACGGTCGTCTTCTTCGGTTGCTGCTGCTGCCAGCAAACGATCTTCCGGTCGCGGTAGTTTTACGCGTGGAGTTCCAACAGGTCGTGAAGTTCTTGAAGCAGCATCATCTTCTTGTAGCGATGACGAGGACGGTGACGGTGAGCCAACAGGAGTAGTTGTGGTAGCGGTATTTAAGACGCGTGGTGGAGAAGAGTAGGAGGATGACTTGTGAGGATGAGAATGACGATGTACATTACGGTTATGAGGATGATGATTTATAGAGCAAAACTTACAGGTTGTTGTTGCATAGCAATCGTATCGATTTCTCGATCGTCGAGCATGGCACTTGAAGGGCTTGCTGGTGAATAGATGGGTGAGGATGTCGTATGGGTTAACATGTAATCAATGTCGTGGCTACTGGTGCCTGATACCGCTGCTGGTGCTGTTGTTGTTCTTCTTGTAGCAGACGTAGTAGTTACAGGCTCGGATGTACAAAACTACAGAATTGCTCTCTCGGTCAGTTTGGTCCTTCTCTCAAATAACCTTCTACGCTGAATATTTACCAATGCTTGAACAGCTGGAGGAATGGAAGTATGCTCTAAAAGGGATGTAATTGGTGCGTTGGACGTGCTGGTAGTAGTAGTAGTAGTAGTAGTAGGGCTGGCTACTGCCGTGGTTGGATTAAAGACAGTATCAGGGTGGTATGCAATTACAGGGTTCGAAGTTGATGTGATTGTGGGAGGAGAAGTGGTGATCATAAGCGGATGGTGCTGACGATGATGGTGACTATGCTGTTGAAGAGGTGCCACAACAGATGGAAGAGTAGCGGGAGTAGGTGCAGCAGAACTAATATGTTGCTGCTGCTGCTGCTGTTGTGATGGTGCCTGGTCTGCAGTGGCAAGACATACAATATACAGGCGCTCTAATGAAGATGGTACAAAAAGATCCGAGCCCAGTCCACCGCCTAGATAAAACCGAGCCTGCAACTCAATGTGCGACCCGTTTGAAGTCTTGAATTCAAGTGGCTCCTTGAGCGTCAACGAGCCATTGGCAATGTTGGTCAACAAGCTGGGTGATGTGGATGAAAAGCACTCGGATGTCGTGCGCTGGGTCGGCGGAAGCCGTTTCTCCTGACGGTTGGCATTGTCGAGCAAACATCGATGGATCCGCGCCAGGCGGTCAGCGTGTTGTGGCAGAATAAAGTCGTACAATGAGCGGTGTGCAAATTCGTGAGGATATATGCCGAGTAGATCCAACGACTCGTCTGACACTCGTGCGCAGCAAACATCCATGGACAGAATAAGCTTTCGCATTAGGAAATTAGTTTCCATGGAAACTTTCCCCCAAGTCAATTACCCCCCGCCCACTTCTCTCTCTCTCTCTCTCTCTGAAGGCTTACTGTGATCATTGTCTTTTCCATCGGATCCTTGTCGCCACCTTGATCGCCTGGAGGTCGGGTCATGGAAAACGAGGACCGGACGAGCCCTGGTGCGAGTGTACCCGCTGATCGCACTGTTGCTGCCATTGCCGAAGACAGTGGCGATGATGAGGATGGATACGTTGACTCGTCCAAGGATGATGGGGTCCCTGATCCATTTTGCTGTCGATCCCGTCGTCTCGGTCTTCCCCGCTTTTTATGCTGTACGTCAAAACAGGTATCTTCTCGTCCCGACTGCACACATCGCTTACAAGGTCGTGCAACTATAAAGGTCATAGTCTCAGTATTTTTGCTCTTGCTCACGATCCTTCGCCTCCTCTTTCTTTATAGAAGAATGTATTTTCTACCTTCGCAAGCTAAATGTGCTTTCTGGCAGTTAACCTGTACAGAAGAAAAAGGGAAAATAGAATAATACATGTCAACAAATCATCCTTTCGTTTCGAGTAAAGGAGCAAGGAGAAGAGTTGCGGCTCTTTGTCTTTGAGTGGTCTCTGGAACCATGCTTGCTGCATATGCGTATACCGACACACACGCATTTTCGCATGTAATTCTGTAATCCCCTAAACCCTCTCCACGTCAAAAACGACAACGCACTCATATCCGCTTACACATGCTGCAGGAACATGGGATTTTGACGGCCGTTTCTTTGGAATTGTCGTTGATGTTGTGTTACTGTTGCTGCCGTTGCTGTCTTCTCGCGCGGCGGCTGCAAGCGACGGTGATGTTGGGGACGGCAAAGAAAACGGACGGCCGCTAGTGTCGACTGCTTCCATCCTTCGGGCGTTGGCTTGTTGACGCAAGCAAAACAAAACAAAAAAAAGGAACAAAGTTTGCAAAAAGAAGAGAAGAAGAAGAAGAGAAAAAGGAGAGGTTTACTGTGCGTGCGTGTGTGTGTGTGTGGGGTGCGCCCGGGGGACTGGGTGACACACAAAGGCAGATCTGATCATTGTCTGGTCGTCGGAGCAATTGTACGGGATTTAGGGTGTTTTTTTTCACTTTACTTTCTCACACACAAGAACTCTAGCCGCATATCTCCGCTTTTGGGGCCGCGGTCTGGAGAGAAATGCACCTGTTTGTGTCAAATCTCTCCTACATCTCGCTCCATCTTTTCGGCTGCCAAATGCCTTTTGGATCGATCAAAATAGGAAACATGAACTATGTTATTAAAGCGAGGCCGGCCGGTTCCAGCAAAAGCATTCACCGTCATCATCGCCACACATCTTCTGTTTTTTTTTTCCCACTACTGTATTCCATGGAAACTTGGATGGGATGCTGTCAGCTAATATTATAAAACGATGCTGATGAGCTGATATATCAGCTCAACGACTGCAACGACACCGAAATTAATCATAATTTGGCATATTTTTATACTACGGTCCCAGCAATATGGGTTTTGCGTTCGACATGTGGCGATTTACTGCTTTATTTATACGCAAAATAAAAGCGCGGTTGATATCTGTCTTCCTTTTTCCGGTGTTCCGGTGTATCACACTTGCCTTTCTCATTATATAGAAGCATAGAAGAGGTCACCACCAAGTACAAAACGTGTGGAACATACCAATGATGGGAGTGGGGTAATACACAGAGCACACCACGCGCCCAATTCACAGAAAAACAGAACAAGAGACTTTTCATGTAGACAAGAAAATCGCAGTGATGTAGTTTTTGTGTGCTGCCATATACACAACTAGTAGTAACTATTTTTAAATGATACTTTACAAAACATGTGAATTATCGTTCGTTGCTTCCAAAATTCAAAATTCAAAGGCAAACTCTTTGATGATAAACAGCAAGTATATAATAACAATTTGGCAACACAGAATCTTCATTATTATCTCAGGTGTATATTAATGGTTAGTAGTTCTCATAAAGTAAAATGATGATAATTTTGTATATATACTTCTTCAAGATGCTTTGTAGTAAGTATCCAAAGCGAGGCTTACCCATCCTGGGAAAGAAAGAAATCATAATCACGTTATAATTCCAACCAGCCATAACTCTTCTCATTATATGATGAGTCATTAGAAAAACGAAGGCCAGATTACAACTTAAGCTATCTTGTAGTAATATCATAGATCAACATGTTAATACCATACATAATCAATACTGTCATCAATAACTAGAGGCTGTCCTTCATCTTTGCTTATATAATACAACATGTATCTTAAAATCATATGTGCATGTCAAAGCACCACATAATCTTTGTAGCATTGTGCACAGTACCTCAATACACAATTACATGTTTTCGCTGTTAGATCTGTAAAACGTGACAAGTGCTACTAAGAGTAAGAAATGCTTACTTCTTGAGCACAGACAACCATAAACAGTTGTTATCATTGAGCAAATCATGGCCAGGTCGACAAACACATGATCATCTAATTACTGAGAAAAAAAGCCAGAGTGATAATAATACAGTAGTAACCCCATCTTCCCCATGTTACAATATGTATCACCTTCCGGGCAATTACCCTATTTGCATCACGTCCTCTTTCCTTTTATTACCAGCCGCTCCACTCTTTTCTCTTCCGCGGGAGGCTGTGACGGAAAGTAGATATCTCTGGGCAAGCGCAATGTTTACCCGCGAGGAAATGCCTGCAGATCTATGTTAGCATTTGTTCACTACATAAGAAAACCTACCTCTTCTCACACTGTACATTATTAGATGTAGATATATCACAATAATTACACACCCGTTAAGCTTTCAACCTTATTTCAAACTTTATGGAGTTGATAGGCAAACGAAACTGACAGAAAGTGCAAATGAATTGTTCTCGTTAGATTTTAAACCCTTTTTATTTTCACACAATATGGGCAGCAACATGCTTCTACAATGACACATTAATGTGCTACAAAATGTTACGGACATGGCATTGTTCAGACGTGTATGAGATGAAATCCGAGCAAACTAGTTGTTATGGTAGAGCAGAATGGTACAGAAGATGCCTGGAGAAGCGCAAAGAAAATACTTGGTCCTTACAGATTGTGACATATGCATGGCTATGATGTAAAGTGCCAGTTATTACACAGTTTCATGCTTATTGAGCTCTCCTAACATATAAGAATTCGTGTACTACGCGTTACATATGACGACACCATCATGAGCAATTTCGAAACTAACAGCGACCTCCCAAGTCTTTATCCTTGAATACAACTTCTCCGTTGCTGCTGCTGAAGAAAGTTATTAAATTGTCCTTGTCCATAACCTCGTTTATATTCTCGTTTTAAACCCATAGAATTTCATGTCCATTTTCATCAGATCCTTACCCAAAGGAAGCATAGCATCCAAAAATTCGTCAACAGCTCGCGTAGTAAGGTTACAGCAGTAATAGATGGCCATCTTGTCAGTTATTAGTCAAGGTTTGCGCATATGGCAATTTTCATGAGCAGCTCGAAGCACATTCACAGGCCAAAATTGGCAAATTTTCCCAAGAGCCCTGCGATAAAGCTCGGTTTCCTACGTGCACGTAAAAAAAAGGAGGCGATGATCAATGTATGATATGATCATATGGTATTTATGACACAACGGTGCTACGCTGAGGCTACATAGTTGAAAAAGCCAATCGTTCGTTGCCCAACGTATGGCCTATCGTACTTGTTATACTAAACTTACTACAAGAATTCAAGTTGATCATACATCTGGGGTCGCGAATCGCGCCACCTCCTGTCGGCATATCAGGGGCGGGACGGGTGGCTTAAAGCTAAAAACGCCTACGAAATTTTCTACGTTTTTCTCCAACATCCCTTCCACAAAAATGTCATTGACCCTCGATTTTTTGCTTCCTCCTCCCCCCGCCTCTTACAAGGCCGATCAGGAGTCTGCCGTACATGCCGGTTTGACTGCCAGCGCCGATCGTTTGCTGGAGCCCGTTGGTCCCGGCTTCTTTGCCTACGCCCGCCGTAAGCGCCACAACCGCACCTTCTCTGAAGATGAGCGCCACCAAGCCGAGGAGAAGGCCAGCCAAATCGTCGAAGAGGAAAAGGTCGATTTCGAGTACGAGGATGTCGATCTTACCACCGTCAACACTGATCCTACCAACTGGAAGTCGCAAGACAACTATGCTGTCCTTGGTTTGACCAATTTGCGTTACAAAGCCAAGGAAGAACAAATCAAGAAGGCTCATCGCCGCATGGTCTTGCTGCACCATCCTGACAAGAAGGCTGACAAGAATGACGATGCCTTCTTCAAGTGCATTGCCAAGGCGTATGACACTTTGATGAACCCTGTCACCCGCCGTCAGTACGATTCCGTCGATTTTGGTATGATTGGTGTTGACGAAGACGTCCCCACGGCCAAGACTCCCGGTAACTTTTATAAGCTCTGGGCTCCTGTCTTTGAGCGTGAGGCTCGTTTCTCCAACAAGCAGCCTATGCCCATGCTCGGTGACGAAAACTCGACCAAGGAAGAAGTTGAAACCTTCTATGACTCGTGGTACAACATTGATTCGTGGCGTACGTTCGAATGGTTGGACAAGGAAGGTGCTGAAGGTGCCGACAACCGTGATGACAAGCGCTACCAAGAAAAGAAGAACCGTGCCCAACGCGCTCAGCTCAAGAAGGAAGACAATGTTCGTCTCCGCAAGTTGATCGATATTTGCTTGAGCGTGGATCCTCGTATCGCCCAGTTCCGTGCTGAAGATAAGAAGCGTCGTAATGCAAAGAAGGATGCCAAGGCTGCTGCTGATAAGGCCGCCGCTGAAGAGGCTGCTCGCAAGGCCGAAGAAGAGCGTGTTGCCCGCGAAAAGGCTGAGGCCGAATCCAAGGCTGCTGCCGCCTCTGCAAAGAAGGACAAGGAATCCCTCAAGAAGGCTGTCAAGAAGGAAAAGAAAACTATCAAGGCCTTATTCAACGGTAACAACTTTGGTTTGCCTGCTGGTACACAGGCTTCCCCTGCTGAGGTCGAGAAGCAGTTGGTTGCCATGGATGCTGTCATTGTCAAAAACAAGATGATTGAGGATTTGGAAAAGTTGCGCAAGGATCTCGAACAGGGTGTCAAGGATGGCAAGTTTGCAGATGTCTTTGCTTCCTATGTCGAAGCTGCCAAATAGATTGTAGAAAAGTAAATATATGGCCATATACACATACAGCAACATATACGTAGACTCGCACCCCAAGAAATACATACATGAGAGAGTATACACAACTTTTTTATTGTTTCTTGTTATTATGAGTAATTAACGTATGAAAAAGATGATGGGAAGAGGGAGGATAACTGACAAAGAAAAGGTAAAAGCAAACAACTACAATTCAAGGACGATGGCGGCCCTCATCATCCGAATCTTCACTCAAGAAGCTTTCAGCGAAACCTCGTTCCCTATCCAGCGCGCTGAATTCGACGGACGGTTCTCGTCTAAATTCGGGTATATCGTCAAAATCGACACGTGCAGAACGAGTGCTCATGGAATGCTTGTTCCTGGGAGTGAAATGCAATGAATGGATGATCTTCTTACTATACTTCTTTCACCTAAATAGATACATACTTGCGGACCATCATGAATAATCGGAAGAATTGAATGACGTTTCGAATCACCAGCAGAATAGTATCGAATATAGCTTCGCTGCGCTCGCTAGCAGAGCAACCTGAGGCAATCACGATCAACGTGATGGCACACAAGGCAACCAGCACCGTGTCAATGATGTTCCACACGGATCGCCAGTACGCTCGTCTCAAGGCCAGTAAACGTATGCCGACTTCGATAATCATGGCAAAGTTGATAATGGATTCGAATATAATGAATAACAGTGAAGGACTACGAAAAGCAATATTAGTTACATACTCATAAATATGAAGGATTGTAAGCGCATGACGGATTTAATTGCTGGTTATTACCAAGTTTCATTAAGAGACTATGCAGCCAGACCAGTCAACCACCACCCCCAAAGGGAAACAAAGAATATGTGTGAGTTGTCTTGGTATTGTTTCGTTTCTTCCAAATAAACAGTGTTACGATCTCTTTAATTACCAGCATAATAGAAATTAAACTGAGAAGCGCCAGGCCAAGGTAGAGAATTATGTAAAACTGTGAATACATGAATCTGTTGGCCATGCCCTGTATCATTTCAGACTTTGTAAGTCCATGTTGTGTACGTGGTGTCCTAATAATAAGTCAGCAAAGGGCAAAGCGGGACAAGGTATTTGTAGAAAGTCAGTAAACATGCCTGCCTTGCTCCAATAGATCTTGTGTGGAATCGCCAGCTAGCATCCGCCTTTGATCGTCATCCATGGTAAAGTTTGCGAAATACAAGAGCTGGGGTCAAGCGTGCTACATATATACCCTGCCGCGCGCTCCAGTCGGTGGTTGTCAGGCATTATTCCCGCTGCCTTGTACAACTCCGAAGAAATATATGTAACAGGATGAGATCATAGAAAGTAATGTTCGCGTTTCATCATGCTTTTCTTTATAACAAGAAATATCACTCTTTTCAATCGTTATAATTACTAATGTGGTAAAATGATTTATTTCTTTTTTTTTTCTTTTTGAGAAATAAAAGACAAAAACTGTTACATTGCTTTTCCAAATTCCCTTTTTTGATGCATGGAAGCTCTATATAGAACGCCATCTACTAGACTTGCTACTGTAAAGATACCGCCAACAATAGCGCACACGCCTACTAAAAAGCTAGCAAATGTTCCCCGGTACTCCGAGTATATTACCAGCATGGGTGAAAAGTCCATTATGAAAAACACACCTACGTTCATACACATAGTAGTGAGTAATAGACATTCGCCTTATAGCCAAACAATCCACACAGAACAAGACAATCATTCCAAATCTCACCTGGTAATCCACCTCCACCTTGCTTTCTCAAATCACGCTCTTGACGGCTCACAGAATATTGGAATGTACGTAAATGTTTTCCGTTAAGGTAGTTAAACTCGGATGATACGATCTTTAAATGGTAATTATACATCATGGTTGCTGTAAAATAGTGATAAAGAAAAAACACTTTCATTAGCCTCTCCCAACAAAAGGAACCCCTTTAAACCCGTGCCCAAACTCATCGATATGACTTACGTAGTACGTTTCCCCATTGTGTGCCGTCCAACGGATTGGTAAGTGCATCCAATTCCGTTCTTTTTTGTTTATACGCATGATGATTCTGGGCACCGAATTGTAAATGATGGATAACATGTGAGAAATCGTGTTCAGTGGCGAGATATGTTCGGACGTCGTGGATATGAGATCCTCCGTGCACATACGATTTTCCAGGCGAGAAATGGAAATTGCCGCGCACTTTGTTGACCATTAAATCGCCATGCATGTTGCAGCCTTCTTTACTTTGTGATGAGATATTTTCTTTCCAGCATTGCTCGACCGTTTTTTCGTCAATGGCCCAGCCCATGTCCGAGTACGCCTTTCGTACATCGTCGCATGTGTTACAGCAAGGGTTCGTTACGCCTTTTGGATTTGCTCCATAACAAGGACCGCAATAATCCTCGTTTTCTTGAGCAGCTAAATTTTCTCGATCTCCACTGTTGCTAAGCTCTAAAAAAATGACATGAGCTCTCCCAACAAGTCGCCCTAATTACATTCACAAACAAATCAGGATCTAAAGTCCTGCTTGTTTTCTTTGTTACCTTTTGCCTTTTCACGGTGGATCTCTCTGCCATTATCATCTAGACGTACTTTAAAAACGTCGTGATCATAGTCTGATATATGGTCACCACTCTCATCCATCAAATCCAAGCCAAGAACTGGAAAAGAACAATTCATTCAATTGTTTAGTTGTCTGTACGTTCGTTCCTGACATTGGCGTGATACTCTATTGTGCGATAGCTTAAAATATAACGTTATTAGACACTTACGATAGCATGGCAGGTGGGGGAAGGTAATATTAAAAGAGATTGGCAGTTTTTCCTATCATTCAATGTTTATTACGTCTATTAATTACACGCCTGTGACAATCTCATTCACAATTCTTTTGATAAACCTCACTAACTTACCATCTTGCCACCATCCACCACGATTTCGGCTTGCATTTCTGGCGTGATATATCGATAAATCTCAAAAAACATCAGTGATAGAATGACCATGCCGCTGACAAGAGTCACTAAATTTTTTTAATGGATTGTATCAAAAAGTCAAGGTTAGTTCAAGCAAATGCTGTCAATTTTTGGCCAAATCGATCTGAAGAAAGAAGAGTAAAGAATGTATGGTACCTGAAGCTCCCGTGGTTGTTCGGATGCGTACGTCTTCAAGCGGTTTCGCGTAGGCATCGAGTTTACGAAATCGTTGAAGAAAAGATTTAACCGCCATTTTTGTTAGGCGCTAATGGAAGCGGGTGGATAGAGATATATAAGAGAATGTGAGGGGAAACAAACTCGACAGTTCACAAAGAGAGCAACAAAGCATGAATAGTGCCAATCACAATTGATGTACACATCCTTACTGTTACACAAAAAGAGCATCCAACGATGATTTGCCAGCAGCTGAAGCAACTACATACTAATTTGTACTATTATAGATAATCAAGCAGTGACTATGGCACTAACAACGAGTTTGCCGTACCAAAAAAAAATAAACTGAAAGTTCAAGGATGTTGTACTAAATATCATCCCATGCACATTATACGCCTACGGCTCAAAATACATCACAAATTTGATCGATGATAAGAGCGACTTATGCAACGTGTCAGCGTTTCTCCTATTTAACTACGTTGTAGAAACATACTGAATAAGCAACTGTACATATAATGATAAAAACAAGGCAAGCCAAAGGTAGTAATCAAATTAAGTGTCTATATATACCATTAGTACAGATAAACAAGGCAACGCTAGGTTTAACAGTTGTCAGCCCAATGATTCTCGGCAAACTCGATCCACATGGTGCTTGATGTGATGTTGGGATTTCCATAGGTAGTATCCACGGTATAGTTTTGACCAGTTAAATCATATATTACTGATTCAACGATCGATTGGATAAAGTCGACAAAAACCAGATCAACCAGTGACGATGAATTATCAGAAGGAGGCATATCTGTCCCAACAAAAGCTTTTGCATCATAGTACGAAATCTCACTATGTGTGGTATCATCGCCTTAATGATATGCATATTTATCAGTAAACCGGACACGTAGGCATATCAGTCGCGTATATACATATTGATGCATTAGTGAAAGAAGAATAATACACGCACCATCTGTACCAAGATCATCCTTCGTTGTGTATCCTGGCGTCAAACGAGCTTCATGACGTATCGATTGGCGATCACAGGTACGCACATTGTCATAGACGATTTGAATGCTACGTTTGCGTCGATAGTTACTTGCTGCATTGTCTCCATTGAGTCTATCTAGTACCTGAGCAGCAGCATAATACGGTACACCGGGCATATAATAGAAATGATCAACGAAAGGTGACAATTGATAGACATTGTCAAGGGTAAAGTTGCCTTGGTAAATGTCATATCTCAACATGCCACTGTTGACGATAATTTGGGCAGGGTAAGGACGATTAGGGTCAGCGACAGCCTTGGGTAGAACCTCTGGTTTTTTTTTAAAGAAAAAGAAAGATTACAGTAACCGAATTTTTATAGGATCCCATTTTAATTAACTGTGTATCAATGTTGGCAAAAATGATAGCCTGGTGGGTCATGCAACAGCTATAATCATGTGCAAGCCGATGGTATATGAGAAAAGCTTATGGTAGAAAGCACTTGCCTTGGGTTGTGAGCTTAAAAATGCTATTCTCGCTCGTTGGCTCTACTGCAGACAGATAATAATCCTGTGGTGAGCATCCCAGGGCTTGTGCAATGCCAAGTTCTTCGCGCCAGTATGTGATATTTTTTGTGATTTCCTTTCCGAGGGGAGTATCAAACTTCTTTTCTTTGCCATTCACTGCATGGTATATGTAGGTCTTGCGGTTTTGATCGAGGTAGCGACGATGGAACGTGAGGTTGCTTGGCGTTAAGTCGGTAGCATTGAAACCGTTGTGCTTATCAATGAAAAGTGTATGCTTTTTAATGCCCTAAATGATAGTTGTATAGTGAAATGATAGCGTACCCATGTACGCACGTTGTATAAAGCGAGTTTAGATCCACCACTACTATCACTTTTACTGAGTATTTTTTTTCCTTTCTTATTGATGGAAAAATATATGTAGAATGCTTCCTCTTTTTACCTCAATAGAAAAGAATCCGACTGTCTCTAAATATCGACCAGAGGCAATGCCTGCAGCCCAGCCATCGTAAACAGCGAAATCGCGCACGTGCACGTGACCGCCGATTACAGCGATAGGAATGTAAGGACAATGCCGACGGATTGCCTTAAGTGCGACGTTGAACTCATCAAAGCGAATACCGGTATGCCCCGTCAGCGCCTAGTTTACCAGTATTGTTGATTTAAAATCATCGTTACATGTTGTGCGAAAGACTCTTTTTGCTCCGATGATAGACCACCACTGCAAGGAGAAGCTAAGCAAAAAAAAGATATATTTGCCGCTTACGATGATATCGGGCGTGTACGACGTTAAAGCTTCGGTGAACCATGGCTCAAGTACTTCGTCTTCAACCTTATGTACGACCGAGTTATCTCCGTTACCCGTGAAGTCGAATAAGAAACCAAAGGCTAGTACACGTGTGCCGAATTCACCTTCGAAATAGGTGTATTTATTTCTGGATGTCGCAGTATGTGGTAATGTTGTACATACAGCACAACAACAACAAAGATGAGAAAAAAGGAAGAGGCACAGAAAACATGAAAGTTCCAATCACAGCCATCTCTTCTGGTGTGTTATTATCATCATTATCATAGTTACCCAAGCGGAACCGTCTTGTTGTTGTTGATATCTTTAAAGTAAACGTTTGATGCCAAGTATCGACCATTCCAGGATGGCATGAAACTGTTGTACACATCTTCCGTGACTTCGTGGACTGATTGTACGTTAGCAAAAAAAGTATATTAACGTATGAGACTTAAACATACCATAGAGTTCGTGGTTTCCTATTTTAGCACACAATGTAAGAAGCTTCATGATCATAAAGTTTTGAATATGTTTGTTGTTGTTCTTTTTTTTGTGGGAGGAGATAAGGGGTCGTATTACCAATGGCGAGAATGTCATAGGGAATTTTTTTGAGCATTGCTTGGCTCACTTTGCCTGAAGGGTTTGTCACGTCACTGAGTCCGTTGCCATCGTGGGTGTCGCCAGTATCGACGACAAACAAATCCCTTTTCAAATGCTTGGCTTGTTCTTTCATGCGCACCTATTATTGACAGGATTAGAAACAGGAATGTGATAAACAGGAAGTGGTTATAAAGTGGCGAGTCTAAAAGTAAAGGTATTCTTCCACCACTGTACGTTATCATCGCTTTATCACTATTGTGTAGGATATACAAATACTACTATACTTGCAACGAAAGAGTAGAAATCGCCGAGATCGCCATTATAAGATGCTTCCATCAAATGTCCCTGTTAAGAAAATGAAATGAGAATGTTCTATCTTGTTCAGTGCTTCACGTTGTGTTCGCTACCGCTCTTTATGCTACAAATACTTACAGCTAACCACCCGTGCGTGTCCGTGGTATGAATGAACTGAACATCGCCCCATTCCAACGGTTTAAGCTTCAACTCAGGAGTTTCAGGCACACCCGGCTGCTCACGCTTCCTCAGCGTCGGATGGGCCTCAGTTATTGTTCTTGACAACAGTAACGAAGCAACCGCAAGAGTGATTGTAGCCAGCGCAGTAAATGTGCAGCGCATGATTTCCTGGTTCGCAACAGCCGAGATACAACAAGAAAAGCACGAAAGGGTGGGAAGGCGTTTCACACTGGAGCTTTTTTTCACATCCTTTCCTTTTACACGTGATCTCTTGGCTTACATTGGAGCCAATCAGAAGGCTATATAAGAATTCTTAAAGAGGCTAATGACGGTATTGTATAAGCTCCTACGTGTAACATACTACATGACTACAAACATCATTAAGAACATAGTACAGTCGTTCCAACGCCAAAGGGCGGTTTTTTAAAAAAAAGGGCGGCCAAAAAAAAAATTCGTTTTTTTTTAAGATGAGTACTCGCTTTTACACTCTTTTCCAAAATCAAAGTCGTACCCCGCCAGTTCTGAATTCGCATGCTTGCCAAAATCAAAGTCGTATGCTTCTATTCATCACGGCTAAAGATATCTCTAAATATATCGAGTCTCGAGGATATCGATGTGCCTACCTTCCGTCATACTTTCCTGAACTCAATCTATTGAGCAATTTTGGTCGGTTGTTAAGAGCAAAGTTAAGCGCAGTAGGTTGTTGGAAAGCAAGACGTTGATGACATGAATCGGCGAAGCATCCAATAGCTTAAGGTTGAGTGACTTCGAAGGTTTTGTTTCTCATTCTTATAGATGCTTAGACAAGTGTCGTAATGAGAACAACTATGATGCTCTTTTTTCTCAGTACTTTACGAAGTAAAAAAAAATTGATGAGAAATCTAGTAGGATAATTTAACCATGTCAACTTAATGTAACCAAACGCTAGCTCAATGTAACCGATGTCTGCTTAATGTAACCGATGTCTGCTTAATGTAACCGATGTCTGCTTAATGTAACCAAACGCTAGCTCAATGTAACCGATGTCTGCTTAATGTAACCGATGTCTGTTTAATGTAACCGATGTCTGCTTAATGTAACCGATGTCTGCTTAATGTAACCGATGTCTGCTTAATGTAACCGATGTCTGTTTAATGTAACCGATGTCTGCTTAATGTAACCGATGTCTGCTTAATGTAACCGATGTCTGTTTAATGTAACCGATGTCTGCTTAATGTAACCGATGTCTGCTTAATGTAACCGATGTCTGTTTAATGTAACCGATGTCTGCTTAATGTAACCGATGTCTGCTTAATGTAACCGATGTCTGCTTAATGTAACCGATGTCTGCTTAATGTAACCGATGTCTGTTTAATGTAACCGATGTCTGCTTAATGTAACCGATGTCTGCTTAATGTAACCGATGTCTGCTTAATGTAACCGATGTCTGTTTAATGTAACCGATGTCTGTCTAATGTAACCGATGTCTGCTTAATGTAACCGATGTCTGCTTAATGTAACCGATGTCTGTTTAATGTAACCGATGTCTGTCTAATGTAACCGATGTCTGTTTAATGTAACCGATGTCTGTTTAATGTAACCGATGTCTGCTTAATGTAACCGATGTCTGCTTAATGTAACCGATGTCTGCTTAATGTAACCGATGTCAGCTTAATGTAACCGATGTCAGTTTAATGTAACCGATGTCTGCTTAATGTAACCGATGTCTGCTGTTTAATGTAACTGATATCAGTTTAGTTACGAGTTTGAGCTTAATGTATGGAGCAAGTGGAAACCATGGTGTTGCATAATTTGGGCAAGGCAGATGATGAGAAAAAAAAGTGTGTTTTGTTGGTCATTTCATGCCTTTGTTACATTAATGATAAATATGTTAAAAGTAAAACGTTAAGTTTGTTGAAAGTCAAAAAAAGAAAGATGAAGATTTATTAAAGTGAAAAAAGAGGATGTATTATACTAAAATAAAAGAGTGAAAAAGGGTCTGGTTTTTGACATTATATTTGACAGTGTTTGATCTGAATAAATTATATGCTACACCGTATCAGATAAAAGGTGGAGCACCCTTTAAATAATAATCATTGCTAAAGATATATAGCCGGTATATCAATTAAGCTTGTATTTATCACATTTAAGCTAAGATCAGTTACATTTACAATAAGAGTCAGAGTTGAGTTTAAAAGGGACACAAGATAAAACTAGAATAGAACATTAGGCTGAAACCAGTCACATTAAGCTGACATCGGTTACATTAAGCTGACATCGGTTACATTAAGCTCAGTCTCATAACATTAAGGTAGCCCTTTTTTTTTCTTCTTTTTTCATTGTATTGCAATGACAACATTGATCACGAAAGGGCAGGCAGCGTGTTTGGTGCTAGGAGAGTCAGTAACGGAAGCAAATCATGTGAAGTGCAAAGCCATTGTTAATGGGACACCATTTGATATTGTTTATACGTCGGAGAGAGGCAACACACGACCCATTGCCATTGGCAAGGTAGTCGCTGAACGCGATCCCTTTACATATCTTAATTACCCTGATACACCACCTCCTTGTCACGTTGATTCCCCCAGCTTTATTGAAACAAACGACTCCAGTATACCTAACGGAAGCAGCAGCTGTGCACTAGATAATGTTGAAAGCAGTAAACTATCAAAGTATCAATGGCAACCATTACTTTGCTTTAATGCAAATCCTTCTTCTTTTTTTTGTAGGTTCCAGCTCGTACAAGTCAACAGACAGTTATAATGGTAACAAAATCGAGAGCAGCGCAATATTTTATTTTTGTATATTTACTCTAGTATTTTTTTCTAGTCCTTAAACCAACAAAAGCTAGTGTCATGGACCTTCTGCGCATCTTTTTGACAGCAAACCCAGCTAGTAGTGTCAAGAATCATTATGATCTCAAGTCATTAACTGAGAAGGATATCTTCAATCTAGTGATAGCCAATATACCGAATGTTGGTGATTCGTTTACTGCTAACCAGATCAACAAATGGCTAACTACTGATGGATATAATGGCAAGAAGCGGCAAATGGTAATTTTAAAAGAGCGATGATATTCTAAATTTGCATAATAATTTTTTTAAAAATTGAATTTTTATAATATATATAAAACTAATATCAAAATGGAAGAGACACATAAAAAATTTACATCAAAATTTAAAAGATCAATTATAATTAATTTTATGATTGAAAACAATATTAAAAATGTTAATATTCTATATGATGAAAAAAATAAACAAATTGATTTTGAAATATCATATAGTAATGAAAATGGTCAACAAGGAGAAAAATATCAAGAATATTATAAAATAACAAAAAGAAGAGGAAGTAAAAGAAAAAAATATAATAACAATAAAACAAAAAATTTATCAACACCATCTGTTACAGATGATAGTTCATTAGAAGGTAATGATGTATTAGTAAGTAATGAAAATTATAATAGAGAAAAAAAATATTGATGAGCTATTAACAGATAATAGTGAAATAGAAGATAATAACAATGATAGTAATAAACGAAGTCTTTCAAATCTTAGTACTCCTGATATTAGTAATACAAAAAAGAAAAGATATAATAATAATAATAAATGTAGAAATTTTGAGTACAATGGATGCTATGTAAAAGAAGATAGTAATAGAACATATTATGAATATTGTTTAGAAGATGGTTATTATACAGATGATGGTAATTCAGATGATAATAATTCAGATGACGATAATTCAGATGATAGCAATAACATTGATAAAAATTTTCAAAGAGATGAATATTGTTTACAATTATTATACAATATATTAATGTATGAAAAACAATTATTAAGTGAAAATAATACCAATAAATTAAAAAATGTGGATATAATATCTGATAGAATAAAGAGTATTTTTATTGATCTTGGATTTTCATTTGATTTTCATTATAATACATAATAACTGTTTTTAACATTTCAAACAAATTATGATGATATCTTTTTCTAAAAGCATAATCTAAAAAATACAATGTATATAGCTTAGAATCTTTTTTTATATTGGGCATATGTTTTCTTAAATGCATCCAAAAACCTTCTATACTGTTAGTATATATTGTTGAATCATTTAGATCCACAAAATATTTCGAATGATCAACTGCTTTATGAATATATCCCATCTTGTTTAAGCTTGTATAAGATCGTAAGCCATCAGTAATTATAGTTGTTCCTTGATAAACTTGATCCTTGATTATTAGTAATAATGTTGACATTTTTCGATTTTGAACAGGCACCAAAAAGAACAGATTTGAATTTCTTTGATAACCACCTAATATCCACATATGTTTTCTGTATCGTTTATGCTTTGCAGTAGTAATTTTTGTTTTGCCAAAACAGCATTCGTCGATTTCAACAATTTCATCTTATCCACCAATTACATTTTTCCATAACTCTTGATTGTTAAGGATCCATGTTTTTAACGCAAAGCGTATTTTTGAATATAATCGTGTAACTGTTTCATCATCGATTCCCATTTGTAGAGACACTTTTATAGGAGAAGGATCTATATAAAAAACAAATTAATATTATATATGTTATATTATAAAAGATATATACCAATCATCCATTGCTGTAATGATTCTACTATTTGTATTGGTCGTAGATTTGTTTTTTCAAATAATGTTTCGGCGAATACACCTTTTCTAATATTATCTGGATAACAATAAAATCGATATCTTTAATAATATTTTCCAATGGATAATGGTTTTTTGCATTTTTTACAAATAAAAGGTTTTATAAGTCCTTGCTTTTGTAAATAGATTATAGCTTGTTCATCGTCGTAAAGTATTCGAAATAGTGTTTCATTTGATTTAAACATTTTGATAAAGAAAAAGAAAAAAAGTGTTTTATGAAAAATCAAAAAAAAAATTTTTATATAACTTTATATATTTTGTGTAACTTACCAAAGAACGTTTGTAACTGGAATTTTGGTCAGCCGAAGTCCACTCGTCAAGGGTGTGATATGATCAAAGCCAGAAATCTATGGGTGCTGAAACCTGAATCTATGGGCAAGTTGAGAAAAACCACTCCTTGGGTAAATGACTAACCTTTTTTTGGGGAGGGAAATAGGAGATGCAATGGATAGAACGTTCAATCGCAAAACATTTCAGCAAATGACACGACAATTAACGGGTTGGATAACTGTCAGTTACTGCAGGAAGTCACCATCAAAAGAAACACCACAAAAACATCTAGAAGTATTACAAAAAATGGTGAATAGTTTACACGTGAATGACCTTTGTGAAAAAGTATTTGTTTCGCCCATTTGTCGAGCAAGCTCAGACCTTTTGACAAGAGATGTATCCCCTACTGCTACTGCCCAAAGTATTTCGAAACAATTGCGATTCCAAAATGGTGACATGCAAGGTAAAAAAAAAAAAGGTCCACAGCGCCAGATCCTACCATTAATTTTCCACTTCCTTTCTTTTTCCTCTCTTCGTATAGATTTCCTTATGTTTGCAAAAACAACGACTTCGTCCATTCGACTGGTTGTGCTCGACTACGCTGGCCTCTGTACAAATCCCATGGATGTCCGCACCTTTTTCAAGTATATAGAAACAGATCTAGTTTATGATGGCCAAGCATATGTATTGATTTCTTTCTTTCTTTATAGGAATGTTAAGACAATTGAGCAAATTGTGATTGATCATGGCCACAAACTAGAGTCATTTAATTGAGCTGAACTGAATAATCTCAAGGTTTTCTCAAAATTTGATTGTCGCAAGGCACCTGTAAAACGATCAAGTCTTTAGTTGTCTATCAATACTTCTCCATCACATCAATTTGTCTTTTTTACTTATGTGCATATTTCTTCTTCCCTATACAAAAATTGAGTTTTTCCATATATGCCCATTCATATATCAATGTTCTATGAAATAAATTTCTATTTTTCCCAAGGCTCTTTGTTGCTCATACAGTATACGATTGTGGGTCCCAATACCAAATAGGTAACATAAAAGGCCTCACCCGTGATAAATACAAGCTTGATGTAACAAAGGCATGAAATGACCAACAAAACACACTTTCTTTTCTCATCATCTGCCTTGCCCAAATTGTCCAACACCATGGTTTCCACTTGCTCCATACATTAAGCTCAAACTCGTAACTAAGAGCAAGTCCAGCGGACTAGCTAAATTTTCCTCTATTTTCACCACTCGCTATTCCAATTATTCTTTTTGGCGAGTCAATTTTTACAGCGGACTAGCTATTATTGCCGACTAGCAATAGCGGACTTAAATTGTGTGATTGTCTTTTTGCGTTCCTGCGTATTTGTTTGTTTCCTGCTTTCTCTCTCCCATCTTATATTAAATATGCCTAACTTGAAACGCCTCATGAACCTTATTGTTGACGAAGAAGAAGAAGAGCAGCGTCGCATCGCTGTGTTCAAACGTCGTATGGAAGAGATCGACCATATGATCCAACAGGAGTATGCGACAAAGAAGAAGCATCGTGGATCTGTCCCTGGCCGTCAAACGACTCACCGAGATCGCATCGCAATGGATGCACGTCTGTTCAAAGACTATTTTGCCGAAGATCCGGTGTATCCGGCGCATATGTTCAGAAACCGGTATCGAATGGATCGAGACCTGCTGTTGCGCGTGATGGAGGGTGTGAAGCAGCAGGACGATTATTTCGTCCAGAAACGCGACGCCGCTCACAAACTCGGCCTCTCGTCGTATCAAAAAATTACTTCAGCGATGAGACAACTCGCGTATGGTGTCCCAGCAGATGCAACCGACGAGTATGTGCGCACGGGCAAGTCGACGGCGCTCGAATGCCTCAAACGGTTCTGCGCTGCAGTTATTGCTGCTTTTGGCGACGAGTACTTGCGCACGCCAAACGAGGATGATATCCGCAAGATCTTGGCCTTCAATGAGAAGCGTGGCTTTCCAGGCATGCTCGGCTCAGTGGACTGTATGCATTGGAGATGGAAAAACTGCCCCACCGCATGGCACGGGCAGTATTCTGGCAAGGAGAAGGCACCCACTGTGGTATTGGAAGCTGCTGCCACTCATGACTTGTGGATCTGGCATGTCTTTTTTGGGTGCCCCGGCACATTGAATGACATCAATGTGCTCGAGCGATCGCACCTCTTTACCGATCTTGCTGCTGGACGCGCGCCACCAGTGAATGTCTCCATCAACGGCCACGAGTACAACATGGGGTACTATCTGGCCGATGGAATCTACCCTCGCTGGGCGACGCTGGTCAAGCCCCTTTCGAACCCGCATGGAAAAAAACAACAGGTATGGAAAAAATTCCTTATTCTTTTACTCATGATAAATGATAGTTCTATAGAAGGACAATGGCTAGTTGAAGGCTGCTTTCTGTGGAGCATATCTACGATCATTTGTGTTTATTTAAAATGAAGACATTAGTTACGAGTTTGAGCTTAATGTATGGAGCAAGTGGAAACCATGGTGTTGGACAATTTGGGCAAGGCAGATGATGAGAAAAGAAAGTGTGTTTTGTTGGTCATTTCATGCCTTTGTTACATCAAGCTTGTATTTATCACGGGTGAGGCCTTTTATGTTACCTATTTGGTATTGGGACCCACAATCGTATACTGTATGAGCAACAAAGAGCCTTGGGAAAAATAGAAATTTATTTCATAGAACATTGATATATGAATGGGCATATATGGAAAAACTCAATTTTTGTATAGGGAAGAAGAAATATGCACATAAGTAAAAAAGACAAATTGATGTGATGGAGAAGTATTGATAGACAACTAAAGACTTGATCGTTTTACAGGTGCCTTGCGACAATCAAATTTTGAGAAAACCTTGAGATTATTCAGTTCAGCTCAATTAAATGACTCTAGTTTGTGGTCATGATTAGGGATCCGCACGGTTCGGTTCGGTTCGGTTCTTGAAGGGAACCGAACCGAATCGTCTAAAGCAAGAACCGAACCGACTAGAACCGACTAGAACCGACTAGAACCGACGAGAACCGTAGAACCGAAGAATCGAACCGAAGAGCCAAACCCTTCATGTATATAAAAAAGGCAAGATCCGGTATCTTTAAATGAAAGCTGATGTGTGTGTTCAAATGTCGCGGTATACTTGAATACTGCAGTAAAAAAGAATAGTTTATTATTGTACATTGAACAGCGATCTCAAAATGAATAAGAGAAACAGAATGTAAACATTCTTATACGATGTGGGTCATTGCATGGTTAAAAGATTGAAGCACAGTTTTTACAAAAAAAAGTGGAGCTTATAGTACTTACTTAGAGCGACTTAGTATTACTAGTACAATATGTTATCGTAACATTGGAGGAATTGAACCACAACCGGCAGTACATACAGCTGCTGTGTCTCTACGTGTGTATAGTGTATAGTGTCTCATAAAAGGCAAAGGGTGAATGGGTAAGATAATTCTGTTATGAGCCCCAGAATGCGCAATCTCAAACGGAATGCACAAACTTGATAAAACTGATCGAGAAGCCATAATAAATCTAGTAAAGTAGTACGTCATGGAGAAAAATGCATTGTGGGTAGCAAAGTAGAGGAACAAGTAATGATGTGCGTCATGGGCGGAGAAAGCAAGCTGCCGTCAGAAGAAGTGTTTTTTTATTTTTTTCTCTTCTCTTCTTTACTATTTTTCACTCCCTTCTGCTTTTGCAGGTTTCAATAAAGTATGGCTTGCAAATACACTACTTCGTGGTCTTTTCGAAATAACATTGTTCGTAACTTCCATTATAGCCTACTTTATACTAACTACCAAAATCGCTGATTGCAATCTTCTGCCTCTCGGTTCTTCGGTTCTAAGTATACAGAACCGGTTCGGTTCCGGTTCGGTCCTTGGTAGGAACCGAACCGTATTTTCTCGGTTTCGGTTCGGTTCGGTTCCGGTTCTACGGTTCTGATACGGATCCCTAGCCTTGCCCAAATTATGCAACACCATGGTTTCCACTTGCTCCATACATTAAGCTCAAACTCGTAACTAAACTGATATCAGTTACATTAAACAGCAGACATCGGTTACATTAAGCAGACATCGGTTACATTAAGCAGACATCGGTTACATTAAACAGACATCGGTTACATTAAACAGACATCGGTTACATTAAGCAGACATCGGTTACATTAAACAGACATCGGTTACATTAAACAGACATCGGTTACATTAAGCAGACATCGGTTACATTAAACAGACATCGGTGACATTGAGCTAGCGTTTGGTTACATTAAGTTGACATGGTTAAATTATCCTACTAGATTTCTCATCAATTTTTTTTTACTTCGTAAAGTACTGAGAAAAAAGAGCATCATAGTTGTTCTCATTACGACACTTGTCTAAGCATCTATAAGAATGAGAAACAAAACCTTCGAAGTCACTCAACCTTAAGCTATTGGATGCTTCGCCGATTCATGTCATCAACGTCTTGCTTTCCAACAACCTACTGCGCTTAACTTTGCTCTTAACAACCGACCAAAATTGCTCAATAGATTGAGTTCAGGAAAGTATGACGGAAGGTAGGCACATCGATATCCTCGAGACTCGATATATTTAGAGATATCTTTAGCCGTGATGAATAGAAGCATACGACTTTGATTTTGGCAAGCATGCGAATTCAGAACTGGCGGGGTACGACTTTGATTTTGGAAAAGAGTGTAAAAGCGAGTACTCATCTTAAAAAAAAACGACTTTTTGAAAATAAAAACCGCCTATTGAAAAAATGAAAACCGCCCTTTGGGTTTTTAAAAAACCGCCTATTGATATTTTAAAAACCGACCATTGAATTTTTTTATTGGCCGCCCTTTTTTTTAAAAAACCGCCCTTTGGCGTTGGAACGACTGTACTGTGCGGCGCGTGTTTTTTGGTGCCGCCCTTATCGTAAAGCACTCTCCTCTTTTTTAATTGTCAGCTTGTGTAATGCTCATGCAGAAACCAACCTCAGAAATAGCTTCTAGAACTCACGCGTACTGTCGTGCAACCGATATTCTATTGATAAATTGTGAAAGTAGCCCTTGAGTTAGACCTTTTTTTTCGGTCCCATCCGTCTATCTCTTTTTATACCTTTCACCAATAGAAGATGTAGCACTCGAATAATGAGCCCACCCATTGTAGATTCGAATTACCGATGCATGTCCATTCGCGTTGTTGATCACTGCTTGCTACGCTTATGACCGCCATTCCTTCTTTCAACTGGCGATAGCGACGAGTATTTTGTTTGACCGGTGGTGAGAAGATGTCTGTGTGTATGATTGCTCATCGCTCTTATGCACTTATATTCGTTCGTCAGCTTCTGCATTATTAACTGAATTAACATCGCGTAACACTCACCGTAGTCATCGATCGATCGTAGCATCATTTAGTTCAATGTAGATTATTAATTTTCTATGGAAGACTTAGTGACGTTGTGCATTTGGACGCTTCCTTGAGGTACAAATAGGGGAGAAGATATACAAATGAGGGATATGTACCACAATTGGACTAACCCCGTATAATGGGAAAGAAGTTAGGGTGGAGTAGAGACTGCGGAAGGTTGAAATCGAAGGTTGAAAGTGTTGAGAGACTAGGTAAGAGAATAAAAGAAATCATTGAAAAAAGAAGGGACAGTAATGAGAACGATAAGATAGACATAAGGAGATATGCTGTAAGGACGAGTATACGTGTGTGTGTGTCTAGAGGAGGGCATCCTCTGAAGCAGGTTCTGGATCCGGTGCATCACAGTCAACACCTGGATGGCTGAGGTGGTCTATTTCGCGCAGGACACGCGTAGCACCAAAACATATTTATTACACTCATCATTCAGTCAGCTAATCTGACTTTCTCTGTTTGTTTTGTTCATTGCGCGTGCAAATAGAAAAATCGCCGCTTGGCTCCTTTTTATTATCATTTACTACAGTCTTAGTTAAAGTGAGATTCACAGAACATTTGGTCCAGAAGAGATAAAGTTATGATCCTGTCTGTTATATAATGAATTGGTGAGGATTGTGTACGAGTGAGACTAGCTCTACTTTGCTCTCTAGAATGGAACCACATAATGCTCCGTATTGAAATAAACCATGGTGTGATATATAAAGAAGGGTCTAAAATAATGTCAATGCAAAAGCAAACTTTACAGCGCCCAACAACAATAACCTTTACCATCGTTATGGCGTTTGTTCAGTTACCTGAAGTGCGTTATGACAACAGCAACAACAACAGTAACAACAGTACTGGTGATGATACCAGTCTTAATCACAATCATCATCCATCAACAACAACGATGATGGACCAGCAAAAAGCATCCCACCAGCACCAGCAGCAACGGCAGGGACAACAGCAGCAACAAATGATTACTGCTGGGAATGATGATCAGCAACAAGGAGGATACAAGAATATGAATGGGTTGCTACCTCCATCATGGAAGCAGAATCTATTCACCACAGAGCAGAACCCACAGCCACTCGAACCACCAGTTTTATCACCACCTTATCAAGATGAAGGAATTCGTGTGATTCGGCAAATGCCTCCACCACAGTATCAGCATCAGCAACAACAACAACAACAACAAATGGAATACCAACAGCAGCAAGTGCAGCAGCAAACAATACAACATCAGCAATTTCAGCAGCCCCACCCGCAACCACCACAGGTTCAGCCAAACAATAGAATGACAACAGCACCGTACGATATCTACTTTAACCACCAACAACAGCAGCATCAACGACAGCACAAGGACGAAATGATTGCCACTTCATCCGTAGCAGCAACTACAAGACGCCCACAAAGAAAGCGTAGACGCCCTCCTCATTCATACGCGTCCATGATCGCCCAAGCCATACTGACTTCGGCTGAACATAAGCTAACATTACGCGATATTTACGACTATGTTCAAAAACGATATCCACACATGTATGAAGCCAACGAGCCAGGCTGGCAGAACACAATTAGGCACAACTTGTCGTTAAACCGCTGCTTCCGTAAATTATCACGCGCCAATGGTAGCAAGTCCAAGGGTAAAGGCGGTTATTGGTGTATCGATATTGACGAGTTGAACAACACGACGTTTGGAAACCAGATCCTTACCAGCGGCGCATTGGGGTCATACGAATATTGGCGTCAACGATTACATCATCAACAACAACTCCTCATTCACACTGCATCATCTTCGTCGACACGGAGTAGTATATCATCAACAGCATCGTCATCCATTGATGGTACACCAACAAGCACAATGACGGCCACTACAGATGATTCGCTACCTTCGGAAGAATCTTTGATTTCTTCCACTACCACTACAGGGTTCCACCATGCTCCTCCTCCTTCGGATTTGGGTATTGCCTTTGCAGCGCCTCATCATGCAAGGAAACTATGGCCCAACTTCTAATTTCTCTCCTTTCTTTTCTCTGACATTCTCTTAGTTTTTAATCCGCATATATCTATTTTACACATGGATCATATCACCCTTTGCCTTTTACTATAGTATATCACTTGTGATGCTGGCTCGTCCCAGGAATTTAATCATTATGTAGAAAAATAGCTAGTTAGCTTATATATCAAAAACATTCATTATTATGCCATGTTATTTTTCACGCTATTAAAGAGAAACATACTAACAATAGTGGTATTTGATGTACCCAGCGTGAAAGTACATATTGTAAAAATTTAGTGACAGAGCTATAAAACATATATTATCATCTGCCATATGGGTATTACTGTAATGACAAATGAGACAGCAGCAAGTTACCTGATCGCTTGTTATATTTGTTGTTTCGTCGTTTGTAAATTAACGATAGCTTCTTTCTTCTCCTTTCATGAGCAAAACACTTCTTCACACTCAGCATTATCAATCACCAAAGGGATGAGTGAAGCAGATCTATTACTATAAATTAACATCTTTTGACTGACATTCATGATGTCACTAATCGATAGTCCTAGTAGTAGTGTTTTTGCCAAGGATATCGTTCTTCCGCTACTGGTCTAAATTATGTTATGTACCACGCAATATAAAATATATGCTAGCTAGTTTCAATGCTCTCTTTATCTCTGCTACAGCAGTACATTAGTACCATGTGCATCACATAGCAAGCATGACGATGAGTCGAGATTCGAACCAGAGACGTGTTTAGCTCTTGGAAGCAAATATTTTAAGTACGGCACCTGTCGAAACCAATCTGTAGTTTTCACGTGGCATTCAACGAATACAAACCATCATAAAAAAAGAGAACTGTCATGTTTGTGTTATGCATGTTTTATGTGGTAATCACAAGGTACATACTTCTCTTCGCGGAAAAAATTCCAGTAAACTGTATCAAGGATTACCGAGGCGTTTATTTGCTTTTTAAAAACAAACATCATATATGATCAACATAAGACAACGATTTAGGTATTCGTGGGAGTTTTTGTTTAACAGTATAAGATTACCCATTATAATGATAGTCTGCATCCACACAAAGACGCAACGATGCCGTTTATTGACGGCAGTATATAACTACTATGCTACACCAGGTGATTAATGCTGCACATACTTGAAAAAACAGAGAGAATGCGTGAATGTATTATGTGATAAGAACACCGAGATCGACAAACAGGTAATCGCCCTGTCAATTACTTAAACCCCTTTTAAAGTCTGCTCGGGGCCTAAGTTTGTGAAAAATTTTTTCCATTTTGTATGTAAACAGATATACTTTGTGTTCTACTCTTATATGATATACCAATTCTGAAGCAATAGTATAACAGATGCTTGTATTCTTCTTTTCTTCTTCTACTTGTTGAGTATTTTACACATATTTTTCTTTCCTTATGACTGATGATCGAGCCGAATCCAATTCCAATGAGAGACCAACAATTTATCCTCTCCAAGATGCTGAGAAAGGTGGCGAGTCATCTCTCAGATTAACAAAGAGCGGTAAATATCAAAAAAGCGCCAAACGATATGCGTGTCTTTTCTGTCAATTCATTGCTTTATGCACATATATTATTACTGCTATAGAGCAAAACTACGAAGATCATCAAAGCGATGATGGAGGGTATGGATGGTTCGTAGTCGTTGGAGGATTCATCATTCAGCTCACCACATTTGGTACCTCAACTTGTTGGTAGGTCTTGTACAATCTTATTTAACTGAGAATTATACCTAGAAAATAAAACTGATTGATTAAAAAGGGGAATCATGCAAGATCATTATGAGCGCATCAATTTTAGACATATACCAAATGCTCAGCTTCAGCTAAGCTTTACTGGAACCGTGATGGAAGTCATGACTCATCTCTTGGGACCCTTAGCGCAAATCATTTCATCACGATACGGCGTCAAAGTTGTGCTTATAGTAGGGACAATACTTACAAGTCTTGGCCTTGAGCTTGCAGCGTTCAGTACAGAGGTATGCTTGTCGGCTTTTTTGCTCGGTATCTAAAATGCAAGACTGCTTCCTTATTGTCAGCAGGCTGGTAAGAAAGTAATACACATATCATCTAATAGCTGTGATAAACTGTGTAGATTTGGCACTTGTATTTGACACAAGGTGCTATTTTCGGAGCTGGTGCATCATTACTTTTTACTGTAAATATTTCTTACGAAATTGTCTAACATATCTACCAGCTGTTGGTTTTTTTTATGCTACAAGAAAATGATGGCTAAGATTTTTCTGTTTATCAGACTGCACTGAGTGCTCCTCCACAGTGGTTCAATCGTCGACGTGGACTGAGTCTTGGTTTGGTGTCCTCGGGTACTGGCGTTGGAGGGCTAGTTTTACCGTTTGTCATGACTGGACTCAATAATGCTCTAGGAGCCACATGGTAAGAGAAACTTTTAAACATATCACATTTGAATGATTTAAAATGAAGCGATCGAGGAGAATCAAAACTCACCTAATGCTGCTATCCTACTTGTATATAATGTAGGACCTACAGAATATGGGGGCTTATATGTTTTGGTGCCAACATTATTAGCTGCTTTCTGATCAAGGAAAAGAATCAGCGCTGGTCCTCTTCAAACAAGCGGCTTAGTGAAGTGTTTGATCTGTCAGTGATACGAGACATGAACTTTATTGTCTGGCTTGTCGGATCGGTCATTGCTTATAGTGGTTTTTTGGTACCATACTTTTTCCTACCATGTAAGTATATACCCCCATGATGAGATTGCAAGCAAGAAAGGAATGACTTGTGCACTGACCAAGTATTATCTACTCGATATGTACAATATCCAAGCTTATGTAACACATCTGGGTATGTCTAGCACAGATGCGTCTGTGTTTATGGCTGCATTATCGGTCAGCAACATTATTGGGCGCATTTCTGTAGGGTGAGTTTGAGTGCTATTTTATCTTTGTTAAGCCGTCGTTTGGACATACAATGCAAATGGGATGCATGCTCTGTCAACTTACTTTTTCCCATCATTATTTACACCAGTTTTATCGGCGATCGAATTGGTAGATTAAATGCACATCTGATCTTTACCATGGCTTCCGGTCTAAGTTCTCTACTTATTTGGACGTTTGCCTATTCCTATATTTCAATCATGTCATTTGCTTTGATTTTCGGTTTTTTTTGCAGCTCATACATTGCATTACGTAAGTTTGTTTTATTTCTTACTGCTGTTTAAAGTCCTGCAGTGGGTTTTACTAATCTGTCGTTGTCTTTAAATCAGTCTCTCCAATCACAGTTGCTATCCTTGGAATGAGAAAATTTCCTACAGGTCTATCTGTTTTGTTGTTGGCAAATGTGGTTTCAGTCTTTGGACCTTCACTGGCTAGTGGACTTGAAAGCGTTTTTCAATCGGCTGAGCCATACATGGTGTACAAGATGTTCACAGGTGCAACTTATTTGACAGGTGCTCTTTTCTTATTAGCCCTTAAAATAAAGATAGCGGGTGGATTAATGACAAAAATATAGTACACCCGTTACCCTATCTCTCGAAACCTCTTCTGTATCTCCTCCTCATTCAACTTTCACAAAACAATATGTGACAAACCTTTTGTCACGCAATACATTAATTACTTCTTTAACACCTTGGGCATATTCTCTGATTCGCGCAACTTCCCCTGAATTCCGGCATTTGCAATTGCAACTCAATGCATAGAGATCTCTTTTTTGGCAATTTTTGTACTCACTCACAATAGCCATAATGGGATTATTATATTTGCGTCAAGTTCTAATGTAATTGATCAAAAAGTTAACTGCTTGAAAAGAAGAATAGCTGACGTATAACTGATTCATGTTTATCTACCTGCTATATGCAAATCGATTGTTTCGTTGGCGTTCTGAGCGACGGATGATTGAAAAGGACGAAACAGAGGGAGGGAAATGGGAGGGAGAGCGAGGACTGTTGGCAATAGAGGAAGGTCTTGGGTATCGGCCATAAGCGTTACGCTTGTATTCTCAATGCATTACTCACCTTGATTTTAAAAAGGTGAAGTCCAAAAACATGATCCAAGTGGCAACAATCCTACAAATTACCCATAACATTCACAGTTTCTTGGAGCAGTCGGTCAACGATTTACGTATCCTTGAAGATGCCAAAATTCGAGTCGCGCGTGATGACGGAGGGTCCGATTCATCCAAGAACTGATAGACTACGAAGACCATAATTTGAAGCATAATTGTCGACAATGTCGATCGTGACTATCAATTCTTGATACTCAGGGCAAAGGTAACGGATGTTACTATTAAAAAGAGGAACCTTTAACATGTTTATGATATTCCAAGAACAGCTGATGAGTTCAAAGTAGGTGAAAAGGCAATTGTCAACACGTTGATGATTAAATCTACTTTATTTTTGTCCACTTGCTAATTATACAAACCGTTCATACATACTTCTTTACAACCACTTCTGACTTCTTGTGATAGGGACATGATATCGGCGAGCCAACAGATTTTTAACACCTAAAAGCGTTCCATGGGGTATATCTTTTTTGGTTTGGATGAACACCACTTGGTCGGCGCAGATTGCACAGAGAAGCTATGGGAAATAATCTGTGGTGACTTTGCGACTGACGTCAACACAACCATCCATATATGCAAGCCGGCCAGATCAGCAATTGGCACTGCCATAAGCAAATCAGCAAAAACGATTCCCTCTGGCGTTTTTGAAGGGAGTATCAGAGATACCAATGCGTGTATACTCACAATGTATATAGAACGTATAAAATTGTAACATACTGCTCTTCTCGATAGATGCCGTACGTTATTCAATCTCCTATGTACACTGGCCCTTCAGTAGGAAAGTGACGCGAGCGACCTAATTTCCTAAGTGCGACATGCTTATCAAAAATACCGTCCTCCGTCATACACTCGTAAGCGATACATTTAATCTAGTAATTGTATGCATATGAAGGACACAGTCGACGACAACATGTATACCGTAAATTTTCACCATCTTCGCCATATACATGAAAGCGTTTCGAAACTGAGCCCACAAGAGGGTATAGCACACGATCAGCTGAACACGCAATTGCTATGCTCTTTTCTTTTGCAAATAGGTTGTCATAAGCATTTATCCTGTACTCATGTTCCCCTCGCTTTTGCAACATAGGTTTCTTTAAAAGGCACGTCGAACAGCACGTGATCTCTCTGTGCCAATGCTTCCAAAACCATAAAATGCCAGTTATTCCTATGCACCTTTCGACGTACATATGTCGTAGAAGATGAAGTGCAAGAATCATAGCGAACCAGTATACCATTCCTGAAGGAAACGTCGATATATATTTATGGGCTTGGTGTTCAGCAAGCATCCATGACTTTGCGGAAAAGTACAACCTGTTTAAAGTTGTTCGAGTGTTGCACAGCACTCTAGACAGCAGCATCCGCAATGGCAATTCTTTGTTCAAGATCGACACCGTACACAGATGCAATGACTTATTAGGCACCGCAACGCTGCGACTCCCGACTGTGGGCAACTCCTCAACTATATTTTATGTGAGGTTTTCTTGGTTATGAAGGTATATTCTCGCGTACAATTTGTAATGTTTATGCAAAAGCTACTCACTTTTAACAGATCCAACGAATGACGAACGGCCTCTATGCTTAGTAAGAAATATACGGCAATCTATATGACCGAGTTTGGTACAGGATCAAGATTAAAATTAAGGCGTTCCATACATACATCGCACAAGTAAAAATTCCCGTGAATGCGACAACTTTCACACCACCAACATTGAAACTTCAAAGGTTACGCAGGTCATGAAACTGTTACGTATTTGATCTCATAACCATATTTGGATGTTGTGCTCAAACGATGTTAGGAAAATTGGGGAAGTTGGTATATGTCTGTTATACTTGTGGACCACTCCGCTAATCTCTTATTGTCTTTGGCTTGTTGATAAAGCATATCATTGACCGATGGAACACTCATATAAAAGTGAAGAATTTATCAACAATTGAAAGGAGCGCTACGATTCAGTATATGTTTATGGTATCATTTAGCTCTGCTATATTCAGAAAAAAATGATATCATTCCATCGATCATGAAAATGTTAATGAAGTTGATTACTGTTGCCCTGCCACAGATTAGGGTCGCACCGGGTTGGTAGTGGAGTTATCGGGATTGTTTTTTTCATGATCTATTATGTACTTAGGACCTGAAACAGTACGTAAAGACAAGAGAAGTTCCGGTATTTATATACATTTAAAGCTTGATTGTAAATTTCAGTGTATCATTATCTTCGTTGAGTTATTTCATGAATGTAGTAGGCATTACTGCTGCTGAAACTTTTACGAACAAGTACGTAACGAGTGAGTAGTACAAGAGCTGAAAAGATAGATTTCGCGTGCGAAAGTACAACATAATACAGTTATAATGCATGGCCTAGTAAACGATGTCGAAAATGTGTAGTTGTGATCAGGTCCATGTATGCTCAAGACAGAGCAAAGCGGTGTCTAGTTCCTAGATGAATGCACGAGTAGGATTGAGGGGAAGCAGCAGCAACAATAATCCTTATTCATCTCCTACACACACACTCTCTTACACGCACACATATTCGCGCACCTTTGAATCAGTCTAGATCACAAATAGATATTTAAGAATGTACTACTTGATCAACTCAAACATTTGGGTAACCAAACTACTTTTCGCCGAACCAATAAGCGGGGAAAAGGATTGCAAATGCCGAAGCAATGGCACAAAGCCAATGGGAGCGTACCCGATACCCGCGCTTTAAGCACATGCTTGCTTTTTTCCTAGTACGAGAAACCATGCTATTCCTCCAGAGGCAGTGGTAATGCAATATATGGTTATATTACTACGATAACGTCAATCATTTGATTGCAAGTATGATTCGTGAGCTAGATCAAGCAGTTTATTATCTCCTCTCTTTTATCAGTTGCGATACCTTTGCAAGGAAACCAATGTCAAGTTCATTATAGCTATTTATTAATATCCATTGGTGATGCAGTTGGCTACGTAGCTTTAAGAAGGTAAAGGTACATGCAGCTGCGGAAGCCAAGTACCATTAGCGATGGATGGTAACCCAAACAGATGAGTCACGACCGTTATACCTCTTGAGGAAGGTACTACACCTTTCTGTAAAAAAGAAACTTACCCACCCGTCACCACTAAGCAACTCCGCTTGAGTTGGAAAAGAAGAAAAAAAAAACTTTGGTTCGGGTTTTCTGTTCTTTTCGTTTTCACTGTATTTTATTTTATCCGTGCAAGACTATACATATGGCAAACGAGGTAGTCGACGATTCACAACGAAGACAATCTATTGCATCCGTTGCCACATTAACAAGCCTACCTACTCGAAGTGTTGAAGTTGTAGCTGCTGCTTTAGACGGTACCCTTTCGAAACAATCCTCTGCATCCAAGCACAGCAACCATGATGCCATAGGAACGAAAGAGAAAATTGGCTCAATTGCAGATAACGACGAAGAACAAGAAGAAGATCCGATCCCTGATGGTGGTTTATCCGCTTGGCTTGTGATTTTGGGTACTTTCTTTGTCCAGTTCACGGCATTTGGCACTGCTTCCAGCTGGTAGGCTATTTGGTTACTGTTTTGCTTCTTTCTCCTCGTTGTCCAGCCCAACGGTAAAAAAAAGTTGTTGTTGCTGCCGTCGTCTACTAGCTTCTAGTTTTTTTCTGTTTTTGTTATGTCCCAAAAGAAAGAGGTTGAAAAGCTAATATATGTTTCAATAGGGGTATGTAACAAAACGAATACATCATATGTAAATAAAGCTCTTAAAAATCAAGATAAATAAGCAATTTACTGATTATGTAATGTGTTGTTGTAGGTGTCATGCAAAACCATTTTGAACAACATGTCTTCAACCACGTACCAAATGCCCAGCTCCAATTGAGTTTTGCGGGTACGCTCATGGAAGCGTGCGTCGATAGTATGGGGGTTGTTGTACAACTTCTTGCGAACAAACTCGGTAGCAAAACAGTGCTCGTCATGGGCGCATTTCTTATGGTGCTAGGCCTTGAAATGGCAGGATTTACTACAGAGGTAGTGTATTGTTGCTATTTTGAAACTAAGACAAATGCATGCATATTATTCATGCTTGGGAATAACATAATATATTACATATTATAGATATGGCATTTGTATCTCACGCAAGGTATTCTATTCGGTACTGGAGCCTCATTCATGTTTGTGGTAAGTATCGTATGTTTAAAAGCATCTTGGCTCTTATGAAACTCTAAAGGAACAGCAAGCATGCCTTGTATTACACACTATGTTACTGATAAATGATGCGATAGATTGCTATGAATGCAAGCCCACAATGGTTTGATAAACGGCGAGGCCTTGCTTTAGGCTTGGCATCATCTGGCAGCGGCGTAGGCGGTTTGGTGCTTCCGTTTATCCTTACACCATTGAATAACTCTTTGGGCGTTGGCTGGTAACGATTTTATTCTGTTTTACATGCAACTTTTTACCAAGAACTAACGTTCTATTGTTATATTAGGGCTTATCGCATTTTAGGTTTTGTTATCCTTGCTTGTGCCATCATTGCGTGCGTATGTATCAGAAACCGTCCCACCTCATCTAACTCTTACGCCAAAAAGGAACCACAACGAAAAATACGTGAATTGTTCAACTTTGAAGTTCTAAAAGACCTCAATTATGTCTTATGGGTTCTCGGATCTATGATTGGCCTGATGGGCTTTTTTGTGCCTTATTTTTTCCTGCCATGTAAGTGTGCATCTTTTAGTATCATTAGACACCAGACATATGAAACAAGCTGAAAGTCTCGTTTTGCTCAACCGATTATCAATACATATAGCATTTGCCAACTATCTCGGCATTTCAAGCACAGATAGCTCAGTGATTGTGTCTGTCATGTCAGCATCCAACTTCTGTGGCCGTATTTTGATTGGGTAAGTACTGAGCACTAACAAAAAAGGGAGGCTTTGATTATATCTCATGATATAGTAACACACAATTAATTTATGCAAACAGTGTTGTAGCGGATCGTATTGGTAGACTGAATACAGATATTATATGCTTGCTAATCACTGGTATAAGCTGTTTGACACTCTGGATGTTTGCAAATTCCTATGAAATTCTTATGGCATTCGGTGTTGTCTTTGGCTTTTTCTGTGCCTCGTACTTTACTCTTCGTAAGTCAATGTAATTATGATTGAAAGAAAACGACACACCAACCTAACTTGCTAGCTTTCTAGTTTCACCCATTACTGCAACCATTCTTGGTATGAAGCGCTATCCCACAGGTCTTTCCATCTTGCTCCTGTCCAATGTCGTGTCTGTTTTTGGACCCTCGATCGCATCTGCTGTCGAGAGTGCTGTAGATGCTGAACCCTATTTAACCTACAAAGTCTTCACTGGAGTGGTATACATCTTAGGTGGTCTTATACTGTCGGTACTAAAGGTCAGAATGACCAAGAGTGTCTTTGCTAATATCTAGGTCTATATAGTTTTATTCATTCATGTGTCTGTAATAAAAAAGTTTTACGCTGTAAATATATTTCAGCGGGTGAAGTAGCAGCAATACAAGTGTATTGGTTCTTTCCTAATACTTTGCAGCTAAAACTACCCTCCGCAGCAAGGGCTATAGTCAGTGATAGAGGCTTGCAGTTGAGACTTTTTTTGTCGAACCGCAAAACCGGAAACCGCATAAGTTCGGACTAGCCCTAGCCGTTTCAAGAAAATCACGGAAACGGATTTCGGAAAATAACTTCTCCGAGCGTTTAATCATGTAACCGAACCAAAATCCATTTTTCTCAAAATGGAACCGCAAAATCAGCAACAAATCCAATCCCAAGAAACACCCGAGCAACTTCAACCGAAAAGATATAGTAATTGCAAATCTTATCGCCCTTTGCTATTTTTTGTTGGCAATAGACAAGATTACAACACGTGTAGAAAATGCCATCAAAGCCAAAGTGACGTCGGTAAACCAATCGCAGAGCAGTTACTCCTGACAGTGGACGAAGTACTCGAGCTGATTCCTTCGCGTCAAAATTTGAGGAACGTAGCCGACAGTCTCGAAGATTACAGCCTCGACGCGTATGTGCAACTTGACGACGATATGTTGGCGTTGTCAGATTCGCAACTTGTGATCAACATCCGGGATTGTATCCAGGCTGTTGACGGATACCATTACTACGAAGCATACCGAACAGAACCACGAAGAAAGTTCGGCTATTCTTTCCTTTTTCGATGCTCGCAAGATTTCCATGTGCAGGATCAAGCTGCCGTTCGTTTACGATTGTATCGGCGTATGCCAACTTTCTTGTGCAATGGCCGCATCAGCGGCATGGTCGGTAGAGTGAATGGTTACTTCCACTTGAACATCGAACACTCCTGTGGGCATGAGGCTGCACCTGCCGTCGAAAATAACGCCGTCCCGCAAAATGTACGTGCATACATCGCTGCAAATGCCATCGACTTGGATGCACAACAGCTGCATCGTAACATTATCCGTCAGTTTCGACAAGAAGCGACAAGAATAACGCAGGGGCAAGTGTATTACTGGGAGTGCCAGTCAATCTAAGACCGATATACACTGCACGACATCAATTCAGATCGGCAGAGACGCTCGTCGGCAGAGCCGCTGACAAGGGTGTCCGTAAGGTATGTCAAAATGTCCTAAATAAATATTAATACATGCGAGGATCGTGTATATGTTCACTTCGATGCGTTGAGAAATAGACAAGAACCATCAATATAGAACCAATAAAATTCAATAACCATTAAACAGATTTTCACCTCAGCACAAAACAGTAAGTATTTAAAAATGAGTGGTTATATCAGTAGTTGCACATGTCATGTTACGAAATTAGACAGATACAGAGAAGATATCAGCATGGACACTGCAAGAGAATGAATTTTGATATAAATAGATGGAAAGTTGCTTGGGGCGCGCAAGCTTTCCATGCAGAATTAATTAGATATAACAACTAATGATGCTAACCGTCCAGGGATGGAAGGCTCCATAAAAAAATTATTTGATACATAGTGTACAGAAGTTGAGATAATATAACAGAAAAGGCTACAGTACATAGCGTGCTATTTTATAAAGTGCGCGTGCGGACATGGCAGTGGATATTTATCAATAGAGCTTGATTAGCAGTGTATTTTGGAAAACGTATTTTGGTTCGGTTACATGATTAACCGCTCGGAGAAATTAACTTCCGAAATCCGTTTCCGTGAATTTTTTGAAACGGCTAGGTAGGCGCATAAGAGTTTCTCGTTCCGCAAAAGTAAAAATGGGGGGACGACCAAATCTAGTAGCATGTGAATTGAATTCGTACAGCCGACATAGAATCGTGCTGACAAAATAGCTTTCCCCACACTTTCATTTTCGGTCGAATGGCAGAAACCCAAGATTTAAAAGCACTGGCAAAGACGTTGTCTGACAGCTATTCTGCAATTTTGCAGCACACAACACATACAGAAGAAACGGTACTTTCAATTTTATTGCAATCGTCCACGGTGTTGTGTTGTTATTTTTCCATCGATGACTAATGAGCTTTATTGTGATGTATATTAGATTCGGCAGCATGTCGAGCAGCTTGCAAAATACAGCGACCACCTCCCACTTTCCTGGTTCACAGCACAACTGATTGAAGCATTACTAGCACTCAAAGATCGCAACCAACATGTGTACAATTTGTGGACAGTATGGGTACGACGGTTGTCAGGAGCGCCTGACGCCCTTGCTTCTGCCGAACCTCAACTCTCTCGTGTGTTGGATGCTATGCAACAAGCGCTCGTCGAGTTAGAAACACCGTTGGACATTCGAAAAGAAGCATGGATTGGCTTAATTGCTTTATGCGGCACAGCACCGCCTCAATTCTCGGATACGCAAATCATCCAGGCAATGACTCGTGTACTGAAACAATATGCAGAACACCCAGAGCTCGTTCAGTCTATGGGAGAAACCTTAGACGCTGGTATTGCTCATTGTCTGGCGCACACAACCTTGCTAAACGTATTCGAGGTGGATCATTGTGAGAGATTATTAGCCGCCTATGTCAAGTTGATTCCTCGTCGACCGCTTTCTGGTGCACCTGCTGCTATGGCAGCTATGCAGCACGTGGTAGATGTCCGTGTCAAGCAGAAACCGCAGACAAAGGTGAATGCTGACATGGAGACACTTGTTGCTTTGGTTAAAGCTGTCCCCGCAGAAGAGTCGTTGGAGATACAATTGGCACGATTGACTATTCTTGCCGGTGTAGTGTAAGTCATCTTATATATGCATGGATAGCGTCTCAGTTGGCTCATACATCAATTTCATATAAAATAATAGACGAATGCTCCAGTTTTCACAAGAGAAAGAAAAGACAAAAAAGATTAGAGGCATGCAAGAGCAACTGGAACAAAAGTTTGCAAAGCGTTTTGATTCGCTTGTGGTTGCCGTATATGACCATCCACAAACTGTTGCGATCAACCAAGGTGGGTTTCAACTTCCTCTATACCGTGCGTACTATGGGTTATTATGATGATATATACGGTTTGCGAATTGATCGACTATGTTAGATATTATTGCTTACATTGCGGGACAATGTTTACCAAGCTTGTCGTCTGATGTTCTTAAGGAATTGGATCATACGGTAAACAGAGGAACCATTCACAAACATCTACTTTGCACACAAACAGAAATCTAGTCTGGTTTTTTGTTTTGATTGAAAAACTAATAGCTTTGCATTATCTGCGCACCGGTAGAATGTGCTACGGATCCTCATATCCTGCCTACTTACTAGTGACCAAATTTGGAAGAATGGAGCAATTGTACGCAACTTAAGTGTGACTCAAAAAGATGTGGATCATCTCGCAGAGATCGCCGAAGGGGCCGTGTACAAGGACATTGGTAGGATATCGCGTGCGATTGCAGCCGTCATTACAGCCGGATTGGAACATGCTAGTGACGGTAGCATGGCAAATATGGTGCAATCCAGCATTGATAGGTACGGTAGGAAAAAAAGGCATTCAAGGAGGCGACATACGGACGGATGGACTCGACCATTTTTGGTAGTGATGAAGCTAGTATACTTCAAATCTAACTCTAAATAGACTTGTCGGGTTTTCGTATAATGTATTCGTCGATTGGGATCGGTTTACGGCAAATAATCCGGATTCTGCAATGGATACAGGTGAGTAACGATTGCTGTTCTTGGTTCTCTATGCCACCTTCGCAATATAATTAAATGCTTAGTTGCCCTGTTATAGAGAACAAAAAAATCATGTCAGAGCTGGATACTGCTATATGGCTTGTTTTCAAGACCATGTTATTCTCCTTTACAGCAATTCTGAAAGCAGTTGCTGTCGACATTCCCGATGGAAAAGGACTTGTCAACGTACAGTATGCAGGTATGTCATACGGGAACACAGGTTGCTAGTGAAGGAAGGGGTTGGAGCTGACGGGCGGACTGGCGGTGATTTAAAGAGAGAAAGAAAAGAGAGATGTACTATGCATGTACGGCGCATCAAAGAAGCTCACTATTTCTTCATCGCATCATGCCGCCCCTCCTTACTTTTTGCGACTACTTATGTTTCGAATATGTAGCGCAAGATATCGTTTCGATCTATGCAAACTTCCACTTCATTACGGATCATCTTGGATCGGGTTCTGGATTCAAAGCTTACCAGGATACCATCACAAACGCCGTTGCGTACCTCATGCATGATGATAATACGTGCCAACTGAATAAGCTTATTTTAAGGGCGTATCGAGAATATGGTAAGGTATACCACGACTACTTCAGCTTGAGTTAAACGTACACATCTGTATACCCCAGAAAGTATATGGTAGGCTGATGGTGGTGCAAAGCATACAGGGTCTTGCTAATGAAGTGGTTACCTAATATATAGCGCCCGCGCAGTTCACGACTGACCGTACACACCCAATCTCCTTACTATCGTCTGTCCAACTGTCACGCTTGACGTTCTTTACAAACCTAATTGAGCAGGTGATGGGTCAAATTGAAGACAAGGTGCTCGAAAAAGATGTCTTGCCTGTCATATACCCTGTTCTGAAATGGAAGAAGCCCGAAAACAAGGACTTGTATGAAAGCGCACATTCGGCAGTGCTGGCAGTGTTTTCATCACAAAAGGAAATATCTCGTGAACTGACGGGTGTTTACGCACAATTGCTTGTTGAGGTAAATTTGTCAGTATTGTTAAAAACTGAAACGGTTGTTTTCAGTTACTAAATTTGGCCCATTCCTTTGTCATTCCCACCCCCGTCCTCTATGCCTCCATCAAAAACGATCAATCAAACCTACAACAACAACAACGACAACAGAGCTTCCCAGAACCAATGACTCTGCATCAGCTTCGATTTGCCTACACGACCATGATCCAGTCATTGTGTATGATGGATGACGCGCTTTCATGGCTGGCAGCCAACTACTTGCTGGACAAGATTCACGCACTGTCAGTAAATGAAAAGGACATTGTCTTGGTTTCGCAGTACACGGCCGCCTTGATCGACTTGCTCAAGCCACTCTCGCTCGGCCCGTTCTTCGGCCAGCTGCTGAGCGAAGTTGAAGCGCTCGTGCTACAGCGATCCTTGACCGCGGGAACACGGAATGCTACGCTCAAGATCATCTTTGAGACAGTAAGCGGATCGGGTATCTCGGACATGCGCCGAGTAGAAGCTGTTGGCTGGTTTCTGGAGTTGAAACGCAAAGTCAAGGCGCTAGAAGAGAACCACAGCAATACCACAACTGACAGCAATGACAATGGCAGTAACAAGAAAACACAAGAAGCACGACCATCGCGGGCTGAGGCTGCATAAAGAAAAGTAAAGCGCGGACAATTTGTATGCATGATCCCACATCTCTCTTAATGGCATTAAAAGCCAAGAAAAGGAACATCACTTGGGAACCCCTCTGTCCGCCCCTTCCTCCCCACCCATCCCTTATCCCTTCACACCTCAGCCCCCTCGTTTTTTAGTTACTGCCACCGCTGCTACTTGTAGAGGGATTATGCCGTAGAAAGATACAAGAGAACCCTGTACAGTAATATCATATAACAATAACAATATATAAAGCTGTTGCCAGTACTATCTCCTAGTCTAAAAAGACTTTGGCGCTAACCCATCCCCCTTACAGCTTCTCATTTTGGTGCAAAGTATCATGGTTCAGATGGCGGCGGTCCTCCTCTTCAACCCGCTCTTCGTGGTAGTCATTCATTGTTGAGTTTGCGGTGATCGACAATCAAAAAACTCTGAAACACCAAACATTTCCAACCTCCTCTTGTTCATTACTCTTTTGGCTGTTTGTGTAAGAACCAAAGGATCGCCCAATTACTATTACTGTGTTGTGTGAGTGTGATGTGTGTAACTGTTTATCTGCTGATTGTGCGTATATTTATTTACTGTAGAAAGAAGAGATGGATGATCTGGAGATATACAAATAACTCATTTATTTTGCCCTGTTTATTACATGTTTCGGAAACAAGTATATCCAAATGATGAAGTATGCATCAACGCGCATTCTAATGTAAATATCGTCATATTATTCTTAAGTGATCCCCAGATTACATGAGCTTACAGAGCAAGAGAGAGAGAGAGAGGAATTAAGGAGTGAGAGGGGGGCGAGGCGAAGGATCCAAGGAGTCGGTTGTTTCCATTGAAAAATAGGAGTAGTATGTAGCAGCAGCATCAGCAATAGTAGTAGTCGTGGTGGTGGTAGTAAGAAGAGAGCGATGCATTATATTGTGGACGGAACTTTCTCTAGTCCACGGCGCCAAATGAGAGAAAATGCAATATGTACATGTATAAGCTTCTTCCATGATCTGCATATGTAAGAAACTGCACAATTTACCAGGGAAGAATACTTATTCTCAACATACGTATCATAGCACTATATACCATACTCAAAGGTTCTCGCCCTATCCTAAATCGATTGAGACGCCTCCTCCTCCTCCTGCCACTTAATGCTCTCCTCTCCACCTAGTATTAGATCGACTCCTCCAAACGAGGAAAGTATTGGACAGTGCCAGCCAACCAGCCCATTCAGATACGCACCATATCCATCCATGGTAACTCGTGCAGGCACGCCACCTCACGACTGTACATGCAATATTTCATCCGCACTAACTAGTATGGGCCCAAATATAAAAGCACTTCTTTTCCTCCCCTCTTCCCTCTCCGTTACGAGCCTTTTAAATTCACTTTTTATTTTTTATTTTTCATTATTTTGCTTGTCCCTCTTTCACTCTACTATCTCTCTCTCTCTCTTCCCCTTTTTCCTCTTTGTAAAATGTTAGTCGCATTTTATGCTTTAGCGCTTTTGTGCGCTGCTGCAACCACCGCGCTGGCTGGAGATGTTCAGTATGCTGTTGTGGCCTTTCCGCAAGGACAACAAAATGTCGGTGTTTCTGTGGGCGGCCAGGTGCATCCGCTCCAGCGTAGCCAGGATACACCAAATTTGTTCACCGGCACTGCACCTTCTGGTGACACTTACCAATACGTGATGATTGATGGTCAGCAAAACCAACCCGAGACAACTCAACGTAAACTTAAGCAAGGCGCAACTGCCACTGGCAACGAATTCTTTGGTCGATCTCAAACGATTTATGATGTGCCCGACCTTCCTCAGGCCTACAACCCCATCTATCCAGGTAACAACAACACTCATATAACATTCTCTAATTAATATTCACGATGCTTATCATACATAAATTATCGAATTTGATAGTTCTTTTCACTGGCATGAACCGATCTAATGAAGTTGCCACCATTATCTTAAAGGCCGCCAACACCACAGGTCTTGATACTATGCTCAAGAACCCTAAGGCTGATATTAAAGACATTCAAATCGATCAAGTGACATACATTGCCAGCAATGAGGTGCACTCATTCACGGGTGCTGGATTCTCTACTAGTGGACAATCCACCAAGGACTTTGCCAAACAGTCGTACAAACTCGAATTGAACCAGTTTGGCAACAAAACTACCAAAGACTTGATTTATGGTCGCACTACTGTTAAGCTTCGAGCTGAAGAAACTGACATGACCATGGCGTAAGTCTCTTGGTATTTTAGCGTATCATGTTTGTTGGGGGATGGGGACCTAGAAGGACTTTCTATATACCGTCACGACAAGGATTTCATTTTACTCCCCATTCTCTCCTGCCCTCTCTCACCCCAAATGCTACATACGCTCTCGGGACTAAATTTAGACAAGATTAAACTGACTAACCCCTTTTTCTTGTTCACTCGTTTATAGGAGAGAAAAACTTTTGATGGACTGTCTTGGAGCTGCAGGTGGTGCAACCCTCTCGGGGAGCTGGGTCCGCTTATTCATCAATGATCAGCCCTTTGGCCTTTACGTCATGATTGACGACGCCTCGACCCATTTTATTGACAACGTTCTTCATGCTGGTAACTGGCAACATCAATTCACAGGTACCGTACAGCCCGTTTATTTACTGTATAGAAGAAAGGATGGCTCGCTCCTCCTCTTTAGAGAAACTGTACACATCACTACCGCTGTTTATAATGAGTGATTGGGCGATGATATTCAAATAAGTGAAAGAGAGAAACATTCCAAAGGTATGAAGTGACGCTGATTTTTTTTCTTCTGGTACTATTTGGTACAGGTCCTACCTATAAAGGAAACGCCATGACGCCCGAGCAAGCAGGCAACCTCGCATATCTTGGCGATGATCTCACTCTTTACAGCGAAGATCTATACAAGTTGGAAGACAAGGGCGAAAACAAGGATTTACACAAGAACAACTCCATGGGCCCGCTTGTTGGCTTTATGCGTGACCTTGCAAACATCAATCCGCAGCAGGCAACTGATGCTCAACATCCTGGTGACTTTAACAAACTCATTGACCCCCAGCACACTTTGATTCATATGGCATTCAGTTTCTTGTCCGCATCATGGGACGGTTTCTGGTACCAGGTACGACTTCCGTTGTCAGCGGTTGCTGTCATGGCAAAAGAATAGATCTCTGCCAAGACAAAATTACAAGTAAACATGAACATATCGTCTCACCCATGTATGTTATACAGGCCAGCAACTACTATATCAATCAAGACATGCAAACCAACCAATGGACGTTGATTACCTATGATTTTGACGAGACGTTTGGCAACAACTCACCCGACGAGACCTTGATGACCGTGCCCTATGAGCAATATGGCCGACCCAACGCGTCTCGTCCCTTGGTTGACAAATTGCTCGCTTCGCCTTACTGGAAGAGCCAATTCGAGAATACACTCAAGACAGTCATCAAGAAATTTTTCAAGCCTAGTGTTATTGGTCCCCGCCTTGACGCATGGACCCAAATGCTCAAGGAAGACATGGCTTGGGATCGAAGCCTTCAGGCTCGTTCGCCTGGCACAGCAAGCAACTGGACCGTTGAAGATTTCACTTCCAACATGAACACAACCACCAAGGGCCAAGTCGGTATTCTCGAATTCATCACCAAGCGTTCAGCCGCTGTTTGCCAACAGCTTCAATTCCAAGACAACGATGATTTACCCCCGTTGCCTGCATACACAGCCGGTCGTTACATGGATGCACAAGGTCAAGTTACTGACCATCCAACCGGCAACAACGGCGGCAATGTTGTTTCGCCTAATGGTGGTGCACCATCGTCTGCTTCTTCCTTACTATATTCCTCATTGTCGGCTGGCTTGTCCTGTTGGATAGTTGCATTTACTACTCTCATTTACTTTAATCTTGTTTAATAACCCCTCCTTCTACTACACCTTAGATATAGTTTATAATATCTCTCCCTCGAATCCATCTAAAAACTTTCTTTTTGTGTGTTAACAAGAGTATATCAATATTTGTTTTTCTTTACCAAGTAAATATTTTTTCCTCATTATTTTCAAAAATACCTTGTAAAGTTTTATTTCACCAAAAACATACTGCTGTTCTGTTCGGAATTGATTTTAAACCGCAGTTTGTGTGCATGTGCGTGTGTAACCAAGTGTTCTCGAATGAAGCGATCGGGTGAGCTCACGCGACGCCACACGTACTTAACATACAAGTCCCTCCCCCATTATTTTCTTCTCTTCTGCTCACTACACTTACACTATACGTTACACTTCAGCCATCTCACCCCCTCCTCTTTCTCTCGTTTGCCACCTCCTTCGGTGGTGCTTTGTGTTGACGAATGCCAAGAAGGGCAAGAAGCAATATGCATATCAACAATCATGTAGATACTATCCAATCATGACTTTATATTTTACCTCTTTCCTGACGTTCCTTTGAAAACAGAAAATTCAATATCCCGGCGGATGCTTGAATAATACCGCGCTGGGATTCGTTGCATGGGCTGGTGGCAACAACAGGATTACGAATTGCAGACAAGCATCCCTTTCAATGGTTAGCAGCACATAAACCTTTTTTTAGCTATCCAGCTATAAAAGAAGCGGGAGGAACCACCGCGCAACCATCTTTTTTTCTGACACAACGACTTTCACCCAATACCATTGTATCCAGAATGATAGTGCAATTGTACATACTAGCATTGTTATTACTGACCTTATCTACGGCTATTGTTGTCAAAGCAGACGACATCAATTACGCTGTCATTGCATTTCCTTCAGGCTCGCAAGGTGTGGCTGTCTCTGTAGACGGTCAGACCCATCAATTACAAGCTACCCAGTACCCAAACTTGTACCAAGGCAAAGCTCCGGCACCATCTTCTTCTAGTACATACCAATACGTGCTGACCTCAGGTTCCGGAAACCAAGTTGAAACTACACAACGCAATTTGGCCAATGGTGCAACTTCTACTGGCAATGAGTTCTTTAATCGATCACGTACCGTGTACGATGTCCCATCGTTGCCAGTGGCATACCACCCTCTTTATCCACGTAAGTAAGATTAACCAAGTATCACTGCTGTTGTCACTAGCAGACCGCTCTACCGTTAATACGTTTTGCTAAATATGTATTACTGCTTTGTTTTATTTACAATACTACCATATGCATACAAATAACTACTGGTGCTCTTGCTTAATATATACTGGGTACCTGATTATTACCGTGTGGAATTTGCGCCTGCCCTTGCAGCATTGTTTACGGGCATGAATGTTTCAAACGAGATTGCCACCATTATCTTGAGTCTCAATCAAACAGGTTTCGACGACTACCAACAAAATCCTTCCGGCGATTTCGGCTATGTCCAAGTGTACAACATGACGTATATCTCAAGCAAACAAATATACACCTTCCAAGGAGTAGGCATCAAGACAAGTGGTGGATCCACCAAGGATTATACCAAGCAGTCGTATAAAATCAAGATGGATAAGTTTAATAAGGATGCCCCTGAAAAGCCCTTATTGTTTGGACGAAGTGTAGTCAAGCTTCGAGCTCATCCGACGGACATGACATTTGCGTAAGTCTACTTAATGCTTTTCGCTTGTTATTTGTCTCTTGTGCCGATGAAAAACATGAGCTTCTATGACTCACATCACGATCTTGCATCTCCTTTTTTTGCGTCAATTGTTAATAACAGGAGAGAGAAATTACTTATGGATTGTCTTGCTGCAGCTGGCGCCGCCACTTTGTCCGGTAGCTGGACCCGTCTCTATGTCAATGACAAGCAATTCGGATTATATTTAATGATTGACGATGCGTCGACCCATTTCATCGATAATGTTTTACACGCCGGGAACTATTCTTACCCGTACACAGGCCCAACCTACAAAGGGAACGCACTCAGTGACACCGAGGAAGCGAATCTAGCCTATGTTGGCGATGACCCGGAACTCTACTCAAAGTATATCTATGACCCAAAGGACGATGGCGAGCTCAAGCTGAACAAATCCAATGAAATGGAGCCCATTATTGGCCTTACAAAGCGCATTGCATCCAATGAAAGCGTTGATACCATTGTTGATCCGAAGCACACGTTAATCCATATGGCGTTCAATTTCTTGACAGGATCGTGGGACGGTTTCTGGTACCAGGTAAGATATATCACGACAGAAATTTTCTCAAGTTACATGAATTACGAAAAATTGCAACAACAGCGGCGCCGAGCGGGCGCAAAAAAAGTTGTTTATAAAAGGGCTGCTAATAACAATGGCACTCTGATTATCACTACTACATACTATAGGCAAGCAATTATTACATCAATCAGAACATTCAATCCAACAAATGGACGGTCATTTCATATGATTTTGACGAAACATTCGGCAACGGAGCAGAAACCAGCATGATGACGATCCCGTACACTGAATTCAAAAAACCGGGTGGCAATGTAACCCGACCACTTCAAGATGCGCTCATCCAAGGTTACGCTGCCGATTTTGAGCAGATTTTAACGACCGTCGTCAAGCGATTTTTCAAGCCGAGTGTAATACAACCTATTCTTGAGGCTTGGGAACAAATGCTACTCGAAGATATCACGTGGGATAGATCGATTCCAGGTCATTCGGCCAGAAATAAGACCGAAGGATTTACGGTGCAAGATTTCATCGTCAATATGAACTCGGCTCAAAGGGATACCATTGGTGTACTTGAATGGGTGAGAGGCCGTTCGGCAGCCGTATGCCAGCAGCTGAATATTAATGACACAGACGTTGGCCTCCCGGTGCTGGGCCATTACACCGGTGGTACATACGGCGACGGCGCAGTTATTTATTCAGGGCATCCGAATGCAAATGGAAACTCGGATGGTACCACCCCTTCTGGTGACAGTAGTGATAATGACACGAGTGGTGCCAGTGGTAGTCATAGCAGTTCCATGTTCCTTTCTACATGCATTTTTGCCACCCTGTTCTCAGCAATTATTACCTTATCCTGATTAGACCCCCTCCCTATAATGCATGATCGCTGTTGTCAAATTCGTCTTTTGCTCTCTGTCCCCTGTTATGCATAGCACATATACAGTAATACTACCCCTTAAAAGAACATTCAATTTATCCGACGTTTTCATGAGTACAGTGTCTCCTAATAAAGAGAGAACCTGGTCGGACTGATTATCCATATACATATACGTCGAATATGACGAAAGTATCTGTGAGGGGATGCCGACCAAGATATAATAATTATAGCGACAGAAAAAAGAAACCTCGAGTATTTTAAGAGCATGTGCTCGTAGTATAGCTGGAGTGCTTTGTATTCGAAAATGTATAGAAAAAACTCACCTCTTGCATCCATTGATAAGTTATTGAGATCGATGAATTCTTTGGGTGACCACGGTTTAGTACCCAACAAATCAACAGTGTGTACATATCACTACATTATTACATTATTTGCCTATAAAATAGTAGGATCGTCTTGATCCTGTATATAAACTCATTAACGTTTTTGAGCTCCATATTTTCAATCAAATACGGAACGCAGAACTCTCAATTGTATCTTCACAACATTTAAAACAATATGTACAATACACCCATATAAGAGTATGTATGAAGTGATAAATTAAATGTATACATGGCGGATAATGGTGCTCTCGGTAGTCACCAAAGTGTCGGAATGCTTCATGGTAGATCAGTGAAACCGATTGACGCTTTGTTCTTCGCCTTTTTGCTGGAGAATTCGCAAAGCATTCAGCCGAGCTTGATATGATAGCACTTCATTTTCTGTTCCTTTTTAATGTGTTTGTGATTGCCAACCGATGTAGTGGTTTACAGTCGATGCTATTGATAGTATTGGTGGAATTGGTAATACCATTTCGGCAACCGTTTGCGAGATGTAGAGACCATTTTTGCCAACATCAACACGAAGATTTTTTCTTGGCAGCCCTATTACAAGTTCGGTGAATACAACAATATAGAATCGCACACCATTCTTTTTGTCCATTGTTGATACTAAACAAGCAATTAAATCAAGCAAATTATCAACTTTGAAGCTTCTTCGGCGGAAAGGGTGTAAGATTTTTTTACCAATTGGTTGACATGGACCTCAGTAGTCAATGCTTATTTCCTAATATCATGATTATACTCAAATGACCGTACCTCACGTCCCACCTCACCCGTGCCACCAGTATGAATGCGGAAGATGAGGGGACAGCTTTTCTATATATATATATATATATATATATAGCATACATGTTATTCATGCCACATCCATTTTCAAAGTTACAGAATCTTTACTAACAGTGTGTACGGATCCCAAAACAACGTTGCTGATGATACTATTAGACCGACCAGTTCCTCAAGCTTTGGTCGAGAGTGCCTTGTTCAGCACTACGCATCTTTTTTTTGTCGGATTCCAGGCTTGAGTTCTGCTCTTGAAAGCGCATTTTATAAAAGCATTCTAGACAACTTTACAAGGAAGAGACATCACTTCTTGTTCCGTTAAGCCTTTACAACACATCTCTGAGTTCTTCTTTGGACACGAGCAGTATCATAATCTCAATTTTCTGTATGTAACTAACGCGTCCAAACCTTTTGCTGAATTTCGCTTGGGCATCCTGGTAAGGTAAAAGGAACGAGAATGTGACAGCATGAGTAGATATCTTGGGCTGGGTCTTTGTGTGCTACACTGGGACTACGGTGACAGCAATATGAATGGTGCCAATAGAGGTAGTCGTAGTGGTTCTATGTTCCTTTTCCCATGCATCTTTCTCACCCTGTTCTTAGCAAAAATCACTTTATGCTAACTAGACTCTCTTTTCTCTTACGCATAATCGCTGATTTTTTGTTTTCAGTCCTCTATTATGCAAAGCACACATTGTGTCACATAAACATTCTATTAGCAACATTATTCATGAGTACAATGTCTCCTAAACGAAGAAGAGAGAGAACATATTTGAAGCTGGTCAGGTTGATAACCTGTTTGCATATATGAATATGGCGAAAGAAACTGTGGTTGGTTAACAACGATACTTCCGAAGGATAAAAACCAAGCATCGTATAAGGAAAGAATGTGATGATCCCAAGAGTTACAAACCATTCGCTGCTATTTAAACCATTTTTTGTAAGCTCAAAAGTGGTAGGAATTTGAATGTATGCGGTTGAAACATTTTGTCTATTGAGATTGTATGTGTAGTATGCACTTATATACTATTTCGAGGGCGAGGATGAAGATGAAGAAGATGACGGGGCAAGTGCAAACAGCTTGTTATCTTTACTGTGTTGTTCGAGCAACGCGGCCAATTGCTCTTTGTTTCGCAGTAATTGCTGCATCTCGGGCGGTAATTGATTGTATTGACTTTGGAATTGTGGGTTTTGTAAGAGTGCGGTGGCTGCGTTGGCATAGTTGGTCGCTGCTGCTGAAATGTTCGCCGTAGTAAGAAAACCGTTCTATTATCAGTATACAAATCGAAGAAAAATGGCTGGTCAAGTTAAATGAAGAAAGTTTACCTGGTGTTGTTGGAGATAATGAATTTTGGCGTTGAGAGTCTGCTGCTGCCGCCTGTTGCGCTGCTGCAAGCCGTGCTTGTTCTGCTTGAACTCGGAACATCTCTTGCTGCTGAAGCGCTGCCTGTTCCGCTGCTACTCGCGCTTGTTCCTCCGTCAGTCGCTGTCTTTGATCCGCTAATAATTGACGTTCAAGTAATATCCGTAATTGTTTTGATCCACCGCCCTGCTTTTAAGTAAACAGAAAGAATTAACTCGCTGGCCATTTCTCTTGTAGCCCAACAACTTATAGAAAGCAACTAAGGTTACCTCTGCCATTTTAGTAGATACTTTAGAGAACTTGTCAAACAGTTCAGCTTGTGATTTGAAAATATCCATGGTTGCATGGTCTAATGAATCAAAGATGAGTCGACCAACAACCTCATCAAAAAACCAAAATAATCATTACGTTCTTTTCAACCTTCTATATTGATTCATACCTTGACGATCTAATGGTATCTTATTTATTTCCAAATCTGCTTTCGGATACTGGAAAATATGGTATGGAAGTAGCCGTTTCATAACATCCTCCTTTGATTTGAATGGCGTCTCATAGTCAGGGTTAAGTACAGTATCCCGATCGGTTTTCATCGATTCAAGGATTCTAAAAAAACAAACACCCACATACAAAACAAAACTTTGTTTAGTAAAGGTAATCAGACTTTCAATATGGCCAAGCAACTACTAACTACGGACAACGCTTCTCCGGTAATTTTACCTTCGCTTCACCTCTTGATGATGTGCCTCTTCTTCTGGAAGTCTTTTCGTAAGGAACGATTTCGGTAAGGGTGGAATTGGTGGTTTATTTGCTCCACCAGGAGCATCACCACCACCACCAGCATTCGAATCGGTACCACCAGCACCTTGTGAGAACTGCTGTTGTAAAGCGAGCAATTGGTGTGGACTCAACATAGGAGGAGGTGGCAGTGGCATTTGCTGTGATGAGTGTTGTCCTTGAACATTGGCCACTCTTGTCGGTGGCTGCTGCTGCTGCTGTTGCTGCTGCTCTGCGGGAAATTGTTGCTGGGAGTGTGGCGGGATGTGTTGCTGTAATTGCTGTAAAAACTGGTGTTGCTGTGGTGATGGTTGCTGCTGCTGTCGCTTCTTGGAATACTTGCCAGTCTTTACATATTTCCGCGTCGTCTTCACTTCTGGATTCATCAACCGATTAAATTGATCATGTGGCTGGAGCTGTAACTGTTGCTGAAAGCTGTGTTGTTGTTGCCGCTGTTGTTCCATCTCATATTCCTCCCGTAACTTTCTTGCCGTCTCCTTTAATGCCTCTGCTTCAGCTGCTGCAGACTGTCCGTTGTTCTCACTGCTGCCACCAGGACCTGGTCCAGTCAACGCAGTCAACGGCAACGATGCTGCAATACCATTGTGTTTCGGCGCAATCGTCTTTGCTGTTGCTGCTGCCGCTGCTGCCGCCACAGCATTTTCATTGCTATTACTGTTTCTTGCGGCTGCTGCCATGGTTGCCGCGTGCAATTTTTGTATTTCCTGCATGAGTTGATCGCGTTGTTGCTGGCTAACGGCTGCCAAGTTCATGTCGTCCGGCAGTTTATATATGATCTGATCGCCTTTTCTTAACATGATGACTTTGAGACCAGCTAGCGTAAGCTGCGTAATGACTTCTTCATCTGCTGCTGGTCCTGTCGATGCTGGTGCCAGTGCTGGTGGTGTTGCTGTTGTTGCTTTGTTATCGGGACCATTAGACTATTCCACAGTTAATAATGAAGGAAATAAGAAACGAGCTCAAGTGCTTTGTTTTTTTTTAAATATGCGTTAGATTATTTACCTGACCGGAAGAGTTCGCGGCCTCGTTGTTGTTGCTGCTCATTGGGTATGCTTATCATTATTAAACAAAGAGAATGACAGAAGGATAAGCGTAAGCTTGTACGTTCCCTTCCCTCACGATACACGTGTTTCAAAAAGAAGAAAGGACCAAAAAAATACAAAAGGGCGGGCCCGCTTACCTTTGTAACTTTCGGGCTGGTTTGCCGACGGGTTTTTGTTCAGTTTTTTGCGTTGGAGAAATGCGCACCTTAATAGTAGGAAAAAGTGACGCCTATCCCCCCACACCAACCAACAAGCCTTAAGAATTTTTGTTTTCGGTGAAATATTCAGCCGCGTTAACCCACACAGCTGCTCAAGAAATTTCATGCCAGCTCTCCGAAAAGTCTTGGTAGCCGATAAAAATGATTTGTAGTATTGAGGGAATCATAAGTAGCTTATAGCAATGATAGTGATCTAAATATTTCACTTGTCTTTATCAATTGTAGCAAGTAGTGCTTTGTGGTTTGCTATCAAGTCAACTACTGTTGTCGAGTGATACTCTGTCTGATGCTTTGTAGCACTTGAAGACGATTACGGGCGACGTTGATCATGTCTTGTACACGTTCTTCAAACGGTGGTCCGCTAGTGTACATATCGATACATTGTTTACTATTTGCACTTTCTCATCCCATTCCACTCCTCCAATATATGCTTAAAAACGTGCATCATACCTCAACATCATGTTGCTGTCTTCTTGGGGACGACCTACGAGCCCAGCTCTGCATATAATAAAGCAGGATCGTTCATTACTCCCTGTATTACAACGATACGTAGATTTTATTTGGATGAGTGTAAATAGAAGAAAGTAACTTACTCAACTTGTCTTTTGATGCGTAGATAATCCGTGTAGGCCCTTGTGATCGCAATCAGCTGGGTAATGACTACAGTTTATTGACACTTGTATTAGCTTCTCATTCACTGCCGCCTAATCATCAAAGCTAGAGGGCTTAGAAAAAAGACAAAGGGCTATTACCTTTTCCGATGTGTGGGAGTAGCGCTGGGACGCTGATGCTATGTGCTAGCATTTCAGCAGCCACTTCACGGCAGAACAAGTCAAGGTCACACATTGCTTCCAACCTCAAAATAAAAAGAAGAGTGTACGGAGCCATTATCCATATTAGTCAGACTTCCTGTTTTGAGATTTCGTTCTATACTTTGAATTTTTTTTTCAAAAAAAGAGAACGTATGGATGTAAAAGAGACTTACTCGCGCTGGTCAACTTCGTATCCTTGAGGTCGAATGCGCAAGAGCCTCAACAGTGTCTCGCTGATGATACAAATGTACAAAGCATGGGTAAAGCTTGAAAGTAAAGGAAAGGATACTGTAGGAGGAGAAGGAAGGATTGATGATACTTACAGAATATCAACATCAGGGTCTTGCAGCTGGCCGTCCATCGTTTTTTTTTGTGGTAGAAAATGAGTAGAGAGATAGAAAAGAATGAGTAAAAAGATAAAGACGGGTGGAGAAAGCGGGAAAAAGAAGAAGAAAAGTCGTCTGTAGATGATTCACAAACCTTCCTTTCTTTGACAGATGTGGGCAGACCCGTCATGCGTGCTGTTTGTCCGCTCTACATTATATACGGTTCACACGTCATACCAAATTTGTATTTCCATGATAGTACAACAATGCTAACTGCGCTGTTGACCATCACCATTACCTTTCCAAATATCTAACCTTTCGTAGATGTGTTTGTGCGAGCACACTACATACATAACGGAAGTATTATAAAAGACCACTCTTGTAGCCATAAACTCATCCAGTCATTTTTTGTGATACACGTAAACTTGTAAATTGCATCACTAAACCCGTCTTCTTCAATACGCTTGGCATCAGTTTATTTGCCAACAACGAAGAACCCGCACTAAATACGATTAAATATCTGTCAAAATGTACAGTATGCAAGACAACTAGCGAAAGAAAAAGCCGATCATATGCGTCGTGGTGCTCATGTGATCCACTTGCTTTTACACTTTGCGAGTGACAGACGGACAAGAATGTCATTAGTATCATATGTGAAGGGTTATTTTGAGCAACAGGTATATATACCACCACTTGATTTATGTAGCTGTCAAGATGTTCAAGGACTGCGCTAAGTACGATAACCGCTGTCGTCGTCTCGTCTAATATATAATGCATAAAACAATGTTCTTTGCTTCAACCGTAGGAAGATCTTTTTCTATATCCATCTCGAACATTACACTACGTGTAACTTAAATAAATAAGTGGGAAACAGTGGTGCGCGATATTCCTACTACATTATCAAATGTGTACTCCATGTAAACCCTATTGCTTACTGTACTCTCCATAGCCTTCTCCAAATGACCAAGAGATAAATTTACCCTTCTTAGTTTCTAGTGAAAGATTACTCACCCATTATGCTTAAAGTAATAAACCAACAATGATCCCTCTTCGCCTTTGCAAAAAAGTAGCTACGACACAATATTTCTGTAGTTACTTATATATTCTGCTGTATGTACTAATGAAGATGGTCGGTGTGTAGCTTCTGTTCTTCTCGATTTTGCTTATCAATTTGAACCCTAAATTGTTGACATCATAAAAAGAATGATTGAAAAGGTAGACTTCAACACGTTAGGCGATAATACAAATATAATCGCTGGAAGAAGTACCTCAATCCTATTGAGAAAATTTTAGTTCATTTCTATACTTTTCGAAATTACTCTCTTTTTCGATTTCGGTATCGACGTTGTTACGAGTTTAGGTAGCTCAATGTACGTTGACAACCTCATGCAAAGCTCTAGCTCAGATGTGGAGATTTTAGAATATGTTATGCGGTCCGTTCGTTGTATCACAGCCATGCTATGACATCAATGGATCCTCTTCCGGGTCGTGACCAAATGTGTAGCCCTTCTTTGGCCGTTGTCTAAGAGGTAATGTTAGTGAGAGTCATACTACTGTATGTACCAAGGTTTCTTGAAGTTCCGAGTCTCCAATAACAACGATCCAGCCTTACCAGTTGGTCCAAATCAAGTTCGGCATCCATGTTGCCCTCTTCAATGTCCCTTAGTATTGGCCGTCCACACCCTTCCAGGCATTCCAACTGCTCTCTGGAAAAGCTGTCTTTCAAATGGCAATCGCACATTCAAGAATGCAGCTCATGTATTGATGATGGAGTACAAACAACAAAACTTCCTCGACCCAATAATGTTCTACTTACTGGTAATGATGACATGACATGGCAAAGTTGAGCATTTTCTTTTCCATCGATTCCGGATCGGTGCCATTTTCACAGCAATTTATGCTTAACTGAGGCCAGTGGTAGACGCAGCATGTACTATACTTGGCCACAGCACCATCATCGATTTGAGAAAACGCCTTCCCAAAAAAAGACACTACCCTGTCCATTCATCCTACTTGAAACGGTCAAGTATACAACGACGATAGCATCTCAAAGTCTGAATATCCTAACGACTGCGTTTTGCTGCCGTTTTATGGCTCTTGTAAATCTAAATTGACCACCCTGGGTTGAGTAAAGTTAGAAAAGGCCCAAAAAGTAATTTGGGATTGGTTTGAAGGGTGCATAGACAAAGGAGGAAAAAAGCGATGTATAGAATGTGTGTTAGTACCCAGCATATTTCTATTGTATGAAGTTGCCGATATTGCAACGCTTTAAACAATTTCTATCTCTCAATATATAACTGATCAATAAGGTGTTTGACCATTCATCAGTGCGTTTATATGTAACACATACAGTAATGAGCAAGAAAATTTACTGATGTGACCACTGACTATGGTATATCGACACCACTAAGATCGTTTATCTTTCTTCTTATAAAATAGACTCATCAAACCATATATTATCTATAAGCATACAGTGAAACTTTGTAATTTCCATAGCGTCAATCCCCAAGTTTTGTGTGAAGATATTGAGGGTTGAAAGTTAACGGTATGAAATTACAGGGGATCGACTGTAGTAAGTACACGGAGTATAAAATCACTCTTGAATTTATTCTTCTTATTCCGCATATGAGTTCCTCAACCACTTCATGACTCTACTGGCTCTTCATTGACGAATGGAAAGTTGAAGTAAGTAGCTACGTCAGCTACATCGGTCAGGCTTCGTAACATGCCAATGATATCAAGCGAGCTGTATATATTGTCAGGTAACGGTGGATGACATGAAGGGAACGTCTAGACCAGCATTAAGCGTTAGAAACGTTGGCATTTAGCCGGCTCAAACCGATTTCTCCCTGTAATCTATTCTTTGTCGTACTGTTACCTTTTCATCTTTGAACGAAGAATGACATCGTAAAATAATACAACAAAGTGTAAATCGAACAACAAAGGTCCATAGAAACTCATCCGTCATGAACCGCTTAACATGCGCATCTTAAAATTCATAAGAAAAATTGTTAATTCCCAGGTTGTACTAAGTGCAACTTTGTCCCATCCATCAATGCTTCAACCTATTTATTACTTACCAACATCCGGATGAGCCAGCAAAGTTTCACCAATCTTTTGTTCCATAGCCGATATTAGCGAAACGCACTCGTCCCAATTTGACTGATCCAAATTTCCAATATCTGAGACGGAGCAGAATCCGAGCAAAGGTGTATGAAGGAAAAGTGTAAATAAGCTACCAATCTCGCTCCTATCTTGAACTGACGATGGGTATTCTGTGGGCGACATGAGGCTCATGACAGGCTGATCAAACACGTTGGGTATGCTGCTAAAGGCGACGCTGCTGCTGCTGTCAACTATAAGAAATAGCGGTTTCCGAGTGAAGGGTATAAGGTCAGCTGGATGAAGACAATAGACAGAGGGCACTATGGGAGGTGATGCCGTTTGTGCTGCAGTGAATGGTGATGATCCTGGTGCTGTATTGGAAGCTCCAGGGGCAGAAGTGGATGTGGATCCTCCTCCCGCTGCCGCTGCTGCTGGCGTGGAATCGGATCGTTCAGCGGTAATTCCCGATGCCGCACTGACATTTTGCTGCTGCGTTTTTCTGTTGTTGGTAGCTACACCACTTCGGTAACCAGGATCCTGTGCCTCGGGATATTCACAGCCGTCTGCGGACAGATAGAGTAGCATAGCACCGTTGTCGGCAGTATCTTTGAAAGCAGTGGATATATACACAAAAAGTTGGCTAAGAGATGGCCGATAAAGTAGGTATTTGTGTGGATTGATACGTCTGCTAATAGTAGTAGTGCCCTTGTCTCCACCAATTAGATTGTTGTTGCCTTGCTGTTGTTGTTGTTGATCTCGCTGTTGCGAGTTTTGCGTCTGCTGCTGTTGAGAAGACTGATGTGGTTGCACTTGTTGCTGTTCTTGGGTTGTCTGCGACTGCTCTGGTGTTTGCTGCGATTGCTTTTGCTGCTGATCACCCGAAACAGTCGATGATGTGTTATTGGCTGCCGATCCACCACCAGTGCTATCATCACCTGCAGTCCCTGCATGAACGCCTACAATACTTCGTGTAGTCGTTGACTTGTCCTTTGACATGACAGGGTCCTTGCCATCATGATGCGCTGATGCCTGGTCAGTCGTCAGCGTTGTTGCTGTTGCTGGTTTAGAAGCTGCTCCCTTATTTGCCTTTGTTGCAGTTGTTGATGTCTGGTTCGTCGTCGTTGTGCCAGGAGGTTGCATTTCAAGGCTCTGCAGGATGCGATACATGTCAAGCGTAAGCTCTGAAAATTTGATCTGTTTTTGACAGTTGCCAACCAAGATAGCTTCTTGAAGTTTCAACTTGCTGTTCGATGCGGCACCAACACCGTCGCCTCGGTTCAATCCTGACGACCATGATAGCCGATGCTCTACCGTCACAGGCGTCCGATCCGCACTAACTGGCGCGAGTTTTTTCTCGGCTTCCATAAACGTGTTAATTTCATCCAGAACAATCTGCCACTCCTTAGCGTCTGGAGGTTTGAAGCTCTTTGTATATTCGTCTACCAGGCTCTCCAACTCGCTGATGAGCAAGCGAATATTGCTATCCTTATTCAGTAACAGGCTGACCACAACGAAGCGGGCATAGTACCGCATTTTCTTGATCATTAGGGCAGGGCTATAGAAGATGTGTTGCATAATAGAAAGTTAGCAAAATTAAGAAACACCATCTAGGAAGGAATTGTTCAGGTTGATGTACTATACTTTTTCACTTCAAGGATATCTTTAAAATATTGACGTTCATGTATCGCGTCGTAAAATACGAAAGCTTCTTGCAGATAGCTCGTATCACTTGTTCGTAAACTAATAGCAGATCAAAAAAGGATATTGCTCAGAAAAAAGAAAGACATACTCTATATTTATACCCATTTGGGCTTGACCTACTAATAATGATAATATAACTGCCCGATCTTGCTTGCGATTTCTCCTACTTCCCACCGCTTTAGTCCGTAATTGTTCTTATCCTCCAAGACAGGCCTGAGAGAGTGCTAGGGTTAATAGGAGTAGTCACATATCGAACGTCATTGAAATGCTTTGACGAAGAGGCAACCATTACCTATGCGTCTGCTGAAACTTCCACAGCTACATAATAAAAAGAGCATTAGATTTGACGAGCCTCTTCCCTCCTTTCTCAGTCAATATGTATTTGAACTCATGCAATCACTTTACCTTTGTATACACTTCAAAAGTTTTCTCGAAATACTATCTCCTCAAAGTCAAAACAACCCTCCATATATGATTATGATGATGGATAGATAGGAACAGCCAGTTAAAAGTACTTACAGGTCTCCATTGTCGATGACTACCGGTTGGAGGCAAATCTCTATATGCATAATGAATTCATGGTCAATACGCATGAAAAACACATGCATATGCATATTCTTAACAATCCAGGAAAATGACCTTGTACCTGAGGCCACTAAACAAGCTCTGGCTTTTTTCCAGTAAATACTGAAACTCTTCAACTAGCTTCTGGTTTTGTAAAGCCGATTCGTCTGCTGCTGCTGCTGCCGTAACGGCGGCCACAGTGGCTTCAGAGGTTGTTGCTGGTGGGGCTGTAAATGTGACCTGTCCACTGGCAGCAGTAGTGGTACTATTACTATTGTTGTTAATCGCTGTTGCTGTTTCTGACGTGGATCGTGCATCGCTTCCTTATGTTTTTAAGACACAATATTGTGGGACGCGTAAGTTGGTCATGTTGTGAATTAGATTCTCCTCATCGAATCCGCATCTAAACGTGTCGTGTAAGAAGAGAGAGAAGGCCACGACACTCTTCGTACCTTGCTGAATTGACGTGGCTGTCGATACGCTGGGGCCAACACTACTACTGCCACCACCAGAAGGTGCAACACCAATTTGCTGTTCCTTTCCATTAGACTTGTGAATCACGTTGTCGGTACCCTTTTGCGGAGGCGATGCAGGCCGTCCTGCATTCGAATCGGTTGACTCCATTTGCGGATTGTTATAGGTTTGGTAACCTTCCGCCCGACGGACATGCACGCCAGTAAAAAATCAATGCGCTGTAACTGGGCAGCACACGTCACTTCTAACCCTTATTGTTGACAATCAAAAAGTGTCATCATGATGTTTACGAAGACAACTCTTTCCTTCTACTACTGATAAACTATCCGATAAGGTTCTTCTGCTCCAAAAAAAGGCACACTGCTCTTCTTCACACTAGTGTAGGTTAACCCCTTCTCTCCTCTTTCCCTCAAATTCTAGAGAGAGAACAAGAAGATGGTAGAACAGGATGAATATCCGTATGAAAAACTGTATTAAGTTTCCCTCTTGCTTAGCTTTCGCGAACGCAAAGAAGATGGAAGATGCTAATACTGGATGACTGTAGACAAGTACCGCTTACCACTGCAACAGGCAGTCTAGGTAGGTTTCCGGACATCAACTTTACTGATACTGTTGTTTCATCCAGCGTTGAAGAGCACATATCACCACGATTAAAGAATTGACTTCCACGACTGATGGGCCATCCCTCCACCAAATGATTACTGCCATCCTACCAGTTCTTTTCTAATTTTGATACATGTCAGTATACCTACTAATGTATACACAACACTATGTCAGCTACTAGAAGAACATCAATTTTCTATACTCCTATCCCAATGTCTATCTAGAATAGGCCTAGCGTATATCATATAGTTACAGGAAAGGAAAAAGATACTGAAGCCTTTATTGGAACAATAAGAGTACTTGCATACATGGAATAAGAAGGGAAAGGCGATGAGGATGATGATATATAAGAAAAGAATCAGATATCCATAAATTATTCGACAATGAGAAAAAGGCGGGGGAATTCATAGAGAATATGCTTGAATGCGCAGGAAGGGGGTGTACAAAAAAAGGGAAAAAAGATAGATAAGGTAGAAAAGCATATACATACAAAGAAGTGGGGTTTGTTATGATACTCAAAAGTACACACAAGGAAGAGTTGTGGTTGGAAAAGTATATATATAAAAGCTGGCTGTGAGAAAGAAAGATGACAGATGAAGAGCGTGCAGATTGGGAGGGGCTGAAAAAGAAGGTTCATACAACAAGAGAGGGCTATATAAGGTTCTGATCTGTAAAGAAATAATGTACGACAGTAGATAAGAAATGGTAGATGGGCGAAAAGATAGAATGGAATAAATCAAGCAAAAGAACGGAACAAAAGAAGATAATAGAACAAAGAGAGTGCAACATTGTTCAAAAGAAAGAGGAACGTGTTGTAATCGTTTGAAGGGAATGGTTGATAGAACAGTAATAACAGTAATGGTGATGGTAGTGTGGAAATTATTTACGCGAAAAGTGCTGAGGCGATATGTACAAGGTTGGTTGCGTCTGTCGAAGACGATGAACGCAGCATCTGATGGTGCTGGTGATGATGATAATGATGGTGCGGTCGATGGAATACGGAGCACGTTTCCTTGTCATCGCAGGACGAGGACGAATAGAACGAAGCGTCCGAGAACATGGAGGACGATGATATGGATGAGTTTGATGACAAGAGCTGAGGTGGTGTTTCTGAAGCACTGGTAGCGGCACTGGAAACCCCGCGTTGCCTGGTATTATTGCTGCACGACGACAACGATGATGACATGGGTGACAACGACGACTCGTTATAAGATCGCCGGCGACGACGAGTTGATAGCAACGACAAAGGTGGGCTCGAAGACGGTTTAAAGCTGAAGACGTCTTGCGTTGTTGTCGTTTTTGCTGCTTCATTTGCTTGACAGACAGTAGAGCAAAAAGGCGTACTCTATATAGTAAGCTGTTGTTAAGCAGGAGGCGCATACAGTAGTAATACATAGCAGGTGTAATAGGCCAAAAAAAGAGAGAAATAAAGTTGCAAACAATCAAAAGATAGCATCACAATACCTCGTCGAGCAGACGCTTCTCGCAATACAAGCAAATGTTGAGCTCCATTCTAAGCTATGGTACACAAAATAGTAAGAGGCGGGGGAGAAGGCAAAGCAGAAAAAAAAAGTTGATAGTCTTCTCAAAGTGCGAGGGAAAGAGGAGGAAGAAGAGCAATAAGTATATAGGCCGTGTCCTGTTCTGATAAACGATTCTCCAGGTTAGGCTGAAGAAGAAAAAATGGCAAAGTGGAGAAAGGGGAAACAAAGTATTTATAAAACGGTGTTGCTTGACATCTGACCCAACAAAAATGTACACTTTTTAGCAGCTTGCAATCCGCATCCGGAAGGTTACACTCTTGCCTTTCTCTGCTGTGATACGACGTGCAGCCAGGTACTACACCATCATCACCTATAAAATGTGTATTACTACTCGCACTCTTGCACTAACTCACACGCGTTTACCGGTATACCCCTCTTTTTTCACTCTTCTGTTGCCTTGAGATATAAGTACCCTTTCTTTGTGTAGAGTTGGCGGTCTGTCACGTTCTATGTTGAAGAAAGGGGTTTTAAAAGAGGAGGGCAATCCCTTGCATTTTGCTATCTTATGCACGAATTATATCATCATCAGCATCCACCTTCTGGGTTATTGGTGGGCACCAAATTTATACCATATATGTCACGACGATTTTCATGTAAATGCGACCTATCACAGTAGTTGGTAATAATAATGATGACGGCGGCGGCGGGAACGATTGGCGTATCTTTATACAGCGTATATCTCTTCCCTTCTCCTTCTGCTGCTTGCTTGCTGCTAATGTGATGGTGCCCCTGTTTTTTACTCTTTTGTGATGAATGATAAGAAACGGTTGATTCCTAGTTCAATAGCTTTATAATTTCTTTGTCTTTACTTTAAAAACCCGTGATCCCAATTATCGTTGTAGCTGTAATAAAAAATGGACCCACGTTTTCTGTTTGTGTGATATCCTCAGATGATATATGCTAGCGTTATGACTCACAACCAACCATTAGACTCGCATACCGTAAAAATATTCATCAAAAAAGCTTATCGTTGGATTTTAATAGATATGTTTACATTAGGTCGATACGTTGCGCACCAAGTATCGATAAAAAGGAAGGATATACATGTGCTATTGGAGCTATTGCAGTGGTCATTATGCTTCATCACCAGAATTTGAAGTATCCCAGCGGTTGGGTCGTGAATCAGACCGTTGAAAATGAAGTCATGGTCTTCACTATCATCACGACACACGCTAGCAAGCGGATACGATGAAAGATTACACATATAAGCTACCTTTTAATGAGATTAAGAAATATATGTGAATGGATAGTATAGTTATGGTAACATCGTCGTCAATATTATTGCTCAAGCTATTCGTGATGTTGGTAGTATATAAAGAAATCGAGAAAGTGCTTTCCTTGTTGTTTGGTACCCATGACTTCATCTTAATCGATCTAATTCATATTGACCCGATCTCCTTTCATGGGATTATGTATCAGAAGAAGAGCGCACGAATTAGACTTTATAGTAAAAGAGATGGTTTGCAATTGACTGGCTGAATAATGATGCAATAGTGGAGTAAGGCATGGTTAATAGAGGTGTCCTAGGAGAAGATACTGATCCCCTTGAGCGCTGTTGTTTTCTATCGCAAGATTTAAAGAACGATATCGTCAGGTAATAGTAAGTAGTGCACGTCGTATGTTTACATTATTAGCCGCGTCCGAATTGTTCCGGATCTACCATTTTACTGTGTATCATGAGGCCGAAATTGTTAAGTAGCAACCACGTTGGCGGCAAAAGTTACATTCTTGTTTCTAAATAGAGCTATTTTACTTTTCACTACGCAAGATAAGAGAGGATGCATGATGGCGTTCTTAACAAAGATTAATAACGTAAAAGATAGAATGTGGGGCAGATTTCCCGCTAATGTATCTTTTTCCTATTCGCGCTATCGAAACCCTCCAGTCGCGGTGCATCAAACTGTGTATACTCGACGTTATGATTACATACGTTGTTGATAAATCAGGGGAACAGCTACCGTTCATGCTCCCTGCATTGTATACTTAGATGCTGATATAATTATACCGCCAAACTATTATATAAGTGCCATCTTAATCATCACCCACAGCAGCAGCCAGCATTATCTCTATGTAATGTTATTTGTTGTAACCATATCTAGATAGTACCACCTATCAAGTTTGCATTTTACAAACGGCACTATAAGCCTAAAGCTGTAAAGAAAACGTTTGAAAAAAAATGAGCTATCTGCTGCTGCTGCTGCTGATCTTTTAACCCGTGCTAAAATGACGTTTCTTTAGAAAGAACTGTTTTCTCATGTGTGATTATGCGTAAGACCTACCTTGTGACATGTCGGAGCAACAAGGAAGTGCCAATCATCAACCCCACTTCTTCCTTTAAATATCCTCGCTTAATTCTTCATTTCACTTCTGTTTTACCATCTAACCTTTATACCTTACCATATAGAGCGTTACTTGCTAAACTACAATCATATGTTTTCCACTCAATGCCCTTAGTCTTGCAATCCTATGATGATAAAAGTAGCGCTTCTCAATGACGCATAGAATTGAGTTGAAGAACACAATCCGTTTGAGCAACGAACTTCTTGGTATCCTCTTCAGAGACAGCATGCAAAGTATGCGGAAAATGGATATATTTAGGTGCAAATGGATTTAAGACTACACATCTATGCGAGTCCTAGCGAATCATATTGTACAACACTAGTATGAAGAATACATGAGGATGGATTTTTAGTACAGTAGGTTATATATAAAGAGAGCAGATGTTATGCAAGCAATGCCAAATGCTGATCCAAGGCCAACGGCACCATCGTAGAAACAGGTAGGACATTCATTACCTAATATGTAAATGACATTGTTTTTTTGTTAATTTGACAAGCAGCAAACGTTTTAGAGTACACATGACGGCAAGAAACAAAGTTTAATACATTAAAAATACATACCGACAGTAGCTGTAGAGTTTTCGTAGTTTCCACTAGTATAAAAAGCAATTGAAAGTGTCGTTTGTGGTGAAAGCCATCCAGGACTTTGAATGGCTGATATACCGCGTTGATCATACAACTGGATCTGATAATAGCCATTCATGAGCGGATAATCCAAAGGTACATCGGACACGTGCCACACAGCACTGGTCTCAAGGCCGCCCATGGCCGAGATGGTGTATGTTACAGAGTTTGGACCAACGGCGGCTAAGGTTAGATTTGCAGGTTGAACGGAAAGATTTTCGAACTCCCAAATGAAGGTGACATTTTCTTGTGGGTCAATACGATACAACGGAGAAACGGATGCGCTTCCGGTAGGCGTGACGAAGGTTGCACCGCCAGGGTAAATACTGTTGCCGAAACTTGCAGATGTAGGTAAGCCCGCTAATGCGTCACTTTCGCTGGCAGCTGCCGAGCCAGTGTTGCTTGCTTGTGGTGCTGTGTTGATAGGGGCAGAGGAGGTAGCCTGTTGTGCATTGTTGCTGGATGTTGCTTCTTCATTCTGTGATACAGATACTGCAAATGCATAGCATCATGACTTGTCAACAATTTGATCTGTCTTTCATTGTTGTTTTCTGGCGTGCAGCCATCTGGTACTTCTATAGTGTAACTATATGCTAAGCTCCTTTACCGTCTTGTCGTTTTCTGAGTAGAGCATTGTCACCTCTAGCAGGATGCACTAGACATAATAGACATACGGCAACTAATAGCAGTAATGTTGTAAAGTTGTACGTGGATCGTATCCGATGTTGTAATGCCATTATGGAAGTTGGAAAGAAGAATATCGGATCTTTAGATGGATAAGGGGAAGAGGACGTCTATCGTATCAGTAATTGAGAACGTGATATAAAAAAGTAGAAGTGAAAAAAGAAAAAGTTTTCGCAATCTATGATGAAATGCCCTGTTGATGGATGCGGGCGGTGAATAGCGTCTTGGCAAACGGCTGAAAAAAGAATGTAAATTTAGATTGGTCATTGGAGGTTGTTGATTCGGCATGCTCCGCGCCAAAGAAAAAAACCATCTGTGTGTGATGCCATAGCAACAACACGCATTTACATATTCTACATATGCAGTTAGTCCACTTTGCTTCTTTTTTAACCTTTTTTACTAGTTTTTAGCATGAACGTAGCTTCACTTCAGCTCCTTCAATGGACCGATGTATTATAAGGAAAGGCTGTTCAATTCTTGTTTTTTGATGTTGTCGTCCGAAACGGCGCCCGCTTTGTTGTTATACTGGTGTTCGCTAGCTGACATTACACTTATGAATTAAAAAGTTGTTCCGTTGCCATACTGTAGCTGCGTTACATCAAGGCATATGACATATTAGCCCCGCACGCCAAACTTGTCATTACCCACACAGTATACATACGCGCAATTCAATCAGTTTGCGTCCACTTTCTTAAGAGTCCATTTTTTTCACAGTATGTTCTACTAAGCAAGTTTACGTCTTGACTGACAGTAAACGTCATTGCCTAATTGTTTTTGAGTCTACCGTTCTGTATTTTGTACCGTGTTTACGGCCTTTCATATAAGACGGAGCTCGAAAAGCGCGCATGCCACGGAGCACTTTGCTCTTTCTCCAAATCGGTCTGCTTCGAATTGAGTTGAATGTGTTGTTAAAGTCAGCTGTCGAAAGAAACACCGGATACATCTCTAACCTGTTCTACAATGGCTTATGAGTCAGTGATGCTACAGCATCTGACAGGTGGTCTATTTCCTTCTGGAAGCACTTACTAGTGTACATAGCACATGGCTAGTTTACACTAGCAAGGCACGCTACTAAGGGTTACATTTAATGCAGGTTAAGTTACACAGGTTGGAGGTCCAATGTGGCTTCCGGAGATGGATTTCAGTTACCTTATATTCAAGACGAATATGACCCATACAGGACCAATGTCAACGAATACTTGATCCAAGCTTGGCAGTTTTATGATAAACATGTTCTGGTGCTCATCTGATGGGATCGCTTTATATGCTATTACAAGTCTTACAGAGGCTGGCGGTATCCTTAAGCTTAAATCAGAACTCCTCGACCGGGTCAAACAAGGGAATATCGTGGAAGGTCAGTAATTCGAAACCACGTTTGAAGTCGCTGCTGAATTCAAGCTTCTATATTTGCTCGACCACATCTTCCTCTTCTTGGTCTGGATCTGAAATAGTTCTCACAATGCGTTGAGCAGAATTAATTACCTTGTGCAACCCGATCATGTGTGTAACTGCTATAACACCGTTTTTGACATCCGACAATACCCTCCCATTGACACATCCTTGCAGAGCGTCAACTATAATAATAAGCCGTCTACTGAATGATCGAGTCGAGAATATTTAGTAGAAAATGGTCAAAAGAATGATAATGGAGAGGGGTAATAGTAAACTACTTTTTTTCCTTACGTTTAATAAGTTCTATCTACACATGAATGAAAAATTTATATACGAATCTATTTATTTCTTGGCAGCTTCCTTCTTCTTGTACTCCTGGATCAACTGTTCCTGGACAAAAGTCTGGACGGGCTGATGTTCCTTGTATTCCATGGAGAATTCGCCCTTGCCTTGAGTAGCCGAACGAAGTTCGGTCGAGTAGCCAAACATGTCGTTCAAAGGAACGTCAGCAGTGACAGTGAAGAAGTCTTCTTGGATATCGGTGTCGGCGATGGTGCCCTTGCGCTTGTTCAGACCACCAATAACGGTTCCCTGGAATTCAACGGGAGCAGTAATCGAGACGTTCATGATGGGTTCCAAAATAGTGGGGCGACCCTTGGCAAATGCCTCTTGGAAAGCGTTCTTGGTGGCGATACGGAAAGCCATTTCGCTGGAATCGACGGCGTGAGCAGCACCATCTTCCAAAACCATACGAACACCGTTGACGGGGTGGCCGATAAGAGGACCCTTCTCTAAACCATCCATGAAACCCTTATTGTTTCAAGAAAAAAGTTATAGGTTAGCATATGCTTATGATGAACAGACAAACACTTTTTTTCTTTACCTTCTCACAAGCAGGAATAAAGTTGGTAGGGATGTTGCCACCAATGACACGGTTTTCAAAGGCAATATCCTTGCCGGTATCTTCATCAATTTGCATAGGCTCAAGGTTACCAACAACGCGACCGAATTGACCAGCGCCACCAGATTGCTTCTTGTGGGTGTAGTTGAACTTGGCAGCTTGAGTAATAGTTTCACGGAAAGCGACACGGGGCTTGCCAGTGACGCAGTCAACGTTGTATTCACGGCGCATACGTTCGACGTAAATCTGCAAATGTAATTCACCCATACCCGAAATGATGGTTTCCTTGCTTTCCTTATCAACATGGACGCGGAAGGTAGGATCTTCTTTCTGGAAACGGTTCAAAGCCTTGGAGAAGTTGGGCGATTCACGGCCGTTGGGGCTAATCGAAAGCGAAATTACGGGTTCAGGAACGTACATCGAGGTCTATAAGCATATAAGAAGGTAGTTAGCAACATGCATAAAGAAGCCGGCTTTTCATGTAAAATAAAAGTAGAAATATTACCATAGTGTACTTCAAAGCACCATCAGTGAAGGTATCACCACTAGCACAGTCAACACCGAACATGGCACCGATTTCACCAGCACCAAGCTCATCAACATCTTCCATATCTGAAGCATGCATACGCACCAAACGAGGGACCTTGATCTTCTTGCCAGTCTTGACGTTGGTGATAAAACCACCACGCTTCAAGGTACCTTGGTAAATACGCATGTAGGTCAATTGACCATAACGACCTTCTTCGAGCTTGAAAGCCAGACCGACAAAAGGATTAGCGGAGTAAGGGACCAAATCAACAGGCTTCTCCTCCTGAGCGATATCGAGAGCAGTGTTCGTGACCTGGGTAGGATCGGGCAGGTAGTTGATGACAGCGTCCAACATGGGCTGTACACCCTGGTTCTTAAAGGCAGAGCCCATCAAGACGGGAGTGAATTTGAGATCAAGCGTGGCACGGCGGATAGCGTTGGTGAATTGTTCGGCAGTAGGAATTTCTTCCATAAGGTAGATATCAGCAATTTCGTCATCGACATTAGCCAATTGTTCAATCAGTTCTTGTCGCTTCTCGGTAGCAAAGTCCATCAATTCGGCAGGGATATCCTTTACAGCGAGGGATTCACTGAGCGAAAAGGATAGAAGATACTCTGTTTAGCCACGCTATATCCTTTTACCCCAAACGCATCCCATCTTACCGAACCACAATCTCTGTTTCCTTTTAAGTACGATATACTTACCCATATTCGCCCTCATTGTAATAAGCCTTCCAAGTAGTCAAATCAACGACACCACGGAACTGGTCCTCGGCACCAATAGGGATCTGAGTAGCAGCAGCAGTCAATTTGAGTTTGTTTCGCAGTTGATCAATGACACGGAAAGGGTTAGCACCGGCTCTGTCCATCTTGTTGATGAATGAGATACGGGGAACATTGTAACGACGCATTTGACGATCGACAGTCATGGTTTGAGACTGGACGCCTGAGACAGAGCAAAGAATCATGACAGCACCATCAAGCACACGAAGAGCGCGCTCGACTTCAATGGTAAAATCAACGTGACCTAAAGCAAATTGACAACATTCCAAGCTATTAGGTAAGTATATCCCTTTTCCTCTGTCTTCCTCTCTGTTTGGATTCACGCATACCACACAAGCATTTTTCTTCAGCTCATCTTCCTCTGTATCCCATTACTGATCATTACCAGGAGTATCGATAATGTTAATGTTGTAGTCGCCCCAGCTAGCATAAGTGGCGGCAGACTGAATCGTAATGCCTTTTTCTCTTTCGAGATCCATAGAGTCCATCTTTGCACCTACACCGTCACGACCACGGACATCGTGGATTTCCTTGATGCGGCCGGTATAGAAAAGAATACGTTCGGTACAGGTGGTTTTACCAGAGTCAATATGTGCAGAAATACCAATATTACGGAGCATGCGAAGACGTGCCTGGTGAAAGAAAGTAAAAAATCAAAACACAAATAAGTATCGTTGAATCAGTCAAAGTGTACAGCAGTTTTAACACTTTCTTAGCAATTTTCAAAAAAAAATCACTTCTTTTGTATTTTGCGAGAAACTTACAATATCCTTGGGATCGGCTTCTTCGTCATTAGTTACAGTAGCAACAGCTTGTGCATTCGTAGACTGAAAACGTTGGCAGAGGTTTATCGGTGCGAGAGACAGGGTTTGGCGAGACGTGTTTTGGGAGAGGGTAACGGCGGCCTTTTTAAATGAGACCGAGTTGACCCTTCCAGGCAGCCCTCCAAGCAGAGAGCGCACGAACGACATGACGGGCGTGGTAGGTCTTTCGAGTCGGAAGAGGTACAACAAAAAAAAGTTGGCCCTGTCAATTCACTTCTTCTATCGGAGTGACTGCTCAAAGCCTCCCGCTTGTGAAACATACGCATTGAGTCAGTGGATGGGTGTAAATTCCATCATCCAGTATAATAGTCAAGAACTCATTCCAAAAAAAAAATTCAATTATAAAAAAATTACGACAGAAGGTATTGGTATAATGATGACATGGCGGTATATAGGAATATGGATGAAACAAACTACTAGCTTGAACTGGTAGACTTGGAGCTACTTGCTTCCGAAGACGCTTGCGATCTTAGAGTAGTGATGGATTCTACAGCATACAATTGTAGATTGTTTTTCTATCTTTCTTTCTATAAAATGCAAAGCATTTTTGAGCACTTGATACCATGAGATGCTATAAATACTATGTGTGAGTAATTAATTCATTTTAAGTGATATAAAGTAAAGAAAAAAAAAGAATAGTTAGACTTACACGAACTTCTAGGAGAGATTCATATGCTAGCGGAAGAACACTGAAATCGTGTCTGCTTAGTGGCAGGTAAAAGATAGCAATGGGGATCATACGGTATGTAGCTTGATATACCAGATCCATTACGAAAACAGTGCACATGAAACCTATTTTTGATCACGTGAGCAACAAGCATTATTATCACGACCTTCTATTCAAATACAATCACACCCTTAAATCCAACCATTATTTACCTTCGATCAACACTCCTGTTACAACAATATCTTCTTCGTCCAAACCATTGTTGATCATTTTGTCAATCAACATCCACCTGCCTCGCTTCGCTCGGCTGAATGAGCCCCTTCGCTGCGCTCCGGGTCATTCAACGGATTGGATGTTTCCTGGGGGTTCCCCCCAGACCCCCAAGGTGGGGGGTTCCCCCCCACACCCCCCTTCTAAACCCTAACCAAAGCTCGCTTCGCGAGCTTACTTACTGCTACGCCTACCTACAACCTGAAACTCGTTCGCTTCGCTCACTGCTACAACTGCTACTACACTAATCCCTACAGAAGTTAAAGATAGCGGACTATAAGTTTTACTAATGGCAGGCATTGTGCGAAAGAAATAAGAAATCTAAAATGATATGTATACAAAAGTGAAAGTATAAGAGCAGGAAAAAGAGTGGGGAGAAAGGGCGAGGTCTAAGATGTAGCAGCAGTAGCATCGTTGTCTGTGTGTGTTTGGGTTTGAGGTGGTGATTGTTGTGGTGGGTGTAAGAGCACTTCGTGGTAAACGATGTTTGTCGTAGCAGGGACATCTGTAGTGGATAATTCTGACATATCGACAGAAATACGCAAATTATCTGGGTTGGTTGCTCGTGAAAGAGCAACATACAATTGACCATGAGCAAACACAGGCTCTTGCAAACGGATGCCAACATGGGTTAATGTCTGTCCTTGTGCTTTATGTATGGTCATGGCGAATGCGGGGCGAACAGGGAATTGGCGTCGGCAAAGGATGAATGGATATTCACCCTCTGTGGTACACATATTAATTCGAGGAGATAGTGTTCCTCACCGTCGTGGCCTCGATCCATCCTTTTGACAACAATGCAATGATCTAAAAGAGCTGTGATGAAAACTTTGGTCCCATTGCAAAGACCTTCATCAGGATTGAGATTTCTCATAAGCACTAATGGCATTCCCACTTTAAGATCAAGAGCATGTTGCGGGATACCACTGGCACTTAAAGAGCGAAGATACTCAGGAGGATAGCTGGCGGCGGCGACGTCTGGATCGTCTGCGTCAATAATACGGTCAGTCGAAAGATACTGCCTGCTCTGGCCAGGAAAAGCTCAAACGCACAATCATTGATCTCGTCAACGTCAACATTTTTAGCTGCTAAAATAGCACGATTGCTGAATTCTTGAGGTTGTGGATTGGGTTGACGGATCGATGGGTAAATGGCATCAATTAGCGCGACTGGATCTCTTGCATCAATGAGCCATTCTCGCGGTATTTCTATGCTCTCTCTGTGCGGAGGCCGTCCATCACCAATGGCAAGAAGTGTTTCCGCGAACGCTGCAGCAGTTGGACCTGCATTTCGGACACGCATGTTGACTGTAAGGTGCAACACCTGGACATCCGCCCAAAAAGGTGCAGACCGGATGCACTCTCCGGCAACCTCAGATCGTGTGCCTTTTTTGACAACAGGCAGCAGCTGGCGAAAGTCACCGCCAAAAACAACAACCTTTCCACCAAAGGGAACACCCTCGTACACAGGATCGACAGCACCCATGATATCACGTAATGCCTTGTCAACAGCCTGAAAATTGTACTTGCTACACATTACAGCTTCATCCCAAATAACCAAAGATGCTTGTTGTATGAGATGTGCGTGTGGACCACCAAGTCGAAGATTGCAAGTAGTAGTATCGTCTGCATTGATCGGTATTTTAAAACGGCTGTGAGCTGTGCGACCACCGGGAAGCAGAATTGCAGCAATGCCAGAGGAAGCAACAGGCAGTGCAATCTGATCTCGCGAACGAACACGACTTAACAACGTCTTGAACAGCAGTGACTTGCCGGTACCTCCAGGGCCATTGACAAAGAAAAGATGTGGCTGGTTTTGGTCACCTGGTTCGTCAACTGCCTGCATTATTGTATTGAATGCATGTCTTTGATTGTCGTTAAGTGTGGGGAACAATTCGTTGTGAATTCGAGTTTGCTCTTCTGTGACATACTCCCCACGTTCGACTGCTTCTAGAGCAGTGAGCTGTGGAAGAGCATCGAGTTCGGTGACAAAGTCTTGCGGTAAAGAAGGAAACTCGGAAAGGCGGTGACCTGTGGATTGTAATCGTGTTTCAATGTCGCCAAGAGTACGCTGGAATACTTGGTCCCATTGATCAGGTACCAACTCGGTCTCATTATTCGGAAGTTGAACGTGCATTTCGAAAAAGTAATCGTCGCTCAATCTTTCGCGATGATTATCCCAGAGTCTGCGTGGATCAGAAGGCGAGCAGTTTGTAAGAATATAGACGAAGAGTTCTCGAAGCGCTGCAGCTGAAGGAGAATGGATAGATGCCTCAGTCATGCAACGATCCCATTAGTCATCGGATTCCAACAAACCATGTGCGAGAGCGGCAGCTTCAAAGGATGGATGCACGACATCATTCAACGTTCTTAACGACTCAAAACTGATAGGACCACGAACAGTAAGCAAGAGCAATCGAAGCGAATACAATGCCATATTAGACGGGGACGCGAAGTAGATGCGAGAAACAACATTTTGAAAAGGTGGACGGGTGCGGCGGTTCCAGGTCTTCGTTCGCTTATCCCAAGTATAATGGCAAGGGATCTCAACGTAAAGATATTGCCGAGCCTCTTCATCTCGAGAACAGAGGTCGAAAAAAGCAGTAAGCTTTGTTCTCGATGCGTTGTTGCGTGCTGCTGCAAGACCTACACGCGAATCGTTTGCGTGGAAAGTGACAGATTGCTGGTCAGGAAGATGCAGTTCTAAGCGGGACACATAAGGATGGTGCATATGGACCTGGTATTCGAAGGTTCGCCAAATTGCCTCGCAAGGACCAATATATCGTGCGTTTTGATATTGCGTCACCTCATCTACTGCCTCGCGCTCAACATTGGCAGCAGTATTAGTATCGGCGCCAACAACAGCAGTAGTGGATCGTACTGCTTCCGGCTGCCCAGCTCTAAGTGTCTCCAACTGCGCCCTGTCTGATCCTTTTGTGATGTACTTGCACAAATACTTGATAGCGCGTGCAGAGGTACAGATCTCAACGTTGATGTGAGCATTGTACTTTTGGCATAGGTACGGGTTATAAGGAACAACATGGGAATTGTCAGCAACAAAGTTGGATCGGTGAAAGTGATGGCGACGTTGAATGTTTTCGCGTCTACGATAGATTGGATAGCCGTCTCTGCTTACGCGCGTTTCAGCAACGAATGCTTTGGGATAACCTTGCGAGCATCGTCCATCTTTCATACAAACAGCGTCCCGTTTAAGATCTCCACATGGTCCGTGTACCATCGATCTTGTGACTGTGGCGTACAGTTGAGGCTGGGTGTTAGGATCTGGCAACTCGGCGCAGACGAAACGGTCGTAGTCAGAAGGATTACGGGGACGGTCTTCATGGTGTAGGATGAGTAGGATGTGCACGTGTGGTAAGCCACGTTTTTGAAACTCAACGGTTGCAACATACCCCTCGATGCGGCCAAAGCAACTGGTTTCTTTGATGTGCGATAACATCTCAGTGATCTTCATATGGAAGACTCTCGAACAGATGTCAGGACGATCAAATGCCTGCTGACCTGGAAGAAGTTCAGCTTGGATTTCGGCCATTGTGGATTGCAGGTAAAAGTGATGAAGAGTGTGGGATTGCCTCTTTGACGAATGATTGCCAATCCATCCTGGAGCATCTGCTTCATGTACCATGGACCCCCTGTGAAAGAAGATGGCAAAATAATTGATCGACCAATCTGACGTAAGTCTACATCATCACCAATACCGTTGTACACCTCAGAACGTAAATCACTTTGATTGTTGATAATATACTGAAGGCGCGAATACTCGATGCGTGCATAGTTGTCAACAACTAATTGTTGGAAAAGACGACGGAAATGGTGCTGGTAACTCGCTCGTTCTCCATCACGGATCATGAGCATATACGAACAGAATTCGAGCAACGTAACGGTAGTGGTCTGGCGGTCAGTACTTTCACACTGCATTCTAGCAAACCAACCATCATCACCAAAAGGAAATATAAGCACGTAGTGGAGGGGCATATAGGATGCATGGAGTGAACTGATGGTCTGTAAACCTAACTGACGATCACGGATGACAATGTCGTGAGGTGATGTTGCGCCATCCACTGTATCTTCGACAATCATAGCGGCGACCTCTGGATAACTCTGCTGGTCATAGCGTCTACCCATTTCACGTGCAGAACGGATGACAACCTGTAGTGTTCCAAAAGGTGTGTCACGATATGATTCAGCAGCATTCATGAGTGTTTGCGCATATGGGTTGCATCTCTCCATGACGCGCTGGAGCAAAGCTATCATGCCATTATCGAGTCCAGTAAATAGTGTCTGTCTTCGTGCCAGTTGCTCTTGCGTATCAGCGAAATATATCTGAGCGAAATTGGCTGGTTGTTGCTGTGCTGAACGCAATGCCCCCATGCAATGGTACATTGTGCCATTGATGCGAAACGTGGAAACACCATTTGAACCATCAGCCAGATTACGATCGTAGTTTGCTCGAATGGACGCAAATGCAAACATATTGTTGTACGCGCGAATATTGGTGAAGAAATCGTCGCTAGTATCATTTCCATTGGTCAAAAGGTCAATGATTTCTTGTGGCGGATGGCGAGGGATGGGTAACTGTATTTTGCCGTGTGTGCAGCAAATACTGAAACGTGGGTTCGAGACTGAAGAACTTGTGATTCGTTCCTCAATCCACATACGTGCCTGACAAAACGTACAAACAGCATTCATGCGAGCAAGAACGTGTCGATGGAAATTGTCTCCTGGTGTAAAACAAATGTTGGGACCGAACACACTCTCAGCGACGAAAGGAATAGTGCACGCAACTTTATACTGTGCTCCATGCTCAGACTGAACGTTTGCTTCATTGAAAGGACATTCTTCAGAAGTTCGTCGCGAATGGCCAGGTGCCCCGCAGCTTGAGCATGTGCGAACAGGTTCTGCTAATGGCGCATCATCGGACCGAGAATCTAGAATTCATGCATAAGTATATACCTTGCATACACTAAGACACCTTAGTCAAACACAGCGTTCTAACACATACCAGTCGCTTCAGCGCTTTCCAATCTATTGTTCGGATTGGCAGGGCAATCGCGATGCGAAGACCGTTGGTGCGTGGTTGATCCACAGTGGGGGCAGGGTCGACGCTGCTCATCTTGAGTGTCAGGTTGCTCAAACATGAAAGGATCCTACACGTAAAATTGGTCAGAGCAAGGAAATCATAACACACAAAAAATGTAGTAATCTAAACGACTTTGCGGGACGTTCCCCCCAACACCCCCAACCTCTAAACCCTAAACACGTCCTAAAGCGCTTCGCACGTCTAAGCATTTCGCTAATTTCCCAATACGGATGAAAAGAAGCATACATTGTCAAGTCTACGGCGCACATTACGCTCATTCAAAGGACAATCACGATGGCGTCGAGTTGAATGGGTGGTTGCACCGCAAACACAGGTGCGAATTTCGGGTTGGTTTTGCTGTTTAGCCGAGAATACACATATTTAATATTTATTCGCTTTTCTTCAAACAAAAGTTTTTCTTTTGGATATCGTAAGGTACATAAGGTACAACACAGTTCCAGCTAATCTAACGACATACTTGTTGCGAATTCATTTTGTAAAAAAAAGACCGAAGTTGAAGTTGGGAATCAGTGTAAAGACAAAAAAGCTTTCAGGGCAGTTGAAAAAAAAAGTCGGGGCTTAGCCATCCGAATTACCAAAAAAGGGTAACTTCGTAAGAACCACTTCTCTTTTAATAGTAGATCAACATCCACCTGCCTCGCTTCGCTCGGCTGAATGAGCCCCTTCGCTGCGCTCCGGGTCATTCAACGGATTGGATGTTTCCTGGGGGTTCCCCCCAGACCCCAAGGTGGGGGGGTTCCCCCCCACACCCCCTTCTAAACCCTGACCAAAGCTCGCTTCGCGAGCCTACTTGATGCTACGCCTACCTAAACCCGAAACTCGTTCGCTTCGCTCACTGCTACTACGCTAAACGCAGAAGTTAAAGATAGCTGACTATGTATTACTAATGGCACTGTGCGAAAGAAAAAAGAAAGAGTGGGGAGAAAGGGCGAGGTCTAAGATATAGTAGCAGTAACATCGTTGTTTGTGTGTGCTTAGATTTGAGGTGGTAATTGCTGCAGTAGGTGCAAGAGCACTTCATGGTAAACGATGTTTGTTGTAGTAGGGACATCTGTAGTAGATTATTCTGACATATCGACAGAAATACGCGAATTAATTGGATCAGTTGCTCGTGAATGAGCAACATATAATTGACCATGAGCAAACACAGGTTCTTGCAAACGGATGCCAACATGGATTAATGTCTGTCCTTATGCTTCATGGATGGTCATAGCCATTGCAAAGTGAATAGGCAATCCTCGTCGGCAAAGGATGAATCGATATTCACCCTCTGTGATACACATATTGTTTCGAGGAAGATAGTGTTCCTCATTGTCATGGCCTCGATCGATCCTTTTGACAACAATGCAATGATATGAAAGAGCTGTGATGAAAACTTTGCTCCCATTGAAAAGACTTTTCATCAATGTTGAAAACTTTCTTGACATTCCCACTTTAACACTTTAAGAGCATGAGGCGGGATCGCACCGACACTTAAAGAGCGAAGATATTCAGGAGGATAACGTCAGTTGAATGAAACAGGGAAAAACTCAAACACACAATTATTAATCTCGTCAGCGTCAAGAATTTTAGCTGCTAAAATAGCACGATTGCTGAAAGCTTAAGGTTAATCCCATAGGCGCGTCCCCCCTCCAAACCCTAAACACGTCCGAACGTGCTTCGTGCGTCTAAGTATGTCGCTAATTAATCATTACGGATTAGCAGCATACATTGTCAAATTTACGGCGAACATTATACTCGTTCAAAGGACATTCGTGATGGCGTCGACTTAAATGAGTGGTTGCACCGCAAACACAGGTGCGAATCTCAGGTTGGTTTTGCTGTTAAGCCGAGAATACACATATTTAATATTCATTCATTTTTCTTCAGACAGAATTTTTTCTTTTGGATATCGTAAGGTACATAAGGTACAACACAATTCCAGCTAATCTAACGACATACTTGTTGCGAATTCATTTTGTAAGAATATGACCGAAGTTGAAGTTGGGAATCAGTGTAAACTGTTGAAAGCTTTCAGGGCAGTTGAAAAAAAAAATGTCGGGGCTTAGCCATCCGAATTACCAAAAAAGGGTAACTTCGTAAGGACCACTTCTCTTTTAATAGTAGATGCACGATTTAAGTTCGTTGCCGAGCTTTACGTAGTCAGGTCGCTGGCCGTTGTTGACTTTTACAGGTGGTTTGATTTCCACCACCATTATCAACCCTTCTTGGGGAAGGTCTTCACCGTACTTGAAAAAAACTGACAAGTCAGAAAATTGGATATCTTTTTTTATTTTTGGCAGCGTCAGGCACCTTATCATCGGCTCTACAAGTAAATTATCATATGTGAAATGTCAGGTACCCTTCTAAAAAATATACTACCATGGGGACATATGTTTTAATCGAATAATTAACATACCCTTTCCTTGAGAGCATGCCATTTTCTTTTAGGAATGGTAACAGCACAGGATCTACGACTTTTATGGTGATTGAGCTTTCAAGTTTCGTAACTTTGTTTGATGTGTTGGGAGCATATCGAGAGACCCTGGCAAATATATATAATAGATCATAAAAATTAATAAATCATGATAATAATGTTGGTGGATTTTATAAGAAAACAAAAGTCCTATGTAGTATTACTCACAAATTTCTTAATGACTCCTTGATCATTTTGTTATCATCACCATCTGGAAACTTCTTAATACTGCTGTCAACCTTGCAAAAATTTTGTCGAGCAGCCTGTATATACGTTTACTGGTCTGTTAGTAATCCCGCCAAAGTATTACTTTTCTGAATTCAATAGTGAGTATTTCTACCTTTGTAATGTGGTAATAGCTGATTCGGTTTCAGCAGGCAAGTCATCAACGGTGTATCGATCTCGACACTCCTTTACCATCAATTCCCAGGTAGCAGCTTCAAATCTGTACTCAAGATCTGAGCTACTCAAGGAATCCATGCCATCAACCAAAATGATACAGTTCAGCGAACTATGATAGTGGTTAGTGGATTCGAAACATAAACCAAAGGTATTGTTAGCTTCGTAGCTACATAAGCTAAAGATTATTTAATTGAGAAATAAACACTTACAGTTCTTCATGGATCGAGATCAACTGTCCTGCTTTTGCTTTTTGGAGTGACTGGGCTTGATATTCAAGAAAATTGCTTCATAACTTCAACATCACCAACTTTCCACTTTAACATAAAATTATATGAATATCTATACAGTTGACCCCCATTTTTTGCACCTCCACTTTTTGCAGGTCCTCAGTTTTTGCAGCTTTTTTTGGAGGAATCCCGTTCATCACTTGGTAAAATAGCAGTTTCCTCACTTTTTGCATTTTGCAGCCCAAAAAGAAGGACCTGTAATTTTCCGCTAGTAATTTTCATTCTATTAGAGAGCGGCGACGCTGAGAATCGAACCAATGATGTTTGTTCTGGCTTTTCTTGCAGAAATCATCCTGGATTTTTCTGAGTTCATTCCAGTAAATATCTTGCTGGCAAGAGAATGATAAAGGAAAATCCAAGATTATACCTTTTCAGTAACATTCAAACAGTCTTGAGCCTATATTAAGTATTCTTTCTATTAAAGTACTGTTTCCGTTTTGATTCAAGTCTTTAAAGAAAACTACCTTTATTGATATTGATAACTGCTCCCAGTCAGGTTCCTCTTCTACAATGATTTATAGTCATAGTAACAAAGAAGGATGTATCCTAAGTAGGGGTCGCAATCTGACCTGTAGGTCAAAATCAACCCGCGGGTTGAGGACAGGTCAATAGGTCGGGTTGATGCTTTTCTGACCCATGGGTCGACCCGTCCAACCCTTGACCCGACCCGTTGACCCGTCGTGACCTATGTATACATATAATATGTATGAGGTACTTATATTAAGTAGTCAATCTTCTTGTTGGGAAACATAATTAGTTGTCAATATGTCTGCTATAGAACTATAGCATAAAACGTACTTAATTCTTTTTATTGTGGGATTATACTTTATATTCAACAGTATAGGATAAGTAAGCTATAAGCAATATATATGATAGGAGTAAAGAAGTAGCAATAGTGCAATAAGAATATACAATAGAGGGTGGCAGTAAGAGACGCGGTTTAACAAAAGATAGAAAAGGAATTGATAAAAGAAAATCGAAGGAAGAAGAAAGAAGTGAAAAGAAAAGGGAAAAAGGAAAAGGATAAGGGGCATATAGGGAAGTCGATTTTCAACCACACTTTAGATATTATGCTTTCTTTAAAGTATGTGAGCCCAAGCAATTTCTTTTGTGATGGCACAGAACCCTTTACCTTTAAGAATAATCACTCAAAACGTAGATGTTGCTAGCACTGCTAGGAATTTGCGTGCCATCATCTTAGAGAGCTATATATATATAGGGTTTTGCACTTCCAGTGCTCAAGTTCAGGCTGATCGACACTTCCTTCATCACTACATTGAAATCAGCCTTGACCCGTCAACCCGAGTTTTGACCCGTCGGGTTGAACGGGTCGGGTCGGGTCAGTGTTTTCTTGACCCACAGGTCGATGGGTCAGACCCTTGACCTGACCCGACCCGTCTAATTGCGACCCCTAATCCTAAGATAATTGACAGAAAATTTAAATATTAAAAAAATAAAATAAAAAATTGTATATTATTTTTAAAAATAAATTAATTCTAAAGTTACTACTATGACTATAATAGAAATGAATTCATTATTGTATGATATGAAAATAGATCTTTATATTCTACTTTCTGATAATACAAAATTAAATAATGTATTTACTATAGTAAATTACAAATAAATAATATAAATATGATATATATTTTTGATAGAGAAAAGAATTATAGAGATTAAAAAAATAGAGGAAAATATATAAAAATAAATTAATCTAGAGAAAGATTTTTTAGATAATGATAATATATATTATATAGAAGATTTAGATTTATTGATAATTATAGATAATTCTGAAAATAAGATATTATTTCTCAATATGATATTACATTTAATGTATATAAAATATAGTAAAGTTATAAAGTTGAAAACATCGAGAGAATAAAAGCTATCTTATCAAAAAAGTAAATAAAAAGAATAATTCATTAGAATACAATTTTATAAATGAAATATATTTCTGTTCTGATTACTTTTTTACTCTAATAAATGTTATATCTACGATTATCTATCTAGTTCTTATTATAATAAAATAACACAAAAGAATATTTTTATAGAATATAATAAACATTTAAATAATAATAGTTATTATTTAAATTATGAAAAGGTATTTTAAAATCTGTCAACTATTGTATTAATTACCTACAAAAAATACAATTAATAAGAAAACAGTTGCAATTTTTTTTATTTGCACTTACTTAAATGCTCTTTTTGTATGATTTTTTGAATCAGTAGCTCCAAACGCGGTGCAGACGTGTGACATGGCTACATAGAGTAGACCATGGGTGAAAGGAGGTTTAGGCATGTAGAGGCCAACAGTGTTGAAAGTTTGACCTATGCCTTATTGATGGTGATTGCAAATTCCAGGCGAACAGGGGAATTGTGTGCATTTAAACTGGATTCGGTAGCGTGTTTGTGATGGTTTTAGTGTTATATGGGAGATCAAGACGATGTTGTCGGCATGAGGTCCAGTTGCTATTGCAACTTCAAGTACATATCATTCGAAAGAGCGTACAATCAGCCGTGTCCCATTGCAGAGACCACTTTGGGTGTGTAAGTTTCTCAAAAGCATGATTGGGCAACCAACTTTGAGTTTTAGCAAGTATGGTGGGAGGTCAGATGAACTCATATGGAATTGAGCAGCTCTGGTAGGTATGTAATTTGATCCTCGTGAACAGTGCCTGGAAAATGGTCGAGTATCAATTCGTTAATTGTTGTAACGTCGACATTCTTTGGAGTCAAGATAGAGCGACTGATGAGGTAATCACGATCCACGTGTGGTGCGTTGAGGTTGCCGTAAATGGCCTCTGTGAGCTCGTACGTGTTGTAATGCGGCGTGAGCATTCGATCTGGAAGCCGGACTTTGTCATCGGTGTTTGGCATCAACAGCTCAGCACCATCACCAATGCGAAGTAAATATTGCGCAAACTCGCGAAGCTCATTTGCATCATTGGTGTTTGCAGCTTGTTGGACGCGCATGTTGGTTTCAAGGCGGTGGACGGTGACACTGGGCTTAATTGATGGACAATTTAGGCACTGCTGTACGATTTGTGAGCGCGACGCATTTGGTATCATAGGAAGAACCTATTATCAAATACTTTACTGTGGTGAGTACTACCGCTTAATAGCAAAAGAATGCAAAGTAGAAGAGAGGATACAATGTTGAGTACCTGGCAAAAGTCAACACCAAGGACCATAATTTTTCCATCAAATGGAACAACGGCAAGCGCGGGATCGCCATGTCTCATGAGATTTTGGATACTCTTGTATACGTTGATACTTGTATTGATACTTGTATCCAGCGTGTTTAAAGCGATGACACTTCTCAGATGATGAAGGATTTGAAGTGAGCTTCATATCGTGTTTATAACGCTTATCCGCTTGAGTCTTTTCTCGATGCGATACCCGTCTACTCACATAGTCATACATTCATGTAGAACAAATTTTCTGATCTGGAGGAGCCACACACCTCGGCGCGTCATAAACGTGAGAGAGCAATCTGATTGGATAGATTGAACTGGCTCAAATGCCGTGTTCATTACTCTATATAACCGCGCGGCCGCAGCAATCATGCCGCTCCTCTTCCTCCTCGTCAACGTTTGTAAGCCAAAGCTATTCAATGTGAGTATCATTGGAACGGATTAGAGGATCGAAGAGTGTATGTTTATGGTGGTGAGTGAGCAGAGCGTATGCAACCGGTTGCGAGTTTCTCAAGATCCGTTTATTCCACTTTCTTTCTTTTTTGACACAGACCTTCTTCTCGTCTTTACCTGGTCCTTCTCCCCTTCACGTTGGCTATCAAAGCTCAAATGCAAGTGTAAGTACAATATGGAAAGTGTGAAGTGTACTTTGAGGTTCTGCATGTGGATGTGGTGTACGAAAGAAGATCTGAATTTTGACGTGTCTAAAGAAGTGTATGTACAGCATACAGCCACTAATGTTATCCCCCTTTCTTCTCTGCTACTACTGTAGGATTCTGACTTTTTAAAACGGTTGGTTCGGTGTGGTGTTTGCACTCCCACCCTTAAGCACAAGCAACGGCTGTGAGTACGGTAGGAAAAGGAACGTGAGCATGAGCTGGAGAGAAGCCGAGTGTCTGTTGGGGGTGCTGATGCCATGACGTGCCAAAAGTAGCTGCATATTTAGAACAGCCTGCTTATGGTCTTTCTTCTTTTCTTTCTACTTCAGGTTCCGCTTTATGCTGGTTGGGTTGATCGTGTCCGGCGGACAAGTAACAGATAGTAAGTATAGGCAAAAGGGGACTTGAACATTGGTAGGTACGACCCACAATTATAGTGACCTTCCAAAAATTTACTAACGAACCAGAAATTTCCATTGGCGAAGCCAAAAACAGCATAATTTTAAGTCTGATAGAAGAACTATTATCCGGTTCTGCCTTGCAGTGAAAAATTCCATTCATTGGTGCCGTGATCACTTGATCTGGCACACGAGAATACTGGTTGCGGTAGATCCAACGAATATGCTTCTGAACAAAGGCAGAGCTTAACCATCAAGCATTCAATATTAGGTGTCTGCAACAACACTCTGCAGTACTCACTATATTGTCTTTGTAAACGTCTTTCTTCGACAAAGGAGACTCAGTTTTCCGTGATAAAATCATGTATGTTGTAGTAAAGAGATTAAATAGATCTGCTCAATGTTATAATTTGTGCAGATTTCGGTTGTGCTAAGATTATGTATAGGGCGATATACTAGTATTGCTAATTCATTACTACCCATTTATACACCAAGCTGTGCAGCAAATGATAAGGCAACCTTAGCAGCTAGCTTTCTCCTCTCTTCATCCGGTAAATCGTTGCCTTGCTCTATATCGCATATAAGAGCGAAAAGAAAAGTATTGGTAACTCGCTCTATGTGGTACAAATCTCTCAATATATAAAATACACGATCACTACCTCTTAGTGCTTGCATAGTTTCAAATGCCTTATCCAAGCCGCCTTCATTTTCAAGATCTCCAAATAACTGTTGCTGCATCTTCTTGATTTCATTTTGACTCGGCAAATTAAGATCATCGAGCTCTGATTACATTATTAAACGAAAAGTAAAAGATAATGGTGACTTAGCACACGAAAACACAACCGAGATAGCGCTGCAAGTGTCTTTTTTCACTCCACATATATTACCAAAATCATCACCATCGCCCTCAGCGGCAAAATTACCATTAGCAGCACCCTTATCACCTTTCATTTGATTCCGTTCCTTCTCAAGAGAAAGCATCTGCAATTCTATAGACAAAATCAATCATTAATATATATCTACATGTAATCCTTTCCTGGAGTAATTATCAAATGTACATCTTCATTTACCTTTGTAAAAATCGTCATCATCATATACAGTCTCGCCGGATACGTTGTTGTTTTTATTGTTGTCTGGTTCTTTCTGTGACATACCATCCCAAAGATTGGTTTGTAATACATCAACTGCCAAGTCCCAACCAGCTTTATCCAATGGCTCCACTGTCTTTTCCTCCAGATCCACATATTCAAACTGATGATCCAGGCACCAATCTTCTATTGGTGACATATCGTCGTCTTTTTGCTGTCCGCTGCCAACACAAAGTTGAATAGATGGTTCACATCCTTCAAGGAACGGTACCCAATTTTTGATACTGTCAAAACTGCTAAGCTAACAGAGTACTCAGTTAGTACCTTACTCAATCTTCTACCTCGAATTTTGTATCTCACATTTTTTTTCTCATTCTTATCGATGCCTTCCATCATATTTTTTCGTGTTTTTTTTTTGGTACTTGCCTTATCCTTACGGAAAGCATAAACAAAAGCGTCCACAACTTGTCCTATTTCGTTCTTCTGATCTGCATAGCCCTTTATAACCTCGGCATCGCCATCAACCTCGTCCAGCCAAAAATCGACTGATGCTGTATAGTACTTTGTGTCAATTACCCAAGGGATGCAAACACCCGAATACTTTCCGTCTGATTTTTTCAGTTCGTCATCAACGAGCTTCTGTGGAAATTCTTTTTCGCATGCTGTAAAAACGCCTATATATGGAATACATACTCATAAGTTCGAATTGCTAGAGTAAAACCATAGCTATAATCAAACAGCTTGATAATATATAGCTTACCTTTTACAAATTCGAGAAGACCGGCATCCTTATCGCCAACGACAAGGATCTTATTACGCAAGAGTCGAGTAGTAGAGGCCATGGCGACAAATGTCAAAAGCTTTACCTTATTCAAAGCTGTTGCTGCTGGTGCGGTTTCTCAAATTAAAAATTCGGCTAAATAAATGCCACCAAATGTGAACGCTGTAGTGTATCACAGTTGAAGACTATACGAATTAGTAGATGGCAAGCAACCGTTCCGTGGCACATCAATTGATTATCTGCTTTGTAATAAGAGTGTTCAAATCCTTCTTTGTATACATGCACATGATTGATATAGTGGCAACCAATGGGACGAATAATTGTTACTGCTCATAATGTTCACATCGGAATAACTACTGCTATGACTGGAGTATTAGTACCTACTACTTGTTAATAATGCCATTTTCAACAATGAGAATTTATTACACTATCAAAAAATATATTATGTCCGATCCCTTTCTGTAAGTATATGAAAAAACATGAGTTATTAGTGGGAAAAGTCTATTCCCCCTCACACACACACAAAAAAGAGCACGGCAATGGGTGCAAAGGCACCAATTAAAGACGAGAATGGGATACAGGGATGCTGACGAATGCAAAGCTTCCAAAAACTTCTATATTCGGTACCTCTTTTTGGGTTTACAAGAAAAAACAACATGTATTGCCCTCATTTATTGGTTTGGAATCGATAAACAAGTATCTAAAACCAAAAAAAAGGGAGGGGGAAGGATATACTTCTTAGTCCGTTTCTTGTGTATACGAAGAGTTCCTCTATTGGATTTTTTTTTGATTCCAAGAAGTTCATGCTCTGGAACATACACCATGTCGGAAAATGTACCAAACTTTGAAAAAGAGTACGTGCCATAGCAATAATGATGAATGTACATGGTGTGTACACATATTGTACACATGGCTGCTGCTCCTGGGCAGCACATTCTGATCTACAAACAACATCTTTAATTTCCTCACGATAGCTGCTGATCTACGGGAGCACAACAGCAACATCAACATCAACAATAAGCTTTTTTGTTTCTTTTTACCGCGGACAGCAATAATCCCATAGTAAACACAGCAAAATAAGAACCCAATGAAACAGATCAAGACGCACTCCTGAAGAATCCGAATTATTCAGCTGGGATATGTAATATCCGCGGATTTATGTTCAACCTGGCTATTGCTGTTGCTTAAAAGTTATAATTTTGCCTGCTTATTGATAAGTTGAAAAAGTTTCGATCTGTTGGTTAGCAACAGCTCTACTATCTCTCTCTTTCTTTTTCTGGATCAATACTTGTTCAATAGTGCTCGCTAATAATAAGAACTGAACATGGACTCAAGACAAGCCGGTGTTCGTCTATCTGTGATCTTTTGTGCTGCTGTGGCAAGTCTAGGCACGTTCAATTGTGGTATCAATACAAGCGCGCTAAATATTCCAGGTTATTTCGTGCGTAACTGTCCTGATGCATCGGCATTGGGCGATACTACAACGTATTTCCCAGGAACTGTCCTACCGAAATGCATTCCTATGGACGACCTCATTTGGTACTTTACTAAGTAGTATTACTAGATAGCTATTATCCTCATAGTCCTGATGAAAAATATCATGATATGCTCATTATTGATAGCCTCTAACTACATGTTTGTATCTATATTACAGGGGAATTGCTACAGGAGTGTTCGCCATAGGCGGTTTACTAGGTGCTATGTTTGCGGGTTGTTTGGCTGAGCGTATGGGGCGTCGCGATTCTATGTTCCTCGTCAACATCACGTTTGTTATCGGTGCTGCTATGAACAGTCTTGCTACCACAAGTACTATGTTTGCTATTGGTCGGGTATTTGTCGGTATCGGTTCGGGTGCTATGGTATGCCAAGGAGCAAAACATGTGCTTAGCGTGCTGCTTAAAAGGAGCAGTCTAAATGAACTAAACAGCTTGCAATGCTAATGTACATCTTTTATACAACCTTCTGTCTCTTTCTATCCTTGTAAAGTCTGTCCTTGTCTCAATGTACATTGCAGAAATAGCACCTCCAAAGCAGCGTGGCATGCTTGTAGGTCTCTTGCAATTGTTTGCCACCTTGGGTGTCTTGGTTGTGGAGCTCTGCGGTCTTGGACTACAATCTGCAATTGGCTGGCGTTTGTCAGCAGCAATCACTGTAATTCCAGCTTTCCTTCAGGTCATGCTCTTACCGCTCTGTGTACGATCACCTCGTTGGCTGATCAGTCAAAATCGAATCGATGAAGCACGGGAAGCGCTCTTAAAGCTACGCCGAGGCGATATCGAGACTGAATTTGCCGATATGACGCGCTACGCCGCTGGTGGTATTGTTGCGATCGCTTCTTCGCCATCCTCTTCATCTATTAGCAATGATTCTGTGATTGCAGCTCAGTTACAGCACCAACATCAGCAGCAAACATGTTATGGTGCAGCAACTGCTGTAATAGGTGGACGCATCAGCAGCAATAAAGAAGCCATTACAAGTATTACTGCACCTGCCGTTGGCTTGACAAAATCTGCGACGCCAAAAGAATCAGAGGCATTGTCTCTTCTACAAGTGATGCGAATTCCTATTCTTGCTATACTCACTGGCAAGATGATGATAATTCATGCTGGCTTCCAGCTCTGCGGCATTTCAGCAATCATGTACTATTCTACGAGCATCTTTCAGGCCACGTTTGGCGCTACCGGAGCAGCGTACTTGACCGTAGGAGTTGCAAGCATCTTTGTCCTATTCACAGTTATTGGTCTAGCACTTGTTGATCGACTTGGCCGAAAATCCCTGATCTTGTTTTCCGCGCTCGCCATGTGCATATCGTCCATATTGATGACCGTCGGTCTGCTTCTTCATATATCCATACTTCAAGTGATCTGTGTGATGCTGTTTGTGGCGACCTTTGGAGTCGGCTTGGGTATTTGTCCGTTTTTGTTTACCTCCGAAAGCTTCCCCACATATGCCGTCGGTGCCGCCTGCTCAGCTGCCCTTGTATCCAACTGGTTCTTTAACTTTGTTATCGGTTTCTTGTTCCCAACTTTGTTGCGCGTTTGTGGAAATTACGTGTTTATGCTGTTTGCCGCTGTCACCTTTCTACTGGCTTTGTTCATCCACTTTTTTACAACAGAGACAGCGCGCAAATCCATTGATAATATTGGACGCGAATTAGGCTGGTATGATTTGGACCCTAAGAGGTTTCTTTGCAGCTCTTCATCATCCTCGAGTAAGTTGTAGTAGTATTTAAATTGTCTTGTGCCCCTCCCTTCCCCATTCCCTTTCAGTGTATGTAGCCTTTACTGTATAACTTGGTACATGACTTTTTGTTTTCGATTGTTCATTATGTAAAATTTTCTCTATCTTTGACTATCTGTTAAACAAAATAAAGCCTCCACCAGTGCAACAAATGCCCGTATATTAGATTGATTAATTACAGAAGAGCCGAACAATTTATCTCAGCAACAAGTTGGTAGCTGCTAATATGTAGTATATATGTTAATTGAAAGAAGCGAAAACCATAGACATGTTGCAACAGTCGTGAAATTGGTTATCTAGTAATTGCGGCTATTTAAAAATTACAAGGACACAGACAAAATTAGGCCACTAGATACGTATGGCTATTTTCTAAGTCAAAGTTTTCTCACATTGGGAAGGTCTATATATATAGTCAAACTACTTCTTGTCTTTCTACCGAAACTTCCAAAATGTAGCTATAAAACGGACTTCTTGTTAATGAAATAGCTCCTGGAGGGAATTCTCGGACACGTTATCCTCGCAAAATCTCCTTTCCTCCCACTCCCTCTCAGGGGGAATGGAATTAGGCAAAGTCGAAACTCCTGATATCTTTAGTCTTGCTCTGCAGCATGGAACTGCAACTTAGGTTATGATAAGCCATGTAGCCGACCTTCGTTTCTTACTTTTGCGTTTGAGGGTTCACGCTGTCAAAACATTCAGCAGCATTCGGCGGCAATAGTCAGAGTAGACATAGGAGAATAGCATAGTGTCACTGGTATATCGCATCAGCAAACGAAACTTTTCAAAGGAGGAAAGATAATAAATATCATTACACATATTTGAACTCAGTGAACGAAAGAAGCAAAAATGAAACGAAATTTGACTGCGATCTAGATGCAACAGCCTCCTTCACTCTTTGGCCGCTGTTTTTTCTAGTAGTATGTTTTGAACATACAGAATAAGTCTTCTACATTTAGTGTATAAAGGTATAAATAAACAACAAATGTTTCATTGCATTCCTGTTCTTATTATGTGTTTGTGTAGTATACGGCTATCATCTTTACTTTTTTCTTTCCAAAAATTCAATTAACGTCTTTACACCATTTCCGAGACCCAGTAGCCAGCTAGTAGTAGCACTATAACTGACAATATATTATGAAGAACGTTAAGTCATGATTAAAGCTTAGTAGATAGGAGCCAAAGGAGTTATCAGGTTATTATCATAACGTGTTGACGGAAAATGAAAAGAAAGACGTGGAGGGCGGGAGTAAAGTAGCTGGACCTACACCTTAGCGAATCATAATTCGAGATAGTGTTTAAGTTCACCTATGAGAATTCGAGATAGTGAGAATTGTATCACGTAGTCTACTAGTACAACGATCTTATTTTAATAAAGTAGTGCCGTTTGGGTTTTTTCTTGCATAAATATATTCTCACACCATAAGAAAACTTGACTACTTCATCCTTTTCTTCTTTTTATCTTGTATCAAAAGACATGAGCGACAGAGAGCCCTACAAAAAAAGAGGCCGCAAAGCTGGTGGTAAAAACCCAAACGCTGGGCGCAAACCGAAAAAGACGAGACCTCTTGATCAAAGCGTACTCAATTTTAGTGGGGTTGCGCAATCTGCAAGTGCAGTCGACAATAATGTAATCACTAATACAACGGTAAGGTCATAACAAGATGCAGCAGTGAACTGTACTTTTAAATGTGTGCAGTAGTCTCTTACAAAATCGAACCAAATATTTAGAATATTCATCCGCGAGAAAATGAAATCCCATCACTACGTCAAATATGCCGCACGGTTCTTGAATGCGCCGTGGTAAGCGAAACTCGTTCTTTGATAACACCGGTTACTGCATACATGATTTCTAAATATCTTATCAAAATATGGGCTCTTGCTTTTCACTATAGCCATCTTCTACATATGACGAGCACAACGAGGATCAAATTTTGGGCCTTGGGAGTCTAGTGCGCGATTTGGAGGTTGAAAGTATGGAGGCCGAAGTTGAATGCGAGCACGAAGAAGATGATGACCGTGAAGCTGGTGACGTTGCTCAAAATGTGGAGGATGACACAACGTATAAAGAAGCTCCAATTTGTAGTCAGTATTTCATGGAACTACGCGCCCGTATCGTTGATGAATGTCAAAATGGGTCCAAACCGCCAAAAGTATACTGTGAGCAGCAACCGTTTTGGATCGAGCCACCAGCGCCTTATTTCTCTTTGTACAACACCAAGCAAGCTGATCCGATTCCACTGTATCGTCCGCGCGTTTTTTTATGGGCTCCCCATTTTATCACAAAAGCAGTGTTGAAGTGTCCAATATGCAAGGAAAATAACGTTGATTCGCACTTGGTGTCAAAGGGACCTGCTGATAACCCATGTGCTCGTCGTGTTGTTGACCTTGACAGGTACTATTACATTACGATGCTTTACTTTTCTTTTATTTCAATTATGTAACTAATCTTTCTGTATGCTTAGATGTTTCTATATCATGTCTTATAGATACAAATGTTCAAACACAAAATGCATAAAAAACTATATGGCGCATGATAATCAAATCATAGAGCAGCTCCCGGAACATCTTCAGGCTGAATTCCCTGCGTACCTCACACATCGAAGCGCTGTTTCTAAACATCTTGGTGACTTGTTGCGGACAGTTGTCCAAAATGGCATGGGTGTTCATCGGCTGCAGAGAGCGCTACGCGAGTTTCATACTTTGCGCCACGCACGACTTCATTTGCAATACTTGAATTCACTTATCTATCGCCGTAAGAATCCAACTCTCTACGAATTAGCCAACAATAACCGTCAATTCAAGTACCCATCATTTTCGAGCTTCAAGGATCCAAACGGATATGCTGGTTACGTTCCTTCGACTGCGTACTTACGACTTGTATACACAGCCTTGATTGAACAATTACGCCCACTCATCGATAAAGAGTTATCAGAGCTCGGTGGTTTGATTCTGAAAGGAGACCACACATTTAAGGTTCCGAAGCATATGGCGAAACTTGGTGGCTCATCAGCATTCACAGCTTTGTATACTGTATGTAACGAATACGAGGAAATACGGCTTCAACTATTGGTGCCAACAAAGTCTGCCATCCATCTAGAAGGACCGTTAAAAGAGATGATCGAATCGTACCGTCTATACAACCATTCAATGCCAGAGCTATTCTTCACCGATAATGTGAAGGGCGACCAGAATCTTCTAGAACGCTCAATCCCGTCACTCACGCGCCCCATCAATGACAACAATAACAGCGATAACAAAGACAATACACGATCGGCCGAATTGCAACAAAACGATGACCAAGGACCATTTCTACAATTACCTGACACAGTATCTATAACTGTACTTAAAAGACGCTCCTGACGCCACTGATGCAGTTAACAATATTCGTAGTCGCGCTATTAGTTATGATCAATCTCTTGTTGTGGGATTCGACTGTGAGTGGGTGTACAACTCTGTCACGCATCAAATTGGAAAAATTTCGCTGGTACAGGTTGCATCTAAAGATGCTGTATGGCTTTTTCGTTTGAAACCGTCTTCTGGGTGCGTTCCTGCCGCTCTCGCTTCTCTGATTCGTGATCCAAACATCATCAAGACCGGCCGCAACGTCAAGGGAGACCTTAAAAAGCTCAACCGTGATTATGGAATCACTTGGAACGGAGCATTGGAACTTGGCGGCTTCTGTAGAAGGCGAGGTGTAATCGAGCGAGGCACATTGGGTTTATCGGCCATATCTGCAAGAGTACTCGGATCCGGTTTGCGTAAAGACGCAAATTTGCGCTTAAGTAACTGGGAGTCTACACAACTGTCGAGCGACCAGATATACTACGCTGCCTTGGATGCATGGGCATCTTTACAAATATTCGATACAACGAAAAACTTAAGTACCTTTGGCGAATCAATCCGCACACCGGTAGCCAACCTTCATTGTTCGTTGCATTATCTCGATAATCCAGTCGCATTCGGATATGTTAGTGATCCGACAATCCACGACGATCATATAACATTTACGGTCAACAGAATCAGCGTGCCGGGCGCTGTTGTGAAGATAAAGAAGCTTGTAAACGGAAAACATGTTACAAGAATGAAGGCCTGGCCCGATATGGGAGACGTACCATTTGCAATTCAAGCTCCAGTGGCCCACCTACGCACCGAGAATCCAAGATTATGCACACTCTTGCACAGCGAAGTACCTGTCAATGATTTCGCAATTGACGTCGAGCGAATAGCTTCTACTGCCGTGAATACCAGCAACAATCAAGAAGCGAATGATAGCCAATCCGTGTCGTCGTCGTCTTCTTCAGAAGATGAAGCTAATTTGCCTGAAACGACACATTTATTTACCACCATATCTGCAAATCAACTCCTGGTAGCATCAGTAACCCCATCACAAACCATTCGACATATCAGCAACCCAAGAATTCTAAAAGTTATATTCCATCTAATGGATATGATCAAAATCTCAAAACGACATGGTCTTGCAAAAGAGTTTTCCCGTCGTCTTCGAGATGCCATTTTTATAATTAACAATGAAGATCATCAACGAATCGAGAATCACTTACGCACACAAGGCCTTTCATGGGATTATATGCTACTTCGCAAACCTGAATGGATTTTACGAAGAGTTCGACGAAGCGTCCCCCCAGCTGACGAGCTTCATTCTGTTGTTCAGAACTTGTTTGCCGAGTATGGTCGTCTAGAATGTGCAAAAACCGGTAGACCACTGTTTGACAAGAAAGCTTGGGATCAAGCTCGCCGTATTCTAGCAGCTATAGAAGCAGGAGAGGTATCCGATCCACCTGGAATCTCGCTATACTTCAAAATTGATGTCGATAAGCACAATCTTCCAATGTATCGATGCAGCCGAGGAACAAACTCATTAGAAGGTGGTGTTCACCAAAATATTATTCGCAAGTTTGACTCTTTTGGTGCAGGCCCACAAATGACTGATAGTATGTTGGCGGACTACCGATTACGACATAATATCGACGTAAGTAACTTTTAGACAGCTATGGTATTATTTAAAATCACTACCAACGCGCGCCAAATTACTGCAATGTTGTCGTCCTACCATCAGTATCGATCCAATATTGTGGCTGCCGATGACATGAAAGGAAAGAAGTCGCTGTATACGATGGAGGATTGGCTGGCTACCAGGCGGCCGGAAGAAAGCACGCATCAGCTGTCACTACCCTGATTTCAACAAACAACACGCAATCCACTGCCTACGTATTCATCATCGACTCGACGTATCCCCGCAACAAGCCAACAACACGATGACCAGACCTCCTATATTTTCAAACAATTGCCGCAATCGAAACCACGATCCCCTAGAAGCATCCAATTTATCATCAAAGTTTGGCCAACATTATGCCAAATCTTAGTGGAAGAATTAGACGCACACCAACACCCAGACAGCAACGCGCAAAAATATGTAGACGCTGCGCCAGGACAAGCAATGATCAATTGGATCACCCCTCCTCCTCCCACAGCAGAGTAGGTATACATAGTATTCTGTTTGACTATCCTTCTTTCCTTTCAATATTAACATAAACAAAAAGCCCTAGAAAAAAAAAGTCAAAAGAAAGAAAGAAATCTATAACCCATCATCCTTATTATGAGCTATATATATACCCCCGCCAAAATTGGTATCCCTCACCTCTCTACCTCCCTGCAGCTTACAAATCCAGCAGATATTTGAGCCCTCCCCCATACCCATTCCCTGTGTCTATACACAGGTTTTTCGATTCACAAAGCTCCCCATATCTGTCTTGAGCAAATATGTCCCACCAAGACGCAGTGTCAAATAAGAGACGCTGAATAAAGCCAAAATTTTAAACGTACTATTACTATAATCTGTAAAAAAAAAACCAGTCTTTCACATGCATAACATACATAAGCAAAAGATTACTTTTCGATCGAGTTCCCCAAGCCCCTGCTACATGATGGATGGATGGATGGATGGATGGGTGGATGGTAAGTTACCACCCCCTTTTTTCCCTCGCGCGCATAATCTATTTTCTTGACGGGGAAATAAGAGCACCGAGTATTAGGCTACAGCTTGGCAGGGTTAACCAAAATGGCGTTTCTTTTCGGCACATGCATATTCTTGAAACTTTTTGAGCGATATGCATACGTTTGGTGCGACATAAGACCTTTTTTGGTCAGGTCTGTAACTCAGTCCTGCATGGCGAAATTCCATTTTATAGCGCTGGTCCATCTCTGGTCTTTTGACTGCAGCAGCGTCCTTCTGTGTTCCACTCATCACCAATAATGCATATCCCCGCACATCAACGAGTAAGAGCGCAAGAATGTGCCATCTTTTCGTCATTGAAGAAGATCGCGATCAGCTTCAGCCTGCGCCACACTCTGTCTTGAGGTTAGTTGACGACAATGGCTTACGAGAAGCGGGATCAGCGCAAGCATCAATAATAATAATAATAATAATAAAGCGATTCAGTCGTCACCCCTCCTCGGCTTTATACCAAAACCGCCCGGCGGGTCCGAGAGGAGAAAAAAAAAACATCCTTTTCTTTCCATCACCCAGAAAGTTTAAACCGTCGCTTCTCTTCCCTAAACATGCCACCTTTTGTACAGCCTTCGTTCGAGCTTATTGAGGCCAAGTCGTGGGCCACCGAGTGTGTCGACCAACTGATCTCCGAGATCGACGACATTAGCTTTGAACCTGAATCGCCTGTTGTGCTGGCAACAACTGCTGCCTACCAACCTCTCGCCGAGCGAGCCAACAGCGCGCCTCCCTCACGACGACGCATCAAACGACCCAATAATCCCATTCGACGGTCGTTTTCACTATTGGAAACCAACCTCTTTCACCACAATTCGTCTTCTGCGCGTGGCCGTGATGCCTCTTCTATGGAGCAACAGAAACAACAAAAGGCTGCTCGCACATGGTCATCCGCTTCGGTATACTATAGGAACTTGCACCATAACTCCAATTGGAGTAGTAGCAGCAATGGCAGCAATTCAAGCTCCTCGCGTTCATCGTCACCAGCATTATCCGCATCGTCATCGTCTTCTTTCAATAAGAAGGAACGAGAAGGACGGGCCATTTGGCAAACAACATTTCAAAGATACCTCTTGGAAGAGACGAATACAATTCCCGACAAGGTTTGTATCTTTTTCATTCTTGCACAAAATGCTTAGCAGATCCACTTGTATCTCCACACACACACATTGCAGTCCATACTCACACGCGTGCTGAACATCGTCCATAGCCGTCCTTGTCCCTGTCCCGCTTTGTCATGTCCGAGTTGCTTTCGACGGAGGAAACATACCTCGATCACCTCTCTATCATCAAAAGGGTAAGAGGCACCGATAATAAGGGGGCGGCGGGAGAGGCTGGTGAAAAGCAAAGGAATTTTTTTTTTCTTTTCCCACCACACAACAAGCTTTGCTCCTCCCTCCCCCCATAGAATTTAGCCTCCTATTTCTTGCGAATCTTGGAATAAGTGATCTAATCCAAGGGATAAACTCTCGCAGATATTCATGGATCCACTAATGGAGGCAGCATCAGCACATCCACGACCTTTGGCCAGTTTCAAAGACGTCCAGACAATTTTCGCATACATCCCACAATTGATCATGCTGTCGACATCATTTTTGCGTCGCTTACATGGAGCAGTCGAAAAAGGAAACGACATCGGTAGCGCGTTTTGCGAGCACTTGGATCAGTTCGACGTCTACATTTCATATGCAGCCAACTACTCCAAAGCTCAGCGCTGTGCGGCCAATGTCCGCAATATTGTCTGTCGTCATTACGTGCAAGAAAAGACAATGAATCGCATGGTCTTGGCGGACTATGCCATTGCGCCGATCCAGCGGATAACTCGCTACTGTCTCCTTTTGAAAGGTAATTTGGATGATCAATCTTCAGTTGCGTTTCCTGTCAGCCTGTTGCTGATAATAAGCAACTACTATCATTACTATTAGATCTCAAGAAGCACTCGTCCTCCTCAGATCCCGATTGTGCCTCGCTCGATAGAGCCCTGAAGTGTATGACCGCCTTGGCACACGCTATGAACAACATCCAGTAAATAACTTTTTTCACCCTCAGCTCTCATTCATCTAACACCATTATTATTGCAACTACTATCAGCAACAGCAACAGCAACCGTTTTTCCCTACTACATACATACTTCACTATCTCTAATAGAACCCTCTGTACGTAATATGCCCGTTCTTCTCTTACCTCTTACTCTCCATCTTATAATTATCACATCATCATATGTATATTTCTCTTCATCGTTCTTTTTCTTCCTGAACATATAATTCAGACGATAAATGTCATCATCATATCATCACCGTCATCGCCACACACTATACTCCCACCATTCCCCCATCGCCATTCTTTTGCCTATCTAAACTTGTACTTTTACGGTGCTTTCATCCGGCACTTTACCGTTTTCGAACAATTAAAAACACGCATCATTGTTAAATACTATGGGATCATGTTATTAGTTGCCTTTTACCGTTACCAATATCATCATCAGAAACAAAAAGCACAACGCACTAGAGCGGAAATGAGAGCCGATCGTCATCGTCTGCGGCGGGTAATTTTTGAAATCGAGGCTCCCTATTTCTCGTTCCAACACGTTTTCTAATGTATTCTCCGGCTTTTCCTTCTTTAATAGAACCCTTTAACGAAACACAAAAAAAAATGTTTGTACTCTCTCACTAGTTGGCGCGAGCAATGTATTTAGCACCGATTTCTGAGAGCGCGAGAGTCGTACAAAGACCCATGAAAGTGGCTCGGGTTGCTCGATACTTTTATCTCTTGTATCACGCTATACGACCAAGAACCGATACAACGCTAGTTTGCTTCTACCTCCAAATATGTATAAGAAGTTATCCGTAATTGGAAAGCAGGCCCCAACAACAACCAGGCTCACATAGCTACGTATTCATTACGAATGCTTAAAAACACACGGACTTTTGTGATTATCTAATGGTGTAATCTTTGTCCAACAATGAATTCATAAAGTCGATGTTGCTTTCTTAATAAACTCCAAGTAATCACAGTTATTCTGAGCATGATGATATGTCTACTACGATACTGCTACTCGTTAAAGTTTCTTTACCGCTGATAGCAGCAGTGCTATCTGAGTTCTCTCTAGCAATTGGTCTTACATCACAACTTCTACTATATGACCGTACTGCTAAGTAGCTTTTTAGACTATTTGATTGACTTGCACCCATGGGCTTTTCTTTTCATTATGGGTTTACTGTAAATGACCTCAAGCAGCAAAAGTTTCTATGTTTCATTCAAGTCAGTTGCCTCCTATGAAATGAGTACCAAGTACATTACTACTACTGGATGTGCCGGAGCTGCTTTTTATTCTCGGCGTTCTTCTTTTCCCTCTCAACACCAAGGTTTCCTGATTGTCACTGACAAAACATGTTACACAATGCATTGACTATAAACATTAATCTTTTATTTGTTTTTATCTGTGCGCATAAGATATGTAAGCTATAATTGGTTCATCAAAAATAAAAGATCTCAACTACATAGTGGGTTGCTTTTTGTTGTTGTTGTTGTTGCATTAGGCTGGAGAGGAAACAGAGAAGTAAGGACCGCGTCACGTATGCAGCGTCTAAATACGGGTTCTTTCTTTTCGGGAAACAATAATACATGGTATAGTACAGATGCACGATCTTGCATTTCCGACTACATGAATCGCTCGCTGCATCAGCTTGTCAAGATACTACAGATGCATATGCAAAAGAAACGCCCACTTCTACTGCTGCCATGCTACAGTTACGCGACATTGACGGATACATTTACCTGCACTTTGTCTCTCCATCATATCTATTCTAATATCAAGCTTATCTCCATGTTATCGTAAAGAGAAAAGTAAGATCAGGTATCCAAAACTCCTGCATAGTATGCACTCACCGCGGCAGTAAAGGAATGTCATCCATATAGTCTTCATATACACTTTTCTTACCCTTCAGCTCATCAGCCTCGTTACCACACTCCCCATCCACCCCCAAAAAAATTGTTAAAGAAATAAAAAACGCCCAATCTCTTGATGATCTGCAAAGATTATACACACTGAAACGGCAGGCTATGCATGATTCTAATTTAGGATAGTAAAGCCATTATAACGCAGCAAGGTTTGTCTACTATGTATATAGCTCTCTACCACATCATCATATCCTTTTCAACCCTCGCACTTTTTGGTAATCATAAATATAGCGCTTTATTAAGCAATCTTCCTTGTGAAATTAGGAGTGATAGGCTACAAAGGAATGTTTTTATGTATGTATAAGAAAATGGCTGTTTACTACCAGATGAGCTTGTCGGTTGACATATGGATGAGCAGTATCCGCCTTCCTCGGAGCACGAAACTTTGCACTACTCGTTCCAATTCAAACTTACGCTCTAGGTAGACGCAACTGAAGAGCTTGCAAGCAAAGAAGCTGTGTTCAAAAACGACATGAAGATACGCATCATATATAGCTGTACATATATATATATTACCGCAATAACAAATAAGGAAGACGGAACTTAAGATACATGTGCATTGATTCGCAGTTAGCCGTACCTGCAATGCTGGCCTCGAAGGTTATGGCTATACTTGTTTTCGTCGCTGACTTCCTTATTATCATGTAAGGTGCAAGAGGACACTTCGTTGCTGTCGTTGCTGTCATATCTGAAGCTACAGTCGCAACGAAAATGGCGCTCGGGAAACAACAACTCACAATAAAGCAAACGTAGCAAAAGCCAGCAAGTTCTTTTTCTCCTGGGTAACACGTTTTGCAGGATTAAAAAAGATTGCGAATATAGCCTTGTCCACAAAGACACTTTGGAACGTGTATTCTTGTTTTGTTTATTAGCATATTATACTATAACTTATAAAATTAGTTAAATGGCGCAAAATTTAATAAAATGGTTTGATACTAAAGTGCCAGTATCCATGAACAAGGAAAAATTGAAAGGGGATAACGGTTATTATGCTTGTCGAGACTCGTCGATTTTGGTGATATACTTTTATCTGTTGCAAGGGACACGAAAAAAGGGGCGGTAGGAGAGACTGCAGACTTAACGTTATCTCATACATACATGATATCTGGGGTTGGACCATAATAGATACGTACAAAGTCGTTGAGTTCACTACGTTTAAAGCTATATTATACAAACACTTAAATACACAGTTCAATTGCTCTTTGCCGATTGATCGTACAGTTTTATTAATCTATGTAAGACCATATATTCATGGATCGACAACTTTATTATAGTTAATTGTAATCATTTATTGATACTCTCCATCAACGCCTCCTTCATGCCGCTGGCGTTTGCCTACACCGAAGGCGTGTCGCCTTCTCTGTATATTGTTTCCCTGTGCCTTGCTTGCAATGCCAATAATATGGTTCGCCTCAGTTGTCCTCGACATTGTATATTACACTGTATGTCCGTAAAAAAATGTCGGTGCATGGAACGGTGGTGAATTTTTCGACGCATAGCTTGTGTGCCGGCACTCCAATTATGCTCAAAGCTGCGGCAACGAAGATAAATGTTCGCGTCGCTGTACGCATTCCTTCATTTAGTAGCGTACCGTAGACAACATTTATTCTCGGCCGCTTAGAAAACTGTCATTTGCTTATTGAAGAAGCAAAATATAAGTTTTGCTTATATCTTTTATTAGTTATGCAAGGAAAATAGAAGTGGCACTTAATGTTTCTGTGTTGATAGAAAGCATGGCGCTAATTTACCAGTAGAATAAGCATCCGCAGCAACAACATCAATGTATTGTAAGACTGAGTGCATCCCGTGTAAATCCGATCCGTAACCGATCCGAAAATGCGGCTCCAGATCAGATACAGATCGGCTTACCACTGAATCCTCTTAACCATTTAACTCGCAAACTCTTTCAAAACTGCTGGTTGGAAAGAAAGACAAAGAGACACACAAAGAGATGTTTTAAGCAGGCAAGAATATTGAATAGCGGATCCGCAGACCACCATTGCTAGCAACAAATGTCGAGCAGAAACTAAACACATGCAACCAACTTTGTTACAGAACTGCATTGATGGCACCTTTCCCGTCACAAGTTACTCTCTTGATATCACCTTTGTACGTACTGCTATATTCAGTCTTCCATATTTTGGAATCAGTAAAGAAAAGCAAACTGGCTTGTGTCTTTGTAGCTATTTTTTATTTTAAAACGACTATTACTACACCATATAAGTGTTACCCATGCTATCCGATCCGTATAAAAAAATTGAGCTATTGATGCAATTAAAGGAAAAGAGTAGAAAGAAAAAAGTTGGAGGGTTGGAATTACAACGGATGTACTACGAGACATGGTCGGTTGGTTTTTGTTTTGGACATGCTACCACGGGAATTTGGTGTGCTCAATGTATCTCCGTGATTTAGTTGCTATCATATGCAGCTATTAATTTGTTGACCACGATATTGCTGAATATACTGCTATGTGTGCGTATGCCTATGCATTTATCATTCAGGCGCTCTATCAGTGTTCGTGAAAGCGATGGAGTTATTTACACGATCATCAGCTCAGCAGAACAAAAGCCAAGGTACGACACTGCATAGAGATGTATAACACTAGTTTCTTTCTTCAAATATAAGAAATGGTACCTATCACGTACCGCAGATACACAATTAAGAATTGGGCTCTACGAACCTGTTCTTTTTGTAAACGAAGAAATTTAGGGTGGACAAATTAAATGATTGGATCGGATAAATTAAATCCGGTGAAAATCCGAGAGCTTTTCTTTTGCGCTGCATGTTGTCAAACTCTGTAAACATGCTTAGCCTGTTAAGGAGAAGCAAAGGTGGTAACACCTTGTGGCGACAGTACCTATTTACAATTCCAGCGACAAGGACAGTTGAGAAAAGAACGCGATTATATGCCACAAAGGTGGTTCTTGGCATTGAAACGTCGTGCGATGATACCTCTGCTGCCATTGTGACATCGGATCGCACGATTCTTTCCGAAGTCGTTAAAAGTCAACAAGAAATGCACGAACCCATGGGGGGCATCGTCCCCACGCTGGCCAGTCTTGGTCATTCACGGCACTTGCCCAGTGTTATTTGTGAAACTTTGGACCGTGCCAAGTTGACAATTGCCGATATTGATGCTATCGCCGTCACTCGCGGACCGGGTCTTCCGCCCTGTCTACCCGTCGGCTTGAATGCTGCCAAAACACTTGCTGCTGTTTCCAAAAAACCATTGATTGGCGTGCATCATATGGTAGATAGTAGCAACATATACTAAAGAAACAATAACAACAACACAGAAAAACTTGGTTTTTGTTTGTATATAAACTGATATTGATTATTTTTCGTTACAGGAAGCTCATGCATTGACGGCAAGATTGACAACGCCAACACCTTTTCCGTTTATGACACTCCTTATATCGGGTGGTCACACGTTACTATTGACTGCAAACGGTCTTGGTGACTATGATCAACTCGGTACTACGTTGGATACAGCTGTGGGCGAAGCGATCGACAAGACGGCGCGCGCACTTGAACTCGAATGGAATGGCAGCAGCCCTGGGCCTGCATTGGAACGTGCTGCAGCCAAAGGCGATCCAGACCGGTTTCAGCTCCCTACGCCCATGTTACAACGCAACAAATCCGTGATTGCATTCAGCTTCTCCGGTCTCAAGACATCCGTGGCACGACTCGCTCAGGAACAGATCAAAACGCCGCAAGACACGTGCGACGTTGCAGCAGCATTTCAAATGACATGCATTCGGCATATTGAACAAAAGCTCAAGCTTGCCTTACACCAAGAGATGACCATGAACAAAAAACCATTGACGGCACTGGTAGTAAGTGGGGGAGTAGCAAGCAATGCATTGTTCCGGTCAAGGTTTGAAGCAGTGGCTGCGTCCTATGGTATCCCATTAGTGTGCCCACCGCCAAAACTGTGTACGGATAACGGTGTCATGATTGCTTGGGCTGGACTGGAACGATTCCAAGCTGGACTTACGGATGATTATACAATCACTACCCTGCCGAAATGGCCTATCGAATCCCTCAAAGAGAGAAGCTCATCATAAAATATATATACACCCACATCATTCACAGTACACACCTTCTTTATCTTCCATCTTCCATGCCCACAATTCAAAAAAAAGAGAGCAGCACCGTATGTTTTCTTGAAACTGTACATATATAGAATATATTGATTAATTGCATAAAAGACGGCTCAGCTGTGTTGGTGGATCATGCGTGATAGATTGGTTAAATTGGTCAGCTTCTGCGCTATCCATCACGCGCCAGTTAGGTGAGGCTTGCTTCTTCAACCAATTGAAATCTTCCATTTGGTCATAACAATTGATTTTCTGTTTGAAAAAACCCCAAATCAGTCATCCAGCAGCACCCTAAAGAGCTTTACCCCCCTCCCGTTATTTCAATTTTTATACCAAGTATTCGGGCCTTACATCGGGTATATTTAATGATTCATGGCTATAACTGCCAACGCTAATATCGCTGGAATCTTCAATGATCGGCCGACTCGAGACATTGAGCAAAACATGAACAGATCGAGCATCGTGCATACGAAACTGGTGACAGCCCACTGCAATCACCGAGCGCGTGAACCCGTACATGAGGACTGATCCACGGATTGCTTTACAAACAACGACACACTGGCTCAAATTTTTGATGTGCAGTGCGGATACTTGGCCAACCGTCAAGATGATGGTGCAGCGTGTCAGGTTGGATAAGAGGACATCGACATTTTCCAATGAAGTGGGTTCTATCAATTGGTCCGACATGTCTGAATACGATACTACATTATCATCTTCATAATAGTCACGCGACTGGATGGTATCATTATTGTTTACTATGGCTGCAAGAGCAGTAGTAGCGTATGACGCGGGTGCTGATTGAGGCATTTTATGTGTTTGTTGCTTGCGTGATTTGAATGTGAATTTTGGTTTAGGTGTCAGGTTGGCTCTTGCAGCTTCAAGTGCTCGACTCAATTCTTTGATTTGCTAACAAGTAACAAACAATAGAGGATAACCTTAATATCGCGTGTGATGTATATAACTGCGTGCTGTCTGATAACTTTAAAAATAAAGAGACTTACGCGAGCATATTGGCGTTCATCGTAAGACGGTATATACTCGGTTGCTTGTGTTAATCTTTTCTCGAGGTTATTGATGCTTTGTAAAATGGTTTGAAAATGATCGGCTAGCTTGGTCTTGGATATATGAGCCGAACGTTGAATCGCGTTTTCAATAGCTACTCGAAATTTTAAGCAAAGGCCCTGCTGTTGCGAATCTAGCCGCTCATTATCGTGACTGTGAGTGGAAGAAACACGAACCTGATCGTTCTGCTTTGAATTCGTGCCAAAAAGTATTGGCAGCCTCCGTTGCCGATGGTTCCGATGAAGTCATGTCAAAATTAAAAGTGGAGAGGGAGCTTAATCAGATAGGTACGTCCGCACGGCACTGCGACAACAAGTAAAATCGAATGTCCGCGTCTCACCTCTGTTATGCGCAGTGTGGATGTTGTTGCTACTGCTGCTTACACCATGACACTGGTAAGCAAGCCACAACTATCTCCTTTAAAGAATCGATGCCCTTGTTTTACTGCCAATCGATCGAGATTTTTCTACTATGACGACAATTGATATGGAACTGACTGATAAACAACATCATGCGGAATTAAGGAGCAAAAGAAAACAAAAGAGCCAGCATCGTGGGTCGCTGACAGCTAATGGTTTGTATCACTACCACATCGCGACCAGGTCATGCAATGATAGGCAAGAGTAGCATCAACCTAATTACGACGACGATTTTAGTGCTGATGGTGAATGATTAATGATGACAAAAGAAGAGCAAGGAAAGCACAGCGATTGATGATGAATGGACCTAGTGTAAGCGGGTCAGACCGGAACATCAAACAAGTTGGGTGTGAAAAAAATGAGGTCATCGGGTTCCTGGAAAACTTTCTTTATGTGTTTTTGCATTTTGTTTGTTGTTGTTGTTGCGATGTTTATCTTTTTTCATGCAGGTAAGCAACTAACGAGTATAGCAATCACGTAGCCTTTCTCTGTCTCATTTTCTTTAATCTCTAGTAAGAAGGAATGACGAGTCTAAGCGTTATCGCAAATCCACGTCATGTGCTGCGCTGTGGGAGGGGAGGGATTAGTGAAAGTAGATAAAGACTCAGAATCGTGCTTTTGATTGCACCTTTCTCTCTTTTGCATAATCCTCTTCTTTTAACTCCTCCGCACACACGCACACACACATATACACATATATATTATCCCATCATGCGTATCACATCAGCCATTATACTGGCGTTAAGTGCCATGTCAGCAACATTAGGCGCCTCGATTCCCCACCACCAGCACCATGGCCCAACAGCATATCAGAACTTTGGTCCTAATATCCCGCGTACATTCGTCGCAAACTATCACGAGCAGCAACAAGATGACTGGTTTCATCCATCCATGGCTGACGATCCTGTAGTGATGGCCACCTCGCTAGCTTCTGCCAAGCTGGCGCAAGGATCGGATTATTATGTCCAGACCCATTACACAAGCGACATGAGCGGTGCTTCACATGTGTTCCTGCGTCAAAAAGTGAACGGCCTGGAAGTGCTCAACGGCCGTATGAATATCAATTTGGACAAGAATAACCAGGTGGTGTCGTATGGCAATTCCTTTGTTCGTCCAATTGAACGATCCTGGTATCTTGACGTAAGCTCTTTTGTTCGTTTTCTTTTTTCCGTGATGTTTTTTTGTGATACTAAAAAACAGGAGGCGCGTGTGTATATAGGCTATCCAACGTGGTTTTCAAGTCGTTTCCCATCGTCTACTCCAGACTTCATTCAGTAGCCATGGCAGCACCAGCCATAAAGACCAGCAATACCGATTTATTAATACGCCTGCCGTAGTTTCCCCTGAAGAAGCTATCGGATCGCTTTTGGCAAGTGTGCGTCTGCGCCTTCCGGATCCCACGGTTACAGTCAACCCATCAACATTTATTCCCATGGCAACGTTGATGCCATCTAGCAAAGATAAAGACAGTGGTGCTGCCGCAACGCTGCTATACGAGCATGTACCCTTTGCACTATCGCCAGTGCAGGTACGCAAAGCATATATGCAGCTCGAATCGGGCCACCTGGCTCAGGTATGGGATGTGGAGATTGAAATGGCGGACCACTGGTACAATGCTCAAGTGAATGCACACGACGGCACGCTGGTCGGCCTTGTGGACTGGGTGGCCGATGTATCAGATGTGTACTACAACGTGATTCCCTTTGGCTTCAATGATCCGTCAGCAGTCGATCAAGTCCTGGTCCATAACCCATATGACGAGTTTGCCAGCCCAGAGGGATGGCATGCACAAGGCACTTTGGAGAGCGGTCATGCGCTGATCTTTAATGTTACCATTGGCAATAATGCGTATGCGCATACGAATCCTGATGGCGGATATAGCTGGGAGCAGAATTATAGGCCGAGTGGCACAATTGGAGATACGGGTGATATTACGTTTGATTATAAGGCTGATTTCCATGACCAAGAACCCGATGAATATGAGGATGCTGCGGTGACAAACTTATTTTATTGGGTTAATACGGTAAGAAAATGCATATTATTTTTTCAGTTACAACACAAATGTAACTTTGTTTTGTTCAGGCACATGATCTGTTCTATCGATACGGATTCGATGAAAAGGCCGGTAAGTATATTTTGGGTCAAATCAATATATAGCCAAAGATGCTCTCTTAATAAATCCTGCTCTTTCTTCTAGGTAATTTCCAACAAGACAACCTCGGTCGTGGTCGTCCTGGTGACGACTGTGCCGGTGATGCTGTCATTGCAAACGCACAAGATGGCTCAGGTACAGACTGTGAGAGGGAAAGTGTAATTTACTAAAGCAGTAAAAAAAAATAATGGGGAAATAAGGTTATTAATTATGTCACCATGCAGGACGGAATAATGCCAATTTCGCTACACCACCTGACGGTCGTCATGGCAAAATGCGCATGTACGTGTGGGACCAAACGAAGCCTATGCGCGATGGCGACTTTGAATCGGGCATTGTCATTCACGAATACACACACGGCGTCTCTAATCGGTTGACCGATAGTCCTAAAGACGTCAACTGCTTGGGTTGGGGCGAAGCCGGCGGTATGGGCGAAGGCTGGGGTGACTTTGTTGCGACAATCATCCGGATGACCGTCAATGATACACGTGAGTCTGATTTCGGTATGGGTGATTGGGCCAATGGTGGCGATGGTATCCGCAAATACAAGGTAAATATGTATTCTACTTACTGTTTATCTACATGCCTCTCTCTGGGTGGGGAAGGGAATGGGGGGTTGATTTGAGAACGTACACGGACATGAGATAAGGATGATGACGACTGTTTTGTTTATATTGGATGATCAATAATGATGACTAAATGATGCGAATGACTGATAACACAGTACTCGACCAGCAAAAAAACCAATCCAAGCACATACAAGATTATGGACGGATTTGAATACTGGGGCGTACATGCCAAGGGCGAGGTCTGGGCAGAGATGCTATATGAAGTATACTGGAACTTGGTCGATAAGCACGGCTTTACGACCGAATGGTTCCCTCCAACGCCGGACAAGAACGGCGATCTGAGAAAGGCTCGTGAACATATCCTTTCGCATGGAAACACACTGGCATTGAAGCTTGTAATCGAGGGCATGATGCATCAGCCGTGCAACCCTTCCTTTGTCGATGCGCGTGACGCTATCTTGCTCGCTGATAAGCATCTGACTGGCGGCGAAAATCTCTGCCCTATTTATCAAGCATTTGCCAAGCGTGGTCTCGGTTTTGAGGCCGGTTTGTTCAAGGAAGGCCCCTGGCTTGAGCGACGAGAAGAAAGCTTCATCGTCGAGCCTGGTGTGTGCAATGACGACGAGTCAGAGCAATATAACTATTATTAGACTTTGATTTCTCTGCACACCCAATTTCCTCCTGCTATAATTCCTATTATTAGTACGTGGCATCATTGTAATGATGTTTGAGTACCTACACCCACTTACTTCACCTCTTCTTGTTACCTTTTTAACATCATTCGTCTTTTCTTTGCCCATACACCATATACTGCTTTAGCTGTACTTTTTTTGTGGTCTTCTTCTTTACGAGGTTTGAAGATCCAGAGATAAGCCATTGCTGTTGTTACGTTTCCCTTCCCCTTGTTGGTTTTTTTCTGTTGTAGTAAGCTTTTTTATTTGTCTTTTATTCTTCTCTTCTACTTTTTCTCCTGCTTTTCTTCTATAGTCCCACTCCTTATTCATTTTGTTTATATTCTACACTATAAATTAAGCTTTGATGATGCGTTATTATTGTATAATGCAATGATGGCTCGTAGCTGAATGATTATGCTATTGTGGACGTTTTAAGTTCCTTTTATTCTTATTTATGTGGAAACCCAGCATGATTAAGTTAAGTAAACGAGTATTGGCTTTGAATGCTAAAGTTTGACGAAAACGCAGAATAAGTACACTAGAAAGTTTCGCACTTTTCGAAATTACGAAATCAGACATTACTAAAATTCGGGTTATATCAGCCGGTTCACTAGATATATACACTGGCTGTTTGAGCAACGATTACTTTTGATTCAAGGGAGAGCGCAAGTACTCAAGAGAGCGAGTTCAATCCATACTTCGATTGATACTATTGTTTTTGATTATGTTATCTTCTTTTACTAAACTGTTTTCTGCCAGCTATTCCATTGAAGAAATTTATTTACCTGCCAGCACAGCGTTTGTTTGAGCATAGTAATCAACTCTAGCCGTAGACAGTACACGCATACACCTAACCACGTTTAGCTTAGCCCAAGAGATACTACAAACTAGCCGAGATTTTTTACGGCTGAAGATAGCCGAGGTAAAGTGACAATTCGCTCCAAATCGCTGTCCGTGTTAAGGCCACGAAACTTTGACGAAGTGATCTGCGTAAGTTTTATATTACCGTATATCTACTCTTTGACACTGACAGTGGATACATGTTCACCTTTTAGCAACAGAATCTTAAGATGATGTATGCCGTCAATTTATAATAGTGTAACCACACGTTTCCACAACATGTAATAAATCTGTCAAAGCGCACTTGGATTTCGAATGTGACGCGGGCACCAGCGCGTTCTAATTTTTTCTGCCGATTCGCGTTTTGGATCGCAACCGCGTTCTGCAACTATCTCTCTTTACCTTCGTCCTCATCCTTCCCCTCTTCTTACCACCCCAACGTCTCATACATAATGAGTGATTCAAATAAGAAGCGACGCTTCTTCGACGAAGATGCCGACATGATGCCTGCACGCCGTATTCCCCGGGTCCAGCCTGCTGAGGACGATTCCCAACCAGAATCCCCGGTTACTTCGTCGCCGCAGCCAGAACCCATGTGCATTTCGCCTGCACGACCCACAAACAGTGACCCAAAAATTCAGCAGTTCCGCGACTTTGTTGGCGACGAAGCAAGTGATGCTGAACTAGACAGGCTGCTCAATGCTTTTCGAGGGGATGTGCAAATGGCAATCAATGCTTATTTTTCACGCGCGATCGATGAGCCCCCGCCTGCCAGTGCAACTACTACGTCTTCTACATCTTCAGCTACCCCAACGGACTCGCCTCAAAAACAGTACCTAGGCGAATGGTATATTGAAGGATTTTCAATGGTCAATGGAGACAGTCCAGTCAAGGAAGGAGACAAAGTGGTAATTGAACGATCCAAGCAAGCAGCTACTTCACCTACCACCTACCGACGCAACCGGGCTGGTGGTTCACGACGCACGGCCGAAAATATCATAGTCCGCTTTTCAACGACGGAAGGACGCGAAGTTGGACGACTCAAGGCAACAAAGACCATATCGAAGCTACTCGACCTGGATATATGCGCGTTCGACGCTGACATTGTGATTTGTCCACCCAAGCTACAAACCGGCACAGATATAATTTTGCGCATCAATTGCTATTTCACCGAAAAAGCATTCACAACAGATATATTGGCATCCTCTCCGAGTGATGACCAGGATAGACCTGTTTTCGATCGGTCGGTAGAGACGCAGCAAGAACGTCTGGCGCAGGAACGAACATTAGCTGTTTTGGAACTGTTGAATAAAATCAACCTGAAGCCAACACGATCAGCTATGCAGCGCATGAATATGAAGGTTGGCCGGAACGATGACGAGGCACGCAATCAACTTGCACAGTCGATATCAACGGCACAATCATTACAAGGTCGTTCTGGCGAGCCGACAGAGGAAGATGGAATTGATGAACCTGAGGAAAAGGAGGTCACAAAGGAACAGCTGGATTCGATCTACGAAAAAGCCCAAGTGTTTGACGGACAGATTATGCCTATGGATACACCAAATCAAATGGCGCTATCACTCAAGCCATATCAGAGAAGGGTAAATACAGATGCTACTTTCAGAGTATTGGTAATATATGAACAGGATACTGAGCATAATTAGGCACTTGGTTGGATGGTCCACAAAGAATCTCTGGACCACGAAAATGAAGACAAGAATTTACGAGCAATGCATCCGTTATGGGAAGAGTATACGTTTTCTCGTAGCACTAATGGAAAATCAGATTACTTCTACTTTAATCCATATTCAGGTATGAGGATGGTTTGCATTGCATAGAACGATAATGATAAGAAGCGCCAGTACTAACTTGGCATCAAAAGGGCAATTAAGCTTGCAATTCCCTGAGTTGGAAAGTCAAGAACGAGGTGGCATCCTTGCAGATGGTAAGTTCCGCTGTAATCCAGTTTGATGGTCACTTTGAAATATGCGTTTATTATAATTGCTGAAATATCCATATGAAAAAACGTTTACTAGAAATGGGTTTGGGCAAGACGATCGAAATGCTCAGTTTAATCCATCAAAACAAATTTATAACTGGTTCAACACCCGTTCCAGCCGACCAAGCATCATCTTCTCCAACGACACTCGTAGTGTGTCCCATGTCGCTTCTGGCACAATGGCGTGATGAACTTGTTCGTGGATCAAAGCAAGGCTCTATTCGCGTGGAGGTATATTATGGCGACAGCAGAAACGCTAATTTGCAGGAGCAGCTTTGTCGATGGGATGGGTCAGCACCGGACGTACTTGTCACGTCGTACGGTGTGGTAATGAGTGATTGGAACCGTTCCAATGAAGCACTCTCTACCATTAACTTTTGGCGCATCATTTTAGACGAAGCACACCAAATTAAGAACCGCACGAGCAAAACATCACGTGCTTGTACTGCACTCAAAGCATCTCGTCGGTGGGCCGTTACAGGTACACCGATCCAAAACAAATTAGAAGATCTTTTTGCGCTTGTCCGATTCCTGCGACACGAACCATGGTCCAACTACACCTTTTGGCGTGCATTCATCACGATACCGTTCGAAAAGAAGGATCCGCGTGCGCTTACGGCTGTCAAGACGGTCCTCGAGCCTATCGTGCTTCGACGAACAAAGGACATGCGCGATATCAACGGCAATCCCATGGTACAACTTCCACCCAAAGACGTCAACATTGAATATCTCCAGTTTTCCGAACCCGAGCAAGATATTTATGACTCAATATACAATGACTCCGAGACCAAGTTTTCTCACTTTTGCGCTGCTGGCCAAGCGCTCACCAATTATGCCTCGATATTCCAACTGTTGATGCGTCTCCGCCAAGTCGCGTGTCACCCCTACCTTGTTTTGGGCAAGTCAGAAAAGCAGGACAGCATCCACACTAAAGATGGTGGCATTACATCCTTGGACGATTTGGTCAAGAAGTACAGCAACAAGGAGGACTCTTATGGCTCCAATGTTCTCCAGCAGCTTTTGACCCGGGAGCGAGGAAACAGCGAGGATGGTGAAGTGGATGGGATTTCCGAAGAGTGTCCTCTCTGCTATGAGATAGTGGATACAAAGCTACTACTGCCATGCATGCACATGTATTGCCGCGGCTGCTTAACGGAGTATTTTCAGGTAAGTTGGACAAAACACAATACCTGGGAGTTATTGTGGACCAACAACAGATGAGGATAATGTATAACCTTTTCGCTATATTGATGTAGAAAAAAGAAGACCAAGGCCTACCGTACGATTGTCCGTCCTGTCGTAAAACAGTTGACCAAGCCGAAGTTGTGCAGCTCACCACAACCTTCCCTGACCCCTCGCTACCATCCTCAGCAGACATACCATCTACCCCACGAATTGATGTTAGTCAAGCCATCGGTGGATACAAATCGTCTGCCAAAATCGACGCATGCTTGAACCACTTACGGAAATACGTACGTGAGGGCCTCAAGACTGTTGTCTTTTCGCAGTTTACGCAGTTCCTAGACATCATTGAGCTCGCACTCCAACGAGAAAATATTCAGTTCACACGACTCGATGGCAGACAACCCCAGGCGCAACGCGAGAAAGTGCTGGTCAGCTTCTCTAACACGCAACAGAACATAGATGTACTGCTTATTAGTTTACGAGCCGGTGGTGTCGGTTTGAATTTGACTTGTGCAAGCCGCGTACTTATGATGGTAAAAAAACAACGCGTTTTCCTTGTTGCAAAAGGCTCGGCAAAGTCTCAAAAGCACTTACGACCTCCGAACATGTAGGATCCATGGTGGAATTATGCTGTTGAAGCACAAGCCATTGACCGTGTGCACCGCTTAGGACAAGATAATCCAGTTATTGTTACACGCTTTATCATGCGAGATACAGTGGAAGAACGTATATTGGAGATTCAAGAGAAGAAGCACGACCTTGTGAACAAACTCTACATGTCCAAAGAGGAAAGCAAGGCCGAGAAGATGAATGATCTCCAGATCCTATTTAGAACACGTTCTGCAAGCAGTAACCACAACAACAATCACAGAACCACCACGAACAACGATAATCTTAACCCCGCATCATCAGCATCATCATCATCCTCGACGAACATGTCAACATAATCAAATCTTCAACCGTTTGTTCTAGATAGTTTTGAATATGGTTGTGCTTTTTTTCTTCTTTTTCAATTACAAAAAGTCTATACCGACGCCTAATTGCAAACCACGCTTCACCAAGTCTCCTCGAGCAGCTGTTAGTGGAATACAATAGTTTAATTCTAGACGAGCAATACTGTGGCGATAAATGAGACCGAATCCGACGGCGACACTGGGTGATTGTATGAGGGATCGTGCTGTGTCTTGTGCGTTTGTACCAATCTTCCAAGGCACCAACGTGCCTGCATTGACGAATGCATGTGCTCTTAATGGTTTGTCTTCGTATTTCGGTAACGGTGATATCGCGCTGAAGCCTGCTGCCCAGTATGCATCACCGCCTAATGCATCCCGATAATCGCGAGGTCCAACACCAGCCGTTCTGAAGCCTCGGATCGACAGAGGACCACCAAGCATAAACTTGTCAGATACTGTTGCAGATTCCGCAGCCATGAATCCAGCTCTGAGTCCCATACTCAATACCAAACCCGGGTGAACACCCGTCCATTGTCCTTCTGAATCCTTAAGCAGCTGTCCACCACCGATGCGATGGCAGTATTGAGTTTCGAGCTGTGTCTTGAAGAATTTGGTATTGCCAAAACCACCTGCCAGTTCTTGTGTGCATTTGACGTAGTGGCCTGTTGATGGCAGCAACATGTTGTCTCGGCGGTCGTGCATAAATACATGGCGAATGGATGTTTTTAATGTATGACCGGCTTGTTGGCGAATGCTGAGCGATGCGGTGTCTGCGATGCGATCGATATTCCGCCAGGTGCAGTCGAGACCGAGCTCGTGATAACCGTAGCGCGACACACCTCTATACCGTAACCCGGCACCCTTTGCTACTTCTTCATATGAGCTGTATAGTGTGTTGTTTTGAACGACGCTGTGGGCGTTAATATCGACCTTGGCATCGGGTGATCCTTGGATTGGTTTGGATAAGGCGAATTGAAAAGCGGAGCTGTTGCGTGTGCCGAAGGATGCGGATGATTCCAACATTTCTGCTCCACCTAATACGTTGCGTACTGTAATCGATCCATTCTACATACACATACATGCTCTATTTAATATCTTTCCCTCAATACAGATACAGTAGTAAAATGAGCTCTAGTCCATACCATATTGCCTTCATTGTTACCAATCTCGGTGCCGGTTTTGAGAAATACTCGACTCTTTTCCTTGACTTGATATAAGACGTTAATAGATCCAGGAGCCGCCAGCGGATCCGTGTCCGTTGCGCGATCGAGTAATACTTGAACGTCTTCAAAAATATCGAGCCGGATCAATTGTTCGGCGATCGCTTGTGATTGGTTTACGACATCGGCTACTGTTTTGCTGTCAATAACGGGTTGGGTGACAGTTGTTAGGAAACCGGGTCGTGTAGCTTTCGCACCAAGAATGGTAACGGCATTGACGTGAGCGGGCGATCCTGCTGTAGCAGAGAGCTATACATATGTATTGTGTTGATCGTTAAAAAAAACTGAACGATTTTTAGCACAAGCACAAGAACCTTTGATTCTTACCACGCCAAAGAGTCGACGCGCTGCCGCCCGCTGTTGTTCACTTATATCCAGCTACATTCGTTGTAAATTTTCGTTAATATACTTTCTTTTAATAGATCGTTTGCCGCCTTCTATAATGAAAACTCACGTTTGGGTCCATGAGTTCGCGCGTCGTTGTTTTGACTTTGAGATAAACCAACAACCTACTTTATTGTCGGAACACAAATTTACGCTCATAGATAAACCTGCCAATTAAAGTTGTAAAAGCAACAGCACGCTTGACAACATTTACAGTGTGTCTGTTATCAGTGTTAATCCTCTCTTTACACATCGACATTGATTTGATAAAATAAACCAATTGACCCTTCAATCAACTTGCGTCTTACTTGGCCAAACGAAGCAGCACACTTGTACCATTTTGAACAGAAAAGAGCCATATCTCCTTGTTGTTATATTCCAGCCAGTACAAGTAGGAAAACGTAGCTTTGAGTACATGAAAATCAGAAACTGTAATTGGAATATTATGGATCGGTACTTGTTGACCAGTAATACATATATTAAGCCATTCAATAAAGGAAATAATATAGTGTAATGAGATATATTATGTTAACCATGCTTTCAATCATCATCTCTATTTAACCATGAACTGATATCCTCTCATTCTCGTCAAGATGGTATATCTAAATAAAAAGAGAAAAATAAATGAAACTGAGTCATCCATCATCCTCTTCGTCATCACTCAGCTCAAATAGATGATTGGAACTAGCAGGCATGCAACATCATTCAAGGCTCCTAGACTTAGCAGTTCGAGGAGAAAAAGGCCATTCCATAAGATTTACATCATAGGCCAGTGAATTGGTAGCTGCCATAAATTATCACATTCCGCTTTCAACAATACTTATCACCTACCTTTGCAAAGCAAAATATACAGCTACACCTGGATGGAAGCAGTTGATGTTGCTCTTTATGGATAGTGGTAGAATGAGAGCGGATCTATTGATAGATGCATATTAATCACTCAACCTCGTGCATTGAGAAATTATTAACCTCCATAAAGGCTGCTTGGTACAGAACTTCAAATCCTTACATGATACTGTTTTGTGTTTACTGTAGATATGCTCGGGCGCAGCATTATTTCCTATTATTTTGCCAGACATTATATGAGTCGATGCTCTTACTGTCATTGTTGCGGTTATGAAGGCATCGGACACTTCAATGTTCTACCTGCAGTCCAGCCATTTCTCCAGCTAAACAGACTTTAAACTGATTTGAACGGGTGTACGCGAGTGTTATCATGTGCCGAGAAATTGCGGGAATGTGTAATTCGGTATCATGGAGAAGAGACTATGTAGTTGTATGTTTGTTTGGGAGTGGATAATGTGAAAGGACATGATGTGTTGCATGTTGCTTAAATAAGAAATAGATGAACTGGGTATAACAGTCGACCATAGTGGTTATTAGATGTTGTGCTTGATGGAAATCATGAGCCATATACTATACTATCAGATGGCTGTCGATATGGCTCGTTAACGGGATAGTATAAGTTTGACTATATAGTGTTGAACAAATGAGACTAGTCTGTCATTCACGATGTTTGTTCCCCCCCTGCCTTGTGAGGTGATGGACTTTTCTGCGGCGCAGCGAATCGGTAATCAAATGGCTTTCGAAGAAGCATTTCCTGGGAGTAGGATCGCGCCGCCGAGCCTTCTTCGAAGCTGTTGTTATCACTGGCGACAAAGAATATGAAAGTTTACCAGCAACTACGCTGTTACATCACCGGAACAAGTGAGGGCTTTCTTGATCTGGTAAGCACTATGTTTAGTGTTGGTACTGAGTAGCGTTTCGAACAAGCTGTGTGAGCACATTCGCAACGATTATCCAAACGCTAGACGCTAGTTAATGTCATGTCTGACATGGCTAGCATCATAATGAAATAAGTGGACGACAGTCCAAGCTTATCTGAGGATATTCTTGACCACGGAATGACAACAACAACGTAATACCTAATATATTTTATTTTATCAGAGTTATTTCGAACATTACTAGGACAGAATAAAAGCAGTAGTGTTCATGTAGTACAGGAACTCATTTCGATTTTCATTTAAAAAGTGTTTCAAAGCATTCGTCTATTGTCTCATTTTATTATTGCAATAATTATCACATCCGGAACATAGCTGGCAGAAACAAAGCATGGTAGATTCTTCCATTGTTGTTGTGATGGTTGTGATGGTGAGATTAATTGAGAAGCTTAAAAGGATGTAAGGCGGAAAGTATAAAAAATGCCCTTTTTTCTTTCTCACCACTATCCTTCTTATATACTACTTTTACTCGCAAAACCAATAAACAACACATCGAGCACACTTCTTCAAAGTAATAATGGCTATGTACTTTTTGATACGAAGTGCCATAGTTGCATCATATTATCTTGGCTATGTACTTTTTAAAGCGAAGTGCCGTACTTGCATTAAAAGTGTGCTGCCACTCTTTGCTTATACTGAAAATACATGTGCACCTAAACCATTTTGATGGCCGCTTTTTTTATGCAAGTGCTACGTACATGCGAGTTGTTCCAGTAGTAGCAGGTACACTTTTCTACTCATACAGCACATGTATGCACATATTGCAATATAACCCCCCCTCCCCCAAATACCACCAGTTCCTTTTCCTTATTACAGAACTGCTTAAGAAACTGCTCCTGTATCTTTATTACATACCGAGCATCATCTGATCTTAACATCTACCACCAACTTCATCGCACAATGGCATCGAGCTCGCAAATATATTTTTATTTTCCCTCTTCTACATTCTGTCTCTGATACTAATGACCGAAGCCCCTTTTTTAAATACTGATACAACAGAGCTTTACTGACACAAATAAAATGTGTACGTTGAACAACTGCAGCGTGCTCTTACAGACACTTGCAGAAGTCCTTTTTCTTTGTTGTTACCGCTAGTTTAGTGCTGTTCCTACCAGATTTTCTCAGCATATTATCCTTGCAGTGGCTTACAGAGCACACCCCTGTTTTTTCTACCCATATGATACAGTGCCATTTCTAACTGCTTTCTGCTCAAATCCTAGGGGTGCAAACTGTATGCTTTCCCTTAACCTAATATTTTTGAAAATAACCCACATATCTACTGTGTTATTTGACCACTCCTGTATGAGTGATAAGAACAGCTTATAAAAATTAATAGTAATCTGTATACCTATTTAATAAATATCATTTTACTTTTACAAAATAATATTAAAAATTTTCCATATTTTTATAAAGACTTAAGAGCATTTCTGGTGCTGCGTGCTACTGCTGCTGCTGCGTGCTGCTGCTGCTGCAGTATCATTTGTTGCGCTATATAAATGCCAGAGATTGTAAATACAACAACCGCCCGGCTAGCTCGATTGGCAGAGCGTGAGACTCTTAATCTCAAGGTTGGGGGTTCGATCCCCCCGTTGGGCTTCAATCAGTTAGTCTCTGATTATAGAAATCCTTTTGTGTTTTGCGAAAAGACCATTTTCTGACATATTTTCGTCGTCCTTTTTTGATTTCCCTCGTTTTGAAGTGATTATTCTATTTCTCTTTGTTTGTTGTATTAGTACTTATCTATTTCGAGCCACATTGATAACGGTAAGAAGTTACTGTTATCGTATATTTCGTTAACTGCATATTTACCGATCATTGTTGTTGAACCGTAAGCCAAACAAAAAAAAGCATCTGAACATGTATACCCGCACATACACGACGTAGGAGCTGTCGTTTTTTATATTATCAATGCTTTTGTTAGATGGTAACATAATCATAGAAAGATATGACTGTTAATCTTATACAGCTTCGTAGCCGTATACTATTGTAGACGGTGCAAATAAATGAGTTCAGTGATCTTATTGAGATAAAGCGTGTAATAACACGAGGAGAACGAAAATACACTAAGTAGAGAAATTCAGTGCAGCTGCATGCAATACAGAAAGGAAGACATGAAAATTGATATATCTCTTTTTACAAAATCAATAACAGCAGACATCGTAGCAATAGCTAGCATTGGAAGTGTAACTGAGTAAAATAAACAGCACCTATCATATTACTCTGTTTCAGTAGATGAATCTCACAAGTCATGAAATAATGTTATATTCTTTTGTTTTGTTCCTACTTGTCGCGAGAAACGGATGGTTGATTCCTTAACGCTATTTCCTATTGGAAAGCAAAAAACCTATATAAGTAATGGGTTACCCTGAGTAATAAATATACCGTGCTAGTAAGTTAGTTATCTTCTGTTTCTTCAAAAATAAAAATAAATAAATAGTAGCAAAAGATAGAGCAGAGCGATAGGTTATGAAGAAATCCCGGCTTAAATCTTGCTATTACTACACATATTTGATTATATAATAGAGAATTCCTAACATGTCTAACCGTAGATGCTGAACTTTTGAAGGAGCTTCAGTAGTAGCAGCTAGATGTTTACTTCTTCTTATGTGTTTCATTAAAGTGCAACAACGCAAATTAAGTCAAAAGAAATTCTTTGCATTATCGCCTGCTCATCAATTATTTAAGCAGTAACTTTTGTCTGTAAAACACACTTTGCCATAGAGTGTGAAATCTCTTGAAAATAAGACACTAGTAGCTGTACGTAACGGCTGTCCTAGAAGTTACTAAAGGCTTTTGATTAGAAATCCTCATCGCAAGACTAGCTGCTAGCTTTCTTTTAGCATCGCGTCATCATTAGCTAATCCGTTTCGAAAGTTGTCAAAAGTCGCTTCCAGAACTATCAATCGATTGTATGATTTAGCAGGAGTTATAAAAGTTGAAGGCAGTATGAAAGGTAGAGGATGCGGTGTTGTTGATTGTATACCTTTTATTTAGTTTTTTCTTGGAAAAGCAAAGGATCGCTCAGTGCTTTGCACAGATGATAACGTTTTCTGCGCGATTCTGCAACAGTGGCAACATCAGCACATAAACAAAATTGTTCATTTCTCATAAGAAATTCAGATAGCTTTTTCCCCTTACTACTGGTACATGTTTGATAGAATAAGCATAAGAGTGAGCTTTTACCAATAGAGTGTAGAGTTTTTTACACTGTGATCGTTACAAGTAGCTTTTTAAAATGCTTAAAAACACAATACCAAATGTGCTATGGTAGTTATCATTTCAATTTTCTGTCTGTATTATTGTTAGTTATGTCTATGCTTCGCAGATACATTCTTCCCTTGATGTTTTCCAACTGTTGTGAGCTAACAGCATATACTTTATTTCGATCATCATCCTATTTTGGAATTTGCTGTCTGTAGTAACGGACTGTAACAACTACGTATTATACCGCTAATAGTTTAAAAAACAACATATTTTCATCAGTAGAAGCTAAAGAACGTGTGCTATTGTGTCATACGTAAAATCATTTTCTTGAATTAATTACAGTATCTGATTATTACTAATTATATTGCATGATTTTTTAGGGCGAAGTAATTGTAAATCGGCGGAAGAAGGTGTCTACTACCACATATAGAGAACGTCATCTTTTTCCATACAAACCAAAGTTCAGGCAAGCATCCTATAAATACACACAACAATCTCAATCTCTGGGCACGGTAGTAAAGTAGTAGTAGCACGATACAAATAAGTTATAAACCTTGATTGTGATTACGGCTTGTTGTTGTGGTGGAAAAGAAAGCCTTCGTTTTCATTATTAATAGTAAACTACTGTACTTTGAGAAGCTTCTTGATATTAAACAGAAAGTCAAAGTATATAGTGAAACAGCCATTACTTGATATAATGATAGGGCTCATCGTCGAAATATTAGGATTGAGTATGCTTTGTTGAGAAATTGGTATATTGCTTGTCTGCCCAGAAATAAGAGATTCCGTCCTTGGCATGATCATCATGGATCATGGTCATCATGGTCATCAGTGAAATACTTGTGTGACCAGAGCTCAGCAGTATGATTGTCTTTTGCTGATATTCTGGGCCCCAAAAGGAAACGATTATCAAATCTCTTTCTCTATCCACTTTAAAGGAAATTGGGAGCAAACAGCAAAAAGCAAGGCCAACGTTCACGGGATGAAGAAGTGAGAATCTTAAAGAAGTAGATAAGGCCTTGTAGACAGAGTATCAAATGCCCTGTTTATATATTTTTATACAGTATGAAAAGTCGACAATACACCTCTTGGAAAGTTTTTTTTACCACCAAAAAAATATTCTGCTTCTTTTTTGTTAACCAATGAATTTCGAAAATTTAAACCCAAGTGACGTGATATTGAAATTCGTCCAAGCGAATTGAAATGGAAGTTTAGAATTCTTTTCGTTCTCTCTTAAAATAACCACACTGTCTCTTGTCTGACAATATAAAATAGGAGAAGTTGAGACCTTATCCACAATACGCCCTATATAATTCCAGCAACAATGACGCATTCATTTATTACACAGACAGCTGGCAATTATGGTCTTAACACACCATCGTCGTCTAGTACGGCAACGGCAGAGGATTCAGAAACACATGAACATACTAATCAGCAGCAGCCACAACCACAGCAGCAGCAACAGCAGCAGACCGAACGGCAACAGGAATCAACACGACGTTATATTCAATGGCGAGACGACGATGTCACTGTTTTATTAAGCGATCTTGAAAAGCCAGGTCATTATGAAAGTTGGAAAAACAACAATTCTGGATACAGCAAGCGCGTGGCTGAAGAAGTGTTTCGCAATATCATGTACCATGAAGCAATCAAGTTCAAGGTGCGCTGGTTGGAAAATCGTTACAGAAAGTGGGAAGAGCAGCTGACAGCCCCGGACGTGGTGAACGACGACCAAGCGAAGGCACAGCTTACAGGTGAGTACAAGTGAATTACCCTCCCTCCATCATGCACACGGTTTCGACTACACCTTCTATCACCGTTTCCGCCGGCCTGCCCCTCAAATTATTAATTACTCCTTAATTTTTGTTTTTGTGTGTACAATCTCTCACCAAACATGTATTCTCTTTTGCATTGCTATGCTAGAGAGAATGCGCAAAGATTTTACGTTCTATGACAGATGCAAGCGTGTCTTTGCGGAAAACAACAACGTCGAATCAACGACAGCAGCAGCAGCAGCAGCAGCAGCAGCAAGGAATGATATCAGCCACAAGGAAAACGGCCATCCAATCAAGACAAGCGCACAAGCCGAAGACTCAAAAGGTGATGCTAACACCGATAGACCATCGGCTCCTGAGCCAGCAAATTCATCTACCACGCCAAGACCGTCGTTATCAACAGCAATACGTACGCCTACGAGCAACAGTACGCATGATGCTGGTTTAACTACTGTAGCATCAACAGGAGCACCAGCACCAGCACCAGCACCAGCACCAGCACCATCAACATCAACACCAGCATTAAAGATACCCCGCTCATCAGAAGAGACAGCATCGCAACGATCATCATGGCAAGCATCTGCTGCCGATGATTATGTGCACCAGCATGATCAAGAACAGCAGCAGCAGCAGCAGCAGCACGCTTCAGGTTCTTTGGAGCATTATGACAGCAATTACATGACATCATCGATGTTTTCAAAGCGACGAAAGACTGGGTAAGCACACTAACCCGGTTGAAAGATTGGTTCTTATATGGCTACTAAACACACGGCGTTATACCAGACATCGCATATCCGATGGGATTGCAGAAGAACGACAGCTCAAGGTGATGGAGATGGACCTTGTGACAAAGCGGATGGAGCATGAAGAACGCATGCAACGGATGCGGCTGGAACAGCTGCGACTGGAAATCGAACTTGAAAAGATACGTGCATCAAGCAGAGCGTTTCATAGCAATTCCTCCGAATAAAAAAAAGACAATAATAAAACAGCGTTTCTTTCCTTTTCCTTTGAAGATTACAAGGTTCCTTTTTTATGTATAATTTGTTTACAATCCAAAGAAGGAAAAAAAAAAGACGAGACAGAAGACAGGATATGAACAAACGTGATCAACTCATGGAAAAAAGAAGAGCGAGTATCATATGGTTGAAAAGTAGAAGAAGAGTATTGTGATTAATAACGAAGAAAAAGGGGTTCTGTACAAGGTTAGTGCTTTTTACACACAAAAAGAAAAAGTAAATGTTGGAATGTTTGAAGTGGGTGTTGTTGTTGTTGTTGTTTGTTGTAGTAAATGGCGACAAGTTGATGGTTGAGAGCGTGGAGAGTGTATGTAAGCTGGGATGAGAGGAAAGAGAAATGAGATGGAGACCGGGAGGGGGAATTGCACTGCTTATTTGGAGCTGGTGTACTTGGTGACGGCCTTGGTGCCTTCGGAGACGGCGTGCTTGGCCAATTCACCAGGCAAGATCAAGCGGACGGCGGTCTGGATCTCACGCGACGAGATGGTCGAGCGCTTGTTGTAAGCAGCCAACTTGGAGGCCTCGGAGGCGATGCGCTCAAAGATGTCGTTGACGAACGAGTTGAGGATGGACATGGCCTTGTTGGAGATACCAGTGTCGGGGTGGACCTGCTTCAAGACACGGTAGATGTAGGACGAGTAGGTTTCCTTGCGGGAGACCTTGCGCTTCTTGTCGCCGGACTTGACCTTCTTTTCGGTGGTCTTGGCGGGGGCCTTGCCGGCAGCGGGCTTGTCAGTCTTGGGAGCCATTTCGAGTGATGAAAAAAAAAGAAGTGAAAGGTGCGGTATGTAAGAGAACGGAAAACAAAGGAAGTGAAAAAAAAATAAAGTCGTCCTTTATATATATATGTACTTCTTTGCCTTAACTCCGGCCTAGCCTACCATTCCAATTTTTTCTTTCGTGACTTGAGGGGGGGGGGGGTCCCTCATAGCTCATGCCAAATCCCCTCCCCCCCACCAATAATAACTTTTCCACTTTTCGCACTTGCCACCATCGAAAAACCCAAAAGTCGTGTTTTGGCGTGTTTTCACTTAGACTTTCGCGAAAAAAACGCGAGTTATCGCGGAAATACACGCTTCATAACTGATATTTGCAAAAAAAATAATTTTCTCCAGCAATTAGTTTTTTCCTTGCTCGTGTGTATGCTCCAAGTGTAGAGGCGGTGACGCGAAAAAAAAAAAATAAAAGAAAAAAAAATTAGAGCGTGACTTGGGATTTCGCATGACCATGGGGCGCGTTTTTTACTTCTTGGCTGACTGCAGCTGGGGGAGTGAGAGAAAGTTGGGGGTGTGTCGGATGGTCCTCGCACTATATATATAATACGACCTTTTTTCGCACTCCCCATTTCTTTTTCTTGTTCTTGCTTTTTTTCCGCATAACAAAACTTCTCCCACTTCTTTTTTTTTTCCACACTCAATCTAACAACTCATCATCATCATGTCTGGAGGCAAATCTGGAGGCAAATCCGCTGCTGGCACCAAGTCGCAAACCCGTTCCGCCAAGGCCGGTCTTCAATTCCCCGTTGGCCGTATCCACCGTCTCTTGCGCCGTGGCAACTATGCCCAGCGTGTCGGTGCTGGTGCCCCCGTCTACTTGGCTGCCGTCCTCGAATACTTGACTGCCGAAATCCTCGAGTTGGCTGGTAACGCTGCCCGCGACAACAAGAAGTCCCGTATCATCCCCCGTCACTTGCAGTTGGCCATCCGTAACGATGAAGAATTGAACAAGTTGCTCGGCCACGTCACCATCGCCCAGGGTGGTGTCTTGCCCAACATCCACGCTTCCTTGTTGCCCACCAAGTCCAAGAAGGCCGGTGCTTCCCAGGAACTGTAAATGCACTTACAACCACCACAACCATAACTACTACAACAAATACTACTACTACCACTACATCTTCCTCTCTGCCACACACCGTTTTCCCCTGTCATACTTGCAACATTTTCTCCACAACAACGAAAACTCTCACCTTTTCTGCTTCTCTTTCACAACAACACTACTCAAGTCACAACAACAACAACAACAACAAAACTAAACTCTAGTCTGCCTCCGTCATATACTCTTTTCACTTTGCTACTACTTCTTTTTCCTTTTCTCCTATCGACTGGAAGCATGCAAAAGTTGATATTTTTCTGTATCTGTACATAGCGTTTGCGATCCTCAATCAAATACATACTTTTTTTTTCATATCACTGAACTTCTTTTTTTCTTTAAATGGGCTTGCTGGAGGCTTTTACAAGTGACAAAATACTCGTGGGGGATGTGCCATTTTGAAGTCTTTGATGGGTTTACTTCTGGACACTCTCCATGTCTTCATTATATATGGACACAGACGCAAGCTGATTCTGAACGAGGAATACATCAAGTTCATATGGTTTTAGGGGACAATTAATCATGCGAGGGCCAGAGGCTCACACTAAGATACTGTCGAAAGATACTGTCAATATACCAAACCGCCTAAATAGACACACTAAAGTAAAAGACAATGACGTCTGTTTTCCACCAACTTGACGCAAAAGTCCAATGTAGTATCGCAGAGGAAAACACACGAGTTCTTCCATTTAAGTTATATTGCCCAATTCAATATCACACAAATACACAACCTTGTGGACAGTAAACCAATATGAAACCATCAAGACAAATAAAAGTATGTTTTTTTGCAAATTGATTTTATCTCGTTTCTGGCAAAACGCTATTTACAGATACAAGAGAAGTTGTTTGGAGTCCACATATATGTTGGTATGGAAAACACCCTTTGTACAGAATGGGAGGAAAAAGAGAAATGGTGTGTGTTTGTGTGTGTGTTAAAACGAGTATAAAAATTATGACAAAAAAGAAAAAAAAAAGCAAGAGATCGAGTGCTGTGTGTGTGTGTGTGTGTTATGTTGTGTTATTTGGTGATGCGAAAATAAAGATAAAAAGAGGAGGACACATGGGAGAGTAAGTAAGAAAGTGTGGTATGAGAGGTAATGAGCTTAACCGCCGAAACCGTAGAGGGTACGGCCCTGGCGCTTGAGAGCGTAGACGACATCGAGGGAGGTGACAGTCTTTCTCTTGGCGTGTTCAGTGTAAGTCACAGCATCGCGGATGACGTTCTCCAAAAAGACCTTGAGGACACCACGGGTTTCTTCGTAGATGAGACCAGAGATACGCTTGACACCACCACGGCGAGCGAGACGGCGGATAGCAGGCTTGGTGATACCTTGGATGTTGTCACGGAGAATCTTGCGATGACGCTTGGCACCACCCTTTCCGAGACCTTTACCACCTTTGCCGCGACCAGTCATGTTTGTATAAGTTTTGTTGAAGAAGAAAAAGAAAAAGTGAAGAAAGAAATTCGGAGAGGGCGGCTGGTACGACCCCCTCTTTTTATACGTTTCCTGCCTATTCCTGGCGGTGAAATCACGAACTATTTTTTTTTTCAAAGCGGGGTTGTCACGTAACATTTTTCTTTGCAGCACAAAAAAAGTGATCCGCGTTGCACACGACCATACACGACTTTAACCCCTTTCATACTACTTGACCGAATTTTTTTCTCTTTACTTTCATACAAGGCTCACATACAATTCTTACCTTGCTGAAAGTATTTACCATGGTTGCCATGACGACATGTCGTCAAGACAAAGGGTTATTATGGTTGTTGTCATGGTTACATAATTCAAGCATTTGTTGTCATGGTAACCATGACACGGTTCGCGTGGTATGTGGATTCGTAAAAGTAAAAAAAAAAGTCGTAATACTGCAATTTTTTTTACATTCCTGCGAAAGAGGGGTATCGCGAAAACGCGAGCGCGCTTGAATGGGGGCAGAAAAAATTGTAAGGTGAAAAAAAGGAAACAAAAAAAACTCAGCGCGCGCTTTTTGGCGCGTGTGGTTGGAAAAAAAAAAGAGCTCCTCTTCATTTACCAAAAGTAGTAGGGGCGGCATTTTTGTGTTGGGTGGAGTGTATAAAAGCAACCCATGGTTCGCGATGGAAAAGGAATTTTTTCCTTCTTTTTTTTCTTTTTCACTTTCACAACTTGTTTTTTCATCACAAACAATGGCTCGTACCAAGCAAACCGCCCGCAAGTCCACTGGTGGCAAGGCCCCCCGTAAGCAGTTGGCTACTAAGGCCGCTCGCAAGTCTGCTCCCTCCACCGGTGGCGTCAAGAAGCCCCATCGTTACAGACCCGGTACCGTCGCTCTCCGTGAAATCCGTCGTTACCAAAAGTCCACCGAGCTCTTGATCCGCAAGCTCCCCTTCCAGCGTCTTGTCCGTGAAATCGCCCAGGACTTCAAGACTGACTTGCGTTTCCAGTCCTCTGCCATCGGTGCCCTTCAGGAAGCCTCTGAAGCTTACCTCGTCTCCTTGTTCGAAGACACCAACTTGGCTGCTATCCACGCCAAGCGCGTCACCATTCAGCCCAAGGATATCCAGTTGGCTCGTCGTCTCCGTGGTGAGCGTTCGTAAATGTGCCATCCTCCCCTTTGACCGGCTCATTTAAATACTCTATCCCCTTAACAAAACATCATCATCATCAATCACCACCATCATCAAGAACAACCACCATCACTACAACCACAACACCCACTTTAACTGCTTCGTCTACAACAGCAGCAACAACATCTTTTTTCTTCCCTTGAATTCCGTCTTGTACAGTTTTTCCTTCTTGCTTTACCACATCTTTTTTTTCCTCTATTTTGTATGTATCTCAGTTGCGCAACATATACTTCTTAATAAAAACAAACCGCAATTTGCTTTTGTGAACAAAAATGGAAAAACAAATGTTATTTGGCATGCTTTAATTGGGTATTTATGCGGAGAGCGCTGCGCTTTGATTGGTATAGTTTTGGCTGCGTGGAAGAACAATCAATTCTACTTCTTTCATTGCTGTGTATTAATCACACTGCTTTGTTACGCGTAGTACGCTACACTGACAGCTCACACATCCGCTGCATGAGGGTATTATAGTACCAACTGAGACTATCACTAAACCTTTTCCCAGAAACGCACATTTATATAACAAAGCATATACTGTACACGATATCCCATACAAACAAAAAGAAGCAACCGCCTTCCTGCCAAGAACAACAGCAACTGTTTATTCTGTTGGGGGTACTGCCAAGTCCACAAAAAGGCATACACTATATAAGATGTTTCTTTTTATCGTGTTGTGCTATGTAGCAGCTACTAATGTCACAGTAAACGAACGCGTATGCATTCTTTTTTTTGTTTTAATTTAAAGAGATGAAAAGAACGTCTTTTATGCTGAGCACATCTATTACGGTGGTCACCTCTTGAGCGAATGAAAGCAAGAAAAGAGAAGAGGAGAGGACGTGCATTAATGTGTATGGGTGATGACGGCACTTGCTCTCCCTCCTCCAGTACTTTATAAAAAGAGAAATCAGGTGCGCCGTGTACCACGCTTTTTCTTTTTTTTTCCTGCAATTTCCTGCTGCGGACTTTGATCCCTTATTAAAAAAAAAAGAGAGATGGAAATAGTAGAAGAGACCCAAACCGCTGTTTCAGTTGTTCGTGAAGAAAGAATTGTAGCTCGCAGAATGGACAAGAATTCCGATACCAAGTCTGTCACTGGTGGCAAAGGTAATAATCAAGCCTTGGTTGTTGCCGCTCTTTGGCTATGAGAGACGACAGACGTTTACGATTTGAAAATGAAAAAGACTAATTCTTTGTGGAATTTTGAAAATTTTGGTTTAATAGCCCCAACTAAAACCTCCTCTGCTTCCTCGACAAAGAAGATCAAGAGTGCAAGCGACAAGAAACGCAAGCCGAACCGCAAGGAAACGTATTCAACGTACATTTATCGTGTGCTGAAGCAAGTGCACCCTGACACGGGCATTTCCAACAAGGCCATGTCCATTCTCAACTCGTTTGTCAATGACATTTTCGAACGGATCGCCTCTGAAGCCTCCAAGTTGGCTGCTTACAATAAGCGCTCCACCATCTCCTCGCGCGAGGTCCAAACGGCAGTTCGTTTGATTTTGCCTGGTGAGTTGGCTAAGCACGCCGTCTCCGAAGGCACCAAGGCTGTTACCAAGTACACTAGCTCCAAGTAATATGTGATAGTAGAAGTCTTTCTTCTTCTTTCACGTCTTCTCTCACTTGCTCACAGCACAAACACAAACACAAACACACACACACATACTTTTTCTCTTTCGTTACGTGAAGATCGCACAATAACACCAACGCACACGTTATGTTGCTACACCTACTTTTTTCGCTTCACCCAATTCCCACAGACATACTGCTTCCAAATATCATCTGCTCTTCCATAGTCTCAGTAAAAGAAATAATAAACACATGCAGTTGTTTAAAAAAAGCGGATGAAGGAGCAGTTTATTGCAAGCTTTTGGGAACAGAAAAGATATCTGCTTGCGCATCGTTCGTGTCGTCTGATGATAATATGCTGCCCATGCCTGCATAAAAGGCGCTGAGATCATCTTCCAAAGGATCCTTGTCTGTTTTAGATAAATGAAAAAAAAAAAAAACAGAATGTGTTCTTTAGCTTCTTCTTGCCTGTTCTTTCCTGCTTCCTTTTTGCTGGTCATCACGAACCCCGACAACAAAGCGAGACTACTAACGTTTTGCACGCTCTTTCTTCTCCTCTTCTTCCCGTGCTTTACGTTCTTCTGCCATGCGTTTTTCTTCGGCTCTTTTCTCGACGCGCTCTAGTTCAACATCAACTGAACATTCAGCAGCATAGGCTTGTCCATCACGGTAAATCCACAAGCCATCCTCTACATCGGCAGCTATTGCCCACTCGGATGATGCATATGCAGGCAAGAAGCTATCTGGACTTGCATATGACACGCGTGGGCTGCATCCATCCACCTTGAACCCGTCCTTTTCCAATGTTGTCGTCATTGCATCTATGGCAGCCTATACAAACACGCATTTTCTTGAATGAGTTGAACTTTTCCTGTAACTTTCGTTTATACCTATAAGAGATGGATGGGGCGGTTTTTTTTAATTATACCTGAGCACTGGTAAACTCCACAAATGCAAATCCGCAGGACATTCTAGTCAATTTATCCTTTATAAGAAGGACACGTCGAAGGCTCGGCAGCGATCGAACAGCGTAAAAGATAGATTCTTCGGACGACAAGTTGTCCAGATTTCGCAACAGAATCATATTGTTTGATGTATGCGCCACGTCCTTGGTGCCATCATTGATGGCCATGGATTCAATTTCCTTGGACCGTTTCTGTGCTTTGGAACCTTTAATAACGATTTCTCTTGGTTAGTACTTTTTCCTATTCTCTCCTGCATACTTGTCACGCATCCGATTTGTTTTAGTTTGTGGAAAAAAAGCTGTACGTAGTATTATACCTTCAAAAGGTGCACGGCATTCGACACACACGGGACGAGAATCATTATTGAACTTGCCGCACTAGTATCCAAATCAGCAATTCCCTTTCTTACCCGATAGGGCGAAAGCCCCTCCCAGCCTCACCTTCAAGCATCGCCATTCAATTTTATCTTCTTTAGCGCCTTCCTTATTGCAATAGTCCACACGCACACGATGGTGGCCCATGTAGAAATGGGGATAATGTTTCTCGACGAATTGGACAGCATGACCGACACTAGTAAACCTTACAAAGGCAAACTTTCTCGATTCGCCTTTACCGTATAATACAGCAGAAAGCTGGGGTTAGACCAAATATCTTCCAGTAAGGGAAACTTTATAGTGCTATACCTGTATCCCGATCTCTGATCAGAGTCACTTCATCCACACTAGCCGTCATGTTTTCCAATGTTTTATAGATCTGGGCACAGTGTTGAGAGATATGAATAGATAGGTTTTAAAGAGTGTAAAGACCTCCAATTATCAGAATTGCATGACGCGCCCCAAATGTCCTTCTGTGTCCTTACGTCACGTTCTTGCGCTCGATCTGGTAAGCTGCGCAACACTACATTGATATTTGGTTGTGTAGTTCTTTGATCTTGTGGATGAGGATTGTGGTCTTGGCGGTCTTGTCGCGGCTGATAATGATCCCCAGATCTTCGATCATACCTTTCCCGACGCTTTTGGTTTCCAATGCATATGGACGTATCAGGCAGGTTTTTGGAGATGGGAGGAGGTATCAAGATACGGGGAGTTAGATCCCAAATGTTTTTTTTCTCTTTGTAAAAACGCTTTTCTTCTTTTTCCCTTCTTCTGTGTTCAAAAGAAACAAGAAGAAAAAAAGAATGATTCGGCTAGGCAATTCTTACGTCGTGCTGGTGGTGCTGGTGGTTGTGGTGGTGGTCACTGTCGTCATGCCTTGAATATTGCCGATTATTGGACCGTGATGGTACAAAGGACGAAGTTTGTGAAAGGGGTGGTGAAGTACGTCGAGACCGGCCTGGACTACGGGACCGATGGCGAGTTGAAGATGACGGTGACGAATGCTGTTCAAGCCGTGAGGCTAAAAGTGATGTTGAACGGTCATAAGCCCTGTGTACTAGTGATTGATGGTTATTATTATTATTATTATTATTATCATTATTGCGATTATGATTGTTATAGTTGTCGCTGTTGTTGCTGCTGCTGTGTGAATGGAACATGTTGGAACCCTTCCTTCAGTTGTGGGGAGTTGCAAAGATTCAAAAACGACTCTTCCAGCTTAGCGTGACACAGATTTCCAATTTGGTGCTGGCTGATTTGGCAACTTAAGAGAACACACTTTATATATGATAACCCAATAAAAGACTTAGGGGACTATTTTCAAACGTGGTATAAGCAACGCTAGGCAGAATATACAAGCTACTTGGCGGTGATCCCAGGAAAGAGGGAGGGGGGTGGCGTTGACCCGAAGAAAACTTGTAAACGCAAAGGGAAATTTACATTGTGAGATTGTACATGTGCTGCGCAGTTCTTCGCTTAAAGGAATAAACTCTTCTTTTACACAAAAAAAAAAAAAACCAACCAGAAAAAGCTGTTTTTTATATTTGGCTAATGATATGGAAGATGTGTATTCTACTACTTGTCTTCCTCCTGAAACAGTGTCTACAATGTTTAATCGGTTATCAATGCTCATCAGCAAACAAAGATTATGTACTTTGATGGATGCAAGTTTCAAAAGAAACATTTTTCACATATATGGATGACAGTCCCAGCTGGCAACAAGTCTTACAAAAATCCCCATTTGATAATGATAGTCAATTCAGCACATGGGTAGTAAGTGTTGTTCTTTACAATAAGCCTTTATCGCATATACAACCCTTTTTTTTAGAATGAGTTCCTACTATCTTACTGGATGATGATAAATTACACCCGTCCAACAGAAAATTATATTGGCCTTACAAGAATCTTTTTCACTGTACTCTTCTCTCCTTTGCCTATCATGTCAAAGCAGCGATCAAGGACATAGTGACCAAGAACTTGACGATAGTAAATGCATAGCAACTAAATAGCAAACGCTCATATGTGCTAAATGGCGCGTTCGCAAATAGATTCAAGGAACATTTTAATTCTGAAACTGCAATTCCGTGTTTGCGAAGATTCGCGAAATATGACATGCACTTCGTTCTAGCTCGGTGTAACTTTAAGGATCCAGAGATGTTCAAATGGAAGAGTCCATTCGTGACATATGCAAAAAAGCACGGCATCAAAGTGAGTTAGCGACCCAGCTGTAAACCGGTTACCACGGCAACAAGTGGTGTGAAAGAGCAAGGTTTTGTGGCATAATAACGATCCAAAACTTACTTTTGCTCTCTCTCTCTATGATACAAGTAGTGAGTATAATAAGAGAGTGCAATAGTGAGCTTGGGCTTTGTATAGTAACAATGAAATATGAACGGGGCGTGGGGTATATAGCCGTACCAAAGAAGATGATGTTACAAGAAAAAGCAAAAGGCATAAGAAAGGGTCTATAGTGGGTCAATGATAGCATCTTCTATTTATATTGTTGCTGCTTGTTGTCCCTGTTGTTGTTCTTGATACGATGGTAATTGATAGTTCTCATAGAGCGGTAAAGTATCCTTGTACCCGACTGATGAGACGTATCTGGGTATTGGTAAAGGTGGCATGTTGTTGTTGGTATTTTGCTGCTTGTGACGGAAAATGGTCTGGAAAGCGGTGTAAATTTGTAATTCGTCCGAAGATCGAATACCATAACCCAGGGTTCCAATGCGGATCGGAATATCGGGGAATGACACGACTGCGGACGAAGATGAAGACTTGAGCGGTAGTAATAACCGGCTTGACAGACCAATCTCTCTGCTGTGGAACGAAACACGAAGCTTGTAGCTGACAGAGACCAAGCGACCATATGTGAATGATGGGATTGATTCATCTGGTATTTCCAAAAGCTGGGTGTTTGTGCTTTCTGCGATGGGTCGAGTAAATGTCTTTTGTTTGCCCGCGTGGATGGTGAACACTTGGAGTAGCTTCATACTGATGCGATACGCGGGTGGCTGATAGATCAGCGGCTGAATCGTGTCACCTGCAATATAATCCAAAGCATCTAGTTGCAGTTTGAAATTTCTCTGTTGCTTGTCGACGGCTTCCAGGGTGAATGGCCGGCGTGTCTGTTGTTGTTGATTGCTGGCTTCTTTGCTGGCACGTGTTTCGATTTGTGGAACATAGACCACCGGGCATTGGGCTTTGGCGATCAAGGGACGATGACGACTACTACTGTCAGCAGCATAATTATCGCTGTTGCTGCTACAGATTGTAGGGCCTTCGAGAAAAGTTGACAAACGAAACCTGCACGCGTAAAAGTTGGCAATTTCTATGGAGGGTGGAAACTGGACCATAGGTAGTTGGATCGTGAAAGATAATTCCGTGCCATTTTCTAATGGCTTGTCTTTGCTTGTCCAGAGGATGCGTTGTGATCCAAAGAATTGCTCGTGCCGATATCGACCATCGACTGAATACGCGTCGGCGTTGGGTACGCCAGTGAGTGTTTCAGATGCATGGAACACAATACGAAGTTGATCCGGCTGTTGTTGTTGGTTGGATGGTAGATGTACACGTACAGAACCTAATTGATCAGAAATTATTGATATGAGGTACTTTGTAATAAGTTCTTCCTCTATAAAGTGCATGAATACGGTACCTCTCAATACGGAGCCGGGACCAAAGACAGGGGCGGTTGTGTTGGCTGCAGTCCAGCCGAATTCAGGATGTAAATAGACAGAAAGCTTCGTGGTTGTGTGCGTCGCCATTGATTAGCACAGTGATGTTATACCAAATGCAAAGTACAATGCTTCTATGATGTAATAAATAAAAGAGTCGATCTCCCCTTTTATATTTATACACCTCACCGAAAGATTGACAAGACCTGCTGCCAAGGGTGGTACACGTTTACCGGAATTGGGCTGCAACTGCTGCGCACACAACCCTGGGATCCGGTCTCCCTCTCTCTCGCGCGCGAAACACGCCTTCCACTGTGTGCGCCAAGATGCCAAACAATTCTCTTGGAGCTTCTTTTTGCTAAGAAAACATTATTTTTCTTTGCGCATTGCCATCACCACTGCTATCCTGCAACGATCTAGTCTCTGGGGGTTGAATGGTTGAGGCTGTGTCTTTTCTAGCCTATGTTTTTGTTCCAAAAGTACGGCAAACGATCGCTGCGGCTGCTGTTACTGCTGCGGTAGATATAGGGGGGGGGGAATGACCACTGATGGAAGCAAAACAAGATTATCGGTTGACGAAAGTACACTCGTCACTTTGACATCATAGAAAGACGCATCACGTAATGGTCAATGAACAGGTGATTATTATAACAGAGAAGTTTATTGTAAAATTATTCATTCACTACACTAATACGAAACCAGAGCTAAGAAACAATTTACCTAAGACAAAAAGAACCATGAGTCAGCTTCTTTCATATACTTTGCATGCACCATACAAAGAAAAGGGCGACAAAAGAACAAAGAAGATGACAAGAATCAGGATAAGATGGGTATAACCCGTTTTCCTCAATTTGTTTAGGAAGACCGTCGTGATTGTGTGTATCATCATCAAGTCATCCTTTGTTCAAGGGAGGGGCAAGAGGGGGATGCAACTTAAAAAGAGATACCGTACCTTATGTAGCGATGTCTTCTTGCACACTGCGGATGACAACGATAGACCATCGAAGGATTTTCCTAAAGAAACTGTTGATGGAGACGATAAGTAAACGATGATCAATCGTGCAAAGAAGAGTGTGCTCGAGAAGGATTGCCAGGCCAAGACTGGTTGTCAGATTGTAGTATGTCGTTCATTAAGATCAGACATATGCTTGTCAATAATAAAGAGTTCATCGTGCTTCGAGTTTTGACCCGACAATTCCTTTCCCGAAGAGCAATAAAGTGGCGGGGGATCAAATAAACTTACCAAGTAAAATTTTTTTCTCTGTTTACCACCCGACTCCGGGGTTGGAAAGCCAAGAGCGTGGACAACGATGGAAGGACACCCTAGTAACCAGATAACGTATGAGTAAAGCCCATCACATTTGCATTTCAAGCACATCACACGCGCAAAGAAAGGAGCATTGAGAAGGATGGAAGAGTGGGTCAGGCGCCAAAAATATCACCAGTGAAATACTCGGTCTGACTCGTCATCTAAAAAGATCTCATCATTCCCGCTCTTCACATCCCATCCTTCTCAAAGCCACCCGATAAGAGAAAGGGGGGGGGGGAAGATTGCTTACCCATCATTTCCTGGGCTTTCCTGGAAGGGGAGGGAGCCATCCGTCATTGGTGCCATTGCTGGCAAGCCTAAATTCCCAGGGAAAAAAAGAGTCATCAGTTTTCTAGATTCTCTTCCACGGACCAGAAAAAGAGAAAGAGGATAGGGAAACGCGGATAACACTCAGGTTTACAGCCTATTTGTACTCCACAGCATTTTCGGATGGTAATTCCAACAAAATTTTTCTCATCACAAACTGCCATCCGCGTATCCTTTCTCTACTCAGTAAAAGAAAGAAAAAGACGAAGCTTACCACTTGGGAGACCTCCTGGGAAGCCATCATACGATTGTAAGCGTACAAATGGCACTTGCTGTTGATTCCATCTGTTTGAGCGAAAAGACGACAGGTTAGCAACACGCGTCAAATTGCAACAAGATGAACATAAGTCGCGAAGAGAGAGAGAGAGATTAGAGAGCAAGAGAGAGAAGAAGGGTATTTCATCAGAATGTAAAGATTCACAGCACGGTGTGTATATCAGAAACTCTAGTTTGTAAAAAATGACACATCATATGCTCCTTCTTTCTCTACCTCTCTTTACTGCAACTCTCCTTGTAGCGATCAAGCTGTCAATGATGATTCAAAAGTAAGTACCTTGTGCAAAAGAAAATACAACGCAAAGAAGAGGAGGGTTTACTCTGGTGCGCGGGACACGCTCAAATATATAGCAAAAAACTTTTTACTTCCCAGCTTCGGCTTCCGCTGGAAAAAAGCAGTACTTTTTGGCTTGCCGCGCACTGTGCAGTCACGGGGCTCACACTTTCTTCAAAGGGCGTCAGATCAACCAATAATATATTACTGTATACTCTGGCCAATGTTCTTTAATCGCCATCACCCATCCAGTCTATACGCACCAGCAACATATAATAGCAATAACTGAATAAATGAGTGTGTGGTGCAGTTGTATTCAGTAGATGGATTGAGTTGTTAATAATAATAAAGCGTTGCTGCGATACTGCTTAGCACAGAGTAAAAACAGCACGGTTCTATGCTATGTTTTGTCACCCTCTATCACTAGCCATTCAACCCTGTCTTACTGTGACCTGCTACCTTTGATACCTCATTCCTTCGTACAATCACATTCATCTCTTGAAATGTACCTCTTAATGCAAGCATGACCCCGAATGGTGAACGGAGGCCCGGATATCGGAATTAATGTTTAACCTGCGACCAACCGGAACGAGATAACCTGTGTTTCTTGTGAAAAAACCATCGAATCCACTAGAACATACAGAACGGAAAAGAAATGTCGAAAAAGATCGATGCTGAAACCGACTACTATGAACTGCTCGGCGTTAAGATCGATGCTTCACAAAAGGAAATAAAAAAGGCATATCGACTGAAAGCTCTTGAGCTCCATCCAGACAAGAATCCCAGTCCCGATGCAGGCAAGTTATAAATGAATGGCCCTGGAATTCCCTCATTTTACTTTGACAGCGATCGATCATGATCTCAAAAAGTATAATTAACTTAATCTATCGTGTACTTTTTGGTTGTATATAGGTGCATTATTTCATACATTGTCACAAGCATACGAAGTACTTCAGGATGAAAAAGCCAAGGCCAGTTACGATCAGTTGCTCAAGGCACGACTTGAAAGACGTAAAAAGCAGACGGAAATGGATAGCAAGCGACGTGCAGCTCAGACGGACTTAGAGGAACGAGAAAACCAAGCGAAAAAGGCCAAGCAGGACCAGGATCAGGCTGAAGCACAGTACTATGCTGAATTAGCTAGGATACGGGCAGAAGGTGCCAAACGGCGTGAGGAATGGCGTGAGCAAGAACTGAAAACTGCGGAACAAGGTAACATGGAGAGCTGCTTTCAAATAGTATGGATCACATAGCCTGAGAGACGATTTGCTTATCATTGTATATTCCTCTACAGTGAAAATACCCGAGCCGACAGAATTGGATTGTGCGCTCAAGATCAAATGGAAGCGGAAAAAGCACATGTTTACAGAGGAAGATTTGCAAAAGATTCTGAATCCCATCGGCAAAGTCGATACAATTGCTATTGCAGAAAAGAAAAAGGGCACCGCATTAGCTGTGTTCAAAACGGTGGTGGATGCAGTAGGTCTTTCTATTGTTCATGCTCTATGAGAGGTTATCATTCACATAAGAAGGAATGAAAGACTAACCGAACGTTTATCAATTCTAGCACGCGGTTCTAACAAGCAAAGACACGCATCCGTCCCTGTCGCCATTTGAAGTGATTGACTGGTATACCGGTAAAGAGCCGGCCATGGTGACCCATATGAACGAGGAAAGAAGACGGATGCAAGAAGCTAAACAAAAGGCAGCCGAATGGAGCAATTTCAGCTCACAGCAATCTGCACCAAGCGGCAAACCGTTATTTGCTACGGCTGGACAATCATCCTTTTTCAAAAATATAAAGGTGCCTCCGTCAAAGGTAAGCTTACTCTCGCTGATTCTTTGGGAATATTGCTTGATGAATCAAGTGGATGCGGTTGCTTACAAACAGCTTTCCTGTATCAACACTTTTTCTCAAACACATCTAGTCATCATTTTCCAATGCACCAAATTTATCTGACAAGGAATACGAAGCAATGACCCTTATGAAGCTGCGGCAGGCTGAGCGAGAACGGATGTTGGAGCAAATTAAGCGCGAAGAAGCATCATAGACCGATCAGCTATTATACCCTCACACAACAATACTTTGTAAATAATGCTTATTATACACATCCGACGTACACACACACACACACACACACACACACACACTCAATGTCGAATCGTTGGTGTACAGTGCACACCGTTGTGATTCCTGTTTAGGAGATTTAAAACGACAAAGGCAAATAAATTAAGGCTCGCTCTTATATTCCTTTTTTCTCTTGTCCGTTTTCATTCCCTGCCTAGTCATGAGAGATCTGCATTCTTTTCTTTGCTCTAGTTAAAATCTCTGCTTACTTCAAAGCTGAATTACGCTCGTTTTTTGTATAATGAAAAAAAGAATGTTTTAAGCCCACTTTAATTTTTTTTTCTCTTAGGTCCTCCCACTACTGACGCGTCAACGCGTCTCCTATTGACTTTTCTCACTCTCAAGGTATGTCTCCTTCCTTTTTTGGGTGGTTGGAGGTTTTTTCTTCTCTTTTGCCATATTTGGGTGATGAGTAGTTTTTTCCGCACAAAAGAAAGCTCTATATTTTCTTTCAATTTTGCATACAGTTCATACAGTTCAAGCTGTTGTGTTCTATTGGGATAAATGAATTGGTTGCCTTTGGTAGGTACCCTTCACATAGCGCTACGAGCGAGGGGCTTCGAAAATGCCCTTCAACAACAATGATGGATGTAAAGTAGGACCAAAGGGCATGATTGTTGATGGTTTGACCTACACAGCGTCTTTAAACGCAGCGATCTGTTCACTTCACAAGAATCTTTCATTGGTTACAAGATACTGACTATATAGCTTTAACACACTCGTTAATATAATGATTACATAAATAAGTTTCGGTGTTGTGGAAGGGATACTATATAAACGAATCAATCAGCGGCATCAGGCTTAATGTAGTCACTGCAGATAACATCTTGTGTATTTCCAGCTAAGAGTACACTTATGATCAAGGCGTACGGCTGAAGTGACCGCAAAGGTCCATATCATTCATCGTCGACGTTCTCAGTAGGTGCTACCCTGTAAGCTGCTCATCCACATCTATGAGATTCTATGATGATTATGCAAAACCCGAGTTTCAATATTCCAACGACGAACAAAAAATTGGCAGGAAAATAATATGATGACCAGCTATGTTTCTGTCTATCACAGCTCATGTGGTCACTGACACTTCCGTATAATACAAATGACAGACCTCTTTCTCCATTCTCGGAAGAACCGCCATATTATAACTTGGATAAAACTACGTATACCCTTCTTCCTCTCGTGACTACAATTAGTATTGCTAAACCAACCAATACCGTGAATCTCTTTTGTACTATGCCGCGATACATAGTCACATACAACCGTTATACGGCATCTATTATGTCAGTTTCTGATGTCCCTTTCCGTTTCTGTCTGTATTATCTAACATTCAGTTGCAGCAGTAGAAGAACACTTCTTCCACAAGCTGTTGATAAAAAGAGGGTATCTACATGGTATCTATGGTTAGATCTAGAATGAAAAGCCTAGCGGCACATTCAGTTGTCAATTAGAAGAGAGGCACACACGATCAGCGTTTTTATAGAAGAGCTTGTTCTGTCATGTTTTCAAGATTCCGAAAATAAGAAGTGGGTAAACGCTGACGCGCCCGCATGCATCCAGGAACAAACTGTAAAGGTCGGCACTTACGCTCGAATCGGAGACTTAGCCTCCCCATAGCCTTACCACATTTGTGACAAGTCTTCAACCTTTTTTAAGGGTAAGCAAGTTCTTTTGGAAAAAAGAACCAGAAATGAATATCGGTGGTACTATGATGGCGTGCACCGACATTTTAACTCACTATAATTACTAGCGAAGATTATAGCAATGAAGAAAGAAGAATCGATAGATATCCCATAAAAGATCAAAAGCCCCAACGCCATTATATGCCTTGTGATTTATCCATGTGCTACGATAAAGAACACTGTGGGTTATTTGGGTTGCCTGGTGCATGCAAGTATCCCGGGGGCGGGAGAAACCAGCTGCATTATTAGCGTTAAATTTAAACCCGGCGACACCGGACCCAATAAGCCCCCAAATCTCCAGAGGTATGCCATTATCGTCACCCGTCTAAGCGCAAGAGACGAATCATCATCCTTGCACTAGGCCAAACTATAAATCGATGCGTTCATATTTAACTCACTCGTTCCACGCATATACTGGTGGTTAATGACTTCCTTGACCATAGTTAAATCAATAGACAGTAAACATATTGACAGCACGGCAGCACGTAGCTTGCTTAATAAACTGATGTCGTCAGTAACATGATCATTCAGCTACAAGGAGCATATAATTCAAACACATATCATCATGTAGCTCTCCTAACTATATCGTGAGCAATTGATATGCATTGGAGATGATGCACGGGCCTTCCCCATCAGCACTGCTTGATAGGAGGGCAAAAAGATATAGAATTGCGTATCGTACAGCGCCGATCAAAAAAAATATCCGCCGATACGCGCGGGAAACTAGGTAAGGTTTACAGTTAGCAGAGTATATAGTGGCCTTTTGGTAACAAATGTTCCAATCCCACAGATCCCACAGTCGTGCAGCTATATTTCCCTTTTCGCCGAGTTCTCAGGCTCAGTATGTAGAATATTAAGGTGTTTCATAACTTTGTGTGTGGCATATTGTGCTCCTCGTTTTCATTTATTTCGGTCCTACTACCGAAAGGTTGGATCAGAAAAAGAAGCTACAGAAAAGACAGCCAGACGAGCAGATGTTCCCCGGAATCAGTCGTGCTCACATGACAGTTAAGAGAGTTGTGTGTCAATGAGACGGAAGAGTTCTCATCGTGGGGATTCGCGTACTAAGGGTAAAAAGGTGAGGGAATCGGAATAGAAGCTGTTGTTGTTAGACCCAAATTCAAAAGGCCTTTGTGTTACGTTTAACTGTGCTGATGGTAACAAAGTTTTGCATCTTGCCGGGCTTGCAAAAAAAAACACATACCACATCTAACAATAATGCTTGTCCCATTAAGGATTATTTAAGCCGGTTTTTTTTTCCACTTAACCCCCGCAGTTCCCAGGATCTTCATTCAAATCACTCTTTCTCTTCTCTTTACCTTTCACTTGAAACACCCACTACCCCCCTACTCTAACTCTTCACTCAACTAAAAAAACATGGCCCAAGAAACAGGAGAAGTCAGAATGTATGGACGGCGCGTCAAGTGAAAGATCTGTGCTCTCAATACTCACTTTGCCATATAATTAGCTCTAATTTATGTTTTATGTTATATGTTTTAGTCATAAGCTTGTTGCACCTCGCGATCGTGAGGTCGAAAGCGCTGGTGCCGTGATGAACAAGTACAGTCGTCAGATCACTCAGCTTGATACTGCTGGCGCTGGTCAAGCACAGTGTAAGCACTTTTTCATTTCAGCAATTGCATGTTTGTTTATTATCACGAATCCAAATTATATGCGATTGATTGTCTTCTCACGCATCATCTTCCTTAGTGTATGCCACGGGTTTAAATGATAATGATATGAACAAGGCTCAAGTCGGCATCACCAGTTTGTATGTCTTGTAGAAAACTAAAATGTAACAGTGATATTAGCGAGGGGACGAGAATTAATTAGCGTTTATAAATCAGTGGTTATGACGGTAACCCTTGTAACATGCATATCAACGACTTGGCCGCCAAGGTCAAGGAAGGTGTTTGGAAGGCTGGTCTTGTAGGCGCCCAGTTCAACACCATTGGTGTCAGTGATGCCATGCCAATGGGCTCAGCCGGAATGTCTTTCTCTTTGCCCAGCCGTGATATTATTGCCGATTCCATCGAAACTGTAAGAGTTAGAAGAAGAAAAAGAGCCCCAATCTCCCATCTAAGTCTGTCTAATCTTTCTTTCTCCCTCCTTTCCAAGGTCATGAGCGCTCTGTGGTATGATGCAAATGTGTCACTCCCAGGTTGTGACAAGAACATGCCCGGATGCATGATGGCTATTGCCCGATTGAACCGCCCGGCGATCGTCGTTTATGGTGGTACAATGAAACGCGGTCGTGGTACTTTGGGTGCTTGTGCAAACCGTGACCTCGATATTGGCAACGCACTTGAATGCAATGGTGAATTCATTAGTGGCAAGATCACTGCTGAAGAGCGTCGCGATATCATCCGTAACGCCTGCCCCGGTGCCGGTGCTTGCGGTGGCATGTAAGTTCTACTTTCTACAAAGTTATCTATTCAAAACGTACAAAGAAAGAATTTTAATGACGTGGATTTTCGTGTTGTACTACAGGTTCACCGCCAACACAAGTAATTAAACATATTTTCTTCTGCTATACTTGAGGAAAACAAGAGAAAAAAAAATCAAACCAACATGTCTTTTTAAATTTATTTTAGTGTCTAGTGCCATTGAAGCATTGGGTATGTCATTGCCTTACAGCTCTTCCATCCCCGCCGTAGACCCAGAAAAGATCAAAGAATGTCTCCGTGTTGGTCCAGCCATCCGCAACCTGCTGGAGAAGAACATCCGCCCACGTGATATTTTGACTCCCAAGGCCTTTGAAAACGCATTGACCGTCATCATGGTCCTTGGTGGTAAGTGAAACATGGTGCACGACAACAGTAAATAAAATTCATGAAATGAGGAGAGTGTGCTATATCTGTTGTCGTCACTCACTTATGGACCTATTAGGATCTACAAACGCTGTCTTGCATATGCTGGCCATGGCCAAGGCTGCCGAGGTTCCTTTGACCATTGACGATATTCAAGCCGTCGCCAGCAAAACGCCACTCCTTGCCGACTTGCGTCCAAGGTAATAATCGTCCAAATTACTCATAGAGCGAGATATGACAAGATTTATAGCTTGTTGACTGAAACAAATCATTATAGCGGTAAATACATCATGGAAGATTTGCATGACATGGGTGGTACTCCAGCCGTATTGAAGTTTTTGCTTGAAAACGGTATGCTTCACGGTGATTGTATGACGGTCACTGGCAAAACCATGGCCGAAAACTTGGCTGAAATTGAAGGATTCAAGGAGGGGCAGGATATCCTTCGTCCCTTGTCCAACCCCATTAAGCCAACGGGCCATTTAACTATCCTGCGTGGTAACCTTGCTCCCGATGTAAGAGCAATTTCTATATCATAGTTTTGTGGAGTGGTTGTTTGTACATGCATTTACTGAGTGCAATAATTATATGATCTTTTATAGGGCGCTGTTGCCAAGATTACTGGCAAGGAAGGTCTCTCATTCACCGGCGAAGCTCGTGTCTTTGACGAGGAAGAAGAAATCTTCCACGCTCTGGAACAAAAAAGAATCCCCAAGGGATCTGTTGTCGTTGTACGGTACCAGGGCCCCAAGGGTGGTCCTGGTATGCCTGAAATGCGTATGTGGTCTTACTTTTTTTAAACATTGATTTGTGAAGGAAGATTGTAGGCTGGTTCACTTATGCTCTTTCTTCGTGTTCACGCTTATTAGTGAAACCTACTTCCGCTATTATGGGCGCTGGTTTGGGCAAGGATGTTGCCTTGGTCACCGACGGTCGATTCTCTGGTGCTTCTCACGTAAGTTGAAAGACGTTTTCTTTCTTTTCGTACACGAGAACCATAATAAAGAAAAAGACAACATTTCTAAATATTCAAAATCAAACACAGGGTTTCATTATTGGCCACGTCTGCCCTGAGGCACAAGTCGGTGGCCCTATCGCACTTGTGAAGGACGGCGACAAGGTCACTATTGACGCCACCACTCGTGATCTCATTGTACACGTGTCTGACGAAGAATTGGCCAAGCGCAAGGAGTCATGGAAGCCTAAGCCGCCCAAGTACACAAAGGGTGCTTTGGCAAGATATGCCATGACCGTCAAGAGTGCCAGTGAAGGTGCTGTTACTGATGAATGGTAGAAAAAGACAAAGTAATTTCCACATGAAAAGTCCCATTTCTTGTTCTTGTATACCTTGATATTGTACCATATACGTTGTGTATATCACCAAATATAAGCCCCACATTCCAATCGATCGTCTTTGTATGAAACAAAAGCACAATAGAGCGAGAGTACGTGCATTGTAGTGACAAATTTATACATGGACTTTTTTTCGTAGTTTCTTTCCTTTATAAGGTACTTTGTTCCTAGTTTTCTCAATCTATTGAGCAAACACTTCACCACCCTGATCACCAACAAACGTTCCAATCTTCTTGACTTGGTTGTTCCACTCTTCAATCTGTCGCCGCATGCCATCAATCTGTTCCTTATCCAGCACGCGTGGCTGCACCCACGTAACGATCACTAACTGGTCGACCTGGTCAATCGAACCGCGAATTAGTTTAAGCGACAGCGCCTTCATGACGAGATGCTCAACCTAAACAGGCATTTAGTAAGAAGCATTATTTTGCCATGGTTTTTTTCTCCGGATCAAGTAAGGACCGGATCATGCTGGTTTCTTTTTTCGCAGCTGTTTACCTCATCCACGGACAATCTAGTTTCTGCTGCAATCTCACCAAATGGAATGACACGGTTATCGCTTGATCGACGGAAAACGGCTTCAATCAATGACATAAGACATATCTTTCGGCTCAATGCCTCCGAGTTTTGTTGCAGTAAAGACTGTACAGAGAACCACCATATACCATCAATTACCAGTGTTCATGCAGTACCATAATCCAGCAAAAAAAAGGAAAATATCTTTTTCATTTTACCTGCTTGCTGAAATGTGGTGCAAGAGCCTCAAATTTGCCAATATCACCGCTGTTAAATGCAAACAAGAGTGATCGCAACCAATCGTGTTCAGTGCCGCTAAGCGAGTCGAGGATGGGGTGCATTAACTAAAGCAGAAATAAGCATTATTAGCCTCAATTATTACGCCTTTTTCCTCCAGAAAACGACCAGGGATCGTATGTCTTACCAGTTCACCAAAGTTGTAAATCATTTCACCTAGAAGAGCCGAGAGAGCCAAATCATATGCTCTTCCAACCTTTTCTTCGGGCGACAACTCATCCACATTAACACATGCCAGATAAAGCAACGCACTCTTGTAATATTGGGCATATTCTGCCTTGGCTTTGTAATACTCGGCGCTGACACGATAAAAGCTGGCGTATATGACCGTCTCGACGCTATCAAACTGTTCGAGGATTTTATCCGATTCGTCAATGGCCTTCTTGACGTCGTCGAATTGTTGCAGCTGTAATTTGAAGTGTGCTGCCTCCATCAAGGCCAATACGTAAACATCTTTGGTATCTGGAGTGTCGACTTTGGTGCTGATGTCGTTCAAAAAGCTAACAGAGTCTTGTGATTCTATTTTATATCTCGTGTGTTAGATTTCTTCCTCTTTCTCTTTAATCTCCCCACTACCCTGTTCGTTTGCTACGTGTATAAACTTCATATCAAGCCATAATCCCACCGCGCAAGTGCAGCCCCACAAACAATATAGATACTTACTAGAGCAGTTATTTGCCGCCTTAAGAGCGATCGATACCAAAGACAACTTGTTGATCTTGTTTTCCCATTCTGCAATGAACTGTCTAAACAAGGGAATCTGGAGCGGTGCCGACTCTGGTTGGTTAAAGAATTCGAGGATTGATTGTGTCAATTGATGCCACAATCTGTATATTTAAAGAGTTTTGCAAGATTAGCTCTTTTTCGATACGGTAAGATAAAAAGACGCGCGTATTTTCTTTAAGAGTGAAACGACAGGATAATATGAGAGAGAAACAGGAACCAGGAAACCTTACTTTCTCTCGTATAAATCTTCAAATGTGGTGTAATAGTGTTGCAGCTGTGCAGGTGCTTTTTGTCTTTCGTCGTGAAGAAACTTGGGAACGTCAAAGTCGATTTCCATTTGTTGTGCCATGATGTTAAAATATGCAGTAGGAGAAAAGTGAAAGCCGTTTCCCTGAACAAAGATGATTGCGCGTCTTCTTGGCCGCTGTTTGCCGGAGTTTGATTCTGCTGCTATCCTAGCTGCCTTCTCCTTGTCAACCATTTTTTTAGTAAAGACAGATTTTACTTGCATAATAACAGCAGCTGCTTCCGCAAGCTTTTGCCATGTATCGTCAGTTTACTATAAAATAATTATTTCACGGTGGGTAGCGTAAGAGAACCATTCTCCTCATTTTAAAATTCTTAGAGCACTATTATTACTGTAATTTTTTCTATATTTGCTTGTAACTATCACTGATGTTTATTACTGTTTCAAACATACTGAGAAATGAATAAAAGTAATACTTTTACTACAATATTTTAATATCAGAATTTTTTTTTAACTTTAAGCGAAAATAGAGAGTGAGTATGACCAGCAGCTACTCATTGTATTTTTGATACCCTTGTTGTTATTCCTGTTCCGATTCTTCTTCTTGTTCTTCGTGTTCATTAAAAAGATCATTAACCTGCCGTTGGACTCTCGGCTCCCACTCAGCCAATTGTCGACCCAACGTTTCCTGAAGGCGAGGCAAAGTTCCAATAAGCTGATCTCGAAGACGTAACGTTTCCCCGCTCAGGACCATGTCATCACCCGGTTGAGTACGAATAAGCCTATGAACATGCTCTGCTGCTTCATGTTCAGTGGCTTCCCGTATAGTGATATCTTCCGCGGTAATTGCTGGTGCGTTGGCGACGTTTCGTCTTTCAATGCTGTCGAGATCTTGCATAACTTCCAAAACATTGTGGCTCCAAATTTGTCTAGCCATTCTTGCCAAGGCTATCAGACCGAAGTCAGCGAGACGTTGATCCATCCTATTATCGACTCTGTATTCATGACATCGCCTGGATTGATATGAAAAGAAAGACAGAAAAAGTTAGAATAGAGGCTCTTCCCACTTCTGAAATGAAGTACTGTTGAATGTTTATATCGACGACAACAAGAAAAAGAAGGAAGTACTTGCTGTTGAATTAATAGAGGGTGTTGGTCTGATGTTTGCTGCTCTTGCATGAACTCATTATATCGTCTCGACATAGTCTCAACTCGTACCTCCTCCTCGTCAGGAATAATGCCGTTATCTTGCATATTGGCTAACCTAGCAGAGATTTCAGGTTGTCGCAAAAACTGTTCAATTTCTACAAAGATATACAATATACCCCACGAGTATATTGAATACGAAGAGGTCGAAACAGATCAGATACAGCTAAGATAAGGCTAATAATCAGAAAAATAAGGTAATACTTTATTGCTTACCCTCAGCTTGCCGAGCCGTGATTGATCGCTCTATCCGACGTTCCTCCTCTTCTCGACGTTGTCGTCGCTCTAACCACTCTAATAAATTCAAGCGTACATAGCAAGAGTAAGCGAGATTATTTTAGTAAGCTATATATTAGAAGAGCACTAGAACAAGTGCGGTTAATACTATTCAAATATCTGCTTACCTTGTTCTCGCCGTGCTCGTCTTTCGCGTGATTGATCATCAACCTCGTCCTCATCAGAACCTTCACGCCGGCGTCTACCCAGGGTGGTAGTAGGAGAACTTGGCTCGTCTTCGGTCGCTTCAGAAGTGTGCAGTTGTTCCTCGTCTGTCGTCACTGAAGCCGCTGCAGTTGCTGTAGTAGCAGTCTGCTGTTGCTGGTTGTCGTGACGCGCCATGCCGCTTATCAGGATGTTATCGAGGGTTGGATAGGTAAGGGATTGTAGCTCGGGCTGCTTTTGTTGTTGCTGCTGTCTTTGAGTATCTCGGAAAAGATGTGAAGGTGTAACAGCATGCTCTTGCCCTAAAATAAAGCGTTGCCAGTGGTCAAATTGTACATGAGACTGCGTATTGTATCCTTGCGGAGTAGCGAGCTGATGCCAATCTGCTTGGGGTAGGATAAGTGGAGGGGGTAAATTGAGAGCAGGTATATCGTCATGGCGCAATGGCTGCTGCTGCTGCTGCTGCTGTTCAGAATAATCATGTGTGCGGATGGATGGTCCAGGTGGGTGGGTAAGACGGAGACCCTCGTAATGTTCTGCTGGTGGTCGTCCAAGGCGATCACTAAGTGTATTGTTTATGTTTGGCTCAGCTGGAGGGCGAGTAAGACGGGTTTCTTCGTGCTGTTCTACTGGTGATGGCTGTATAGGGTGATAATTAGGCGTATTGATAATATGAGGTCCAGGTGGAGCGGTACGACGGAAATATTGTCGCTGTTCTGTTCTTCGTGTCTGTACAGGATGGTAGTGAGGTGTGTTAATTATATGTGGTCCAGGTAGAGGGGTACGACGGAAATATAGGTTTTGTTCTAATGGTGGCTGCTCGTGCGCTGGTAAATGAACTATCTGGAACTCTACTACAATTCGGAGCTCCTCTTGTCCCTGTGTCTGTTCCTGTTCCCGTGGCTGTTGTTCCTGCGCCTGTTCCTGTTCCTGTGGCTGCTGTTCCTGCGGTTGCTGTTCCTGCGGTTGTTGTTGCTGTCGCCCTTCTCGACGTCTCCAACCTCGTCCCCTTTCGGCCTGCAGTAGGGATTGTCGACGACTTACTCTAGCCTCAGCTTGTTCCCAAAGCTGTCGTCGTCGTTGTAGTCGTGCCTCTCTCTGGGTCGCTTGTTCAACCCTCCATCTATCGTCTTCAACGTTTTCAACACGCTGGCTTCTACGCGACATTGAATCAAAAAGGAGTAAGGAGTGATGATTGGATTACTCGTGACTAAAGAAGTTTAGTATAACGACTTGAGAAAAAATAACTGATGGATAGTTGGGTAATTGAGATGCTCGCTTTTGATTGCCTTTACATATATATATATATATATATATATTTCACAATGATAATAATTGCGAGCAATTGCTGACGTCGATAATAGCTGTTCATTATGTATGAGAAGCAGTAATAATGAGTACTTTCCTTATATAGCCTCTCTTGCTTTCTCTCATTGTAAATACTGAAAGAACCTAAGTGATTATACAGGCTTGTTTGTTCTTTTTGAAAGTTACATACTGGCCATTTTTTACTTTCTACCGGTATAACATGTTCGCATCGTGCGAATAGTCATTGGTGGGTGCAATTGCACAGTGTCGTATCCCAGCGACGTATATGTTTCCAATAGTGCAAGAGCCAGCTTTCAATTTTCGCACACTAGTGTATTTCTTTTAACTATAATGGGGCCACAGTCGCCACGCTTGTTTCCTGATAATGACAGACTACCTAAAATCTCCTACATTAGTCGGGGCAGTCATCATCAATGGGTAAAGGATAAATTGATCATTGTTTTTATCATTGCTTCTGCATTGCTTCATATTTTGGCAGGCTGCTACAATTTTATCGTTTCGATAATTGCTTTATTTACCGAAACAGCACCAACCTGACGATGAGATATATGTATGGGTGTCATCATTATATGCTAATGATAGCAGATAGTGCATCCCAGATTCATCCTTTCCTTCTTACTAAGCGCACCAACTGCTTATGTTTCTATATAGCAAATATAGCTGAGCTCAAGATGTTGACAACCGTGACAAAGTAAGTCAGAATTACATGATTTTTGCTCCCTACTTAAGCATATCTGATCTTGCAGTAACCCAAATCTAATGCGAGAATGGATCTGCGATGCAGGCACAAACTCGGTAAGCTAGCACTACACAATCTTAGCAGCAAAAATAACGTTTACAGCTCAATCAAATAATGCTAGCGACTCTCCCAACCTTTACAGTGTGTTGATGCTCTCGTCAATGTGGCTCATAGCATATGATCCCGGTCACCGAAAAAAAACAAGATCGATAATGCAAGTACTGATAAAGTGTATACAAAACTTTATGCACCGCATTAAAATCATCTATCGGCGGTGGCGCGTGCACCAATAATCTTCTTAACCTAATCTCGGCAGTAACCCTTTTCTTATCTCCTTTTGCGTCGCAAGTTGTCGACAAATCTAGTCTCGTACATAAACTTGTTAAAGTTTTAGCCATTATGCATTTTTTAAACTGCTTGTCATTGTCATCCATGGTCATTGAAAATTTAAGTCCGGTTGTAAATGTCGTTTACTGGTGCAATTAACCACTATAGATTGGGAAGCAATATTACGAACTGGATTGTTGTCAGCATCACGGTCAGCGACGATAGTAACATGGATCTAGAACAGCCGTGACTTTGGACAAGATACAGTGATTAGTCTTTATGGGAATATTGAGGATGATTGTTGATTGATCAAAGCAGCTTTTGCTCGACTTTGGTAGGATTGTTGTCAAACCAACATGCGATACCTTGATCGTCTATGGATTAAACCCTTTTCAAGTACAACATGACCGTATATTCACCGCTTTCTGCTTGCTATTGTACGGCAGCAATCGTTGTTCTTCTTAGATCGGAGCTCTTGTATCGGTCTAAGCAGTACCCGTTACGAAAATTAAGCTTGGTTTGTTACCAAAGGCAACCAGTAGTATGTAGTTGTATATTAAGAGCCACCATCTAATTTGTCCTGTTTCGCGGTAACTATGCTGGAAATAAAAAAAGCGTCGAGTATATGTTCGTATCACCTTGTCCGTGCCTTTATTTCTTGACATATGCATTCTTTCGTCTCAACAGCAGCTTGCTTATCTTTGCGACGATCAGAAGAAATCTGTGCAAGTCAGTTCAAATCGTCGCTGTGCAACTTAAGGATTACACGATGCTCCGGCAAGCGAGCGTTGAGCTCTTCTCGCAACATTTTTGATCCCGAACCGAATGAGCAGAAAGCGATTTCGTCTAGAAACAAGCAGCAGCAGTTACCAATTGATAAACCTTGGGATGGCGAAGAATCTGTTGCTGATTCTGTATTGCGTATGATTATGGACAAATATAACAAACCGTTACGAGTAGAAGGTGCCGCACGACGACAACTTCCACAGCCCCAGACGTATTCACCGCATGTGCAGGGACTCTATGATACAGCTGACAGCAGCAAAAGTAATGGTAACGGTACTATCAATAATAGCAGCCAAGAAGAGAGCACCCTGAGCTCGGGCGAAAAAGCGATTCTGCGCGACAAAGCTGTGCGTTCTAGACGGCAAAAACGGATTATGAATGCACGTGAAGCTGCACTCGATTATTCCCTTGAAAAGAAATATCCATCCTCCTCACCTACAACAACAACAATGACGACGAAAAAAAACTATGAAAAGGACGACGCAATGAAGAACAACAATGATGAAGAAACGCAGCGGCCACGAAGCATTGCTCAAATCGGTTTGCTTGCCGAGGAAAGGATTCGAGAGGCGCGTGCCCAGGGTCATTTTGACAATTTGGCTGGGCGAGGGAAGCCTATTTCGACCGATATAAACGAAAACAATCCATTCGTGGATCGGACCGAGTATTTTCTGAACCGCATTGTACAGAGGCAAGGCGCTGCACCACCGTGGATTATGATGCAACAGGAAGTGGACACGGAGACTACAATGTTCCGGACAGATCTTGAGCGGTCAATGCGTTTGTACTTGATAGATCAAGAACAGCGCAAGTCGGCAAGTTTGAGGGAGTGGCGGCAGAATAATCAAGAATACTTTGCAAAGTTATTGAAGCGGTTGAATGGTCGCTTAAGAAGTTATAATGTTATGTGCCCTGCGTCAGTGCGCAAATTGCGATTGGATTTAGAGGACGAGTTACAAGAGACGTACCGTAGGCTCAGTAATTAGGTTACTATCTGTAATCATAACGGGAGATAGAGAAACTAAAATGTATGTAGTATTTTATTTAGAATCGCATGTATTAATTTATTCATGACATTAGAACGATACACGAAGTCTCTGCTTCATTAGTGGATGTTTTATCTGCTTGAAAATTTTGCACATGGTAAAGGTCTAATTTCCAAAGGAGTTGTACCTCTATTTGATGTTTTCTTTTGCTACTATGATGTGCCTACAGAAGAGAAGCGCTTCCAAGAAGATGGTTCCGTGCCTGAAATTAATGGTTGATACATTATCGTTCTTTTTTTCGCGAAAAACCGGGTAATGCTGCTGCATTGTCGCATGAGTGAAGTTCACGTGCATATCGTATTTTACCAAATACACATCTAGTACACGTTCATATGAGATCCAGTTGCTGCTGGCTGCATAATGCAATTATACAAACGGTAGCGAATAAGATCCCTGAATAGTAAGCATGGCAATTGCTTACAAAGCAAAGTAAAATGGGGTTGGCTTGCACCCTCCTCTTTGTCAGAACTTCATCCTATACCTACTATTTGCGTATAGATGCATAGATAATACGTATACTCTACTGAGCTACAAAACAAGGTTTTCTTGCTTGTGATACGCGCACAGCTGTAATATACTTCTGACGTCAAAAGAAAAACAAGTTCGATGAGGCCCTTGACTTCCATGTGTAACGAACACGTCGCCTCTTCCTCCTCCCCCTCCGCTCGCGGTGTTGATTTTCACAAAGAATGCCACGTTTTGATAAGGTGATATGATTGGGTGAAATGGCTGAAATGCGCGTTGCTCCGCTTTTGCAAGTCCCCCATCATGCCCAACAAAAATAATTATCCCGGCTGAACAATGCGGGGGAAGGGGGGAAGGGGGAGTTTGGAAAGGATGGATTTACTGTGTTGACAGATGGGAACAACATGCATCTCATCTCCTTCTCTCAGAACACTGGATGGCAGTTAGGCTGATAATAGCACGAATGAGAGATAAGAAGAGATGATCACCACAGGCGTTGATTTTCCAAAAGTCGAGAGCCACTAAAGATGGCACTTTCCGAGCGGGTTCCACGAAAACCTTATTGTGGTTGTCCATCCTACTCATGCTTACATAGTCCCAAGAAGGCAATTACCCCGATACCGTGACGGACGCACCGGAATTTTTACAGCCGGATCGCTGTTATTCCTCCTCCCTCCCCCAACCGAGCTTTGACGAAGACCAGGTAGTTTTGAATCATACAAGGCGCGTGTTTTTTTGTTTATTTATAATTTCAAACAATCAGCGGAAGGGTGCCGATTTAAGAGTATTCCAACAAGTGAATAAGGTGGGGTTGTTATGTGGGCTCGTCAATGTGTGTTTTGGTTATGAACGGGAAAATATACGGTCATGTAAAAGGGTAAAATATTCGCTAAAGAGGAAGAAGATGTGGGTTGGAGATGTGGGATTGTTATTTACAGTTTCTCCTTCAACATATCCTCGAGCTTGCGACCATCCTTGGCAAAGTTGCGGATACCCTCGGACAACTTTTCGGTGGCCATGGCATCCTCGTTCATGTCCCAGCGGAAAGCCTTTTCGTTGGTGAAGTACTCGACCTTGGGGAGCTGCTCAGCCTTGGCCTTCTCGACAGTCAGCTTGGGAGCCAACTGCTTGGTATCCTTCTGCATTTCAGCCAACAAGGCAGGCGAGATGGTGAGGAAGTCGCAGCCAGCCAACTCTTCGATTTCGCCAGTGTTACGGAACGAGGCGCCCATGACAATGGTGTTGTAGCCGTGCTGCTTGTAGTAGTTGTAGATCTTGGTCACCGACAAGACACCGGGGTCTTCGTGGCTCTCGAAGGTCTTGCCAGTCGACTTCTTGTACCAGTCCAAGATACGGCCGACGAAGGGCGAAATCAAGGTGATGCCGGCTTCAGCACAGGCAACAGCCTGGGGGAAACCGAACAACAAGGTCAAGTTGCAGTGGATGCCGTGCTCCTTCTCCAAAACCTATGCACATGCACACGTAAATTGGAGTGTTAACGAATGGACCAGGCAATCCCTTTTCCTCCCACCACACCGTCGAAAAATACATACCGAAGCGGCCTGGATACCTTCCCAGGTCGAGGCAATCTTGATCAAGATACGGTCCTTGCTGACGCTGTCTTCCTCGTACAACTTGATCAAACGAAGAGCCTTGGCAATAGTGGCGTCGGCGTCAAAGCTGAGACGAGCATCGACTTCGGTCCTACATCAAATCTCTTCAGTTTTCTGTTTCCCTCTTTTCTCCAATCGAACTAATCCCGGGAAAAAGAATAATAAGGAAGAGCTACTTACGAGACGCGACCAGGGACAATCTTCAAGATTTCCTTACCAAAGTTAACCAAAAGCTTGTCAACGGCCCATTCGAGCTGCTCCTCGGCGTTACTGTGAATGACCGAAAAATAAAGTTTAGCGCGTTCCTTGGTTTTGAAACTTGTTCTATACGAGATTTTTTTCCTTGTTAAACTCACCCGCCCTTGGCCTTGCCGAAAGCAACGGCCTCCTCAATAAGAGCAGCATACTGGGGCTTCTGGGAAGCAGCCAAAATCAAGGATGGGTTGGTGGTAGCATCCTGGGGCTTGTACTGGGCGATGGCTAGAGTGGGATGGATCATGCAACGTTAGCATATGTCCAAGTCTTTTCTCGTGTTCTTTTTATAATGACGACTTACTCTCAAAGTCACCAGAGTCGGCGACGATGGTGGTGTATTGCTTGATTTGTTCGAGGACAGAAGCCATGGCGTGTTATTTCAAAGAGAGAGAGAAAAGTTATGAATGATGGGAAGAAAAAAGAAAAATGTGCGCGTGGCCTCGACACTTTGCCTTTTTATTTTCCCCGGCGTCCCAGCGAGCTATGAGCCAACAGGCACCGCACCGCACCCACCCAACAAAATAAAGGGCCGCGAAATGTCCGCCATTGGCTGTCCTCTGCATCGATCAAAAGATCATCGCTGATTGGATGATCGCGTTTCTGATAGCGCGCCCACTTTGGGCACCTCTCTCCCTCCTTTCCTTTGCTATGTGGCGAATATCAGTAATAGATGTAATCAAGATGATTGATTGTTTTAATGGCCCATGAGCCGCTGTTGGATAACCTATCATGTGGATAAATTACCATGGTAACATAATAGAACCAATATGTTGCCATGAATTATTTTATCTCCAAGGTGATCAAGGTTAAGGTCTGTCGGAATCAAATCACAGAAATCGGTGACGTATGCTGCGCTTCTCGCTTTCTATGCAGTTCCATTTGCCTGCAAGTATTGTTTATGGTTGGTATATAGTAAATGATGCATAATTTTCTGCTATAACTCGGTTCCTCTTCTGTCTCTGCGTGTGTGTGGGGGGAGGGAGAGAAGAGTGATAAGCCCACCACTCTTTCTCATGCTTATTATGCATAATTTGCTTCCTCTCCCCCACCCACCTTACTTAAACAACGCACGTCATTAGTAGTTGCGCAGCAGCAACTCACCACAAATCCAGAAATGATTGATGATAGCAAAAGAGCAGAAAGTTGAGGTCCTTCCAGAAACATGCCGTAACGAGACATTATATGCTACATTTAACCAGGCCCACATCCGAAATTAGTCATCTGTATTTGATTTTGTGGGCTGCGATTGGACACTGGTGGATAAATTATAGGAGGTCACTCTCAGCACATTTACTCTTTACCCTCCACTTTTATTTCCCCCTCTTTTTCCCTTTGTTTTAATCTTCTTCTACTTGTGCCTTGCATACTTGACAGCTGTGCATACTCCCAGACTAGACCAGATACCCATTTCCCGGTAGAATGACCAATCCAACATCAGCAACAACAGCAACAGCAGCAGCAGTAGAAGTTACCGATATAAGCGACGAGCAGCTACACACATCAGCAGAAGCAGCAATGACAACGACGCCAGCCGATCAGGAACATCAAATGGTTCGTGCTCTAACTGTTGAAGAGCTCGACACAGATCTATACCGGAGCCATGAGCTATGGCATCCTCATGGTTCCCGAGGAGCTTTTGGTGGCCAGGTATTGTATTATTACTATTTTTGTCGTCGTCGTCGTAAGTGCCTCTCACACGTGAGTTTTTAATTGTTTGGTCTCTACATAGCTTGTTGCTCAAGCCCTGAGAGCTGCATGGAATACTGTGCCGGAAGAGTTTCATGTGCATGTAAGATAAATCTGTCAAAACAGTCTTATCGAGAGGATTTTCTCAAGTAGCATATTAAATCTGAACTGGACCCTAAAAACCGCCATCATAATTGTCGCCCGAAAACTACGAAATATAGTCATTACACAATTATTTTCTGGTACCGGGTCGATCCGATATCCCAGCTATCTATCAAGTTCGACGTGTTCGAGACGGCCGATCGTTTGCCACTCGCGTAGTAACATGCACACAGCAAGGCAAAATTGTCATTGTTTGTACCTGCAGCTTTACCAAATTTGACGCCACGAGTGAAACACTTCATCATCAGGTATGTAGTATATTTGATTGATGGCTGATGCCTTTTTCCTCCTCACGTCATTTCAAGTACTTTTATCAAACTCTGATTCTCTGTCTTTTTATATATAATAGACGCCAATGCCAGATAACGTCCCTAGACCGGATGAATTACCAAAGTAAATCTCCCACCCATCCACTAAAAAATATACATTTGAGATGTACGCGTGAAACTGATGACGAGAACCTTTTCTTTTGTCGGTTATTAGCAACAATGAACGGATGAAGATGCTTTTGGAAGATCCCCGCATTCCCGACGATTATCGAGAGCGCTTTAAAAACTTTATGGATGCTGTGACGCCAGTCGAATATCGAGATATCAAGGTGGATTCGGTCGAAGAATTTGCTCGAGGTCGCATAGAGCCAAGCGAACGACAGGTACACATACAAACACCAATGGAAGGTCCGCCTTGGATGAGCGGAAGAAAAAGAGAGGGAGAGGTATTTGATTAAAACATCACACGATATATAAATTTATAGGGACAATGGTTTAAGGTGCGGGATAGACTGCCAGATAACGATGCTGCATTGCATGCATGTACTATTGCATATGCTTCCGACAGCGGGATTTTGATGACAGCAGTGCGCGCAAATGGAATGATGGCCCGGAAAGGCATTGGCATGATGGCAAGTGTAGATCATTCCATGTGGTTCCATGCACCTACTCGAGCAGATGAATGGTAAAGGCTCAACTCAATGTTGACTTTGGGACAAAGTGCTTTTCAGGTACTAATAGTTTGTGACACAATTTATCATATTGTTTAGGCTGTACTATGATCTACATAGCCCGCGCTCCAATGAGGGTCGTGGTACAGCATTTGGTCGCATCTATAATGAACAAGGAGTGCTGGTAGCCACGACGTCGCAAGAGGGTATCATCCGATTGACAAAGGGTGAACAAGAACGGAGGAGAAAGAATCTTAACAAGTTGTAACAACCAGTTAGCAGTTAGCAGTTGGCAGTAGTAGTAGTAGTTTATAGACTGAGACGAAGATGACTTTTGTTTTTCTTGTTGTTATTGCTATATTTTTGTATCTTCACTTACCATCTCATCTTATTATTTACACCTCATGGATATCTTATACGTCCACAGCATCGATACCTGTAAAATACATAGAACGAACATAAATGATGATCTGCCGTAGAGTACATAGACATATTATGAGACTCATTCATTCTGTCGTGAAGTTGTTGCTATCCCTTTTACAGCAGATATTTGTCCATATCAAGCCACTTGTTGGGTATGTAGTGTGTTCCATCACAAAGCTTATACAGGAAGGTCGTGGTATCGCGTTTAATTTAAACCATAGACTAGGCCTGAAAAAGAATCAAACAGCTCTCCCGATATCTATCTGAGGATGAATGCTTCTTCTTTTCCAAAATATTTGGTCATGTTGCACAACACAACTGTAAAGAATCGGGGTTTCTTTTGCCACCAAAAGGTACGACTCTTTTTCATTTCGTGCACGTGGTTTTCTATCTTATTTTCTCGAGCAGCTGCCTGCCAAAAAGAACACTCCCCCCAACCTCCTCTCTCTCTCTCTCTCTTCCAAGTCCTCCCCCACGAATCCAAATTTCCAAGCGCACTTTATTTCGAAAATACAGTACATAATAACCGGAGGAAAGAGAGAGAGAATAAGTGTGTGTGCTCTGATATCTGAATTACACAAAGGCAGACATCAGCCATAAGCAAACCGCTCGCATATTGATTACTCAAGCGAAAATCCTGACCAAGTACTTCAATATATAAGACGCATATATATAAACAAGCCACCCTTTTCATTGTTCCTGTAACAAGCTTATCGGGTTTACTTAAGTCCCCCCTCCCGCCCGCCTTTCTCTCCCTCTCTCACCCACACTCTTACACGCATACTAAACCTCTCTTTTCCTGCCCTTCATCTCTCTTTCTCGTTCCCATAAACTTTTACCCTTTTTCTCCTTTCCATTCATTCGACACAAAACATGTCCAAACCATCGTTTCTGAGAGAATATAAGCTTGTCATGGTCGGCGGAGGAGGTACACATAAACACACACGGGGCACTACTTTTAGACAACTACTTGACTCGGTGAATGTGGAAATGAGCGGCTACATTTCGGGAATCCGCTGAAAGAGCTCATCTTTTCTCTAAATTAACGCAGGTGTCGGCAAATCTGCACTGACCATTCAGTTCATCCAGTCCCAGTTTGTCGACGAATATGACCCGACCATCGAAGGTATATTTCAGAGAAAGAAGACGCATAAAATACTTGTATTAACTCTAGTGACTTACCAACTACTAGACTCATACCGTAAGCAATGTGTCATTGACTCGGAGACAGCTTTGCTTGATGTTCTCGATACTGCAGGCCAGGAAGAATACAGGTACACCCATTCCTTCTGAGATTTATATACATGTATATGCTGATACGGACGCAGAAGAAGTACTTTGTGAAACAATTTCCGCTGACAAATCCCTGTGTGTATACGTTTGTAGTGCAATGCGTGAACAATACATGCGTAACGGTGAAGGATTCTTGCTAGTGTATGCCAGTACGTCGCGACTGTCGTTTGAGGAAATCAGCACGTTCCACCAACAGATCAGTCGAGTGAAAGACCGCGATTCGTTCCCAATGGTATTGGTTGCGAATAAGTGCGATCTGGAACAGGATCGACAGGTTTCGATGCAAGAAGGCCGTGATCTTGCCCGACAATTTGGATGTCAGTTCTTTGAAACATCAGCAAAACAGCGCATCAATGTCGACGAGGCGTTCTATGGCGTCGTCAGGGATATCCGTCGTTTCAACAAGGAACAGGAGTATCAAGGCGGTGGTGGCGGCATGGGCGGTGGCGGCATGCAGAATATGAACATGCATGATCCATCCGAAGCCCAGTCTGACAAGTGCTGTATCCTCATGTAAAAAAAAGAAACATCCATAATTAACAACGACAATATCCACAATATCCGTCCTACGACAACACACGCGACACCAATAACGACAAACAGCAACGACCACAGTACACACGACTTAAATTCCTTAGAGTAGAACCAAAAAAAAAGTTATTCCTCCTCCTCCCTGTCTTGTCCTATCTCACACACACACACACACTCTCTAATATATATCCCCCTCCCACCAACCTTACAAACAAACCTAAACAATTACTATACAAATTCCTCTTGCTTAAACGAATGTTTCTCTGAATATTACATATCTACTACATTTCTTTGTTTCTAGTCGCGATGGCGAATGGCCACATTAATATGGGCTTTTTGAATTGTTATTTAGCTGGGAAGGTATAATAGTAACAATCACGTGCTTACTGCATAGATCCCCCTTTTATTCTCTGCTCTAATGAACATAACTGTTACTGCTGGCAAGATACAATATGTTGTACCGAAAACTCAACAGCGTTGGGTTGTCCTGTGCTTAGTACAGTAATACTTTTTTTTGTCGATCCGCTTCTTATATACTCACGCCGGGAAAAGGTATTCTCGAGGAGTTAACGCGCGGGAGGCGCGCAAAACTGTCTATCATCATCGAGATACATTTTATGTAGCGTAAACACTTACTCGTCCAGTCTTGGATACAATTGCTATATCCAATAGCTACTAACAGGCCATGTGACCCACAGACACATAGTTATCTCTCTCTCTCTTTACCGTTCACACGCGTTCAGTAGTAGTGTCCCAATTTACTTATTTGGTCCTTCCTCGTGGCGGGTCTCGGTAGTACAATTTGCCCTGGCATTAATAAACCTGTGGTTTAGCGTGGGGTCGCAAGGGTTTTTTTTTCTCTATTCCTTATACTTTTTATGCGGGGTGACACAAAGGCGATTGCGATCTATGTGATTGCGTCGCTTGTGTTTGCATCATTAACTACTGTTCTAGCATTATGGCCAACTCATGATTGGAGCAACTTTTATAATGCTCGACCTGTTCGAGGAGAAATGGGCCTTGGCCGGTTTTTAATACGCGGGACTCGCTATGGCGACGGCGGTAAATATATAACTATAGGAGTTGCTTTTTTCTTCTCTTCGACCCCGAAGTGTTTCTAATTAAACGATCACGATAACCAGGTCGATCAACACCTTTTGCATATGCATGGCGTCTCGTGGATTCCACGTCGTTAGGGCGCTTATCAGCTTGGATCGGATATCTTGTGCATCAATTGGGCCAGTGGCTCATATTAGCCAAAGTCCAACAACAGCAAAAGAAGAGCAAGGAGAACTGTGATGGAAGAAAAGATGCTAAAGGTATCAAGTGGTCCAATGATACATTCTATACATGGAATTGGCAAATGGTCTACTTAAATGGTTCAATGATGCTGTACAAACTGCTACAAACACACACCACCTATGATGGACTGGCCGTGGATGTCTCCGAAGGAACTGCTCAAGGAAGCGTCATTGCAGTGCTGGTGGTCGCTTTGCTGTTGGCTATTCCCAGGTAAAGTAAACAGCAGTGCAAAAAGGGATACTCAAAACGGCTTGATTTCTCATACAGTGTATAAAGTCGAGGCATTGCTTTTGGAAAAGGCAAAAAGATCCAGTCTCTCTCGTTTAAAGAAACGCTTGACTTTGTGAAAAAGTACCATGGCTATGTCATGAGTTTCGGTACTGTATATAACTTTCACTATCATCCTGCTGTAAGTTTTCTGCTTAGAAACGAATCTCTGCTGGGTCTTTTAGTGGCGTATTGATGGACCAATGTGGTTGTTAGGAAGGAACGATGGGTCATCTGGGTGGATTCTTCTACCAATGTTTACTTCTTTGGCAATCCGCAAGTTTCTATCACCAAGTACGTCATCTTCTCTATCGTCATAGAGAAGCTTTATTTCTGACAGCTGTTGGAAGCAAAAGATTCAGTAACAAGAGTTATTGTCATTTTCATGAACTTTTGCTGAAATATAGAGCCACCGTAACAAATATTGGGTGTTATTACTCGAGACATGGGTGTTTATCCACGGCACTGTCACGGCTATCATCCAACCAGGAACAAACTGGCAAATATTCTCATACGGTTTCGCCATTGTATTTCTCGTCAATCAAGTGTACGATACACCAATACCGAAACGCTATCCGTGGATAATGGCATCAATGTACACTGTGTTTTCAGTGGCTGTAGCCCTTGGATTTCAAGGAAATCGTGCGTATTACAAAATGACGTTTGTTCCAGTGGCTGAATATCTTTGCCTGTTTGGGTGCATCGGCATTGGAATGATCACGGCTATGCTGGTCAGAAGATGGCATCTAGGCGCTTCGTCCGTCGTTTTTAGAGCAGTTGTTGTGGCATTGGCATATATCGCTGTAGCGGCTGGATTGACCATTGGTCTTGCCCTGGTGCTCGCTGGAAACCTGAAAGTGTATAACGATTACTGAAAAAAATGCTAGTGCCAGTGAAACTAAGTATATGCTGTTGTAACTACATACGCATCTACATTGTAACATATCCTACACCATATATTCACTACTACACTCTCTAAGACCTCCGACACTGTTTTCATATATATAATTCTAAACCAACTTGGTCCACGCTTTAGGGACATCAAACTTTAAATTAATTGTGTGTACAAGAAAAAGGCGATGTGGAGTTTTCAATATGGGCTAATACATTCTCCAGCGACTTACCAAGATAGAGCATGGATCCATGCTAAATGTGTAGTAGGTAGCAGCGAGCGCTTTTTGTATCATAGTCTTCTGTCATCGACAGTAAATAGTTGTAATGTATGCAGTATGATAGTAGCTTCATGTAAAAATTTGCCATTATAATCAAATATCCACGGCTAAGCCTTTTGGCAACATCACCGCAAGCACTGAGTAACCATGCAAACAGGACATGTGTGTGTGTGTGAGAGAGAATAGCGTCATTATCAATATTATCAATGCAGATCTCTTGTCGATCACTTGACAAATGATGCATCATGCTTAACAAAAATGCTTATGTATTATAGTGAGAATGGAAATGGTTGGATAGCGTGCATAGCAACACTGTTATACGAGAAAGAGAAACAGCCAGAGTAAGGAAAAAGGACTGGATATGGTATTGTCGATGTGAGTATATATATATAATATGCGTTGTGAGTTGCTTTGCGGTTATAAATGTTGCGGGAGAGAGGAAGAAGTAAGGTTACTCTTTGGGAATGGCGATGGATGAAAAGACAGCAAATTGAAGATGGTTGGAGGAGCAGAAAGAAGAGGGGATTGCGGGGTAAAGTATACGTAGTACTTAGTAGCAATAGTGGTAGTAGTAGTAGTAGTGTAGTAAGATGGAAGAGGACAAAAGAAAACGGTTGGTATTGTTCAACCTGAGGGTGAGGGCGGGGAGAATGGTTCGATATTTTTCTTTTTACAGGACAAGACATTTCAACTTCTTCTTTTGTTTTTCTCGACTTGGCATCTGGCGGTTGATCTGTCTAACGAGGTCAAAGAACACTTCATCTACATTGATCTTGTACATGGCCGAGGTTTCATAGAACGGCTTCCCACCCCATTCTTGTGACAACATCATGCCCTGTTCTCGCGATACCATCCGTTCTTCTTCCAAATCGCATTTGTTTCCAACCAAGACCATCGGTACCTAGTATTTGCAAGTTATCCAAAAAAATGTAAAGGAAGAGGAAATCAGCTCACCGGGGCCGTAAGTGATAGTAGAAATAGTAGCACTACGTAGTAATAACACAACAATCATACGACTCGACTTTACATTGTCACTATCTTTGACACGCATGATCTGTTCTCGTAATTCTTGCAGATCGGTCAAGGTAACCATGCTCGTGATGGAGAAAACCAAAAGGAAACCCTGGCCACTCTTCATGTACAAATCCCGCATGGCGGTAAACTGTTCTGTGCCAGCAGTATCCAGTATTTCCAACATGCATTGTTGTCCATCCACCTCGACTTGTTTACGATAAGAATCTTCGATTGTTGGATCGTACTTTTCGACAAATATCGATTGAACGAATTGAACCGTCTGCACGTAACAATTTCATAACGTGGTAAATAGTTGTTTAGTTAGCCTTTCTTTATCCTCTCTCTTTTTTCTTTTTCTCTCCCTTCGTTCCGGTTTCTTATTGTTCTCTCCTCTTTTTTTTTTCTTTTGTCTCGTTCGTTTTTGTTCGAATTGATTTATGACTTCGTCCACAAGCCAGTTTAAAATGAACGTTAAAAGAACTTACCAGAGCCGATTTGCCAACACCACCTGATCCCAAGACAACCAATTTGTATTCTCTCATTTGGCCAAGTGGACTCGATTTATCGCAAGTATTATAAAAGAGGGAAAAAGGAACCGTGTAAGGTGTATGTATATGTGAGTGATAGGTTTGGTAGATAGGTAGAGAGAGAGAAGAGAAGAAGAAGAAGTGATTTGAAGTGAAGGAGTTGTATCAGAGAAAACTTTTGGTTGCGTGGTGGATATGCGTGTATGCGAGCGAGTAAGAAAGAGAAGAGAAAGCGAGAGAGAGGAGAGCGAGAAGGACGATTTGCAAGTGTAGGACTTTTTCTGAAAAGACTAAAGAAAAGAAAAAAGGGGACTTGTGTACGAGTTCGAGTTGTTGAAAAGAGTAAAAGAGCAAGAGGAAGACAAACGTTACAAGTCGAAAAGCGAGAGAGAGAGAGAGAGAGAGAGAGAGAGAGAGAGAGCGAGAGAGAGAGAGGAAGGGGTCCAACACGCCCCCAGCACGAAAGAAGTAAAAGAAACACGAGTGCGCAGAATCAGTACTCTGTGTGCGTGTGTATGTACATGTAGTAATGCTGTGCGTGTCGCAAACGGGAAACAGTGGGCGCGTGTAACCGAATGACAAGCGGAGAGAGGGTTGTAAGGGGTGGGGTGGGGGGGGGGGAAAGAGAGGGCTAAAAGGATCTTTCTACCACTGTTTGGGGTTTCAAGAAGAAGGCATATAAGAGCAGCTCCATCACAGCGATGGATGGTGCGAAGGACATTCATCATCATTCTTCATGGTGGAATGTATACGGCTGGTATATCACTTGCTTGTTTTGTATCAAAGCTACAGACTCGTTGCGCCTGTTGTCATTTAACACCGCTACTCCTTTTCACGTACGATCTAATACGCATGAATCATCCAAGATTCGGCAACACTCCGCATACGCGAACAGTATTCGACTTGATGTAATTCTTGGCTACTACTACGCAGTGGTAAGAGCGCATGCTAACTCGCTTCTTTTCTGATGATGAACGGAAAAAAAGGGTGCTGTTGGCAGGTATCAAGGTTTACACATGGGCAGCATATCATACATGTTATGATGAAGCGAATTCCAGGGACGGCCATAATTCGCTATAAACTCCTCGATTTAGTATACAAGATATCAATTATGGACCGAGAATAATGTATACCATTTCTGGATGATGATAGTAGTTGCGCATCGCTGCCTGTCGAAGCACTGATAAGTAAGCATCTACTTTCGAATTGTTTACTACCTCTTTGCACTATTTACCCATTGCTTATGCTGGAGATGAACCCGAGGGCTAACGGGATAGATGTATATTAGGTATTTTCACATTACTTGTATCGATATAACAAAATCAGCATCTGATCTATTCTGTGCGTGTGTAGTATGTTGTATGATATGCTGCAAATGCTAAAACATTTTACTATAGGCACGCGCATCAATAGTCTCCTAGTTATTATACAAGGAGAGGTATCTTGGCCATCATATGAATGTCTTAGGAATAATAATATTGCTGCTGGAGGAAAGCCAGCTAGTGAAATGATATGTATGAAGGTCAACAACGAGGTAAAGCGCATATTACGACATTAGTTAGCAACCGGCGGTTTAGCGTAGTAGTCGTCTCACGCTACTACTCGTGAAAATGACAACAAAAAACTACTGTAATCTGCAATGAGTTCAGTTCATTAAATTTGCTGTTAAAATGGGCATGATGGATTCTCCTCCGTAAAGGTTTTTTTTCTTGTATCGGCTTCTTATGATGTCAGTTCCAGTATAAGATGCTGTACGTATCGCAACAACATATAGCGCATGTTTCACATCTTTGTAGCTTTGTCCCGCAGGGACGCGTATCTCCAATTGTTCATTGAAACCAGGGTATTGCAGAGTCATTACATGCCATATCGTCATCATCATCATCAGAGAGGATAGCATATCAGCAGCGACACTGATACAGCACAACACTTGTAGTGCTGTATATTTATAAGCGGTGCGCTGGTAAATCAAGTAGTCCGTGCTACCATCTATATTAGGAAAGCGAGCAATTGGGTACGTTCCTCTCTTCTGCCGTTGCGCATCTGCAAAGTGTAGCAACAGTAAAAGAAAAAATAGAACTCAAATAGAACTCTTCCATCTTTCATCTCCCCTTCTCCCTCCCCACCTTGAAATTCACATTCAAGCGGAAACCCTTCGCTTTAATTTTTCTGTGTTTCCATTGGGAGATTCTCTTCTCTACTTTCCCTTTAAACCTTTATTATTCCCCTTCACTCATTCTTTTTTTTCCTGCAACAACAATACTATTGACACTACAAAGAAAATAAATCTGTAGAATTCTAATTGTTCCCGGTCGAACACCCTTCTTAAAATATAACGACCTTTTCCCAATTCAGTCACTCGCTCTCTCTCTCTCTCTCTTTCTCTCTCCTACCTTTTGCATAACATACACTTATTATATACACCATGAAGTACACTGCCGTATGCAAGGCGCTATATGACTACAAAGCACAATCCGACGAAGAACTCACTTTTAGTGAAGACAATATCTTGTATATTCTTGACAAAGACGATGACCCAGACTGGTGGAAGGCTCAGTTGAAAACACCTTCACTTGATCAAGTCGGCCCCATTGGTCTCGTACCAGCCAACTATATTGACGAGGTACTATATATATATAACTAGTAGTTAGCCGAAACACCTCGTTGCTTGATATTAATGCCATATCGTAACTATCTAGGCAGAACCTATCGGCACAATTGAAGCCCTCTATGATTATACTGCTCAGCAGGATGAAGAACTGTCATTTAAGGAAAATGATATCATGGTTCTATACGAAAACGATGATCCGGATTGGTTCCTTGCCAAGGAAAAGGGCGGTACCATTGGCTTGGTACCGAGTAACTACATTCAAGAGGTAGACAATAATTAGAAAGAAGGACCGGTGTTGATGGATTGGATGAGAAGATGCGGTACCGCGTTTTCTTTTTAATTTTACTGATAAGAGTTATTAGGTATCCAACAAGGCAGTTACTCGATCGTCAGCACACGACCAACTCGCAGCATCGGCAACAGCTGTAGAAACAGCAGCAGCATCTGATTCACCAAGCCAAGAGGCACAGCAACCGTCAGTTTCCGTCTTTTCTGCCATTTCAGTAAGTATTAAACAAAAGGAAAGTATCATGTAATGAAATTGTTCCTCTAAACACTTTATGCTAGAATTCTCCTTCGATAGCCCCAGCAGAACAGTCTCGCGCAATACCCCATGTAAACGACGAAGCCGTATCATGGCCGGTGCATGAATACGACGTGGATAAGAAAAAAAAGAAAAAAAGTAAGGGCAACTTGCTGATCGGCAACGGCATGCTATGTTATGGCAGTGAAACCGACAAAGCTTCTCCTGTACGTCAATTCGCGATATCGGACGTTGGGAATTCGGCGCACGACGGCAAAAACATACACATTGAGATATCGGACGCAACGAGATCGACGCTTGATTTCCAAGCATCATCCAAATCCGAAGCTAAAGCTATTATCTCAAAAATCGACGAATCAAAGTCTCTTGCTATTTCCTCAGCCAATGCCGCACCTGCAGCCGCTCATCAGACACCAGCACCAGCACCAGCACCGGTAGCAGCTCCTGTCGTGCATGAGCCTGAACCCAAAGCAGAGCCAGCAGAGCCCGCATGTGAACCGCGTTGGTCAATTGCATTATATGATTTTACTGCAGAAGGGCCTGAAGAAATTTCAATCAAAGAAAACGATCAAGTGCTTGCAGTTGATTATGTCAGCAGCGAAGATTGGTGGACGGTCGAGTATCAGGACGGCCGATCGGGTATTGTGCCGGCCACCTACGTGCAGTTCCAGGAAGATTATGAAGCAGAAATGGAACAAAATAACGCTATGCAACGACAGCAGGAGGAGGAACAGGTAGAGCGACAGCGAAGAGAAGCTGAAGCTGCTGCTGCTAGACAACGTCGATTGGAAGAGGAAGAAGCGCGTCGTCGACGAGAACAGGAAGAACGCGCCAGACGCGAAGAGGTTGAACGCCGACGACGACAGGAGGAAGAAGTAAAACGAAAGGAGCAAGAGCGTAAAGCAGCCGCTGCTGCATCGGCCCCATTAGGAGGGGGTGCTTCGCCGCGTCGCAGCCAAATACCAGCTCCACCACCACCCAACAAGCCGCCAGCTGGCAAAGCCATGCCAAGTGCACAAGCTGTCAAGTCGATACCTTTGCCCAACAACCGTTCTTTGCCTGAACGACCCAAACAGGCACAGGATCCAGGAAAGCCAGATCCCATCAAAGTACGCACGTGGACCGATCGTAGCGGCGCATTCAGGGTCGAAGCCCAATTTCTGGGCTGCCACGGTGACAAGATCCGATTGCACAAGCTCAATGGCGTAAAAATTGACGTACCTATCCAGAAAATGTGTATGGAGGATTTGCGCTACATTGAGCAAGAGACAGGCCAACGGCTTTTTGAAGACAGTGGCGACGACATTCCCTTGGCCCATTTCGCAAAGGATGGTCGTAGCAGCAACAGCGGCAAGCAAAACTGGAGCTGGTACGACTACTTTATGCGAGCCAATATTCCCATGAACAACAGTCTGCGCTATGCGTCCACGTTTCAAGCGGAGGGACTGGGTAAAGGTGATCTGGAGAATTTGACGCACCGCAAGATGAAGTCGCTCGGCATGTCTGAATCGCATGTACAGCGCTTGCAGCGTTTCATTGAAACAAATGTCCCGGAACCAGCTTCGGACGAAGAGTCAATGTCACACCCACCACTTCAGCAGCAGCAGCAGCAGTTTAAAAAGAAGGGCAAAAAGTCGGTAAGCTTTGGTGCGACAAGTGTTATTGACGACAGTGAGGACGAGTCGACAGCTTGGGCAGAAGCTGTAGCAGCATCGCGTAACGCACAGTCGCAGATCGAGGAAGACGAACGACTCGCACGGCAGCTTCAGGAACAGTTCAACTCGCAGCAAGAATCACCAGTGCTAAATCGTGGAGGCAACAGTGGCGGCTTGCAGCGACGAGGAACTGGAAGACCTACGCCCAGTAATGTGGCACCTCGAGGAGTGAACACAGCAATGATGGACAAGATCAAGACTCAACTGAGCTCGACACCATTGCAGCCTACACCAGCCGCTAGCTCTTCTACTCCTCCTGCAACACAAGCACCACCCGCAACACCGCCTAGAGACCCGGTTGTATCGATTCCTCCAGTGAATGGCCCTATTGCTACTCAATCGACTGGTTTTGCTGATGATGCCTGGGCTCCGCGCGCCACTTCTTCGCCAAACAAGTCTTCTGCTGTGGTCAATACATCGATTGCTCCACCACCTGTAGGTGATGCCATGGCACAGACTAAAGCAGCATGGTCTGCTCCACCACCACCACCTCCTCCTCCAGCTCCTCCAGCTCCTGCAATGCAACAACAACAACAACAACAACAACAGCCCATGATGGCTCAAAACCATGTCCCTGCTCCTCCTCCATCACAACCACCAGTCCCTCTTCCTCCGCGACAGCGTCCAACACCACCAACACCTCAGCAGAATAACAAAGTGGATGTGCAGATGCTTTCACAATGGACTAGCCCTGCTGGCGGTAATCATCAGCAACAACAACAGCCCCCTGTTCAGTCTCAACCTTCGCATGTTCAGCAAATGGCGATGCAGTTTGGTAACCAACAACAGCAGCATCCACAACAGCAAGCACCACCCCCGCCCCCGCGATCACCCATGAACCAATTTGTATCGCAGGCTGCGCCCCCGCCACCTCCTGCACAGTCGCAATTTATGCAGACACCGGCACAACAGAACCCTGCGTTTGCTGCACATTCCCCTGTGCAGCAGAATCAATTCATCCCACAGCAGGCACCGCAGCAGCAGCAGCAAGCTCCAATGATGATGCACCAGCAACAGCAGCCAAATATGCTGACCAACGTGCCCATCAATGCTGCTTTGCCGCAACCATTGGTCCCAACAGCCACTGGCATGTCCAATCAGTCATCTCAGAGTGGCGAAGGAAGAACGTGGGCCAATGCCAGTAAGTAACTCGATCTGTCCCTTATTTTCAGCAATTTCTCTCATTGTTACTAATCGATACGGTGATAGCTCCGGATAATCCATTTGGAGGAGCTCAAGGTCAGCGTCCTGGTGTACAGACACAAGGCTCGTTCTCTATGGGATCCTCGTCTTCGTCGTTGCAGCCATCACAAGTGTTTGCTCAGATGACAGGGCAGCCAGCAGGCTACCAAATATCACAACCTACAGGCTTTAACCAGCAACCAATGAACATGCAGAATCAAGGTAGGTGTTGTTTCATGGCTTAATAAGGCTGCCATCCACACTCTAAAACTTTCGTCATCGTTCTTAAACAGTTGATCCCAATGACAAGTATTCCGTGTTCAAGAGCATGAACACTAGCAGCCCTAGTGTGTTTTCCCAAGGTCAACCGCAACGTAAGCTCAAATAGAAAGGTGCATCGATTGGGGAATCACCGGTCACTCACATGTATTTTTATTTCAAAATAACAATCAGTAGCTGGCATCACGCCCTTCCAACAGCAACAACCTACCGGATATGCTCAAATGCAGGGACAGCCTGCGTTTGGCGCCCAAAATGGATTTGGTACGGCTGGACAACAGCCACAACAGCAACAGTTCTATAACCGGTGGTGAAGACCATCATCCTTTAATTTTTTCCCCCGAAAGCATTTCATTTACAAAAATTACGATTTCGTGTACATTTCCTCCTCTTCCTCTATCAACCTTTTTGTAAGTGTGTGCGTGTGCATAGTTGTTTGTGTATCACCTCTTCTCCCTTCGCTCTCATAGACTTATTCACCTTGCCTCTCATATGTGTTCCCTCATCACACACCACACTTTTCAAGAAACACTCCATCCTCTTGTTGAATTTGCTGGAGTTGGCCCCCACAAAATAATCATAAAACAAACGATCACAAGTCATTTTTCTGACAAGATACACACCACTCATACACCCGAATATGCTTACATCGAAGATGAGCAACGGGTGTTGCTCACGTATCTAACATATGAATCGATTGACTTACACATATTCACTGACACATGTATAAAGTGCCAAGCTGCACAGTAAGCAAGAAGAATTCGTGAGACGTTAACCAGGTTTAGATGTGTTTTTTAAAGATACGATGTGTGCATATGTGAGGATGGATCCCCATAGCAACCAATTGACCGCTGGGCTACAGGCAACTTTGATATCCCGAGCAACCAGCACCATTCTTCTTTTTCTGCCCCCGATCGATCGTGCGATACAACAACCGTAAGCACATGCCAGAAAGAAATCACTTCAATTCTCCTCCTTCGCAATACTCATGATCGATTTCAGTGTTAGAGAGCAAAGAAAAGCAAAACAAAATGGCAACAAAGCAATTGCATAACGGAGACACGATTCCAGTCCTTGGACGTAAAGTATAAACTCAAACGCGAAAAAAATATGGTTAAGCTAAAAGTCTATGCAACCATTCGTATATAGTGGGAACCTATCGAGTGAAAACAGAAGATGTATTAAAGCCGGTTGTGCATCAAGCTATTCAAAACGGATATCGATTAATAGGTTTGTTTTTTTTGTTTTCTCTGTTTCTGGTTTACTACACAAAGCTCACTGTAATTGCGCATGATACTGTATCGTGATACGAAAAAAAGATTCTGCAACAGTTTATCGGAACGAAGAAGTCTTAGGGAGAATATTAAAGGAGGTGTTTGATGATCCATCGTTTGGTGTTCAGCGACAAGACATGTTTATCACTTCAAAGTTATGTAAGTAACTTGGAAAATCGAGGATCCAGGATTGTTATTGCTGCCAGTAGATAAAGTTTGAAGATGGGATAGTGACCAAGTTTCAATGTTTAAATTAGCACCTCAAAACCAAGGGTACGATGCTTGTTATAAAGGTAGGATCCATCCATTTGATAGCGTCGATATAATTATCTCACATGAATAGTTTTTGAACAGCTGTCACTGAATCTCTGGAACGGTTTGGTCTCGAGTATTTTGATCTTTACTTGATCCATTGGCCAGGGTAGGTAAACTTTTGGAGATATCATTTAAACTTTTTTAAAAAAAAACGCGAGACTAACTTCTATATCTGAATGCGTAAAATTTAAACGTAGTACTGCCAAAAAGAAATTAAGTGATCCAATCAATCAAGAAAACCGCATGGGAAGTTATCGCGCGCTTGAAACTCTCCACCGGGAAGGCAAAGTACGACATATCGGTATATCCAATTATACAGCTCGACACCTACAACACTTGCTTGACCACTGTGAAATCGTGCCTCATGTCCACCAATTTGAACTACATCCACGGCTCGTACAACAAGATATCTTAGATCTCTGTGACAAACATCACATTCAAGTCCAAGCTTATTCAAGCTTGGGCGAGGGCAAACTGCTGACAGATGAGGATGTGCTGGATATCGTTAAAGACCGAAATGTTGCACAGGTGTTACTGAGATGGGCAGTCCAGCATGGTTGGATCGTAATACCAAAGTCAAGCAATCCTGATCGCGTCTCGTCGAATGCCAAAGTACTTTCCCTGGAACTCTCGGATGAGGTGAGGGCTGTTTATATGCAAGATTTGTGGCTTTAGCTAAATAGGTTGTTATGTGATAGGATATGAAAAAACTTGATGCAGTTCATCAAGCAGAAACTCAACGCTTTTGCTGGGATCCATCCGATATCATTTAAAAATGTGCATCTCTTTCAAACTAACCGCGCTATTTTAAGTTTAAAACAATAGAAGCACAGAACAAGAAGATGTGATTTTATTTGTAATAAAAAAGTATGGAAGAAGATGTAAAAGAGAAAAACGTAATATATACGGGTTTATATACAGGAAGTGATATAAGCGTGAGAGAAGGGATATTGTTTCGTGTCGTAGTAGAGTAGGTGCACAGAGGATTGTTTATGACGAATGTTACGGTGTGTGTTTTATCCTGATGACGAACCACGGAACAAGTACAATAGCTCGTCAAGACCAAGTCTGCCAAGTTTCTCAGCTCCTCCTTCTCCTAAAGCACCATCCGCCAATGCCTATGAATTTTTTTATCACAATGGTTAATACATGATCCGTTAAAATCTAGATAACTCTTGTTATTCGATCTACACACCTGCTTCTTCTTTTGGAGTTCTAAAATGCGGTCTTCGACCGTATCATTGATAAATATACGATGTACTTCAACATTTTTTCTCTGTCCAATTCGATGCACTCGATCGATTGCCTGGTTTTCAAGTGCCGGATTCCACCAAACATCCATGAGCTAAAAGAGACAAGAATCTTCCATTTAGTAACATGTATCTTTCACAATACGGACGATAAAATGTTGGTTTTAAACCACTTACGATAACTCGATTAGCGCACGTAAGCTATGATGATAGAAGAAAAAAGCATTTGGTTAGTTTATGACATTCGGTACTTTTTCAAAACACAAAACGTCTTACATTTAAACCAAGCGAGCCACATTTCGTCGAGACCAGAAGGACGGTGTATCTTGGATCATTGAAAAACGTTTGCAGAACCTCATCGCGCTTAGCTACAGTCATAGAGCCGTCGAAGCGAACATACTTGAACTCGTTCTCCCTGAGAGGAGTTTCCATGATATCCAAGAATGCTGTGAACTGAGAGAACACGATAGTCTTGTCTCCGTTTTTGGTTTGGCGTCGGGTTTCATGTAAAATCTCGAGCATCTTGTCAATCTTTGAGCTCGAAGGCAAATCCTCAGCCCGTGTATTTATTTCCTTCTCCTCCTCGTTTCGTGCTTCCTTGTTTCCAATAAACTCATCGTATAAATCGGGAGCGTGCATCTTCAGGAACACTTCTATAGTGACCACTTTGTCACCGACAAGTTGACCACGACATTGTGGGCAGCGCTTTTCCGATTCTCCTCGCTCCGAGTTCAAGTAATCTATTATGATATTAGTTTAAGTTTTTCCAAATCTCTTCTGCATTTTCTTTAAACAAGGTTTATGATACATACTACCCAAACATTCTCGACACAGCATATGTCCACATCCAGGGATGATCTGAGCATGATCTGCCATATCCATACAGATAGGACACTATATGAAACAGAAAAATTCGGTTTAGTATAGAATATGAACGATATTAAGAACGGATCCATCAACCAACATACCTCGATTTGGCTGAAGTCAGTATCATCGTGGAGTAAACGGTTAACAACAGTTTTATCCATAGAAGCCGCAAGATCCTCCTGAGCATCAACGTCTACATCTTCTTCTTCTGATGATCTATCGAGCATTGTGAGCCTCGGATGAAGGCATGCTTGACGCAGTCTAAGCAGAAGCACCAGGACCTAGATATAACAATTTGGAGTTACCGATAAATTGTGGTTACTTGTAGCAACTTGATACACAAATCATTGGAGAGAAGAAAAAACTTACCGAAGAATAGTTCTTCATAACAGTACCAGCTTTCATATATCTGTTGAATTGAGCCTGGGATTTCTGGTTGACGAAATCATAGAAGGCGCGTTCATCAGGAGTGAAATTGATGTGGGTGAAGTGAACGTTTCGTTCAGGCAAGTTCAAGATCGGTCGACCATCGATCTTGGCCTTTTTTGATCGACGAAGAGCAATAGCCTTGAGCAATGCTTGTACTCTTTTGAGTGCCTTTTTTTAACAAGAAAACGTTAATAACTTTTCATAAAATGATACTTGATAGAGTTGAAATACTTACAAATTTCTGATCGCCATTATTGAGTGGTTTCTTGATTTCGTCTCTGAACTCTTTCCACTCACAGTAAGGGCGAATACGCAAGAACTTGATTAAAGAGTATCTAGAAATTGAAAAACGCCTGTTATCAGAAAAGATACATTCATTGCTATGATCGACATAAATGACCATCACCTTCCCATCGCCACAACACCCCCCGCCCACTTCACACACGAAGAAACTTACAATTCCTCAACACGATTTTGGATCGGTGTAGCGGTCATACACCAACGATATTCGGTTTCCAATCTGCAGCATGCCACTGCCATGATGGTTCGATAGTTCTTAATCGTATGGGCCTCGTCCAGGATGACCCGATGATACTTAAGACGACCCAAAGGTCCACGTCTATCCTCCTCTTCGACGCACTCGTTACCGACAATTGTGTAAGCCGTGACAATAACATCATAGTCTGCAATTTCGGTCTCATCAGCTGATCTTTGCGGGCCATGATGAACATATACTTTCAGCGGTGGATTGGTTTTGGTGACGAGTTCACGTTCCCATTGAGCCACTAACGACACAGGACAAACAACGAGCGTCGCTTTCGTCTTGATGAGTTCTTGATTAGCTCGACGTTTGCCTCGGCGCATCATGGGAAGGTGTCTGAGTGGTGTAGCATCGGTACACGGGCGAGCAGCGATGAGTGCCATAGCTTGTATAGTCTTGAAAATATATGATCAGGTTAGCTTGTTTGTAACCTAAAGTAAGGCACTTCAAGTACAAATCTACTATCACAACAAACCTTTCCAAGACCCATGTCATCACACAACATACCACCTTTGTTCGACGATTCCTCGTTGCGCTTAAGCCATTGTAGACCCACTTTCTGATGCTCCATAAGAGTGACTCGTAGACGATCAGGGGTATTACCACGATCCTGCGGTGTAGATGTATCTTCATACTGGATGTTTTGCAACAGTTCCTTGAGTTCTTTTTCGGTTTCTTCAGGATTTAATTGCTTTGCAAACTGGTTGAACGGTACATTGTAGCGTTCATCAAAGTGAGGATTCGAGGAACTGCCAGCCTTGCCGAAAGGCAAACGGCGACCTCCAGAGTTCAACATGAAGTTCCCGCCAAAGTATCGACTGCCAAGACTGTCGAACGTGTAGAGTGGACCTTCATCCTCATCATAACCATATAGATCCTCTTCAGATTCATAATCGAGGTGGGGATCTGTGTGCCACGAATGAGGCTGGTACAGCAATGGTTGCGCTGGCGGTGGCACTGGTGCACGTGAGCTCGATGGTATACTGGAGGATGATGATGATGATGGATAAGAAGCCACTGGTGGCTGAACAATGTCAGGAATTTCAGTCAAATCTACTAGATTATTATCTTCGGTATCGCTTAGGTCGATGACCTGTCGAGTTACTGGTGGACGTGCTCCTGTTGCTGATGATGTCGAGCTACTGGATGGAAGTTCTTCTACTCTGGGTCTTTTTGCTACATGTCGTCCAGCTGCCACTTGATGTGGGTGCTGCGGATGTTGGCGAGTCAAGTTTACAGCTGCCATATTTTGCATCAACGTGGAAGGAAGTTCACGGTTGACCGGTGACTGGTGTTGGTGCTGCTGTGGTGGCGGCGGCAGCAGCGGTGAAGGTGCAACATGAGAGACTGGAATATTGGAGATATTTCGCACAGGCTGCTGTTGCTGTGGTGGTAGTGGTGATATTCGTGAAGACGAGGACGATGGAGTTGTTGGAGTTGTTTGTTGCGTGGATCGAATGTCGTCATTGTACTGTCGTTGCATTTGTTCTGCCAACTCTCTATCTAGTCGATCTTGTTCGGTTCTTCTTTCCAATTGCCGTTGTGACCGGATCTCTTCCAAATCAATACCCAGCTGTTCAAGCATTTCTTCAGACAGGCCTGTTTCTTGAAAGAACTGCAGAACATCGGCATCCGCTCCGTTAGAGCGAATGCTGTTGCTGTTATTGGAAGGCGTTGGAGTTCGCGTCGAAGAGCTAGAAATTTCAGTCCTGCTACCACTGCTGCCATTGCCACTGCTTTGACCATTTCCGTTACTGTCGGTGTCATTTGTAAGATCAAAGGCTTCTCCGTCGTCAGTTTCACTGTCACTGTCGCTCGGCAAGGGAATCGAAGAAGGGTGGTTGTCCATTTCGCTGTTCGGCCGTTTTCGCGATGTGCTATTGCTGTCAGTTGATCGCTGTTCACCCGTAGGACTGTTGGTCGTAATCATGTATTGAAAATGAAGGCGAGTTTGAAGAAGCAGAGAGAAAGAATGGAGTTTCAGGGAGAAGAAATACGAAAACCGCGCCGCACTTCTATACGCGCGCTGGTCACATTTGCAGGCACCACATGACCAATCAAATTTCTATGGTTTTTTATGCTTCCACCCCATGAGATATAGTTTGACAGCATTATGAGCTACCTGGCATACAGTCTATCTATACAATTTTTACTACAGGCTTTGGAGCCTTTTTGTATTATACTTCGCATTCAATAAAGTACCCCCTTAAAGTAACTCAAAAATCAACAGGTGAGTAACCTATTACGTGTATTAGGATTGCTGACGTCTCGTAATCACGATAGAGGCTGCGCAATTATTTAATGATATACTCAGCGTCCATCATCAAGCGCAAGAATACTGTGAGAGGATGTCTTTATTACTTTCATCTAAGCCGTTCCTATGTATTGACATAGATTGGTTATGTTTTACTTGCGGTTGAGAAAGTTTCACATAACGCTCCATAAGCGAAAGAAACCCGCAGCCCTTACATAACAAACATTGCTTACTATATCAGGGACAGCGAAGAAGTACCTATGAGACCTGCAACTATTGCCACTATCCACTATCGCAAAAAGTAAAAGACTGTCGCATAAAGATGGACATAAGAACATCGTGTGGCAAAGTAAAGCATACATAGAAACTTACTTCTTCATAATGTAAGACATACTCTGCTCCTCTTGTTACTAGCACCTTTGCCTCTTCTGCTGTTGCTGTTGCTGCTGATGAATACGTCTGGTACAAATGATTAACCCGAAACCTGTCGCTCGCTGCGCTCATTGTTCTAGTGCTAAACTCCCCACTTACACTACGTGTACACCCGGGAGCATTAGCGTAAGAAGGACATTGTGCTGGAAAAGCAAAGGCTGTCGATTATGGGGAAAAGCACATAGAGTCATGGCATGAGCAGAAATTGAGAAAGCGTAAGAGGCATAAGTAGTCGTAGCAATAACATGGAAGATAAAAGGGGGAATTGAGGGGAACAAAAGGCTGTACGTAAGTTCGGGGTTGTTGCCTCTCGTCGTTGGCACGATACAGCAACAGAATGTTTGCCTGTTGTGCTCTTGCTACACCCACTACAGTGTTCGTATGTTATCAATGAAGTGTTGGTTTTTCCTTTCATTCGCGGGACGTTTTCTCCTGTGGACCCTCCCTGAACGCTTGGCGAAACCCTAAATCACTCGCTTCGCTCGTTTACCATGGATCGCGAGTGCGTTTTCTGATTGAAGTATAAGATAGGGTGTTTCAATGTCTATTATGCGTGATGAGAACATGTGGAAAAAAAGGTGGTGTAGCAGCAGTTTCCTTCATTGTATTCAAAGCGGTGGTCGAGCTCTTACGAGCTTTTGTCACCTGTTCATCAATAGATAATGAAGTACGTACTGTATTGCATATTGTTTCTGATTTCCATGTTCGTAGTCGCCTACATGTTCTCCTTACCGCTAGCACGGCACTTTACTTTGCATGTCAGATATCGCCGTTAATTGCTTTCGAAAGAGGCAAACGACAGGCAACCCCACCCAATATTAGTCTTCAGTTTCTAATGATTTCTCACGCATTATAATAATGCTTTCTTTAAAGTGAGAAGAGGGGGCTTAACGTCGTCATCTATATATCGAATACTGGCTGATCTTAATACCTGTCATAAAGACTTGGCATATTCTCGCTATTATGAACCTTATTCATAGTGCTGAATTCGCTAAAGTAAACAGCGGCACAGTGCAAAGGGAATGTGCTGCAAGTAGATATTATAAAAGGGCCTTTTCGAGTTTGCTATGAGTAATTATAAGGAACAACATCGCGTATCATTGTTGTTTACAAGGGACTGTACGTCTTATCCCACTTTTCCAGACACCAATAGCATTATGCAGTCTGTTTTAATTGTATATTGTTCCACTATCATGCTCTGCCTCACTGTTGCTGTGCGAGTTTTTGAGGTAACCAGAAATCATGTGAAGGTCAGAGAGCACTGGGAAATATATTGGTTGCCGCCGTTTAGGATTCTTAACAACATAATAAGTGGACTAAGATCATTAATAACAGTAAGATCGAGAAAACAGCTACCGAACGTCAATATATATTTAATGCATGGGATACTTACTCATTGGATCCTATATCCTTGTACTTGTTAGCGTCGAGAAGCTATCTCGCTCTGGCAAAAGACCTGTACTAGTACACATGTTTGACAGTAACGTTGGAAACCGCAGAACCATGAATTAGAGAAAGAGGAAGTTTAAGATGGTAGTACAATGCACTTCCCCAAAAGAGGCGATGTATTTTCATTGGTAACGAATCAGATTGCCTAACGCCGACTGCGGCATTGATGGTACCGGCGACTGAAAAGTTTGAACCAGGAACGAAGGTGTTGCAAATCGAAAAGGAAGTGGTGGTGGGTGGTCTGGCTCTTGTGGTGGTGTCTGTTAAGTTAACAGTCAAAAGCTTAAACCATAGTGGTGTAATGAAGTTTTCGATTACTGTGACTCATTTGCAATCTTGATTTCACAATGCTGAATAATTAAGAAAGAAGCAAGTGTGGTACTTTGTGGTGTTGTGCCAAATGAAAAAAGAGAGGGCAACTCTGTTCCGGAACAGATGTATGTGCTGCTTGCTGAGCCTCCGTAGGAAAAATGGAAAGCTAATTATTATACGAGGGCGAGAGATCACAAAAATAGCAAACAGATGATATATAAAATCTGAACAATGGTTGTTAAAATTGTCCCACGGCTATGCCGGAACGGGGAATCAGCCAACACTCTTCTAAGAAACCTGGAGAGCAAAGACAATACTCTCGTCAAGGAAAGAGTGGAGTATACAAAACAGCCTCAAATGGAATAATATGTCCCTCACTCATATTGCGATGGGTTGAGCCGTACAGCAGATAGGAAAGAGTGGGGGGGGTGGCACAAGAAAGTATAATACGGGGCGCCTCCTTTCTGTCATATATTCAATCTATCGGATCAATTGTACCTAGCGCTATGTAACCTTAGCCATCCAACGGCTCAAACGAAACACAAACAAAATAAGCGTCAACGTGATGGCAGCAAAAGGAAATGCGACAGTTACCTAAACAGTGCACCCTGGGAAATCTAAAAAATTTCAAAGTAATCATCATTTTGCTTCAGCTTGCAGGACTTTTGGGAATTCTCAGTGGTCCCAACTTGGCTTCTTCGTACCCCACTGCTAATTGCAGCTGTGTTCCCAAACGAGCAAACTGTCATTGCACCCCATATTCCGAATGACAAAACTAAAACGTGAAAGCATACAACTATTCACACTACGCAAGACCATCAAGAAGTATATATAACCGCCTTTGAAAAGAGAAGCCCTAGACTCAAGCTGCTACTACTGTCTATTTGCTTCTCCTCCTCACCGCCTTTCTTTTCCCTGTCGTCCTTCTTCCTTCCCTTTACTCCTTCTATCGCACCATCTACAGCAGTATGTCCGACGAAAAAGACATTTCCTACGAGGAAGACGTCAAAAAGACGACAATAACGACAACTTCTACATCTGACGAGGTGCAAGTGGAAACCGAAACAACTGAAAAGTCTGAGGAAGAAAAAGAGTATCTGCGCAAGCTCAATTGGATTGTATTGCCTTTCGCTGGCATGACCATCTTTTTGAACGTAAGTTTATTTTTTCCATCTAATCACTAGTAGCGGTCATTGTGAGCTACCCAACTCTGAGAGGTTTTTTTTTTCTTTTCTGACCATGCTGATTTTTCCCAGTTCTGCGACAAATCCGCACTGAGTGTGGGCCCGGTTTTGGGATTGAATGCCGACTTGGGCTTAACAGGTCAGGAATTCAGCTTGCTTGGAAGTTTATTTTATTTGGGTCATTTGGTTTATCAGGTAACGTATACACGGCCAGCTTGCTTTGTCAGCAGATCAATCATAGACACTAACTAGTCTCTCCTTCTCTATTGAACGGCAACAACAACAATAGCTTCCTAACCAATTCATGTTGCAACGAGTGCCTCATGCAAGATATCTGGGTGTGCTGCTCTGTATTTGGGGCTTGGTACGTCCTTACACTGTCGAAAAGAAAGAAGTCTTGGACGAAAGCAGAAAAAACTCTAACATGAGATGACAATCAAACTTTAAAATCCAAAACAGGTAATGACGTTGACTGCATTGACACAGAACTTTGCACAAATGGCAGCGTGTCGATTCTTGTTGGGTTTGTTTGAAGCGGCTGCCATGCCAACCTTGTATTTGGTCACGTCAATCCTGTATCGTCGCTCGGAACAAACTCTTGTCTTTGGTTTTATCACTCTTTGTAACGGTGTGGGTGCTGCTGTCGGCTCAGCGATAGCATACGGTATTGCACACATGGGACATCCGAATGGAATTCAAAACTGGCGATGGTAAGTAGAGGAGGCACTTTGTACTACTATTAGAGCGGATAAGAGGAAAAAGAACATATCACATAGACACTATAGCAATTAATATATATTCCTATGTCTGACATATAGGAACCATTACATCTTTGGTGCACTTACCATTCTTCATGGCTTTATTGTCTATTTCTTTATGGTCGATACACCCAAGCACAAGAAACTCAAGTTGACACCTGCCGAGGAACGTATCGCTGATGCTCGTATGAAGGACAATGCCGTGACACAGCACAGAGAGTTCAAGTACGCTCAGATCTGGGAATGTCTTAAGGAAGCGCGCTGGTATCTCTTGGTGATCGCAGCCTTTTGTATCAGTATGCAGAATGGTGGAATGCTTGTGTACAGCACAACCTTCACCATGGCTCTTGGCTTCTCTCCCCTTGATTCCATGCTTCTTCAAATTCCTAGCGGTTTTGCATCCTCTCTTGGTGTCCTTGCAGCCATGCTCATCGCCAGAAAGACTGGCCAGCTTCTTTACACCGGTATTGGTCTGCTCATTATTGGTATGATCGGTCTTGTTCTCCTCTGTGCCATCCCCGAGGGTGAAGTCAAGTTACTCGGCTTTTATTTGAGTTGGGCAGGCACGGGTGCCTACTCACTCTTGCTGACATATGTTGGCAACAATGCCAAGGGCTATACCAAAAAGATCTTTTACAATGGCTGCATTGTAGCTGCCTACACACGTATGTTGTTTAGACTCTGGTTTTTGACTGATTTTGCGGGGGGATGGTTTACAGTCCCAACTAAATTATCTCGGCTTTACTATGTATATGTGAAACACTAGTTGGTAACTTTGCAGGTCCATTGATGATGGTTGAGCACGAGGTTTGTATCGCTTTTTTATTAACAACGCAACTTAGCTATATCTTTTTCGATATGCTGTCTGAACGATTCTCTCTGGTTACTTTTTGTGAATAGGCACCTCGCTATTTGAGCGGTGTTGGCGGTTACCTTGCTGGTTTTGGTGTCGCCGCTATTGCCTTTTTGATTGTCCGTATCCAGGCCGCAAGAACTAACAAGAAACGTATTGCAAACGGCGCCGTAGGTGACGTGAATCTTGCCCTTGATCTTACTGACCAGGAGGATGAGCAATTCTTGTACGTACACTCATTATATACACTATCTACAAAGGAAGGAAAGGAAACAGGGACATGAGCCATATATGAGTACTGACATCTGGTTTATTTTTTACCATAGGTACCGCGTCTAAGGGTCTATAAATCCTGTGTCTATGACATTACTTTTACACCCTCTTTTTTTCGACAATTTATGCACTTATACATATATATAAAAAACAATCACTTAGTAATAGCTTATAATAATGTTGTAGTAGTAGTAGTAGTAGTATTCTCATGCGCTCTGGGTAGCATTGATTTCCATTAATAAAAATATCAAATACGGATTAGCTTCTATACTACCTTGAATCACATCTGGTTGGTGTTATGTAACTCATAAAACAATAGTGTTGCTTGAGGAAGGCTATAAATGTAGAAAAAATAAGTTTATGCATTCCAAAACAGCAACATACTACACAACATAGGAACTATTGAGCAAGCGCTATTATGTATATAGCATATATATAGCATTGAAATGAGCATCCAAGTTTGAAACAGGAGATAAGGATTTTAGTATTGCAGTGTAAATAAATACTATAGAAGAATACACATATTATTTTTTGCTTTGGCGATAACATATAATATAGAAGATTAATATGAACGAAATAAGAATCTTGCGGGTGTTTCTTTTTGGAAAACAAGGTAACGAATGTATGTGAAAAAGTTGAGAAGGAACGACCATGAAAGAGCAAAGTAAGGACAAGGAAAAGAGTATACATGTTATCACAGACATCCTTCATCATGTTTCCTCCAATGACGGGTTGCTGCTGTTGTGAGAAAGGGAATGCGGCAGTGGTGGAGGCGGTAACGATGGCGCTGTTGGGGAATGGTGGTGGTCATGGTGATATGAATGGTAGGGATGGTGCTGCTGCTGGTGGCCACCTCCCACTGAGGTTTCTTTTCGGACCTGCTGTGTCTGCGTGCTTTCGTCTCCTGACGAAACAGCCGAGGAGCGATCATCATCCTCATGCAATGTTGTTTTTGCTACTACTGCTATTTTAGGCTCCTCTTTCGATTTCTTTCGATTGTCCCCGAGGAATTCGTCGGATTTCCGTTGCTGTTGCTTCTGCTGCTTTTCTGTTTGTTTTTCTTGTTCGTCGGTTGTTTCATGTTGATGACGATGATGGTGATGGTGATGATATGAAGATGGTGACTGTACTAGTTGTGATTGGCTTTGTTTTTCTTCTTCTTGCTGCAATTGTGATTGCTGATGCTGGTGTTGCGACCATGAATCTTCATCTTCTTGTGGGATCGGCGTTGCTGCACCTGAAGAAAACAAGCCATAGTCGTCAGCATCAAAAGCTGTGATGGGTGTTTGAGGTGGATAATCGATCAGAGATACCGGCGGAAGTACGGTGAAAATCTCGGTTGATTCATCGGCTGTTGAAGAATAGGCGCAAAAGGGGTCCGGGTTTTGATGCATCATCTTGAAGAATTTAATAAATTATAGTTGATGTTTTTTAGAGTTTGCTTCTCTTGGTCCAGTCCCAAGTTGTTTAACAGGGAGGGTAGCATCATCGCTACCCATGATGAATGCGGTGATATACGACTCAAAAATGCAAATAATAAACATGAACGCTTACCTGTTCTAGCATCGGATCGGCAAGCCCTTTATTTGAGATACGTTCGTAGATATCTACTTGGGCACGCACAACAGTTGCTACTTTGCTCAGTATAAAATAATGGTTCCTTCGTTCTACTTCTGCCATATGTCGATGGTAGTCCGTCTTGATCCGATCTAACTCATCCACCTGTCGTGTAAGATCCTGCAGCGCTTTGCGGAATTGTCGGATATCTATGTAATATGCATATCACAATGGAGCGTTTAAGTATTTGAGTAGTTTATCTATGGCAGCGATGATAGTACAACTAGTACTAACAGCTACTACGTATGTTCATGATCAATAAGCGAACGAACCTCGTTGTCCTTTTCTGCCGTTCTTCATATTGCGCGCTTCAGTGTCACGGATCTTTTTGCTCATTAGCTTTAGCGCTGATGCGTAATTCCCTTGGCTTTGCTATACAGCAATAAAGGAGACCAAATGCCTTTGTGTCAATAAAAAAGCAAACGATGCTATCCGACCCCCCACCCACTAAATTCAGCCATATCATATCCAATTGCTTCAGCTACCTCAACTGTTTTACGATGATGATTGAGATTTTCGTTCAAGGGTATCTCCAATGCCTTGCTGAACATGTCGCTCTATCATGTTGTCATTGTATCAATTACATGTTCCCGTCTACTTTATCCAAAGCAACAAAACGTACCAGTATTTGTTGATGATTCGATATAAGAAATTGCAATCCAGCTGCTGCTTGAAGACTCTGGCCTGTATGAAAGCAAAAGAAACATGTCAGTAGCAAGAACAAAACTGGCTGCCGTGCATATAATAACAATATTGAATCTTATTGCCCATGTAGTAAAAGATTATTTGAGCTTGACCTGCATCCGAAGCGCCTCTTCCTCGTGCTACCCGTTCCAGCGCATATCCAAACCCGGCAGCTGCTCCCGAAAGTTGTTTCATTTGGTCCTGGTATACTTGTGCTGCTTTGACTAAACTCTCATACGATTCAATGGACGAGGCAAGATCCTGTTTGGATAAATGAAGGCCAGTGTCAGGTGGTGGTGGCGCAGATCGGATCGATTCGTTATCGTCGGCTGTGTATTGGTAACTGGAGGATGACATTACGGACATTGCCCGACGTATTCCTCCTCCTCCTCCGATTGTAGAATCGTAGCTCGTGTCGGTGCTATAGAAACTGTTGGGTGGTAATAACGAATCGCCATGATAAGGTTCTAAATTCGACGTCGAGCGATAGGCCATGTTCTCTATTTTCTACTATATATTTTTTGCAGCCTTGTTTTGTGGACGGAGAAAGAGGGAGAGAAGCAGACAGTGAAAGAGAGAATAGCTCCCAAAGGTATTTGATATTAGGGGAAAGGCGAGAAGAAAGAGAAAAAAATAAAAATAAAGGGGGTGAACCACAACAACAAAAGGCTGTGAAAGAACGCATTGATTTTATGTTTTTATTTGCCTAGTACAGATGAGTTGGGAATGGGAGGTGGGGGGGGGTGGGGGTGGGGACTTGCGTGTGCTTGCTAATAACTATATACGACGGTGCACAGCTGGAAGACCCATTGCTTTGTGCACATTTCAAACAGTCAGCTTTTCGAGGGCACTGACCATCTCTTTGGCTTCCTGGACGTAGTTGATTGGCGTTGCCTCCATGAGGGTGTACTTTGTGCGGGTTGTGTCCTACATTGTATTTGTGTTCATGTGTGGGGTTAGGTCATGTGCTGCTTTGAGAGAAGGGGCAGTGTTGTTTGTTTGTTCGTTTGCCACTTACGTTGAAAGTCTCGGACTTTGCTCTGCCCTTGACGTTGTACACCTTGAATAGTGCGTCCGAGAAGAGCTTTGCATAAGCATCTGGCTCTGTGTCCTTGAGTCTCATCACTTCATTGGCCGATACTCCGATGATGCTGATGCCCACATCGTCAAATGCGTTCACGAACAACTGGGCCGTGGCGTCCTCAATGCTGGCCGTGAGGATGTATCGCCACATGGGCTCAGGGTGTCCCTTGTTGCATTTTTCACAATGCCAGTCGTTCTCGTTTTGGACCATCTTCTTCCTGCAATCAGGGCACGATGGGTAAGCAGGGTTTTCGTTCTTCAAGAAGACAACCGTGGCTCGTGCGGAGAAGTAGTCGGCCTTGAATATTCATATAATTAACACATTAATATTATATTAGCATGCTCTCTTCTTCGTTTCCGAATTCCGTTCTTTTTAATTTATCGTCATCGTCATCATCATCAGACTGAAAACTCACCCGATCCCCAGTACCCAAGCCGTCCTGCTTGACTTGGCCGAGTGTGATGCGTGTATTGGACTGTTGTCCGATGGAGTTGGTTGTTTGTTGAGCAAATGTGTCATAAGACGCTTCCGAGGACTGGGAGGCGTACCAATGCTTGATCTTGGTGCATTCTGGGATATCCGGGTTGACCTTGAGTGTGCCATTGGTAGACAGCGAAAGCGACCGACCGCCGAAATCATTCACGCGCAATCCACGGAATGCTACTACGGGGGCACCGCTGGAGTCAAAGTTTTCTGCAGTTTTATCCCAAAGCGTCAAACGAATCTGCTTCTCCGAATCGTCAACTACCACAAGTTCACGTTTCTTGACCTGTTGTAGCACAAAACAAGTTAAATATCACAAACGCATCACACACTATTCATTTTTTTATGTACATCATGATCCAGCCCCATCAATCATACAACAAAACAGCACATACCGGTCTGCCTGTACTTTTGGTGATGATTTCCTGCACACCGTTGTCGTCTCGCACAACGCCAATAATGTCAACTGTGGCATCCTTTTCATAGTTGGCGATATCAGCAATTCGCACAAAGCTAAAGTTCATCTTCGGAATGGTAACTTCGTCGGGGCACTATTGTATTACAACCATACGGCGAGAAAATTAGCTGGGTTTATCACATCAAGTAGCATTGTGCTGTATCCTTACCACTTCGATTTCAGTTTGATTTTCAATGACAAGTTCGTATTCGTTGTCCAATGTCGAGAACTGCTTGCGAGCCATGGTCACACGAGCCTTGGAGATGTAGTATACTTTGCCTTCTTCAAGAACATGGAATAGGCGATCAACTTGATCGTTGAAGGCCGTGGCTTTGATTTCTCCCTGTAAACCGTATCCGTTGAGTTAATATTGGCAATTCCAATACCCACACACAGACACACATATCCACGGGAATCTGATATGCTTACCGACTTGTCAAGCAAGTTGACATTGAAAAGCTTGCCTTCAGATCGATTATTGTGCCAGTGCTTAATGTCAGATTTCAAGGTGACGCGGGCCTTAATTGTCCATCTAGCATAGCCGTCCACGTTGTTAATACGGTTTCCAATGACACTCCTCCTATACCATTTTTCGTTTCCATTCGCAACTCAGACTGTACATGTACCTGTTTTGATAAGGATTCAAAGCGGTGATAGAGAACAGTGACGATTCGAGTTGTACATTGGTTCTTCCAGATGGTTGCACAGCAGGGCCATTGTTGCTGTTGCTGCTGCTGCTGCTACTCGTATTCATGGGTGTAGGCTGAGCAGTGCCAGGATTAGCAGTGCCACTGTTGGAAGCGGACGAAGTTGAAGGCGAGCCACCGACATTTTCAATAGATTTGGGATCACCAATCTTGGTTTCATGCTTACTGATGATGTCGACACCAAGAATGATCAAGATCCTACAAAAATGTCCATAAACATGTGTCAGTCCTACTTTTTTTTGTCCAGTACTCCGTTGAACGCGGTAAATACATACTTGCGCCCATTCACTTCGTTGCATACTGATTCGGTCAAGCGGATAAGGGACCATCGCTCCAATTCGTTATTTTCCGCTAAACTTGTAGTATTGGTTGAAAGCATGGCTATACATATGTGTTAGTCTTTTCTCTTTGCTTTCACACATTTAAAAGGTACATGACAACAATGGGCAAAAAGAGGGGAGGGTAGTAAAATACACGTTTGATCTTTCAGCCAAAGAGAGAACTTTTACCTTGCATAAAAAACTCGCCATCCGATAGAATGACTCTGTATAACAAAACAGGAAAGAAATGAAGTTTATCTTTGTAAGATTCGCCTTCACCATGAAGTTGACACAGAGGAGCGCTGCGCAAAACTTTTCCCCTAATTTTACCTGTAGCGTTTGTTGGTTGTTGACTGTACAGGCTTGACGTTAATCACCTGCAAAATGGGGTGTTCCGGGACACTTGGATCACTTCGGTTCTCATAAAGTGATTTAATTGCATTAGTTGATAATTGCATGTCGACTGTCATGGAGGAAAAAAAGAAAAAAGTAACAGGGAAATGAAGGTCGCGGGTTAATTCGCGTCGCGACGCGTGTTTCTTATTTGAGCAGAGGATGACCGAATTTAATCCCGACCACCGAAAAGAGACTTGAGGTTTCATCATAGCGAAATACACATATTTATTTATAACATTACTTAATATTAATCATGAAGAGATAGAAGAGGAGTAGCTGGTATAAAGCGATACTAAATGGTGGTAAGCAGAAGAGAAACCATGACCTTGTGTTGTGACAGCATAATAAGCAGCAACAGCGACAACACCAATGGTGATAGTGGTCATGGTCATAGAAGATCCGTCCGACGATGGCTTGTTTGGACTATTTGACCCTGAAATTGTGAGTGAGACGATGTATAATCACAAGCAGCCGTCGCCATGATATAGGAAAAGCTTAAAGAATATCTCGAAAGCTACTTACTTTGTGGGTTCAGTCAGGTTCATTGTCTGCCAGAAACTCTCAGTCATCATCGTTTTGCTCTTCAACTTTGATGCTATCCAGTCACCCATATTCCCCATAGGAGTAAAGAGAAAACCTTGTTTCTACGTTATTCATTAAGAAAAGGTCAAAGCCATAATCAGTACCTTGCTCGTTATACATATGAAATGCATCAAAGGAGAAGAAATGCGATCCCGCCCATCCCGTTATATCTATTTTACCTTGCCGAAAGTGAGCGCCATCAAAAATGTGGTATTAGGCTTGTAATTCTGCGAAGGTGCCTTGCCCTTGGTAGCGTTCACAATGTTTGCAACAACGACACTTGCATGACCCTTGGTTCTAGCGGCCATTTTGATCTCCTTGATACTGGCCGCGTCGCCAGTGGCATAAACATTTTCGAATCCGGGTGCGTCCACTTGCAAGGTCGACTTGACCTTGACAAATCCATTTGATTCCAAAGGCAGCGTGTCCTTGAGCCATTCAGTTTCAGGACGCGTACCAAACATCAACATGACGAGATCGGCCGACAAATCGACACCTTTGCGCGTTCTGAGCGGTCCCTCAGGTTTGAAAATGGTACGTTCGATGGGTGTAGATAACTCGACAGTCTCGTCCAAAATGACCTTGATGTTGTTCTTTTCAAGCTTGCGAAGGATCTGGGCGCGCGGCTTGTCAGGAACACCTTCTTGCAACAACTGCTTTTGGTCGTGTACCAAAGTGATTTTCTTTTCGTTGTATTTCTCGCGAATTTCACCGGCCAATTCAATGCCAGTTGGTCCGCCGCCGACGATCAAAATAGAGTTGGCGTCCTTGACAAGGCTTTGGATTTCACCTTGTTCTTTAAGTGCTGCGTCCGAGTCGAGTGCCTTGACTTTAGCAGGTGTAGGATAGCGGATGCCGGTGGCAAGAACTGCATAGGCAAACGACAATTCGATCGAGCCTTCAAAGGGCTTATCAAGATGGATTTTGTTTTTCCCGAGTCGTACAACAGTTGCTTGCACTACAGCGTGCTTCTTCATATCCTTAAATGTGTGTGAATATGGGATAATGTTGTTGATGTGCTCGACTGCAGCGCGAGGGCCGCCGACAATGTGGTAAAAGAAAGATTTCTGGGAAAAGAGATCAGCTTATTGATGAGCATGCTTGTTTCTGTAGACGCTTGTCGATCAAAAAAAAAAAGAGGAGCTGCTTTTTGTACCTTGTCAATTAAAACCACTCTGTACTTGCTGTTACCAGCTAGCTGTTTTTCCAGTTCTTGCGCAGCGCTAACGCCTGCATAACCACCACCAACAATGACAATATTTTCAGTCGTAGTCATCGTAATATAGAAAGTAAGAGAAGAAGAGATCGAGAAAAAGAGGAGTAAAAGCGTGTGTTTTTCCGTTGGATCCACGGAGAGAAGATCTTATATACGGAGTTTGCGAATTGATTTTGTACGGAGAATCTTCTGCCGTTGCTTCCTATTGGACGGACCTATTCCCATAATTAACAAATTTATACACCGCAAAAGGAAAGTTCACGTCAACCTTTGCGAAATGCATACATGCGTAATAAGCTTATTGCGAGCAACATGAAGGAGTATTAAACATCAAAGAGGAAGATTTCAGGAGAGGGTACTTTCTTTATATAAACGTCTCTTGCCTTTCATTAGCGCCGGTGCTAAAGGCTATCGTAGCTTATTATGGTTTTGACTGATCGATGACAGTCCTCCTACTTCTACTACTAATGCCGCAGTACTCTTTCCGAGCTGTAAGCATGGCGTAAAGATAGCTGGTACTGTTTTAATGTCGATTATTAAGCAGTCAGGGTATGTGGCATGTTTACCTTATAGGTTGCTGATGCGTAATAAGACAGAACAAACTCGATAACAATCAACATTGTATGTTTAACGCTCGCTTTGTTGATATTTGCATCCTGAGTATGATTATATGAAACTTGACTATGTCAGAAGTAATGACTCGAGGTTGTGTATGATGGCTGCTATGTTACATATGGATACAATTGTATGTAAAAAAGATAGTAACATCTACTAATGCATGGTATTGCTTTATCAGCTGTACTACTGGAAAAAAGCATGTGAGTCTAATACCTCGTTCCATATAATGAGTCACGTTATAATTGGTCAACGGATTATTGCAGCAAAAGCAGCTTTTAGAGTATGTACAATGGCAAACATTCTGGTTAAACCTTGCATGTTACTATTGTTATCGTAGTATGTTATTTATTTCGACCCAGTGTCGACCAAAAAATTGACACATCCAGACAAGATCGGATGGCCATCAATACAAGACTTCTTAATGCTTTAAGTAGCTTCTATATCTAGATATATTGCAGTGCTACGACGCCTAATTGCCAGCCGTGTCTAACGGCAATTCTTACTGTTAAATCATTTCCTCATCGTATTATTACTACAAATAACAGCTATAAGTAGCAGTAACTACAAGAGTTTGTAGCTGATATTCATTTGAGTGTCGAAGAGGATCTACGAACTACTGTTAATACTAACAGCGGGTGAGTATCCGTATCCACGCTCGATTATAGATGGATCTCAGATCAAAGCAGCATCAACCAATAGGAACTGCTGAAGGAGTCGCCGACGGATATGTGTTTTTTCTTTTGTGCAGAAGGTGTGCTTTAATCAATTAATAATCAACTCTCTCTTTCACCTTCTTTTCTGTCCGTTACCACTCCCATGTCTCCTCCACATTCAGAAGAGAACGTACCCGAAAACGCACCAGAGCATTGTCCTGTATGTTTTATTTACTTTCAGTAGCATCGATATTGCCGGTATATTGACAATGAGTTTAATTGATCAATGTAGGGAACAGAAAGCGATCAAGCTGGTAAAGCTTCAGCTTGCGCAGGTTGTCCCAACCAGAATGCTTGCGCTACTGCACCTAAAGGTCCTGATCCAGGTAAAAATTTAACAATAAATTGCTCATTGAAAAAAAAGCACTTTGTTTTCCTTTTCTAGTTGGCTAAAATAGTAGGTGTGTTCTTGTAGCGATTCCGTTGATTACGGCACGCATGGCGTCCGTGAAGCACAAGATTTTGATCCTATCCGGAAAAGGCGGTGTCGGCAAATCGAGTTTCACGTCGCAATTAGCATTTGCATTAGCCCATGACGAGGACAGTGAAGTGGGTGTTATGGACGTTGATATTTGCGGACCATCGATTCCTACAATTATGGGTTTGGAAGGCGAACAAATCCATCAAAGCAACAGTGGATGGCAACCAGTTTTTGTGCAAGAAAATCTCGGCGTAATGAGTATTGGATTCATGCTTCCCAACAAGGACGATGCCGTCATTTGGCGAGGACCCAAAAAGAATGGTCTGATCAAACAATTCTTAAAGGATGTGGATTGGGGTACATTGGACTTTTTGCTGGTGGACACACCCCCAGGCACATCGGATGAACACTTGTCGGTCGCATCCTACTTGAAGGAAAGCGGTATCGATGGTGCCATTGTCATTACAACTCCACAGGAGGTCGCTTTACAGGATGTGCGCAAGGAAATTGATTTTTGTCGCAAGGTCAATATCCCTATTTTGGGTTTGGTCGAGAACATGTCTGGTTTTGTGTGTCCCAATTGTCATGGCGAGTCGGTTATCTTCCCACCCACCACTGGTGGTGCAGAAGCACTTGCCAAAGAAATGAATATCGACTTGCTTGGCCGAATCCCGCTGGACCCACGGATCGCAAAGAGCTGTGATATGGGTGTCTCATTTATGGATGAATACCCTGACTCGCCTGCCTCGGCTGCTTACGAGGCTGTTATCGACAGTAAGTCTACTCACTTGTTTTGTGCTGATCGTAAGTGTCCCTCACTAACTTAATCTTTTGGTAACATAGAATTGCAAGCTCGTTTCCAATAAGTTACCACCCCAATGCACACCTCACACATAAATTTGTAATATAATAGTTTCTCCATGCTTAATAATCCTGTATATGTATCTATTCGTCACACGAATAAACTTTTTTTATATGCTAATCTTTGTATATGGACGGATGTTGATGCTTATACACATTTTATAAAGGCATACAAAGCGATGGAAGTGGAGCTAGTCGAAAAGGGTATATATGTACAATATGATGTAATTTTTCTATAATGTCAACCAATGGATACCTGATGATGATGTCGATGAAGAAGAATTAGCATCCACTGGCGCTGCAACAACAAGCCCTGGTGCTCTGTTTTGTCGGTCATCGGACATAGCTGGCAGCTGTTCCCATGCGCTCGCCATCGGTGGAGGATCGTCAATAAATTGGACCGCTTGCACTGGACCGTCACCAAACTTTTGCGATTCCCAGAAGGGTAAGTTTTGGTTGCTATTGACAGTCGAGGAACAAAGCGAATCGTTTAACGACCATAGTCGTACACAATGGTCATTTCCTGCCAATGCCAATAGCTGTTTCGTTTGATTTACATCACAAGCAATTCGGGTGCCTGCAGTATTTACATGACCCTTGAGTCGACGGAGTGGACGATTGCGTTTATTATTCGCCATGAACCGCATATCCCATATGGCTAGCGATTCACCAACATCGATAGCTAGTACGCGGTACGAATCCAGCGCTTTTAGATGCGCGATAGCCAAAGATGAATGCTTGAAACGAAGGTTCTGCTTGCTGTGAATGCGAGGATCAAACATTTTCACCTCACTGTCGCGACAGCCTAGCCATGCCAAGCCGGGCCGGTCAGGTATACAAGAGCTCGCAAGCACTGCTGTACGTGCCGTTGCACGGCCAAGGATATTGAATGTCGATGTCAACATGTATGCTCCAGTGTCGCATCCGACGACAAGCGAGTTATTGTCATCGTCTACAGAGCAGGTCCAAAAATTGTTGCGTCGTAATGAAAAGGTGCAGTCCATCGTCACTGCAGCGGTATCATCTGGCTGTTGTTGATTACCAACAGCAACCACTGGCGCTGTTCTTGCTGTTCTTGAGTCTCGATGAGGTGATTGTTGATGCTCGCGTAGAAATAAAGCGAGTTCGGGATCCATATCTGCAAGCGAAGGCATTGACAAGCGCCACAGTTGCGCCTTACTATGATGTGCACTCATTTCCGTCGTGCCGTATACCGGGCGCCGCAGCTCGCCATTGTATTCCAACAGTCGTTTGCCCAGGTGAAGTGACGTGACATCCGCGGAAACATGCGCTGGAAAATGCGTGTTCCACATGGTGTAAAATGGATCGCATTGATATTTAAAGCGCATTGGGCAGCCTTGTGGATAACATATTACTGCATCTCCGTCTCGAAAGTCCATACAACATGCACGCGATAATGATGATCCTGAAATATTGAGTTGTGTTGTAGGTTTTAGTTTTTTGTATAAAGCGCGTGTGCCGCTGATGACAACGGCAGGCGGCGGTGTGTCTGTTAAATTTGTTGTTATATTGCGTATTGCTGCTAATGATAACTTGTTGCAAAGGCGTCTCGACCGTATATATCGATAAACGCTTTGATCGCGAATTGTGCTGGGTGGTGGTAGAGGTTTGAATCGTTGCACTTTGGTAATGTTAGCTTTAGCTTTGCTTCGTTCGGCTTCTTCTTGTGCTTTACGGATTGCAGCTAGACTGTGGGGGCCCGAAGGCATGATCTTGAAATAGCGATTTTTGGCCGGATCAAAGTAGTAACCCGGAATTTCTTGCATGGTGTTTTAAGCAATGCATGGAGAGTAATTGGAAAGGACGCGTCTTCTTGTTGAGAAAGGCAAAAAAAAATCAAGAAATCGAACGAGCGCGGAACCTTTTATACACTGCCAAGTTTGAAACCTCTCCGACAGAACAGACAAATTTCATTGTTGGCTTTTGTGTGTTTGGATGCTGTGGGCATTTCTCTTAACACGAGCAATTGGTTGAAACTTGTTTTAAAAAAATTGCTGGATCATATACGCATATGTCAGTCCCTTTGAATTATTAATGACTGGAAGGGACATCGTAAAAGATTCGTTCTTAGCGTCAAACTGGTGCACAGTATCAGTAATACATATAGCCCCGCGTATAGACTTACTTCAAAGGCCTAAAGAAAAAGCAATGTAAGATGCATATTAATGATGATTCTTTGAAAACTAGGTGATGGTAATGATAGCTTATACTGAAGCCTAGCAACAACCTGTCTTCGATGGCAACCATTGCCTTGTCCGAAAATGGAAACTGGATAATGCCGCTAGAAAAAAGAAATAAAATTTTTCGGGAAAGGCTTTTTCTTCACCTTCAAGCACCCACCATTCATCCAACCAAACCTTCCTCCACTCACTTTTGGGACGGAAAGAAAGCCCTGGCTCATCAACCCGCCCTACCACAATGACTGACACGGATGTAATTATGACACCAGCAGCACCCGATCACCATGACCTTTACAACCCACTTGCATTCGACTTGCCCGGTGCGATCCGTCAGTTGTTGCAGGTTATGTCGTCGACAACCACCGCTACTGCACGCAACGACAATAACACGACGATCGACGCCCGATTACTCGAACGTTATGTCGACAATCCAACTCTAGTACCTGGATCTCAAGTGCTGGACACTTTGTCAGTTTGTCTCCTCCATTCGGCCTACACGCGCTCCATGATCTCACTTTTCCGTCCGATCGTCCTGGATCTGGTCGCACGGTGGGCCACACCTGCATTTCTTAGAGAACCCAACGTTGTAAATAGGATAGAACGGGTCGCAAAAGCATTTAGCATTGTATTACCAGCTGTACCTCAGGTCAAAAGGTATGATTTATCGTTGCGTGGCGTATATTAATTTTGAACCTCAAACTTACTCATTTCATCCTCTTTCTCACGTAAACACTAGCTTGGCTGTAACATATTTCATTAATTCACCATCATTATTCGAACGTCTGAATCATTTACCGCATAACGTGGAGGTATGATTACTTTTGGCAATGGATGTTAATGAATGGAAAATTATGGATATATTACGATAACTGATACATATCATATTGTATCGATTATAGACCACCGCATCAGCAACAGCTGGCGACGAACTTCAGGATCTTTTATTAACGACATACCGACTCTTATCGTTTTCTACATCTACATTTGCTCCACTTTGGAATTGGGGACCCATGGTGGAACTGTTAAAGTCCCCTAACGAATGTATCCGCTATTTGACAATTCTCTGCCTGGGCAAAGCCTATGGCTTGAGCGACCTACAAACACGAACTCTGCTGGGAACGAGCGACGAACCTCTCATGGCAATAATCGATGGCACAAAAGTCAATCTACGAATGCTTCGGTAACGTGATACAACATCCCCAACTATTTTTTGACAGGTATTCTTTGTGTAACCCAATTGCTAATTCTCGCCTCTTTAAAGATTATGGGAAGAACAGAATTTGGCACAACAGCAGCTTAATCTGACACAGAACAATTTTACGACGACACAACAATATATCGAGGATAGCGACTTATCGTCTCTCACTTGCAATTTGTGTGGTGTCTTGTTACCGAGAACGGCAGCGAACCATCGTGATTCGTTAGTATACCGGCAGCAACTCATATTGACCGAGACGACCACTAGAAATTTGAATACCCTCAGTTTGGCCTTGTCGATTGGCGCTCCTACATTCTTGGAAGGTGTCACTGGTGCGGGAAAGACATCTATTGTGGAGGAATTGGCAAATCGAACAGGAAGAGCAGATCGTAAGTTTGGATGGATGCATGCTTCGATATACGGCAGCGTAAAAGAAGTTATTGTGCTAAATTAAGGTTTTTTCTTTTCTAATTTTAGAATTGATCAAAATCCATCTTGGTGATCAGACGGATCCCAAGGTATTGCTTGGTACATACGTTTCCACATCCACGCCCGGATCATTCAAATGGCAACCGGGTGTCTTGACGACAGCTGTACAAGAAGGACGCTGGGTTCTCATAGAGGACATTGACCTTGCACCAGCAGAGGTGATCTCTGTGCTACTTCCTTTACTTGAAACTCGCCAGCTGTTTATTCCATCGCGAGGTGAAAAGATTACGGCAAAAGAAGGATTCCAGCTTTTTGGTACACGGTCATTTATCCCTTCCCGTTCAACATCCAAGCGAAAGCATCAACTTGTTACTGGCGCGAATCTGTGGACCCGGGTGCTCATTGAACCGTTATCCATGGATGAGTTGGAGACTGTAATTCGTGAAAAGTTTCGACATATTGGCAGCTTTTCAGTCCACGTCATGCGTCTATTTCAAGCTGTGATCAACATCTACCAAGATCCCAACTTTGCAACGCTGTCCACCATGGGCCGCTATATCTCGACGCGTGACTTGATGAAGTGGTGCCATCGTATCAATACGCGACTTAACGTTGATCTGAACGGACATACTGGTGGTGAAGCGGCTATGGATATGGCGATTCGGGAGGATCTGTTTAGCGAAGCGATCGATTGTTTCTGCGGCATGATTCCTGACTATGCTACATGGGTTACTGTCCTCGAACGTGTAGGCGAGCCATTGCAACTATCTGCCGAATATGTGCGTAATTATGTCGATCAACGCAAGCCGCCTTTACGCCACTCCGAAAATAGCCAGGTTGTCATTGGCCGTGCTGATTTGTCCTCTATCGCAGCCGGTGGCAAAACTGTGAAACGAGGACCCAAGCGACCTTTTGCTACTACAGGCCATGCCCTCCGTCTTCTTGAACGTATTTCCGTATGTGTTTTGCTCAACGAACCAACGCTCCTTGTCGGTGAAACTGGTACCGGCAAAACGACCGTGGTGCAGCAGCTAGCAGACATGCTGAACCAAAATTTGGTGGTTGTCAATTTGTCGCAACAGTCAGACAGCTCAGACCTGCTTGGTGGTTTCAAACCTGTCGAAGGCAAGATTTTGGCGATGCCATTAAAAGAAATGTTGGAGGATCTGTTCGAACGCACGTTCAAAATGGATGAGAAGAATACCAAGTTTCTTGACACTGTGCGCAAGGCATTTGTGCGTCAAAAGTGGAAGTATTTTGTCGCTCTGATGCAACATGCTATCAAGACATCCCATGTGCAGTTTAACAAAGAGAACAACGGCGAGTCCAAAAAACAATCGCCTCCTGAGCTTCGCAAAGCATGGAAGATGTTTGAAAAGCAGGTCGCAGATTTTGAAGTTCAACAAACCCAGGCAGAAAACAACTTTGTATTTAACTTCATGGAAGGATCGCTTGTCAAGGCAGTGCGACGCGGCGACTGGATTCTCTTGGATGAAATCAACTTGGCCACCACCGAGACGCTGGAGTGCCTGTCTGGTCTACTGCAGGATGCTGATGGATCGTTGCTGTTGACGGAAAAGGGTGATATCGAGCCTATCCAACGCCATCCCAATTTCCGCCTATTTGCATGCATGAACCCGGCGACTGATGTTGGAAAGCGCGATCTGCCTCCCGGTTTGCGCAACCGTTTTACCGAGTTCTACGTCCATCCACCAGACCAACGCTATGAAGATCTGCTGCAGATAGTACGTCGCTACTTGGGCAAGGTTGCTGTTTCGGACGAGCGGTCATGCGACGATGTTGCCGAATTCTATCTCGAGGCCAAAAAATTATCACAGCAACACCAGCTTGTCGACGGTGCCAATCAGAAGCCTCACTTCAGTATGCGTACACTGTCGCGTGCATTGACCTATGTTGTGCAGATTTATCCAACATACGGCCTTCGACGCTCTTTGTATGAAGGCTTTTGCATGACGTTCTTAACGCAACTCAACAAGGAAAGCGAGGCACTTATGCGACAGCTGATTTACAAGACTATTCTGCGAGGCGTCAAAAACCCTGCACACTTAATTTCGCAAATTCCAGCGCAGCCGTCCGATGACTTTATTCAATTTGGCTACTTTTGGCTCGAGCAAGGTCAATATCAGCCCGAAGACGATGGACATTATATCCTGACACAATCTGTTGAGACGAACCTATACAATCTCGCACGTGTCATCATGTCGCGCAAGTTCCCTGTTCTAATCCAAGGTCCCACTTCGGCAGGCAAAACCAGTATGATTGAATTCTTGGCTAAAAAAACCGGCCATCGATTCGTGCGTATTAACAACCACGAGCACACGGATTTGCAAGAATACCTGGGTACATACGTTTCCAACAGCCAAGGCAAACTCGTGTTTCAAGAAGGTGTACTGGTCGAAGCATTGAGAAACGGCTATTGGATTGTACTCGACGAGTTGAATTTGGCTCCCTCAGACGTCCTCGAAGCGCTCAATCGCTTGCTCGATGATAACCGCGAACTCTTGATACCCGAGACCCAAGAGGTTGTCAAGCCACACCCGCACTTTATGCTCTTTGCTACGCAGAATCCTGCTGGTCTTTATGGTGGTCGTAAAGCTTTGTCGAGAGCGTTTAGAAACCGCTTTTTGGAGCTTCATTTTGACGATATACCTCAGGATGAACTCGAAATGATTCTCTCGCAACGATGTCAAATTGCTCCTTCGTACTGTAAAAAGCTGGTTCAGGTCTACAAATCGTTGATGGAGCACCGCAAGAGCTCGCGCTTGTTTGAACAAAAGCACAGTTTCATAACGCTTCGTGATCTTTTCCGATGGGCTGGTCGTGATCCGAATGGTTACCAAGAGCTTGCAGAGCACGGTTACATGCTGCTTGCAGAACGCTGTCGTAAGGATGAAGAAAAGAAGGTTGTCAAGCAAGTATTGGAGTCGGTCATGAAGGTGAAGCTGGACGAGGATGTTATGTACGACTGCGAACGTTTAGAAGAATTTGCCATCTACGACAAGATTTTGCGTGACAAGTCAGCGGATACGAAACTGGTGTGGACCAAGGCTATGCGTCGTTTATTCAGTTTGGTGGCTCGATGCTTGCGTTACAAGGAACCTGTGCTGCTTGTTGGCGAGACAGGATGTGGTAAAACCACGGTGTGTCAGATGCTTGCAGAGACATTCAATCGCGAACTGCATATTGTCAACTGCCATCAAAACACCGAAACTGGGGACTTGTTGGGCGGTCAACGACCTGTACGTAACCATGACTCTGATCAACTCTTTGAGTGGCACGATGGCCCTTTGGTGCAAGCTTTGCGTGGTGGACATTTATTCTTGCTTGACGAAATATCCCTGGCTGACGACTCGGTGTTGGAGCGTCTCAACTCTGTTCTTGAACCGAGCCGTCTGTTGGTTTTGGCCGAAAAGGGTGGCAAGCATGTTGAAGAGTTGATTGGTCAAGAAGGCTTCCAGTTTTTAGCAACCATGAACCCTGGTGGTGACTACGGCAAGAAAGAACTTTCGCCAGCATTGCGCAACCGTTTTACTGAAATCTGGGTTCCCTCGGTCATTGACCGTGACGATTTGACAATGATTATCGATGAACAGCTCGCAGCGCACCCTGCTTTGAACGGTTACGGTACCAAGATGCTCGACTTTATTGGATGGTTTACACAATCCTTGGGCCAAACGCGAACTGTTGTCAGCCTGCGTGACATATTGTCTTGGGTGCAGTTTATACATGCCGGTGTTGTCGAGCGGAACCTTGATCCAGATATGACCTTTGCACACGGTGGCTGCCTAGTGCTTTTGGATGGTCTTGGTTCTCATGGTGCTTCTGGCTCATTTCTCAGCGGCGACACGCTCAAGGACTTTAGACTGAAATGCTTGCGCCAACTCGCAAGCTGTCCTGATGCGAAGAACGAGGAAACTGTGCTGGGCGAAACACAAGGGCAAGTGAATCTTACCGACGATGAGTTTGCCATTGGTCCTTTCCTGATCGAACGTGGTCCGCTTGGCAAAGCCAATATCAAGTTTACCTTGCTGGCACCAACTACGTCCAACAATGCCATGCGTGTGGCGCGTGCCATGCAGCTGAAGAAACCTATTTTACTTGAAGGCAGTCCCGGTGTCGGTAAAACCAGTCTTGTATCGGCCCTCGCAGCAGCAGCAGGCCATCGGTTGGTGCGTATCAACTTGTCTGAGCAAACGGACTTGATGGATCTTTTCGGTTCCGATTTGCCTGTTGAAGGTGGTGACAGCGGTGAGTTTGCTTGGCGTGATGCACCGTTCCTACAAGCAATGAAGCAGGGCGACTGGGTTTTGCTCGATGAATTGAACTTGGCGTCGCAGTCCGTACTGGAAGGTCTGAATTCCTGTCTCGATCACCGTGGTGCCGTCTATATTCCCGAATTGGATCGTGAATTCTTTTGCGCTCAAGGATTCCGCGTGTTTGGTGCTCAGAACCCGCTACAACAAGGTGGTGGTCGTAAGGGCCTGCCAAAATCGTTTGTCAATCGCTTCACGCAAGTCTATGTCGAGCACTTGACCGCAGACGACTTGCTATTTATTTGTGGACATCTATTCCCTCAATTCGACGCACAAACCTTGAAGCAGATGATCGAGTTTAATACCCATATGTATGAGGAGACCATGGTACGCTGCCGTTTTGGACGCAAGGGTAGCCCTTGGGAGTTTAACTTGCGTGACGTTTTCCGCTGGCTCGAATTGATGCAAAAGGATAGCGCAAGTGATCCATCCGAGTATTTGGAGACGATCTACTTGCAACGTATGCGTACGTGTGAAGATCGTGTCAAGGTCATTGAATTGTACGAACATGTGTTTGGCACCAAGTACACGCGAACTGCCAATCCAGCATACCACGTCTCGCCTGGTCAATTGGTAGTGGGTCACTCCCGTTTGCCTCGCCTGGCACAAAAATCAACTCCCGAACTGGACGAGCATCTGCTGCACACCTTCTTGGCACCACTTGAAGCCTTGATGAAATGTGTCGAATCCGGATGGATGGCTATCGTCACTGGCCCCTCGGCGTCGGGCAAAACATCGCTTGTACGTCTACTGAGCCGACTTACGGGCAACAGACTGCAAGAATTTGCCATGAATAACAGCGTGGATACAATGGAGTTATTGGGTGGTTTTGAACAAGTTGATCTGAACCGACATCGACAAGTGGTGATGGATGCTTTGGAACGTGTTACCAGCCGATTGACCCGCGCTTTACTGATGGCACAATCGACAAACCAACAACCAGAGTTACTGCAACACGTTCGTCAGCTCAACGATGCTTGGTTCACACTCAAAACACAGCAACGCATGTCTCAACAATCTGACAACAGCCAGCAACAGCAACAACTGGACTATGCCTTGTTGGAGAGTATCGTCGAACAGCTGAACCAAGCTGCGCTACGTGTAGACACAGATGCTTTGGTTGAAATTACTGCAATGGTGGAAGCCGCCCAGAATTTGCAGCAGCTTGAAAAGAGCAGCGTTGCCGGCAAGTTCGAATGGATCGATGGTTTGTTGATTCATGCACTGGAACAAGGCCATTGGCTTTTGATTGACAATGCCAACTTGTGTAACCCTTCCGTTTTGGATCGTTTGAATCCGCTTTTTGAAAATGACGGTGTTTTGATGGTAAACGAACGTGGATTGATCGATGGACAAGTCAAGGTGATCAAGCCACATCCAAACTTCCGTATGTTTATGACGGTTGATCCCAACAACGGCGAACTCTCTCGTGCCATGCGAAATCGCGGTATTGAAATTTCTTTGGTGGATGCCAACTGGAACACGACCGATGTCCAAGACGCAACTAAGCTGGTCAACAGTTTGGGTCTGCGAGGTGCACGCATGCCAGTATTGCTGAACGAACTACAAGCAACTGCCAACGCCGCCCTGCGTAACAAGGGATCTGTACGCGACTATTTGATGCTGGCAACCTACGTCGTTGAACGTCTGCAGCGTGGTCAGTCTCTCAAGGATGCCATTCAGGCCTCGTACCATCACGTGTTTATGGAGGATGCACCGGATATGGACATGCCAGATCTGCTGGAGCAGGCCTTGTCGCCAACCAACTGCCCTTACTTCATCGGCGGTGCTATGGTTGATCAAGACTCTAGCTTGGCCACTGTTTCCGTTCAAGGCGCCTGCCTACTGTACCTGTTGCAACAACCAGAACAAGACGAGCATCGTGTTGAGGTTGCCATGGATTACTTTTTGGAAAGCTTGTTGAGTGAAGATGCTAACCTGCGCTTGCATTGGCTCGCCTATATTGCTGAACATGCTTCGGTATCGAACACGACTGCCATTGATCGTGTGATGCATCTTTTGAAAACTGTGTGCAAGGATCAAGTATTCCATGACTACTCACGTGATCGATCAAACAAGGTAAAATTTTAGAGTGGCGCTTAGGTATAAGATAAAACTAACAGTCTGCCCTTTTATTCTATTAAGAATCTGCAAAAAGCGTATTCGTTGGTGATTCGTTTGTGCAAGTATGAGCACGCAGTCAAGACAGTCCAGAAAGCAACCATGCGACTCAAGTTGGGCAGCATGACGGCTTTGCAACAATCCTACAGCTTCCATGATGGTCGATTGACTGAAGCACAACTATTACATCCAATCGTGAAAAAGGTCTCTTCATTCTTTACGACAGTCGACTATGCCATGTCACAATGGCTCTCAAGCAAGGCTTATCAAACATGCCACATTGATTTGTTCGATCGCTTGCAGCAAATTCTCGATACACGCGATTTTGCCTGGCGCATTGCGGATAGCCGTCCTCTCAGTCTTGATAATTACTTGAATAACTTACGTCTAGTTCAGGCACTGGTTAATGACTTGGATTTTGCAAAGATCATTTCAGATGTCGTTGATGATACAATGGCTGGATTTGATTTTGAGACTTGTCGCTCTATGAAAGCATTGTGGCAGTACTTTGCTCCTGCCACGCTGGCGTCGCAGTCTTTATTTGATGTCGAACAAGAGTTACACAGCATTAGCACGCAGATGGATTCATATCAACATTCAGGTAAGGGGAAAAACATTAATGCAAGTCTATCTGTCTCCTATAACATAACACTTTAAACATAATATATGCATAGATAAAAAATTGAGTGCAACAGATCTTGTCTTGCACACATCCCTGGAAACGAAAGAGGCAATAGTGGAAGGACTCGCAACGTTGTATGCTGTCGATGAAAGCGATGATAAGCAAGCATCAAAGTTGGGTCGATCTCTCTCACAGTTACCAGAGGTAAGCATTAATATTTATCTAAAATGACTTGAGTTTTTGATTAATAGATTTTAACTGATTTATTTCTGCTTATATAGTATGTCAAGAAGCAGCTGGAGAAGGAGCCTGTCGTTGTCGGACATACTGCTTGGGATACTGCCCTGGTTCCATTGCTGGATTACACCAGCACAGTCAAAGAAATGGAGCTGGTCAATGATCTTTACATGACAGCCTATGGATTGAACAAGAACGACCAGATCGAAGAGCTGGTTAAAAAAGCAAAGTCTTTAAAATCACTAGCTCTCAACAAAACGTCTCGACCACCACTGGATATGGTTCCTTATCAACGACTTGCTTGGGTACTTGATTCCAACTGTAAGTTGATAAATGCTTCTGGATATATAGTTTTTTTTTAAAAAACTGACATGACATCTTATACATTTATGTTTTTTTAGCAACGTCGAAACTCTCGTTAGTATTACCAGGACTGATCCAAGATGCGGCTCACGTGTGGCATCGTCGATTGTGGCGCTCTAGCGTATTCCAGCAAAGCCTGTATCAGTTGGAGCCTTCCATGCGTGAAGTGGTATGTCACATATATTTAGCTTCTTATATTCTGTATTTTGTTTGCATTTTTTTTTCTAACTTGTGTGATTATTATGTAGTCTATTAATATTAGTGACGGCCCACAAAATCTGTATCAAAGTGTGGAGACAACAGTCTGCTTGAACTTATTGTCCTTTGTCGAAAAGATGTCAGCAGAGGCCTACGAAAATGCAGTGAAACAACTGAAATCTCTTAGAAGGTTTTTGGCGACGAACGTCAATCTCAAGGATAGAAAGGCTATTGAAATTATCATGCTCATTTCATCTGCATATCAGGTATAATTCAATTAAATTGCTCAGTTTGCATTACAAGCAATTCGCCGTCTCACTTACCATTACTGTTTATAAATAGATCCTTGAAGCGTCGCAACCTGTGCTTCATCCTATCTTCTATAAAGATCTACATGATGTATTCGGCAGACTGAACAGATTTATCGACCAGCTTGCCCAGACCGATCTATATTCCAGAGCATCGGCTATTGATTACGACGATGCACTTGCAACATTCAATGCGATCATATCAACATTACAGTCAGGATCGTTGAACAAGTACTACGTTGACATGATTTTGTCGCTGACAGACGCCGTTCGCCATTACAGAAGCAAGGATGTGGGCTCATTTTTCGCTTCCATTGGCAAAGCACGTACTCTTCTTGGTCTTGCCTTTGTTACTGCGTATGTCCCTGATTATCCTGTTGATCCAACGGCCGAGCCTCGTTTGCGGGTAGACTTGCTGCGTCACCGCAAGGATGCAAGCTTAAACAACATCGACGTCCGCACGCACATTGAAAAGATTGCTACTGGCAACGACGTTAACGTAACTATCCAAGAACAGCAGGGACTTGTCGATCGTATTGAAACCGAATTATCCGCATCCTCGACCACATTCTCGCTTCGGCCTCAAAAATCGCAGCTCGATGATATTTTTGTTGACCTTGCGTCGTTGCAGAAGCATCTCCTTGCCAGTAACACTGAATCATTGATTGAAGCACTTACGGAAAACACCAATGACAACAAAGCGATGGCGGTTCAGCGTGAACGACTGTTGCAAGGCAATGTGATCCAGTTTATTGACCGTATCCACGCCAAATACCCAATGTATCGTGATATCTTGCAGCCTCTGCTTGTAGCCGTTGATGATGTCAAGTACGGCTTGCGTTTGATGGTGTCAACGCACCAAAATGACCGTGCTGATGCCTACCTGAGTGAAGTTGTGTCATTGTTTATCCGCAACCCATCATTAAGCGCCCAGCCTCTGGATCTCGACTGGCATATGCTGACTGAATCGATTCACCTCGCAAAACTCAAGGCTATCGTATTCGAACGTGCGCCGACTTCACGTAAATGGGCGTTCTATCTCAGCATCTTGGTCACGGTTCTGCAACGTCTCGTTATGGCGGTCGATTTACATGGCTATCTTTCTGAACAAGACTTGGCGGCCATTAACAGTATCTTTGCTGAAATTGTTCAAGTTTGGAAGGCTGCTCAAGAATACAAACGCGAAAAGGAAGCAGAAAAGGAGCAGATGTACAAGACGCGCACGAAGAAGTACGAACCCGTAACAGAAGAAGAACAAGAGGAGGAAGATAAGAAGAAGCTCTTTGCCGACTTTAACGAATCGTTTGCTGATCTTGAAGAAAGCGATGATGCACCACCTAGCGGTGCGACTGCGCCAAAGGTCGAGGAAGAATCTGTGTTGGATGACAGCGATGTCCAGCGTATCGGTGAATTGCACAAGTACATTTTTGATACATTCCGCGTCGATACATGCCAAAAGCGTGATACCAGCAAGAACCATGACCGTGAATTGCTTCGCTCATATGCCATTGCAGCCCAATTGGCATCAATGTCTACGTCCGCCTTTGGTGACTCGATTGATATTCGGTGTAACGCCGGTCATTTGCAAGCTACTGCATTATCTTTGCAACGCCTGGAAGCCACAAACTCGTTTAGCAAAACCAGCGACGCCTTGTATGACTTTTACACCAGCGAAAACGTCGCCGAAGCAAAGAAGGTGCATCCTGTCGTTCAGCGATTCAAGGCACGTGTTGAACAAATCCAACAAGAGTGGCCAGATCACGCAGTCTTGCAGCAACTTGTTGTTATTTGCGACCGACTCCTCAGCTTTTCTATCGTATCCCCTGTCGCCAAGTTTTTGACCGGTATCGAGTTGTTGCTACAGAAATCCGAGGATTGGGAAGCCTATGCCGCCAAACACGTTTCTTTAAGCGCACAACGTGAAGAGTTGATCCAACTGATTGTGCAATGGCGTCAGCTCGAACTGAACTGCTGGCCGACGCTTCTAGCAGCCCAGGAACAATACAGCCAAAATGCGGCATATACCTGGTGGTTCCATTTGTTTGATACCGTCAACAACACTGCATTCAACGATTCGACCAAGCAAAGCGAGCTCATCGGTGCTTTGGATCACTTCTTCCAGACCTGTTCTTTGATTGAATTTGAACCTAGACTCAAGATGCTGAACAGCTTTGCATGCCAAGCTCGAGTGCAAGCTGAATTGAGCAACGCTGTAGACCAGTGGAGTGCATTAACGTTATTGAAGAACGTGTGTGCCTACTACAGCCAGTTCTTAGGCCACGTCCAATTGATGCTCTCCCAGCTACGCAAGCCGATTGAAAAGGATCTCAAAGAATCCGTCAAGATTGCTACTTGGAAGGATGTCAATATCCATGCTCTACGTCAAAGCGCACACAAGACGCACAAGCAGCTTCACAAGTGTATCCGCAAATATCGCGAGGCCCTTGGCACATCCATGCTCACGGCTATTGCAAACTATAATCAGGAGCACGCCATGTTCCAATATGGTGACGAGAAACGTTACAACGATCAGAACAAGAACTTTATAGACCAATTGAGTCAGCCGAATATGTGGATGCGCGAGACAACAGTCCCTGCTGCTGCGCTAATGGTCCCAATACCATCTGAAGACGTCAAGCGTCACTTGCAGGATCTTCCCGGCACGTTGAACAAGATGCGTCGCTACTGCCGTGATGATGTGCTCAAAGCGGCCGTGGATATCCCACTGGAAGATTTTATGACCCAAGTCATTGAGCAAATCAAGTCGTACCAAAAGGAAACTCCAGCCATGATGACGGATGAAAACAAGTCATTAGTCAAGAATCAGAAACTGCTGAAGAAGAAGGCACTGGTGGACTTCTTGAAAGAACTACGCCGTCTGGGTCTTAAGTCGCGTCCAGGCACTTTGGCTGCTCAGAATGCGGATACCACATACCTGTTTAGTCAGCATGTGGCTGCTCTTGATACTGTTTTGCAGGATCGTCATTTGCAGAAGGCCAGACTGAACAGCTTCAGCAGTGGATCCGAGGACATGATCCAATTGTGGCAAAAGGCAAATGATTACTATTACCGCAGCATTGCACGGGTATCGCATCTGCGAAAACTTTGTACCACCGAAGTGAGCAAGGACTTGTCCCGTTTGGAGGTTGAACGCAGCATGAGCGCTACAGAGCATATGTTTTCCCTGGTACACAAGGAGCGTACGTTGGCGACACGGTTTGAAGGACAAATGCAAGTGCTCCAAAGCGCTGCAACTCAGCTGGCTGCGCTCTATGACACTGCCACTATGAACGTATCGCGCGTGGATCGAGTATTGGACCAACAGTTGGTAGCTCACAAAAAATGGGTGGATGACCTGGTCGATATGATTGGCAGTGCTGCTGCTACAGTTGCCATTCAAGGTGAATACAATGGCCAGCAAACAGTGGTGTCAATTCGACAACTGCATGCTCAGTTGGTCAAGGTGCAGCACACAGTCGACCGTTGCTTTGTCCAGCGGTACCTTTCGGCTGTTCATTTATCGTCACCAGCACTCCTTACTGCTGATATCGATGAAATGATCACCACTCACGAGTCAACAGTCAAGGCAACCATCCGTCCGGCCTTTGAAAACATCATGGAACAAGCACCGCAAACGACGCACGTAGTGCAGGCGATTCTTTCTCGTATCGACCGCCCTGGTTCTGTCCAATCTGTTCAAGGCGAGATTGCGTCCATGACAACTGTTGTGACACTTCGCGATCAACTTTACTCCATGATTGACGCCATCTTGGTCTCGGTACAAGATTTGAAGAAGGCCAAGGCTGAGAGTCAGACTGCAGCCCTGAAGGCCAAGGAAACCGAAGACGATGATGAGTTGTCCAACATGGGTGAGAACTACATCCGTGACCAGCATAGCGAGCAATTCACCCTGACACAGGCGTTGCACATGGATACCGTTGCCAAGCGATGCGTGTCAGCACTTGCGTCGGCCCATGAATTGCTATGCACGGACCACGCACAAGATACTCTGTGTCTGTTGCAGCAATCTTATCCATTCGTCCAACAATACATGCTCATCATCCAACACACGCTCAGCCAGTTCTTGACACACCACAAGGCCATGTCCAAGATGACTTATGCTTTGATCAACTCGTTTACCATTATTATCAGCAAAGGTTTCTGTATGCCTGCTAATGCGGATGAAGAAGGCGAAGAAGGCGAGGCTGATGGTACTACCATGGGCACGGGTATCGGCGAAGGTGAAGGCAACAAGGACGTTAGCGAAGAGATTGAAGACGAAGAGCAAGTGCTTGGCACACAAAACGAAGAGCAGCGCAAGCAAGAAAAGTCTGAAACCAAGGAAGAAAAGAACGGCATGGAGATGGAGAACGACTTTGAAGGCGAGTTGGAAGACGTCGAGGATGACCAAGACGATCAGAAACAAGATGAGGACGACGATGATGAAGAAGACGAAGAAGAAATGGACGATGAGATTGGCGACGTCGATGATATGGATGCAGTCGATGACAAGATGTGGGGCGACGATGAAGCACATGACGAGCGCAAGGATACTGACAAGACTGTGGACCAACAAGGTCAGCAGCAACAGCAAGAATCCGACATCGTTGCCAAGGATGAGGAAGAAGGCGAGGATCAGGAGCCACAAAGTAACGGTGAAAAGCCCGAACGCCAAGAGGAGTCTAGCACGACTGATCAAAAGCAGGACGATCAAGGCGATGAAAACGATGAACAAGGCGACGGTAGTGGTGACGAACATGAAGAGGAGGCTGGTGAGGATGATGATGGCACCGAGGAGAACCGAGCTGGCGAGCAGATGAACGTCGAAGTGCCTGAGGCTGAGACATTAGAATTACCTGAGGATTTGGACATGGATGCCAATGACGAGGAACAAGAAGGTGGCCAAGACGAAGAATTCTTTGATCCAATGGATATGGATGAAGAAACGAAGGATAAAGCTGAAGAAGAAATGGGAGAAGATGATGGTGAAGAGTTCCACGATCCATTAGACCATGTTGGTGAAGGCGAGCAAGAGCAGAACCAAGAAGACGATGAGCTGGCAGATGCAACGGCGCAAATGCCTGATCAAGAGCAAGAAGGGGATGAAAACAAGGAAGAAGACCAAGAAGAACAGCAAGAAGATATGGCTGGCGATAACGAACAGACAAAGGGCGGTCAGTTGGATGAGGATGAACAAGAGGAAGACGAAAAGGGCAAGTCGCATAACCGTGAGCATCCCAACGACGAGACCGATGCTGCAGACAACCAGTTTGGTGTCCAAGGTCAGGCCGGCAAGATGAGCTCTACCTCCAAGGGCAAACAGCAAGGCGAAGACGAGTCTGCTGAGGATGATGCACGAAATGAAGAAGAACCTGCAGAGACCAAGGACCAACAAGGCATGGCTGAACGTGGCACGAATCAAGCCAATGACGAACCAGACAAGGTCGATGAAGATGAAGAAACATCTGCTGAAGCTAAAACTAACCCGCAGCGTAGCCTTGGTGATGCTTTGGAAAGCTGGCGACGTCGTTTGGCCGATGTAGCCGATGCAGACGAGGACGATGAAGATGAAGATGGCCAGCAAGACAAGAAGGACGTTCAAGACAGCCGTGAAGCTCAAGTGAATGACGATCATGCTTTCGAATATGTCAAGAACGATGACGATGCACATGATATGCAAACCATGGGTAATGCAGCTGTTGATCAACTTCAAGATATCAACATGGGTGCAATGGATGAAACAACACAAGACGAAGAAGCGCAAGCTGGCGAAATGGATCTAGATGACGAGGAAAAGCAACAAGATCAAGTTGATACGATGCCTTTGCCACAAGAAAGCATAGGTGAAGTGCAAGGTGATCAACGCGGCGCTATTCTCAGCAAACGTCTACCTGAATCAGATCTTCCTGCAGAAGGCGAGGTATTGACCATGGATGAATCCTTGGTTGCCCATGAGCCATTGGATCCAGAAGCTATTGAGCGTATGCGTCAAGAATTAGAGACAACAGTATCGGAATGGCGTGAAGAAGGCCGTGATATCCATCAAGCACGCGATCTTTGGCAACGCTATGAGAACTTGACACATGACTTGGCCATGGGCTTGTGCGAACAGCTGCGACTCATCCTTGAACCGACTCTGGCAACAAAGCTCAGGGGAGACTATCGTACAGGAAAACGACTCAATATGAAGAAGATCATTCCGTATATTGCGAGTCAGTTTAAGAAGGACAAGATCTGGCTTCGACGTACCAAGCCTAGTAAACGTCAGTATCAAGTCATGATCTCAGTCGACGACTCCAAGTCTATGTCCGAGTCGCACTCTGTACAGCTGGCTTACGAGACGCTCTCATTGATTTCCAAGGCTTTGTCACAGCTCGAAGTCGGCGATATCTCCATCACATCATTTGGTGAACGTATTCGTCTCCTACATCCATTTGATCAGCCGTTCACTGCCGAAGCCGGTGCTTCAGTCTTACAACAGTTTACCTTTGCACAACAAAAGACGCATGTCAAGCAACTAATTGAATCATCTTTGTCGTTGTTCGAGAACGCTCAAAACAGCTCAAGTGGTGAACTATGGCAACTACAGCTTATTATTTCGGACGGTATTTGCGACGACCACGAAACACTCAAGCAATTAGTCCGACAAGCTATGGACCAACATGTCATGCTGATCTTTATCGTTGTTGACAACAAGCCCGAAAACGATTCGATTTTGAAAATGACGAACGTAAAGTACACTACTGTAAACGGCAAACTCACGTTACAAATGCGACCGTATTTGGAAACCTTCCCCTTCCAGTACTTTATGGTACTCCGTGATATTAATGCTCTTCCTGAAGCCCTCTCTGATGCTCTGCGACAGTACTTTAGCTTTGTATCTGCTTGAAAATCCCTCTCTCATGTATGTAATAATTAATCATAGAATAATAATAAAAATTAAAGATATCTTTATTGTAATAATACATTTTTTCGATCCTGCTTCGACTTGGGAGTGGTTATCTCGTGCATCAACTGGGTCAGAGGCTCGTATAGCCAAAATCCAACAGCAAAAAACAGCGGCAAGAGCAGGGTGGGCCGGAGGGGACATGGTGGTAACACTATCAGGTAATTCCTTCTTCCAGAAAGTGGCATATGATGTAATTTAATGATCTCACGACGCTATATAAATAACTGCAAACGCATACTACCTATGGTGTGATTGACCATGGACATATTATAAGGAATTACTCAGCGAAGCGTCGTTGCAGTGCTGGTGGCCACTTTCACTGTTGGCTATTTTCATAGGTAAAGCAACAAAAACAGTAAAGCACGGCTTGATTCTCATTAAGATCTTTCTAATACGATCGATGCTATTTTCAATATACAGTCGAGCCATCGCTTTTGAAAGAGAAAAAAAGACCCAACCTATCTCATTCAAGGAAACTCTTAACTTTGTGCACAGAATATGCCATGAGTTTTGGTACTGTCGTAGTTGACTTTTGCTACCGTCCTGCTCATCTACACTACGGCCCTTTACCCGCGATCGTAAGAGAGAATGCGGGAGGGGAAAAGCAAGGCATAGTTTATTACGTTTTACCCTGATAGTTCTTTCTTCATTTTAATATCATTGTAGTAGTAACGAGGCTGCTCTCGCTGTTCAGCGTAGACCCAATGTTTCGCGTTTTGACCGATTTTCTTGAGAAGATTGTCAACAGTAGAATGATCATGGCAACCATTTCCTTGAAAATCGAAGCTTTGGCTAATGCATAATTTTAAGAGCTTGTTTGTCGTTATCTGCATTCGTGTGTCGAGGAACCGTTCCAATTTTGACGTGGGCAAGATTTGGTGATCCAGCTGAAGCCTTAGCTCTTCTAACGCATACATGTTCTGCGCTATGACGTTCAGTACGGCTGATGTTATTACGTGTGGTATCAATATCAATGTGAGCTTTTTTAGTTCCTGTCGCTGCTGCTGCTGGACATCAATTACTGGTTTCGATAATGTTTCCAGCAACGTTAATAAGGAAGCCTCAGTCATAAGACATCCGTTCAGCACCAATGATTGCAAGCGTGCTTTGGGGGTGATTGAAGATACCAAAGCGTCGTGCGTGTTGTTCACATCGCACAAAGATAGACTTGTCAAGTTTGGAGTTGATGCATTCGACAGGAACGGCCGCAAGTCCAATGCAATAGTGTCACGCTCGTTATAAGTGTCCAACTTGAAATTCCTAAGGGAAGAAAAAGTAAGTGTCGTTAGGATGTCCCTGCTGTGGGGTACGTATCCTTGAATAACAAGCGACAGCAGCTGTTCGCTCAAATCTCTCGCCAATTCCAGTGAGATATCTTGAAGCCTGCTTCTGTCGCCATCGATGCTGTAGTAGATGCGCAGTTGCTGAACATCTCTCGCTCTTGTCGTCGTCGTCATCGCTGTTGTTTCCGTTGCTATGGGCGTTGTCATACAATAACGGTCATCGTCTGTAGAGGATGAGGATGCCATATCCATGCAAAAAGCGTTGGAGCCGTTGTGGAGAGCTAGAGATTTAAGATTTGGCGAGTATTGTCGTAGTGTTTGTGAAACGATAGACCATTGCCGCCATTGTACGAAAACAAACCATCAGTGCTTAAGCACAAGCACTTTAGCTTGGGCGTCGCTTGTAGGAAGGGCACTGGATCAAAGTTGAGATCGTCAATGTTGTAAAAGTTAAATGATAGGTCGCACAGTGTGGGGTGTTCGAAATTGGTTAGGTCTGGCTTCCAAGATTCAGGATAGCTGATCCATCCCATGAAAGCAAATTTGATAAGACTCGGACATCGTCGAAGCACACTGTCTGGACGGATGTTGCGTGATCACATCCTTGTACCATCAGTATGATGTGAGTCAATGCAGAGCCACAAGTATCTGCCAAGGCTGAAAATTGCGCGTTGGTAAAATGTGGCAACCTCAGGTCAACTATTACAATATCATTTGGAGTTACAAAAAATCCACTAAAACGGGAGGACGCCAAGATGCCGGTTTTCATTTCCATATGTGCAGTATGAACTTTTAGCTGACCTCGAGTAATGGCATAGAAGTGTCGTGTTTTGATAAAGTCAGTAATTTAAGACCAAAGGCCTTCTTCGCCTGTATGGACAAGGATACTTTTGACAGACGCGCTTCGAATGTAAGAGCCATACGAGGGCAGTAGATCCAGGATTCTATCATTCTTGTAATCTTCTGTCGATAAGCGCGTCCAAAGTGGTTGCCAATTCAGAACCATGAATCGCCACCCTTGGCATACAGAAGCTAATCGCCAACATTCACGTAAGGTTAGATGTTGAAAAATCTTGTCGTGAATTTCATAAGGCAGTAGCGGAAGATTTTGAACTGCTGGCTGACTGGTCTGGCTTCGGTTGGATCGGATGGCTGGTAGAGACCTCTGGGGCATCATCCGGTTGCTACTTGACAACCAACTTAGAACTGGTAATTGAAACGCGAAAAAAATGCCCGTCCGTGTATGGTCTGAATTGGGAAAGTTACTCGGGCCGCCGCCGACAACGACGAGCGACGACGATGATGATCTGTGACAGAGAGGAGAAGGAAAAATAAAAGTAAAAACATATAAAAGCCTGGTCAGCTTTTGTTGGGCGCGCCCTTCTTTTCCCGATTCGCCCCACTACTTTTTAAAAGTTGTAATATTGATCCTTCTTATCATCACTTCATCGAGGCAATATCACATTAAGCGTTCTGTAAAGTGGCCGCAGGCGGGAATTCTTTCCTTCTGTCTTCGCTTTCCACAATTTAACGAATAGGCAAGTTCTCCTCCCATATCGAAATTGAGATACAATACTCTTATAATTTGCAGAAGATATTCGCACCCAAACAAGTACTTGTTTCCATGTTTTGTAACATTTTAACTCTCACTGTAAGCGGGTTTGGTATCAATTGACAACATATTTAGCTTTACAAAAAAAAGTATCATGCTCCGGAAGAACATATAATAGTAAGGCGCTGATATCTTACATGACCTGAGCCTAGCCCTATGATAAGAGATATAACTACTTTATGAAACGCTCTCATTTGCCGTACGACACAACAAATATAGCATAACAGCTGAAAGAAGAAATGGTAGGGAACAATGATGGTTGCCCTCATTCTTGGTTTTAAGGATGCTGTTCAGAAGGTACGAATCATGGCGCACTTTGCATTTGTTACTCTTTTTGTAAGATTACACTTGTAGCCCAGGTGCATCGATGCGGATTTGCTGAGAAGCTGTGCCAGTATTGAAGACAAAATGTGCAGCTGCTCCTGGGGAAGCAATACCTGGTAGTATTGAGCAAATTTCACTAATATTGCGTATCATAGCATTGGAGTTACTGTGTCAACGTACAAGATATAAAGGAATGACTCATTCTTCCTTCAACGTAGCAGCGGCACTACTGTGCAATGGTAAAGAGGTCGGTCTATTGGCATATTACTTTTATAACTGATTGATTGCAAGAATGCCAACTATTAAAAGATGTTTATGAGCCTCAAGATGATAAGATGATAACTTGAAGAATTGTCTTTGCCGCAACGCTTAAACGCAATGTGAATCCCTACAGTATGCGCACTTCCAGCTAACATTACTCACAGTTAGCAAACTCATATTTTTTTTTCTTATTCGCCTCTTACCCAGCTCGCCCACTGTGGGAAATTGGAGAATTGGAATTTGAGAATGAGAAAAACCATTTGTGGAGTTGAGTAAAGGATAATTGTAGAGGATCGCTACACGCGCTGCAAATTTCATTCCATATACCGGAGTTTGTTCTCCATCGACATTGACTGCTTTGCAGACGATCACAGTGGCAACTATATTGTTCGTTGCAACTGTCTCCAATGTGCAATCTGGAACAAAATTGATGATCTCGCAGCAAATCTGAGCATATATCATCTTCTTGAACGAGCCCTTGAGCTCCCTCCTCGCTTCGCATGAAGAAGTCTTACATCAATATTAAACATGTACATACAAGTTTAACGGGTGAAAAGTTAAAAGAAACAATTTTTATTTGGTACATTTAACTACTAATTACTAATAGGGTGTCGATGTCTTAGCTTCTCTGCTCTTAAGCAGATACTGACAGGAGCAACCACTGGAAGGTGCATCGACATCTGCTCCCGTAACCCTCTCACCACAAAGCTAGGGTCTTGTCTTGGTCGCTTTGTGGATCACGGAAGGTCGATTGGTATTGAGATGCCCAGTCCGGTCTCACCAATCGCGATCACTTACCTACCTATTTATACAGTAAGTCGCTCCGTGTCAAAACAAGCATCAGCACCCACCCCTACACTTACCTACCCTCACTCACACTCACTCACATTCACACACACAGAAAAAAAGGAAGGGACTTACCATACGTGATCGAAAAGAGAAGAGAAAAAGCGATGAGTCTAGCCTTGAGAGTCGATGTTGAGAGTCGATTGCCGAGAGTCGATTGCCGAGAGTCGATTGCCGAGAGTCGAACGCGATCCCCAGTGTCACCCTTGGCTCTTCCCTTGGTCCTGGTGTTGCTCCGTTGCGCCTGTCCAACCCTTATTTCCGGTAATCCTGGCTGCCTCCAACTGGTCCCTGCTTGGTTTGTCCAGTCTCGCGTTCAACGGTGTTGGTCACAACCGGTCTCCTAGTGGACCAGAGGACGGAGGAATCCTTTTCGGTTTCTCGCCATAGAAATATGGTAGTGTCCTTTTGGTTGGATGCCTTGTTCTCCCGGTCTGGTCTACTATGGTGGGAAAAACCTAACTTATACAGTAAGTCGCTCCGTGTCAAAACAAGCATCAGCACCCACCCCTACACTTACCTACCCTCACTCACACTCACTCACATTCACACACACAGAAAAAAAGGAAGGGACTTACCATACGTGATCGAAAAGAGAAGAGAAAAAGCGATGAGTCTAGCCTTGAGAGTCGATGTTGAGAGTCGATTGCCGAGAGTCGATTGCCGAGAGTCGATTGCCGAGAGTCGATGTTGAGAGTCGATTGCCGAGAGTCGATGTTGAGAGTCGATTGCCGAGAGTCGATTGCCGAGAGTCGATTGCCGAGAGTCGAACGCGATCCCCACCATAGTAGACCAGACCGGGAGACAAGGCATCCAACCAAAAAGGACACTACCATATTTCTATGGCGAGAAACCGAAAAAGGATTCCTCCGTCCTCTGGTCTCACTAGGAGACCGGTTGTGACCAACACCGTTGAACGCGAGACTGGACAAACCAAAGCAGGGACCAGTTGAGGGCAGCCAGGATTACCGGAAATAAGGGTTGGACAGGCGCAACGGAGGCAACACCAGGACCAAGGGAAGAGCCAAGGGAAGAGCCAAGAGAAAGACCAGGAGGAACCAAGGGAGTGAAGGAAAAAGAAAAATGAAGGAAAGAAAGAGTGAAGAGAAAAAACGAAATGGCCTGAAAAATGTGGGCGTATTTATATCTTTTGGTATCATCAACCCCTACAATTCATGGAAAGCAGTGCGCAGCGCACACACGCCCACATGATTATGATAGACTGGCAACTTGCGGTCCAGGCTGTTCAAGGACTCCCTAATACCATTTCCTGAACTTGCTGTTTCATGCTGCTGCTAGCCTTGTCGCGTAAACGGGTCTCGCGTTCAGCGTGGCGTGCACTATAATATATCAGAAATGCCATTTTTTGAAAGAGGTGTGTTTCAAAATATTGTAACGACTTGACGTTTGGATGATATCAAAACACCCTCTCCTTTTCTTCAACGATGCTGATGCTCGGCAGAAAAGAAAAGGGGATGTTTTGCTCGCACAAGGCACCATAAGGTCCAGCCTACGATTTTCACATGAGAGACTCCCAGCACTCCGTCTCCCAAGTAGACATCGATTCTCACGCAATTATCGGTTGCCGATCCTCCAAGCCCGCAATGATGGATGTGGACAGCTTAAACTAAACTGTCAAGGGCAGACTATAGAGCAGCATGGCTGTTTTCAGCATAGTATGCGCGTCATCCTAAAACTACTATTATCGATACAGGCTGCTTCTTCAGGCTGATAGTGCTGTTGGGTTTGCTCATTTTCTCATCCACCTCCCTTAGCAGTAGCGACACAAAGCCAATCAGACGTGGTGATTACTTCCTCGGCGTATGTACGGGCGATGTATGATACATGTGAAAAAACAAAACAAAACAAAAAGCAGGTTTCGGCTGGTACCCTCCGAATAATTTTTTTCCTTTCGATTATTTTTGCGAACGAACTACGCGAAGATAGAAACAAAAAAAAAATAGGTGAAAAACGCGTACCAAAGTGTGGTAAAGCGCGTTGTAATAGTGTTACATACTGTCGCTACGATACAGAAGATCTGTCATTGTTCCCCGCGTTGTTGGCACGGACCTGTGGATGGGAGTGGGGGTACTTTTTTTTTTTCAAAAGAAGCGGGGTCTTGAACGTGTGCATGAAAAGGCACCCATTTTCCGCAGCGTGCTGCTTCCTCGCTTTTTCTCGATCACATGTGGTAAGTCCCTTCCTTTTTTTCAGTGTGTGTGTTGATGCTTGTTTTGTTGGCACGGTGCGACTTCTAAGGTAGGCACGTCGAGATTGGTCCAGCCTACGATTTTCACATGAGAGACTCCCAGCACTCCGTCTCCCAAGTAGACATCGATTCTCACGCAATTATCGGTTGCCGATCCTCCAAGCCCGCAATGATGGATGTGGACAGCTTAAACTAAACTGTCAAGGGCAGACTATAGAGCAGCATGGCTGTTTTCAGCATAGTATGCGCGTCATCCTGAAACTACTATTATCGATACAGGCTGCTTCTTCAGGCTGATAGTGTTGTTTGGTTTGCTCATTTTATCATCCACCTCTCTTAGCAGTAGCGACACAAAGCTAATCAGACGTGGTGTTTACTTCCTCGGCGTGTGTACGGGTGATGTATGATACATGTGAAAAAACAAAACAAAACAAAAAACAGGTTTCGGCTGGTACCCTCCGAATAATTTTTTTCCTTTCGATTATTTTTGCGAACGAACTACGCGAAGATAGAAACAAAAAAAAATAGGTGAAAAACGCGTACCAAAGTGTGGTAAAGCGCGTTGTAATAGTGTTACATACTGTCGCTACGATACAGAAGATCTGACATTGTTCCCCGCGTTGTTAGCACGGACCTGTGGATGGGAGTGGGGGTATTTTATTTTTTTTTTCAAAAAGAAGCGGGGTCTTGAACGTGTGCATGAAAAGGCACCCATTTTCCGCAGCGTGCTGCTTCCTCGCTTTTTCTCGATCACATGTGGTAAGTCCCTTCCTTTTTTTTCAGTGTGTGTGAGTGTGAGTGAGGGTAGGTAAGCGCAAGGGTGGGTGCTGATGCTTGTTTTGTAGGCACGGGGCGACTTCTAAGTAGGTAAGTGGATTGGTGAGACCGCTGGCATCTCAATACCGATCGGACCCTCCGAGATCCATAAAGCGACCAAGACAGAACCAGCTTTGTGGTAGAGGGTTCGGGAGCAGATGCCGATGCACCTTCCCGCAAAGCTAAGACATCGACACTCTCGTTTTTGGACGAGCCTCTTTAGGAATTTGACCAATTTAAATAAAGGCCTTGTTGTTGTTGTCCCCCGTCTATCAAACATGTGCTGTTTGTTATTGTATTAGCAATACTTATCAAGTAAAAGGAAAAACACAAGGACGAAGCTGATCTTTAAAGCAAACTTCCTTGTAAACGGATTTTCTATACTGTCCCTCGTCTTTAAAAGTATAAATAACCGAAAACCAGCTAACATTGACAAAAAAAAAACTTTGCTGGCATAGCAAGCATGAGTTTGTGGGATCGAATGACAGCCCAGCGAGTACTCGTACAACGAGGATCATAAGAACAAGGGAAGTTGTTAGCTGTGCAATGTCAATATAAGTTGTCGAGGGAATTATTCATTAGCTTGATAGTCCACTCTAGCTTTTCCTAGCGATATTATCCAAAAACGAGCATGAAGATCGTAGTCAATCCAAGCATAAGTACCGTGATAATTATCCTTGAGTGCATATAGCTGACTTTGCCGGACCAACCGATGGCATAAAGCGTATGTATAGCTCAGGTGGTGCAGGTATCAGCAACATCACTACATCGTGGTATCCTAAATTTACAACACTAACAGAAAACTCCTTCACGCAAAGCGAGCTTGACGAGTGACCGTCTAAACCAACTCTACCTAATGCACGACGCGTGTAATATAATAGTCTCTCTTCTATATCTCCTATAAACTACAAAGGTATTGTTCCCGCAAACGGATAGTACCTCTAACTCAACGTCATTCACGAATCGGATATGCCATAAGGAGAAGAAATCATCAAGATTTCTATCGGAATGATCTATGTGATACATGAATATACTACTACTGCCTGTCATTAGTATAACACGAATTATTCACACGCCGGCCGGGAATGATGCCAGTTGTAAAATATCGCAAATTAACTGACAGAAATCAGTCGCGATTCACGCAAGATAAAAAGTTCATTCGTTGCCACAGAAACCAAATCTCCACTGCAGCCAGCACCACTGCCAAAATCACTGGTGCCAAGTCAAAGAGACAACAAGACCGCTTAGTTCAACAGAACAGATCAGTAACACTTGGATTCTGTTATGTAACAAACGTTTGTCACAATCGATCGAGAAACAACACCCGCAAAAGAAACATAGTATTGTAGCATACATAAAATAAATGTTCATGTCTCCTCAATAACATGCATGTCAGAGAGAGGCAGACACACGATGATTACCGCGTATGTTTGTTGTTGATGATCGATGTTGGTTATCTCTGTGGTTATTTGTATCGTTAGGATATGCTAGAGTATTATCGAAAATGTCCGTCTCCACGATATGTCAGGTACTACCTATTTTCTGCAGAAATCATCTTCTTCTGCCTGTTTCTGTCTCTCTTCACATGCCACATTTTCTATCATTATGCGATCAATGACGATTTCGCAACCTTACCCACAAAGTCCGACTTGCCAAAAAGAAAGCAGCCGGTAGCAAAACAGAGATACAGCAGAATCATGTAAAACGAAAAAGAAGAGAAGAAACGGTAACTTCCTTTTGTGGTAGTGCCCTTGATCACCATTGTCGTCATGAGGGCTGAAATATGTGTGTGCCCTGTGCCCCAAATGGGTAGGACAGAAAACCCTGCTGTGTTGCTCGTGTGTGTGTGTGTGTGTGTGTGTAGCAATCCACAATATGATATGCGTACTATTAGCAGAGAAGATTATAGTTTGTGACTTCCAGACAGGCCCCCACCCGTCGAATAAGAAACAAGTCCCAGCAGCCCTTCTGTCTCCCATTTTATTTGTTGGGCAAAATGGGGTCCTTTTTATAATTGAGAACAGCAGTTCGAGCAGGAGAATATAACAAATAAAGTAATAAGACGGACCTCTTATAACCGGAATCCGATAACAAAGGCCTGCCCTGAAAATCTTCCGGGCCTAACGGGCGATGGAGCTCTGATTGGATGGTATATTTCTAGATGTGATGATGTTATAGACCAGTCGGTGTTTTTTTGGGGTCGGCTTGAAGAACGATTTGGGGGTGGGGGGGGGTGTTATATGTTGCCATGTTCAGAGTGAAATTGATATGGTACCGTCAAATGGCAGTATATAATAAGGGGGGAAGCAGCTCCTGTGTTTTTGTTTTATGTGTATTTGTGTTTGTTTCAGCCTAAAATTTAATTTTGTAGTATATCAAGCAGCAGTGCTGTTTATGCTAATTTCTTATCTTTACTCAAGTTTTGATAGTAGTTGCTATGTATAAACACCCAGCGTCTTAGCGCAGTAATAACATCAACACAAGCATATCATTTATACAAAATCTAGAGAGACTATTAGTGACAGTTGCGGTACTAGTTGTATTGCGATTATTATAATATGATTTACACACAGTTAGAAAAACAAGGTAATAGTAAGCTTAATTACTTTTGGGCATAATCCATTGCCACTGCCAGACCATCCACTATCTTTTGTGCCTTGACAATATCATTGTAATCATTAGCTTGAGGATTGGTATGGCGCACAAGATCTTTTATCAAAAATCATAAGTGCTTAGTTAACTCAAAATAAAGCCATCACAAATTATAAAAAGATCGAGGCTAAATTTTGTACGATACCTGTCAACAAGAGATTGTATCGAGCCACGCGCTGTATCGGAATGATCAGGTAATCATTCATTGTAAATTGTCTTGTTTCCCGGCGTTCCAGCAATTTCTACACAGAAATCTCGAAACATTAGTATCATACATAAAGATATATAACTTACTGGATATACTCACTTCTCGATATCGTCTGTATCCTTTGTTGTGTCTGCTCATCTTGAGCAACCTTTTATTTTCCTTGTAGTCCAATGCGCAGCGCAGAAAGACCACCATATCATGCGCCATTTCACACATGGTGCTGCCTATACATACATCGCCAACACAACCAACCGGTGCCGAAGGATCTTCACCCACATAGCTGTTGTCATCACCATCGATGCTGCTTGTATGACCACTGTCATTGTCGTCAAGCAAGAGATGAGGTGGATCGACCTGATCCAGTCCTGCAAAATATTGCAGCTTTTGCAATAATTTTGCTGAAAACTGGAGTAAATCAAACAAGTTGGCAAACAAGTCGAAATCGTCTTTGCGAGCAAACGCCGAGTTTCGTGAAATGGCCGTCATTAAAGCATCGTGAAACATCTGCATAAATTACATAATCATAAGTGACTTTGCCGACAGATTTCTTGTAGTAGAAGGACATTACCACTTTGGCGAAATAGAGCTGATTCCAAAAAGTCACTTCAGTCGTGTATAACTCGCGTAGTATAAATTTGCGTGTCAGGGAGTACTTTAGCTTTTTCTCCTCGGGTATATCCATACTTTGTCTTGGTGGCGGAACACTCGTCAAGGCCTGTTGAACCGCTTGTTTCCAGACTGCAAGCGCCTTGCTTTCTTTACGCTGACTGACTCGACGTCGTAAACGTAATGAACGAGCGGGTACAGCTGCTGTTGTTGATTGTTGTTGTTCATGCTCCTGTTGTTGTGACAACGTTGGTTGCTTGGCCTTTTTCAGTACAGAAGGTCCAGGTTGGCTACGACGCAGGACATCTTCAATGGACAATACTTTAGTGGATGTAGGCTGCGAATCGAGCTCCTGGAATTTGGCTGTGCTTGGACAACTGGATCGACGGCGAAGTGGTGGGTGCGCCACCAATTGTGGTGGTGGTTCGGGAGGATCGACAGTGACGCCTGCCGGCTGGAAACACTGTTTGCTGGTGCTACTATCATTATTGTCATTGGTGGGAACGGTAGTGGTTGAAGGAGGGCTCGAGTGTAGCTTTGGATGGACCAAGTGAGGCCACTTGTTTCTACTGGAAGAAGACGAGGTCGTTGATTGCGAATCGGGCGATGGCGGTGCCGTCTTTGGCCATGGAAACATAGAGTCTTCTTGCGTCTGTATCTGGTGAAGATGATGACTAGGCTTTTTTTTCCGCAGACCTATTGTCCAAGATTTATGTCGGTAAGCAAGGTGGTGGTGGTGGTGGTGCTCGCCTCCAACGGGTGTTGTTGGCCTGGGCGGAACGGTATTGTCGTGGTGATGATCGTCGTCGCTGCCATGGTAATGGGTGGTGCTGTTGCGATGATCGGATATCTTGAGCTTAGCAAACTCTTGCAGACTTTCACATCGACGTTGCATCGAGTGAGGCTTCTTTGTGAATTAAGCTGTTGCGGGGGGATGCTACGGGGATGAGACAAAGAACGGAAGGGAAGAAAGAAACGGAATATAAGAACAAGGGCTACATTGGCAAAGGACGAGAGAGACAAGATGGGGGAAATGACAAGCGTTGGGTTTTGAGTGAGGTAGGTAAAACATAGCCCATCGAATATCATCGATTTCTGCCTGTCAAGCTCGCTAAAATAAATCAAGCGGGTTGCAGTTCCGAAACACCCGGGTTTGCGCGCCTATTTTTTCGTACAACGCCCTCATGCACCACATATCGTGACGCGCTACGTGTTGCGAGCAGTGCGTAATGTGTACATCAGTGTTTAGCAGTAGTAGTAGTGCCGCTTACCTGGTATACACCCACCCCGCCTCAGATCATCACCCACCTAACCCCTCTTATTTCTCTGAGCTTGTACATATATTCACGCATAAACGCCAGTAGCCTGACACTGTCCAAAAGCAGATGCGATCCATCGTTGTCTTGTTGTTAGCCATCGTGGTGATGTTGCCAATGGCAACTTGGGCATTCGAATTCAAAAACATTCTGTTTGGAGGCAGCAGTAGTGGTAATGAAGACATCGCAGAACAGCAAGATCGCTCGTTTGGGGTGCCAGAACAAAGACGTCCTCAGCGTCAGCCAGTGAGCTCACTCGGTAATTATTAGGGTTGCTCTTTCTATGAAATTGATTATGCACAGCAACGGTTCATTATCATTGTTATTGGTAGAATAATATAATTGGAAACGTGCTTGTGTTTCTATCAGATTAGTAAATTTAAAAAATAATAACAATCAATATGATGAAAATAGAAAACTGCAAAGGATACGTCTGCCACCACCAGCAGCAGCAGCAGGCAGCAGAAGCAGCAGTAGCAGGCGTGTGCGTACAGGAGCCGATCGACTGCCCGTGTCCACATCCGCTCGAGACAAAGCAGCGTGTAGGCGAGTGGTATGCATGTGTGAGAACCGGTCTCTGACACGTTTCGGTTGAGCCGGAGCCCGCCTTTTTTTCTGATTCCTTTAAGGGGCTGTCATTGAGATCAAATCATTGTTGTTGTTGTTGTTGGTGTTCCTTCGTCGTGGTCGTCGCTGCTTATTACCAGTACTTGTCCCTTCAATAATAAAAGTCGGCCTTTGTTTTTCCTGCTTTCTCTTTTTCGCTTCTTTTCTTCCTTTCTTTCACTTGTGCCAGTGTGTCTTTCTCTGTCTCCCACGTAAATCACACACAAGACCATGATCAATAATACCTCCACGACCAAGCAGTCCGTTCTGTACAAGACAGAATACTGTCGCAACTGGACTGAGCTCGGTCAATGCCGCTACGGCAAAAAGTGTCGCTACGCCCACGGCGATGGCGAACTTCGTACCGTTCCTCGCCACAGCCGCTACAAAACCCAAATCTGCCGTGCCTACCATGTCGACGGCGCGTGTCCTTACGGTGTTCGATGCACATTCATCCACGACTATAACAGCACAGCCGTGCCAATGCCATTCAGCGACAACACCAGCAGCAGCAGTGATGGTAATGACGTCCAACAACAAGAACAACAACAACTCAACAACAAGGGTTACTGGCGAAAGTTGCCTATTCCGTCGCATCGAACTGATTCGCGGTTCTTTCAACGTAGTAGTGCTGCTTCTAATAGCTGTTCAGCCATGTTAGCAGCAGCAGTAGCAACAACAACAACACAAGACAGCAACGTGCATCAATCATTAGCGTCACTTGCTCCTCAAAATCGACGTTTCAGCATTGGCAGCAGTAGTGGTGCTTCATCATCCTCCTCCTCCTCGGTCTCTTCCTTGTCAAACTCGTCTTCACTCTGCCCGAGCACCTCGACACGATCGACCAACAGCTGGGAAGAGCACTTGTTCGAGACATTGTCGCCGTTGTCCTTGGCACAAACATCCTCGTCGCCATTACCATCAACGCCTGTAGCCTATCATCAGCTCTTCTGTGGCGACAATGACAAGAACATCAACTCTGCCACTGCTGCTATCACTAGCAACAGCAACAGCAGCAACAACAACAACAACAACAACAGCCACAAACAGCTAGTGTTCCCTCCAGCTCCTCCACGGTATCTGTCTTCGGCAATGATGTACTGAAAGATACAAGCATATACTATACCACCATCCATCCTCTCCACCAAAAATCCATCACTTGCACAATAACCACATTTGCTTTCTCATCGATAATACCCGTTCCATCATTCACTGGACAGACGATACTGCCAGTAGGTGGTTCGCCATTTGCGCCTTTTCTTCATTCTTTTTATTGCCTTTTTCTGTAGTGTTTCCTATGTACTGTTGTTTGATTATTTTATCCACTTTTGGGTCGCTCTTAATACATTATTATTATTTTTCTTTCATCAAAGACAAAAGAGATTTCTCCGCGTGATGCGTTCGTTACAGGTTTCAGAAGCATTGGGCGCAATTTCTATGTGTCACATCAGCAGCAGCATTGCTCTTATCTGTTATGCTTTTTGATTTCCACGAGCAACCGATCAAAACAGAACAACAACAACAATAACAATAACAACTGCAGAATGTGCCAGGAAAAGTACTGATACAAGAAGTCCTCTTAACCCCTGTCTTTACTTTTCTTTGTCCTTCCTCCCTTTTCATCCTCCTCCCCTAAAGCGCACACTGGCGGGTCTGGTGTGGGGACACATCTAGTACCAGAGTATGTCCCATGGATTCTCGAGAAAGACATAGTAGCACTAAGCAAGTACAAAGAAATACGCCACTACCAACAAGTTGGAACCAATTTCTGAAACTTGTATGCCACACACACACACACTCCTCCCTTTTCCACCCTCCGAAAACAAACTGACAACTCGCTCTGGGAAGATACATGTGGCCTATTGGTTTATCCTTCCATCACCATCATCACCGCCAACCACTAACTCCCCCCCCCCACGAACGTAAACATGCATGTCTGTCACCCCTCGCCTCCTGCCTGAATTCGCGCCTTTTTCTTTACCGTTTCTTAATGTGATGTGTGTAGTATGTGCCGTCTACTATTGAATATTTGTAAGATCTGACAAACAAAATTATATGCGTGCGATGCTGCAGGTGACAACTGTGGGACAGTGGCACCACATTTTTTGGATGATAAATGAGAGATTATTCTTCACACCATATTATGCAGCATCATTGCCCAGTCCTACGAAATGTTGGGGCACTGCGTGCTATCTGGCAACAGTACATAATGAACATCTTGCATGATAAATAAAACTATATTGATGATATGGTGATGCTAGTGATGATAATTATGATTTTGAGTTAATCACAGGTTGTATATAATAAGGAGACGTTGTATATACAAAAGAAAGAAAGCCGGTTATTGAGACTATGTGTAATGTGTGAATGTATAAAGTGTGAATGGAGAGAGAGAGAGAGAAAACGGAGAGGGGTAAAGAGATTATACGTTCTGTACAATCGTTACTTCGTTAAGGAAAGTCTCATCCATCGGCGCTTCGCCTAAAACAAAGTCGTCAGGATCATAGTCTGGATCGGCTAGATTTGTCGGTCGAGATATCGTAAGATTCCGTTCGTTGGCCAGATGCAGGAGACAAATAAAGCAGAATGGCACCGATATGTCCTTCAATGCCTTGACTGTATACATTCTGCGCAGCTCTTGCAGAATATCAGTGAATCGCTGAACACCTTGCACTGAATCCGGATCGACACTGTCGTTGCCTGGCGTTGATTCTACTGGTGGCGATGGTGTATCCGGCTATAGTTTGTTATTTTAACAGTAGTTAGTGATTGGGTACTGACAAGCGGGATAGCAGCAGGAACGGTGTTTCTAGAATACTTGCCTTGGGTAGCGTGAGTGCTTTCCACAGGTTATCTTTTAACTTTTTAACGTCGACACGTTTGGCTGTGCGGGCATAGTTCACATACAGCGGCTTGGTCTTCTTTAAGCGATGGTTGGTAATCAGAGCATCGCCATAGAGGTGTGAATTTTCTACGTCGTCATATGTGTCATAGTACGAATCTTGATAGAACGACGTATCTTCCAATGCAGTGAGAACGGCTATGGAGAAATAATATTCAAATCAAATAAGCGCATTCATTTCTGTATGAGAGTGCATGTATGTACACACTCGCACCCATTGTCATTGACAACAACAACAACAACAACTTACTTTGATCTTGTGTGTCGGCTTGTGTCTGATATGGTTCGTCGGGTGTACTTTCAGTTTGCTGATCTGCCCAAAATTGTGTATCTGGACCATAATCATCCACACCAGGGTCATAGTCTAATCATTATAGAGCGTATGTGTGATTAGTCAAAGTTTGCGTATATATGCATTGCTACTTACCATATTGCTGGTCATCTTCTTGTGGTACAGCAGCAGCGTCTTCTTCCCCTGTTTCTTGTCTCTGCTTCTTCTTGCTTCGCATCTGATATACAGAAACAAATAATGCGTTATCCAGACTACTCTATCTCCCCCCTTCTTTGTTTAAACTGTCCAAGGAAACACCCACACTTACCGAAAATGTAGGTTTCAAAAAGAGCTTCAATAGCTGCTTCGATGAGAAATGCATGTCATCTGGTAAAAGATGAATGTCGTCTTTGACGGCTGATTCTTGCACACTGGACATGCTGATCTTGGTCCGTTTATCTGTTGCAAACAACATATCTTCATCCACATCCTCACCAGCAATAAAGTCGATTTGAAATGCTTGTTTTTGCTTTTTCCGTGACTTTTCACCTTCGGCACCTTCTTCTTGATTTGCTGTAGTATCCTTTTCTTTGGCCACTACAGAAACATGGTTCGTTGAATAAAACAAGGGAGCGATCTTGCAGTAGCTCATGATTACCTTTTGATACGGGTCGTCGCAACTTCCAATGTTCAGGACCAGCCCAGTTTTTGTTAAATGCCGTATCAAAGTAGCTAAACATGTCACTGCCATTGCCTCCCGTCATGGCACTCATAAAGTCGGTTTCTTGCAAAGGATTCTCATTATCTCCACCGATGCTTCCTTCATCTTGTCCGCCCGCAGCATCGCCATCAGCATCGCCATGGCCATCGCCAAATGGAACATCGTCAATACCATCCAGCATAGGTCCGTCGTCGCCAAAATCATAATCATCCATGCCATCATAATCATCATTAGCGTAGTCATCTCCCGTTTCTCCTGCGGTTGTTGGTGGTGCCAAATCGACAGGATTTTCTATCTGGTCGGCAGTATCCTCAAGATCAGGCATAGTGAAATCCGTTTCTGAGAAGAAGTTGTAGCCTTGCAAAGTAGGACATATTTGTAAAGTGGCAATGATTTCGACAGGTGGCAGTTTGGCTAAAATGTCACACTGTGGTGAGAATTTTTCTTCATTTATCAAATTACCCAGTTATTGTCGTTCAGGTTTTTACCTCGTAAACGGGATATTTCCACCATACTGTCCTTTTCTTCTTCTTCTTCTTCTTCTTCTTTTTCGACCGCAGGTTGGGGGAGTTGTTGGTCGATTGGTTCTTGTTCTTGTTGTTCACTTGATTCAGATTGCTCATTAGCATCCACATCCATTGGATCTTCTACTTTTTCTTCTTCTTCTTCAACAGCAACAGCTGCTGCCTCTTTGTCATCGTCTTTGGCGGCATCTTTATCTTCTTTTGATTGACCGTCGCCTTCGTTATCTTCTATGTCTTCATCCATTTGTTCCGCATCTTGAGTTTTTTCTGCAGCCAGCAGATCACCCTCATCCGTTTGCTTATCATTAGGTGCTGGTTCTGAGCTGCTCGCGTCTGATGCGTCGAAAATGATTTTACAATCACGATCAAGGGCCAGATGATTCAGCAGTAAACCACGAGCACCGCCTTCGTCAAAGTCAGCAGATGTTTTTTTGAACAGCGGATCGACAGCGAAATCAAGGTCGAACTTCTTTAAAGCGATCGACGAGAAATCCCTGAGTAGGGTACTTTCGGCACGATTGCCCTGCAGCGGATAAGATTGTTAGATGATGTGTATGTGAATATAGTTTTGTGCTTTTTTGATTTTTTAGGATTTACCCTTCGTCGCGTGCGTCGTTCCGGTGCATCGCCCGACCGTTGTGGATCCTCATCATCGTCAGGATCTCCTGAAGCTATAGTAGCAATCGTATTTTTAGTGTACAAGGTGCATTTTTATTAGAAGATATTATCACGTCGTCAGTAATGCTTACTTGCACTATCCGCCAAACCACTGAGTAGCTTTCCGGTTTCTGTGGCCACAGAATCAACTCTGGATGTATAAATTTTCACACAGCCGTCAAGTGTACAAGAAGCCTTTTGAAAGTTGATGCTGTCACCATCGCGCAGGAACGTCATTTCATGAAAGTAATCAATCAATGCAAAGTTCCAGCTATTTTTTGCATTGATTTTCTAAAATATGAAAAAGAAGAACCACAACTATTAACTTCCTTTCCTCTCCAAAAAACAAAAAGCACACCCATTCAAATTCATATTCATACATTGTCCGTGCACATTTTGATCCATTCCTCAAAATTTGAGTACATTTGTTCTGGCGTAAGTGATGCAACGACAGGCACTTCGACAGCTAGCACATTGTTAGTGGTACTGGATTCGCCTGTGGATGGGGATGCTGTACTAGTCGTTCCTGTTGACTGCATAACCTGTTTGGCAAGACGACCTCGTTGAAGATCCTGGAAGGAAGCTTTAGGTTGACCATTCCGACCGTGTCCCTGAGGACGATGATTGGCTGATTGTAGAGGAGATCGTGTCATTACGGATGCATGTAGTTTTGCTTTTAATTATGTAGTCGAGTTGTGTGTAGCAAGTGGCAAAGGAGGAGTGAGGGAAAAAAAGGTCAATGGAGAATAAGAAAAATAAAATTGCGCGCGCGCGTGTGTTCCCCTCCACCATCGGACTTGAAGCAGGAACCGAGTACGACAAGTGATTAAACATGCGTGTTTTAAACAGCTTGCTAATGTTTGTATTGATCAAACCAGTTCTAAAGTAAGCTGTCTTCATATAGCAGTAATCTTATATCTCACTATATAATAGTCTCTTTTCTCTAGTCTCGCCCAACTTTAACATTTTTCGCTCGTTATTCATCCCAGATAATATCTTATGGTTAGCCGGAAAGCTAGCTATGCAAAGATTAGTGGGGTTGTAGAATGTCAACTAGCGGAGTGATTCTATCTCATATCATTGTTTTTTGTGACAGTGTGTTGCTTAGTAGTGAAGATGAAGATCCTTCTTGAGCACCTGTCAAATGAGAGTCTTAGATATCAAGGGTCCGATCTAGTAAGGCATCAAGAAAGGGATTATCGAAGGTCTTCAATATAGAAAGTACGCCACTTTCTGATAAATGTGTCTGCTGCCGCTCGGAAGGACCGGTAATGGGCGTGTGTATTCGGTTGAGGCGTACACAGAAAAGTGAATGGGGATATACAGACCCAGCGATTGCTGCTTTCCAGATAAATTGTATGCTAATTTTAACAGTATTCTTGTTAGATTCATTTTGACGTAACATGTCTTTTATTCTGTGTTTTTTAAGCCCGATTTTTGGTATCACCGCAAGGTTCCTGAATACCGCTTGTTAGAAAATGAACATCATCACATCCGTTTACACGCACTGAACCCCATATGCGTACACACTACAATCAATCCAACAGAAGCCATGTAGCATGGGCATTAAAAATGGGACCAACACATTAGGCCTATGAAGGGGCACTTCTTTCTTGTTCCACTTTAGTCGGGCAGCAGCAGCAATCGAGGCATCAACTTGCGGCACACTTATGAAAATTGACCCACAAGTCGCACATTGAAACTTAATTTACAGCTTATAAGGTTTGACGACATTAGGGCTTAAATCGACATGTACTTCGGTACCTCTGTCACATTATAAAATTGGAACGATACAGAGAAGATTAGCATGGCCCCTGCACAAGGATGACACTAATCGCCGAGTTGGATACGCTCTACGGAGCAACTTTTTTTTTACATCTTTACTCCTAATTGAATTGTTACGCATTTGTAATCGTTCGTTTTAACTTTTTTTTGTGGAAAGATCCATAATCGGTAGTTGAGATTGACCTGCGTCATCCACTGTGAAGCAACTGCTGCTGATCCTACTTTTGATCAAATCCATCAAAGCTAAATCTTAATTTATTATCGATCGTATTTAACAGGTATCTTTTACCCAATCATGTATATTGGACCAAATTGCGTAAGGCTTTTGAAACATTAAGTTTTGCCCTCTGAAATATTTCTTAAATACGTTACGCTGAAAGCAACACACATTTGTTTCTGATATCATGAGCTACTCAACGGTATGTCAAGTAATATCATACGGCTGTTTCTCTTTTCAACCATGTTCTCATCGTTGAATTCATATCAAGGACCGACAGTGCTATGCGTAAAAGTCGCATTTTATGGCGAAGGCATCGGTATCGGTCGCAGCAGCCTTATGTTGTTTTTATTGGGTATCAAGATAAATCGAAATGTATAATGTGTTGCATTAGACAAATGTACAATGACGTGTTATCTCGCTTCTGATAATTGGGGTATTTTTTCTGTTTTTCTGTTTGGATAATTAAAATAACTCTGATATGGTGATGATGGTGGAGTTTAGGAGGATATGTACATCTTCTTCTTCTTCTTTATTATTAAAATCTTTAAAAGTTAGCTGAAAAATCCAAAAAAGGAAACTCTCATCCATGTAAATTCACAGACAGAAAAAGAGAAAGTAAATACTTACGCAAAGCATTCCCAAATTCATGGGGACCTCGGCCGCACTTTTTACCCGTGGGCGCGGGGAAGTTGAAGATGAAGCAGGACTTACGCCCGGAGGCTGCCTGAGTAAAAATAACAGCCGTTCGCGTGAAACGATGCAACATCCGAAGATGGGTCGAGACAGAGGCTACTAGGAACTGCGAGAGAAAAGCAAAGGGGGAGGAGAAGGGGAGGGGGATAAACTATATAAAGAACGCAATAGACGCTTTTAACGACTTCCTGGGTCAGAGCAAGGGGAAGAGGGGAAGGGGGATAAATTATACAAATAAGCAATAAGAATATGAGGCTTTAACGACTTCCTCAGGTCCATTCAAAGCAAAAAGCACACGCCACCGTCCAGATGGATGGATAGATCTTGACCGCAGCCTATGGACTACTTGACAGGTCGGCTTCTAGAAGCGGGATGGCAGCAGAGCATCAATTTTGACAAAAGAGACGAACAGTTAATGGGAAAGTGCCAAACCACACACACAAGATTCTATCGTGCTATACTTACCATACTTCTGAGTAGAGACACAGGAGAACCGAACGCCCGGCCAGTGTAGAGCAGAGAATCACAACCAAGACAAAAACACTTCTTCTAGCTGGAGAAAAAGATCATTAGAGGGTTTCACACACTGTGCTATCTTTATTTTTTGACACGGCATTACCAAGTTGAGTCCAGCTATACTTACATTTGTTTTATCGTTTTACAGCAAAGTTATAGACAGAGAGAGATGGGGTCTAAGCCAATCCAAGTCCAAACAGATCACCGCAGAGCCATCCTCTATTTAGAAAAAAGAAAACATCTATGAGCAGCTGCATACACTTTTGACATGTCACGGCAGACATCTTCCTGGTTCTCCAAAGACGCAAAAACAAACACAAGCACAAAATCCTTTCCAGGTATACTTACTATCATGACATCCTTGGCTTGGAGAAAGAGAGCCTTGAGTTAGAGAAAGAAAAAGCAAGAAGGGCACGACGACCAATTCTGAAGAACAAGAGAAGAAAGGCGAGAGAGAAAGAATTTTTTTTTGAGAGACTGCCATACTGCACACGTCATGATCAGGAACCCTTTCCCGTCACGCTGCTGTACACACTGCACACCTTTGACGCGTCATCCCCTACAGCCATGCCATCCTACTCACCTATCATACCAATGTTCAAGTCCCCTTTTGCTTATACTTACTATCTGTTATTTGTCCGCAGGACACAATTAACCCAACCAGCATAAAGCGAAACCTGAAGTAGAATGAAAAGAAGAAAGATCATGAGCAGGCTGTTCTTAATATGCAACTATTCCTGACACGTCATGGCATTAGCACCTCCAACAGACACTCGACTTCTCTCCAACTCATCCTCACATTTCATTCCCTACCGTACTTACAGTTGTTGCTTATGTTTAAGGGTGGGATGCAAACAACAAACCGAACCAACCATTTCAAAAAGTCAGAATCCTATAGTAGTAGCAGAGAAGAAAGGAGGATAACATTAGCGGCTGTATGCTGTACATACACTTCTTTAGACACGTCAAAATTCAGATCTTCTTTCGTATATCACATCCACAAGCAAAGTCTCAAGTCACACTTCACATTTTCCATATTGTACTTACTCTTGCGTCTGTGCTTTGAGAGCCAACGTGAGGGGGAGATGGACCAGGTTAAGACGAGAAGAAGGTCTGTGTCAAACAAGAAAGAAAGTGAGATAAATGGATCTTAAGATACTCGCAACCGGTTGCATACGCTCTGCTCACTCACCACCATAAACATACACTCTTCGATCCTCTAATCCGTTCCAATGATACTCACATTGAATAGCTTTGGCTTACAAACGTTGACGAGGAGGAAGAGGAGCGGCATGATTGCTGCGGCCGCGCGGTTATATAGAGTTTTTTTTTGTATGAGCCGGGTGGAGGCTGAATTTTATTGGTTGGTCACACGTTCAAGGAAGTGGCGTGCCAAAATGAAACGCATAAAGGGAGCAACAAGAATAGTGAGAAAAAAAAAACAAAAGGACAAATTAAAATATATGAGACATTAATCATCCACAGAAATCTGAGGATGTAGTTGGTGGTAGAGATGGAGGGCAGACTGGGCAACGATGGCCGGGTCAAAGGGGATGCGGTCGAAAACCAACCGCCAGTATGCGCGCCAAAGAGCAAGAAGCGTACTCTGGACGGCGGAGATGTAGTGGGGGAGTGTGGAGGGAGGGGCAAGGGACCAATTGAGTTCGGTGATGAACTGTGAAAGGCCCAGCGCTGTTGGTTCGGCGTAAAAGAGAACGCTCCAAACTTGCGTCCATACCCGCCAGCGCGGTGGGCAGGTGATGAGAAAATGCGGTATTGTGTCGAGCTCAGAGTTGCAGAGCTGACAAATGGAAGAAGGTATAAACCCGGGAACGAGATAGTGTAGGCGTTGGGCAGTCGGTAAGGTGCGGTGCAGGGTGCGGAACCATATGTTGCGGACCGGATGGAACATGGGGGTGGCCCAAAAGGTAGCCCATTGACTGGGCGATAGGTTGTCGCTGGTGTTACGGAGCAGAAGAGTGGTTGATTGCTGGCATTGTTGACGATAGCACCGAGTGTTGGTGAGTTGGTCGAGGGCGGAGCTGAGCGCTTGCCACAAAGGGAAGCCATCCATGGTGCCGAAAGTGTTGTCGTGACCACCGAGGGCATGGTCGCCAGGCAGACAGAGACGAGCAAAGAACGGTTTCAACTGGATGCTTCCATCGATAACGGCGGTAATGAAGCGGCGAAGGACTCGGGGATGAGTAATGTTGCCATCTGTTGGCATACGTGGCCGAAGGTAGCCCAGAGCGTTGTCAAAGACATAAACATCGTTTGCAACCATGGTGTTGAGAGTGGGTGAGCTGAGAAGCGAGGCATTGTCTTGATCCGGTGCTGCAGTCCAAATGGCTGTGGTGGGCAGGCATAGCGCTACGACTGGTGGAAGTTGTATAGTCGAAGAGTCGAAATCGATGCGGTCAAATGCTTGAAGGAAGATAGACGAGAATGAAGACGGAGAAGACTTGAGATACCCAGGACGCGCGGACGGAAATGCCAGGATCAAGCGGTGGTCTGGGAGTGA